TATGCTACAGGGAGACCGATCCAGCGTGTCAAGGGCACCATGCAAGCACTGATTGGCGCCAACAGGCACCCAGCAAGCCGTGCCGCTGGGGCTCAGCGTCCGCCATCCACGCGCCTCGACCATGCCAAGTATTCCACCGTCGGACACTGAAGTGGAGAAGTGCCAAGCCCAAGCAAGCAGCTGAATGTATGTGCCCCTCAGCAAACGTGCAGGGCAAGATGCAGCGCGCCGTTTCCATTGCCGAGCGCTTAGGCTGCACCAAGTCACCGAGAGCAGCACCGAATGGCATCGGCTTCGGCAGCTGCGCACCCATGCTCGTGCTCGTGCTCAGCTTGCATCCAGCGCCCAGCATCGGGACGGGCGCACGGAACAAGCGCGGCCCCTGGCCATCGGCATGTAGCGAGATGCGGGAGCGAGGAGAGGGACCAGCAGCAGTCACATGCTATGTAGCGCAGACTTAAATGTAAAAAAAAATTGGCGAGCATGGAATCGTGTCGAAGGAACCGCATGTGCAGTTGCAGACCACGATTCCCAAGCAGACAAGTCATTCACTTCCATGCCAATCGAATGAGGAGCAAGCAGAATACACGTATCCATCCATAGATCCATACATCTCGATGGTCTCTCGATATGCAGCCGGCCGGTGCTGTCTACTCTACAATCAAAAACGTATACCTGTGGCGCTTCTATGCTATGTGTGCACGACGGAGGCCTTTTAAAATGTTTTCTGCGTGCTGTCCGAATGCGTGCAGAAGGGCAAGCGGCAGGCCAGGTCTGCCAGCAAGCTGTTGGGCATGCTCTACTCTATATAAACTTACTAAATCTATGCTTTCTAGGGCGCAGCGTGGTCAATGACTTTATGCGCCAGGGATGCGCTCATGTTGTACGCTGCTTCTCGCTGGTTGAGACTGAGCCTCAGCCTTCGGCTCCAGCCGCTGTGTAGCGGCCTGCTCGATGCGCTCGCGCTTCGCCTCGGCCTCAGCGAGCGCAATCTCACCTGCGAACGCTGAGCGCGCACGGATGCGCGGGCCGTGCAAGTGCAAGATCCACGGCACAGCCGCGAGCGGCAGTGCGACGAACGCCAGCAGCGTCGACGCCTATAGCAGGTGGGGAGGGGGGGAGGCACACGTGTCGGCTTCAGCACGATACCACGGCAACACCGTGCGGCGTCGTAGCAGCGGTGAGAAAGGGGAAGTGGCACGCACCCAGCGGTAGCCCAAGCCGCGGTACATGGGCGTCGAGAAGAGCGTGACACTCCCCGAGAGAATCTCGCGTACGAACGACTGCGCAGCGACCGCGCTGCTGCTGTACAGTGAGTATGACTTGACCGTGAACTCGGAGACTGTAGCAGAGCGAGGCGTGGCGTGCGGGGATCAGGTTCACCGAGCGAGTGCGCGTGGAAACGAACCAGACGGCAATTGAGGAGAAGGCTCACCGATCAAGAAGATGATGTGCGACGTGGTGGCAAATACGACAAGCGCTAGCATGCTGACGATCCAATGCACCGAAGCCTGCGACGTCCATGCGAACCAGCTGTGATGGGGATGGGACAAAAGGAGGCGGAACGTCAGATGCAGCCGGAAGTCGAAGAGTGTACGCGGTGGGCACAGAGCACTCACAACAAGCTGGCGGGGAAGAAGGCAGAAGCGAAGAGGCCCCAAAGGAGGTGGGCCTCGGGTGGTGCTTCACCTGTGGGGTTCTTGCGCCCCGCGCGGCGATAGAGCGCCTGCTGGATGGGGAAGGCGACAAAGGCGAGAAGGAAGCCGAGAGAGAGGGCGATGAACGGAAGTCCCTGCTGCCCGATGCTGAAGCCGTGCTCGGCGTAGACGAGCGGGATAGCCTCGAGGGCGAGGTAGATGATGGCGTAGTTGTACCCGTCGAACAACGCAAACGACCAGACGATCGGCTCGGTGAAGAGCATGAACAGCGGGCGGATGAGCACCTCGCGCGCCCAGGACGCTGGCGTGCGCGACGAGCGCACGCGCTCGTGCGCGCTGTACCAGCGCGCGTCGCCGGTGCGCAGTCGCAGGCGCCTCGCGCGGCGTTCGAGCAGCACACCCGCGCGCGTCTCGGGCACTGTCAGCACGAACAGTGCGAGTAGCAGCGCCGTTCCGAGGCCGCAGACGCCAAAGATCCAGCGCCAGCCGAGGGCGAGGTACAGGTACCCTGACCACGTTGCGGCTGTCGTCGCGCCGAGCTCAGCAAAGAGCGCAAACGCATTGACGCCCCAGCCCTGCTCGTCGGGTGTCCACATGTCCGACACCATCCCGACCGAGTTGAACGTTGCCGCGGCAAACGCGCCCGCAAAGAAGCGCGACACGATCAGCGCAGCCATGTTCGGCGCCAGCGCGCACGGGATCTGCATCAGGCCCATCATCCCGACACTTGCGACGTGCACGGGCAGGCGCCCGTAGTCCTCCGACAGCGGCGCCGCAAAGACTGGGCCGGCGGCAAAGCCGTACAGGAAGACGGCTTGCGGAAGGCGTGCGACCGTCTCGGAGACGCCAAACTCGTGCGCGACTCCCTCCACGCCCGGCTCGTACATGGCCGAGACTGCAGGCGGGTAGAACGATGCATGCGCAGTTTCAGTGAGTGCTGACTTGAATAATGAGGCCCGGAGTCCTGCGCTCGCCCTGACTCACTCGCATTGGCCCACAGCTGCAGCATTAGAGTGACGAGGAGAATGCGCCACTTTTTGTAAGCGGGCCACTGCCTTGGGTCGCGCTTGTCCCCGAGCTTGAACGTTATCATGTAGGGGTCTTTTGGCGAAGGTGCGGTGAGCGATGCAGAGGCCGTCGAGGAGGGTGGGGAACGAGCGCGTACGATGTCGTTCTTTTCGTGGCCGTGGCCCCGGCTGCTTGACGCTTGCCCTCTCTCCGGCCGCTGCTCCTCCGACTGTTCTTGCCTTGCATCTTGTTGGTCCTGGTGAACAGCCTCGTCGCCATGCGTGACGATGGCGGTCTTGCACTCGCTGGGCGCAGTCATCTGATCGACTGGCGTCCGCTGTTCCGCGGCGGCGGTAGTGGTGGTAGTGGCGGTGGTGTTGCTAGCGCTGCTCGGGAGCTCTTGCGTCTGTTCCACAACCGTCGCAGGCAGCGAGGACGTGTTGGCCATGTTGCATGCGAGATGAATGCCTCCTCCATCTGAAAGGGTGACGTTCAACACATCCAACTCTCTTCTGCTTCGCGACCCTGTCGGGGATGGAGTGTCGTTGAGAGAGTATGATGGATGGTGCTGCACCATTGTCACCAGTCTTTATACTGTAGACGACGCCATCTTCAGCGCGCCAAGCGTTCTGGCCGAGAAATTGTTGCGGAGCAGCATACTATCGGTCTACTTCCCCGAGAGTTAGCCCGCGGCACACGACCACATACACAACACATATATATCCCGGAAGCGCTTCCGAAACCTCCGAGCGAGGAGCAGTGCAAAGCAAGAGGGCCGACCCGCCAAGTAGAGAGTCTCAATCACACCAGTCAGTCAGATCCAATGGCCCGGATGTGCTTTGCAGCAGTGCATGGGATGTTAATGTACAAAGCTTGCGTGTAAGGAAGCGTCAACCAATCCATCGTCGTTGTGTATGCTGTGTGATGAATGCCGAATAGGGTTACGTGTACAATAGTTACCATGTATGGTGGTGTAACAGACCCCCCAAGGGGTTTGGGAGGGGGGGGTGCAAGCATGGAAAAGCTGCTCCTCTTCGTCCGCCAGGTCATCGCAGTTTCCGTCGAGGAGTAACCCCCGTTGCTGCCGTAGGCATCTCCTCCTTTGCTCGCTCCTCCGGCAGCAGCTTCTTTCTTCTCGGCGGGGAAGCAACTACGTTCGTCCCCGCTGGCTTCGCCTGCGCCCTGCTCGACTCCTTACTCTCCCCAACAACAGGAGCAGCGCCGAACTCGCCTAGCGCCTGCAGGCTCATTTGCACACTCTGCAGCCGATTCTCAATTCCGCCAAGCACGTGCGTATGGAACAACGCATGCTCCTTGCTGCGTCGCCTCAGCAGCCGCGTCATCGGCGAGCTCGTCCCGTCCGATGCACTGCCTGACCCAGGAGTAGACGCATCGCATCGCGCCCTAGTCGGCTGCTTCGACGGTGAGCGAGGCGCATCTTGGAAGAGCGTCAAGCCGGCATGGCTGCTGTGATCCTGTCTCCACTTGGTCGTCGTCGTGGCCGCAACTGGAGTTGCTGCTGCGGTTGTGCTGCTGCCGCTCGCTTTGCTTTTCAGGCCTCCTGATGCCGTGCTCGCTGAGCCTTTGGATATCGAGGAGCGCATCCGCACAGAGCGTCTCTGCAGCAGCGGCGATGCAGGCGGCACTTGTGCGCACGATCCAAACGCATCACCATCAGTGCTGACGTCGCCGTCCAGACGGCTGTCCAGGCTGACGAATGCCTGACTGGTGTCTTCTCGAATGACGTCAAAAGTCGTGTCGGCAGCAGTCACAAAGCCTATCACCATGCCCATGGTCGTAGACCGTGCAGGCGGCGGCATGCTTACTGCCTTTCCGAACGCCTTGCGAGGCGGGCGGTGCGTGCCCTTGCGGAAATCTGACAGGACTTCTTCGCTGTTCTTGCGGTGCATGGGACGAGAAGACTCGTGCAGGCGTGCAGATCCGGATGGCGCCAAAGTTGGGAGCACACCCAGCCTCTCACCGGCGCCTCCAGTTACGGCAGGCTCATCATGGGCGCTTGCACCCGAGTTGGAAGCCAATGAGAAGCTGCGCTGTCGCATGAGCAAGGAAAAATCGCCGACGCTCGCACGGCGCGCGAACCGATTCTCGTCACCGCCCCTGGCGGGGTTCAAGGTGATGCCGACGCCCAAGCCATCGCTTGCTCCTCGTCGATACGATTCCAGCAGCGAGATGTACGCGGGTGACGTGCTCCTGTTAAGGCTGCCTCCGGCGCCTGCGCTTAAGCCTGAACCCAACCCTGAGCCTGCACCCGTGCCTGCTTCTGCGCCTCCACCACCGCTGCACATGCTTCCCTGGCTGCTCTCCCGTCGACGTACGGCAGCTGTCGGACTAGACGAAAGAAGTGCCAAGGCATCCTCGTGTGTACTCGCTCGCCGCGCTCCTGCCTCGGCGTCAATGTGTCCGGCCGTGGAAGGAACATCACCACCACGCGAGGCGGGTGTGTCCTCAGACATGCTGGCGCTCGCGCTGCCGTGCAAAGCAGTCAACGAGAGGTCCAGCAGCGCTGGGCTTTTGAGGGTCGAAGTACGACTGGGCGTGTCTCGCTGCAGCGCTTTGAGACGCATCTGCCTCCTGCTTTTTGCGTGCCGTAGCTCACCAGCGTCGTCGCCGCCGCCGGCGAGATCATGTAGCAGTGCCCCATCGAAGTCCTCATCATCGTCGCCGTCCTCAAACAGCGCCGCGTTGTTCGCTGCAGTCTGTGGATTCTCTTGTACGTTCTGGATAGACGTCAGCTCGATGCCAGGAGCGCTCCACATCGGATCGTTGAGTCGTGTGACGAAGTTGCCGCCGTAATTTGACTGCGTCGATGCAATGGACGAGTTCGAATCACTCTTGGGTATTCCGCCGACTCGTTGCACTGCAGAAGGCCAGTCTTTCTGAGCGAGAGAATCAGGACCTCCCGACGAAGTTGGTACCTTGGCGTGATCGTGTGGAACCGAAAACCCTGTCCTTGGAGACTGTTGCGGCTGCTCCACGCGAGGCGCAGGGCGCGGACCGACGACGAAGAAAGGTGACTTGTGCCTGAACTTTTCCGGTGTGCTGAAATCCTCTTCGTCTTCCTCCTCATCATGCGCCCCTGGCGCCTGCGTCTTCGGTCGCCACATCTTGCCTTGCTGCGCCTTCTTTGCGCTCTTGGCGACAGCGCTCATCATGACGTAGAATGCCTGGCTCTCCGACACCTCACGCTTGGCGGTGGATCCGCCTGAGCAGCGCGTATCCGAGCCCATGCTGTGACCGCCAGGCGTAGCAGAACGCGCACGGTCGAGATCGTTGCGCCGCAGCGCTGCCGTAGCCGACCACCCGGAGCGATGAGGCTGCTGCATGAACGGCTTGCGCACAGATGATGCAACCGGGAACGGATAGGGCGAAGCTGGTACGGCGGACTGAGGCGCCTTGGCGCCTTCTCCCACGCCGTTGATCACGCTGGAAAAGTTCGAAAGCGAGATCTTGCGGGCGGGTGTGACGAGGTTGGGAGAGCTGCTGACCCGCATACGAGACAAGGCTTCGACTGTATGCCCTTGTGGACTTGCATCAGCCAGGAGCGCAAGCTCTGTTCGTGCTGCCATTTCGGAGATCCTTGGGACGTAAGGTGTGGAGACGAAGGGTTGAGCAGGCATTGGACCAGCAGGCGAGTCCAGCATGCCGTGTTGGCGAAGTTGTTCATTAGCGACCTGTCCAGCTGCCTCGGCCAGCTCTGCTTCCTTTCTCTCAGGGATGAGAGGGACGTGTGATGCAGCGGTGGTGACAACGCTTGGCGCCGAGGTGGTGCGCAGCCCTTTACCTGTCGAGCTACTGAACGCTGTCGGCCTCGGACGATGCGAAAAGCCAACCCAGTCACAGTCGACATCTTCCCAATCATCCGCTCCAATGAGCTCGCCAAGCATGGACGTCCTCTCAGGCGGAGCGTGCTGTTGCCTGGTCGCGGCCACTGCTGCCTCGGCCTGGTCAAATGAATCCATGAACAGGGGTACGTGCTGATTCGCGTTAAGGAAGCCGGATAGGCCGCTGCTCTGGTCAAAGCTGGAGAACATGGAAGTGGAGTCACCTGCAGTGTTCATTGGGCTATGCAGGACGGAAGGCTCCTCGAAGTCGAGCAAGTCGCGGACGCCCGCCACTGGACTTGCAGTCATGCCAGCCGTATTTCCTTGCTTGCCTCCGACACTCGGAATGAACGGAGGCTCAATGTCCCAATGGTGATCCCAGTCGACATCTCCAAAGAGAGCGTGCGCCTTGATCTCGTGCGATCCGTGCTTGCCCAGACGATTTTCAGCTTTACTGAGCAGCTTTCGAAGAAGGCTTTTGAGCTGAGACGAGACTGTCACCGACGAGTTGAGCTGGAAGTAGGTCTCATGGTTCCGGATCTTGTACCAAGCTTCCTCTGGGCTGACAGCCCAAAAAGGCAGCTTTCCATAGGTCATCTCGTAGAGCATAACCCCCACGCTCCACCAGTCGACCTCTGGACCGTACGCCCCAGGAGCCTCTTGTTCAAGCTGCACATGAGCGGCTGACTTGCTCATGCTGCTCACATCGTGGCGACTGTCACTGTAGCTGGTACTTGTCGTCGTCGTGTCTGCTGCCGACGCAGAGGAAACGCTTGAGTACCCGCTCTGGTCAGGCGAGGCAGGGCAGCTACTTATTGCGCTCGTAGTGCTGCAGGAAGAGGATGAGAAACGACGCAAGATGGCTGCGCGTGCAAGCTTGGCCTCCTCATACAGAAGGATTTCAGGGGCAATATAGTCGCACGTCCCGGCCGGCTTTTGACAGTAGAATTGATGTACGCGACGCGTCTTTGCAGGGGAGGAGGAGGACTCAGCGGCCGACGATCCTGCGGATACGCCCGAAGCTGCAGAGGACGGCAGCGGCGGGCACATCGCCGAGTCGAATTGCGAAAATGGCGCTGCTGTACCAAAGTCACACAGCTTGAGATGTCCGCTGCGATGGAGCAGGAAATTGGATGGCTTGATGTCTCTGTCGAGGACACATCGAAACCGATCAGTATCCGCCTTGTGCGAGTCGAACATCCCATATTATCTGGACTCACCGATGTGCAAAGCCTTGTTCGTGCAGCCATGCGACAGCAGCGACGACATCTATCGCATAGCCCTTGACCCAGCTTTCGAGCAGCAACCCTCCCTTCTTGCTTTTGCCAGGGTAACTCGCATCTGCCTGACCAGCAGCTTCGAGTAGCGCTTCGAGATCACCAGCGGGGAAGTATTCGAGCACAAGGTGCAAGCTGCCCGAAGATTGGAACGCAGCGAGCAAGCGCGGAGTATAGCAATGCTTTTCGTGCCCCACCAGTGGCTCCTCTGAATCCTGCCCCTGCGCTTCGGTCGTCGCTTTCAGCAGGAGCATCTTCTCTGTCATGGGGACCATTCGATATGGTTCCCGCCTGGCTGCACCCTTGAGGATGCTCTTGAGGACGTACAAACGGCGGTCATTCTTGCATCGTACGACATCAACCATACCAGTACCACCCCGTTGCAGATTGTTGAGCGGGGAAAAGTCATTCTCGTTGATCATCGTCCTCGGAAGACGCTTCAGCAGTGGCATAGCATTCCGCCGGCAAAGGTTGGCGTCACGGTGTGGTTTGATGTGTTGTGAGGACCACACAAGCGCAACGGCCAAGTCTATTGCGCGATTACGCTTCCCCAGAAAGGTGCTGCTGGTCGCCTCTGTGGGCGTCAGCTCGTTGTTCTCTGCGTGGCCCTCGTCGTGCTGAATCGTTGATGATTGATCGGTGACAGTCTTTCGTGCGACACAAAAAGCACACAATGCCTGCTTGACAGCCGCTTCGTCGAGGATCGTGTCGATCTGCTGGTGCCGGTCCTGCCAGCTCGATTGGACCATCTTGACCTCGCGGATGGGGAGGTATCTTGCAGTTGGTCTAAAGCATGTGTATCACGACGGTATCTTGCACAAAGGGGCAGAGCAGGTGACAGGGGTGGAGCTGAAGCGAATAGCAGGCTGACGGAAAGATGTCAGCCTCTTGATCGTGAGCGTATGAGGAGCGAATTTCTTATCACTTCACGAGCCCGGTCATATGAGATGAACCGACCGTGAAGCTCGAACATCCGTTAGGATGAGTTCCCGATGGCGGACACGAAAGGTCGTGTGCATCACCAGGATGATGCAGGGAGACTTGAATAAGTCACATCTACAACTCATACAGAGGTCGGGCTCTCGTAGGACAAGGCCGTCTCGCGCACAGAAAAGACATTTGCAAACAAAGGGTGACGGGCAGAGGAAAGAAGAATGAGCTCACCAAGCAACGGGCGGATATGCGGCTATGTATCCATCGGTATCTGCCCAGACTCTAGATGACGATAAGCCGGGCTGAAGGAAAGCAGGTCCGGGAAAATAGAGATGCCTTTTGTGGCAGTTCACCGGACAGGTCTTGCTATCCTTAGGGGTTCGGGACGGGGAGGTGTGTAATGTCGACTGCCGGTGAGGGTTATGGTATGCGGGGGTTCCCAGAACACTCGTCACGCTGGTGATGTGCAGAGTGAGCGGAGCATGGAAAGTCAATTTGCAAGGGCGAGCAGCGAGGAACTGAACTTCGAGTTTTTGCGACAGTCGGCCTGGTCCGTCTCGAGGTCCTCGTTGAGCAGCTTGGGACTTCGCCGGAAATGGACACAGGTCTGAGCACGTACAGTGAATGGAAAACCCACGACGGATCTGTTTGTTAATGACAAGGGGGAAGGAGGAAGCTAGTCCGAGCCGTTGATAGTGTTGAATAACGGATGCTTCGAGATCAGTGTTTCGAGCAACGAAATGGTGGAAATAGAATTTACTTGCAACCCGAGACAAGTCTGATTTGGCTGCCATCAGGCCGGTGTGGCCTGTGGGTTGGTGGCGCATATAGAAGGCGGTGTGCCAGGGACCCGACCACCGGCTATCTCCGCGGGGAAACTGGCCGCCGTTGGGCGTTGAGTAGTGGACCTCAAAAGCGCGTCGCGTCTCAGACATTGCAAAGGCCACTCCTCTCGTCACATGACATGACGGCTGACCGCAAAACTGCGACCTGACATTCCGAAATCCGAAATCCGAGCCCCGACGCGTCTGCCCATGAGTATGTGCTTGGACACACGCGCGACGCCCATAGGCCCACGGCACGCACTCCGCGTATCACTCAGCACCTCACACCTCTGCCCTGGCCATCGGGTCTTCATCTCCAGACACAGGCATGTAGTTCGACTCGTCAATCTCATAGTCTTCATCATCCACTGCACCTCGAATGGCCGCCCAAGAAGAGAGCAGGGGGTGCAGGCGGCGTCTACAGCGCATGGATAGTAGCAGATTCACGTCACCATTCAGATCTCGCCTCACGACAGCCAATGGCCATGCAAGGCGGCAGCGCGGCCAGACGGCCCGCTACGAAGGGCGGGAAACTACGCGCTCCCAAGAGGGTGAGTTGTGTGATAGCCTTCGTATGAAGTACTGCCATTGTACTGGTCGCTTTCCTTAGCTGCTCGCCAGTAAAGGGCTGTCTTATGGCGCCATCCGCCGAGATGGGATTGTTTAGAAATAAAAGGCTGACAATTGCCATTACTCGTCGGCTTGTGCAATTCTGACTAGGCTGGTCTGGAGTTGTCCACTCCAGAAATGTGGGAGCGTCTCTCCAGAGCCGTGCATGAAATCTACAACCATAATAGCTCTTTGCTCAGCTTTGAGGAGAACTTTCGGTATGCTTACAATTTCGTCCTGGTATGTGTCGATCTATTGTCGTCGCTTGCTTCGTCCCGTGTCGCTTCTGACATCCGTTCACACTTGCAACCTTGCAGCACAACCAAGGAGACATGCTCTACTCGGGAATCATCAAGCTGCTCGAAGAGCATCTAAGCAAGCAATGTCAAGAGAGAATTGTCCCCACTTTCCCTGCGGGCAGCATGCTGTCGCTCCCACCAGGCATTATTATGCCCAAGGGCGTCTCAGCCAGCCGACAGCTCTCCTCTCAGACCTCCTTGGCCAGTGCAAAGGGCAAAGGAAAGGCGCGTGCGGTCGAGGAGCTTGAAGTCGACAGTGACGATGACGACAACAGAAGATCAGCGCAGACGGAAGGGCGCAGATCGGAATCGCTAGGGAACGATACCAATGAAGGATCTACCACTACGCTGACAGGTGGACAGAGCGTGGGAGACAGAACCGACGCTGCTGCCAGGGCACAAGCAGGAGAGCGGTTGCTCAAGACGATTCGCGATGTCTGGGAAGATTACTGCGCATGTACACACACGCTGTCCAAGGTGCTGAATTACGTTGTGAGTCTCTACACAATATTGGATCCTTCATTGTAGCACCCTTGAAGGCTTATCACAGGTTTCATCCTCTCAAGGATCGTGTATATGTTCCGGAAAAGGGTCGGCTGCCAAGCTGGAAGTTGGGCCTGGAGCTCTTCCGCGATAACGTGCCCTGGTCGCAAAAGTACCCGATCCATCGCAATTTGTACGGAACACTGCTGACACAAATCCAGATCGAGCGTGAAGGGTCAGTCATCAATCGCTCGGCGGTAAAGTCATGCATCGAGATGCTCGTCACGCTCTCATACCCCCATCGAAATGTCCCAATCGTCCAGCGACGCTCAGTCTACAAGCAAGAATTCGAGCCGGCCTTCCTGAGTACCTCGGTCGAATTTTACCGCTCAGAAGCAGAGCGCAAGCTCGCGTCAGGCGATGCGGCCGAGTATCTGCGCCACGTGGAGCGACGGTTCTTGGAGGAAGAAGACCGCGTGACCGTCTACCTCAATTCGTCTACGGGCAAAGATTTGCGGCTGCTCCTCGAGCGGTATCTGCTCTCTGACCATTTGCAGACCATCATCGATATGCCTGGCAGTGGAATCTTTACGATGCTCGACGAGCCGAGGGACGCAGATCTCGAGCGGATGTACAGGCTCTTTAGGCGCGTAGGGCAGGGCATACCCGTGCTGAGACAAGGGTTGAAGGGATACATCACTGCAAAAGGAGCTCTTATCAACGAGGCAATCAACAACATTGAGGCCGCGGGTAGCAAAGCACCGAAACCTGCAGTCGAAAGAGTCATCGCGAAGGGAATCGCGGTGACTGCAGCTGGCGGCCCAGAAGGTGATGAGAATGGCGAGGGAAGCGAAGAGTGTGCAAAGGGCAAAGGCAAAGACCCTGCTACAGCAGGCAAGAAGAATGCCGGCGCAGTCACTGCCGGCGAGGGAGGCAATGCATCCTCCTTGCAAGCGTCCCTCGCCTTGCGTTGGGTGGAGCAAGTGCTCGCATTCAAGGCGCGTTTCGACTCGCTCCTCAAGCAGGCATTTGCTTCGGATACGCAATGCGAGGGTGCTATCAGCGAAGCGTTCGAGCATTTCATCAACAAATGTCCTCGTGCGCCGGAATTTATCTCGCTCTTCATTGACGAAAACCTCAAAAAGGGCTTGAAAGGAGTGAGTGCTTGTTTGTGAGCCAGCGTGACAAGCGCGGAGCGTACAGCTGACGCTATCACATACCTGTACTGGTTGCCAGAAAACTGAAGAGGAAGTGGATGAGGTGCTAGAGCGCACCATTGTCATCTTCCGCTTCTTGAACAACAAAGACGTCTTTGAGCGATACTACAAGACGCATCTGGCCAAGCGTCTGCTCGGCGCGCGGTCCGTCTCGGACGATGCCGAGCGCAGTATGATGGCCAAGCTCAAGGTGGAATGCGGACATAACTACGTGCACAAGTTGCAGGGCATGCTGAACGACATGAAGCTCAGCGATGAGGCCAACTCGGCATTTACAAAAAGGCAGCAGACAGGAGCAAATGTACGTGCTGACCGTTGCGCGACTCTGGCAAGATTTGCGAGAGTCAGAAAGCTGACACTATAGAATCTTCGTATGGATTGGCATCCGGTCCTTGCTTCGCAACAGAGCACTCCTTTTGATCTCTCGGTGAACGTCCTCACCGCGACATTCTGGCCCTCAGTTTCTGTGCAAGACCAGTCGGTTGTCTGGCCTGAGCAGATGCAATCGGCCATCAAAACCTTCGAACAGTACTACCATTCACTGCATAGCGGCCGTCGGCTCACATGGCAAGCAAATCTCGGTACAGCCGATGTGCGCGTGACGTTCAAAACCCGCAAGCACGAGCTCAACGTGTCCACCTATGCTCTGATGGCCTTACTCCTTTTCGAAGATCTCGATGCGGAGGAGTCGCTAACCTACACCGACATTCGAACCAGTACCAACATTGCAGAGGCAGAGCTGAAGCGTGCGCTGCAATCGCTAGCATGTGCAAAGTACAAGGTCCTACTCAAGGAGCCCAAGGGAAGGGATGTGAACGAGACAGACAAGTTCTATTTCAATATCAACTTCACTGCCCCCCTGGCCCGCATCAAGATCGCGCAAATTGTCGCCAGGGTGGAGACGCAACAGGAGCGTAAGGAGACGAACGAGAAGATTCTCGAGGAGCGCGCTCATTTGACGGATGTGAGTCTTCCTTCCCAGTTTGCTGTCCCGTCCTCGAGTCTCATGTCACATCGTTCCGCTTGCTTTGCAGGCATGCATCGTTCGCATTATGAAAAATCGCAAACGCTTGGCGCACAGCGAGCTCGTGCTCGAGGTTATCAAACAGCTCTCGACTCGCTTCCACCCTAGTCCTGCAGATGTCAAGAAGCGCATTGAATCTTTGATCGACAGAGTGAGTCCTTGTAGCAGGCGTGCACTCTCCCCCTTCAATTACAGCTAGCTACACCCCTCACACTTGGTGCATTTGATCTCCACAGGAATACATCGAGAGGACGGAAGTAAAAAATGTGTATCAGTACCTTGCATGATCCCAATTTGCATCAGCAGCGCACATTCTACCTGATCAAGGTACGAATTGAATAGCAATGAAAGCAAGCATCTTCCCGTAGCCAGAACATACGAAATCGGGTCCTCTTTGTATCATAGCAAATCATTCCATGCTTGGTGTCATGAGCATCCAAAACAAGTTCGCGTGATCAATCCTATCAATAAGTTAGATGTCAAATGCAGCAGACTTCCACGCATACTCTTCATCTCCGTCGGTCTCCCCGCTCCTTTTCCGCTCGCGCTCGGCCACTTCAGGAATCTGAAACAGTACATTTGTGGTCGCGACGGTCGCCTTAACCGCTTCGTCTTGCGCTGCTCGTGCCAGCCGAAAAAGACTGGGTTGGGAGAGCGCAGGGGGCATTTCGCCGACAGGCAGGGCGTTATCTGTCTTCGAGCTCAATGGGGGAGTGCCCGACTTGCCTGGAAGGAGATGCGAACTCATGCCAAATGCAAGCTGATAAGAGCCGAACTTGTCGTTTTTGATGATAGCCTGTGCGAACGAAAGAAAGTGAGAACATTGCGTGGAACCTGCAAGGCCCTAATCGACTCCGAAGGACGGTGCACTTACGCTCGGCTTGATCTCCAATGGGTTGACCGGGTGAGGCTGCGAGTCGATGATGCGATGTTGTTCCGCTTGCTTCTTCCCCGCTTCTTTCTTGGCATCGTCGGCCTCCTTCTTCTCCCGAGCGATGCGCTCAGGCGTCTTGCCAGCCGTGCTGCTAAACAGGACGCGAAGGAAATGCCAAACTCCCGGATTCACATCCGCGAGGCTGCCCTTTTTGTGGTATCGCTCCCATGCGTGGTACCGAGCACGGGCATAAATGTCAAACATCTTTTCGTCCACCTTCTCAAACCCGTGTTGTAGTTGCGCCGCGCCGACACGCTCGAGTACAAGCTTGATAGTCGGCCGTGCGATCGAGAGTAGCAACGCATTTAGGATCCAGTGCCTACTCTGGCGCAAATTGAACACGAAGGAATGTGAAATGTTCAAAGCGGTGTCACGGACTTCAAAGAAACGAGTTCGCTTCTCTTCTTCATCGTTGTTCTTCGTCTCAATCGTCTTGAGGTCCACGGTGGCCGAGATACCTTCGCCCTCGAAACCAGCATCCAGCAGTGCGCTTTCCTCGTATGAGAACCAGCTCGCAGGTCCATCACCCCAGCTCCTAGAAGCGCCGCACCCGCAACAACCTCCACAACGACTTGGTTGAGGCGACGTATATCGCTCGCAAACGTAGAACGAGATGTCGTTGACGGCAAAGCGTAACCCCGACACGGTGACCTTCAAGGCCGAAGTGACGTCGGAGTTGCCCGCATCCTTGCGCCATGTAAAATCGTGAGCTGACTGGACGTTGACTACATCTGGGATGAGATTGACCGTTGGAATGGCAACGTGGTCTACGACGGCATCGAGCTTGTCGGAAGTGAACTCCACCCTAAGCGAACGGGAGATTGCGGTTAGTAAAGACGGCGCGCCCACAATTTGTGAGAGGGTGCTCGCCTTGGTACCGGTAGGATCTTAATCAAGTCAAAAGCACTCGGCAGGATCACAGACAGTATATCTGCCATGAATTCTTTCCATTCGCGTTTTGCAGCGCGCACACCACCTTTCAAGGCATTGTTGAGCAGCGCGAAGATCTTCGTAATGCGACCTCTGATCGAAGCGTTGCGCTCATCCTGCAGGATTTTCTGTTTGAAGTTATCTAGGAGAACGATGACGTGTTGAACGTCGCTTTGAATACCTGGATTGGAGTCGAAAAGATCGTGTCCTTTTCGGAGTAGACTCTTGATGCGCTCCTTGAACACCTGCAGTCTGCCAGATCCACTTGCACTGGTGCCCATTTCGCCGCTGCCAGCGCCAGCCCAGGTAGTGCGGGTATGTAGCCTCGCCTGAGTAATGGCATCTTGGAAAAAGTCACCCATGTCGGTCACCCACTGTCTGACATTATCATCGCCTGAAGCATTCTGGACTAGCTTGGCGGTGCCAGCCTTGATCTCGGCTAGGCTTGTACCGCCAGCCAATCCTTCAAGCAGCTCACCTGCCGCATGCAAGCAGCGATCGAGATGCCGATTCGCCTCCACATGCATGCGTTCGCTTGTGATCTTGACGGGGTTGCCTGCCGTCGTCGGCGCTTCCTTCACCGTTTGTACAAAGACAGCACCGTGCTGAATGTATTTTTTACATATCTGAAGCATTGTCTCGAGAGCGTCGACAGATGACGAATCGGAATCGAGGTTGCCGAGGAGCTGCATCGAGACGATTAAAGATTGAGCTGTTGCGCAGTTCCGCGAAATTGACCAGGCAACTTACTGAGGCAAGTCTTTCCGACGCGTAATCGATCATTTCATCTGGGTCCATGTCGACATCTTCATTTTGATTTGGTCTCGGAGAGGAGAGTTCAGCTTTTACCGCTTTCCGCGCATCCTTCTTCACTGCCTCCTCAGATTGATTCGGCGGTTCGATTGTCGGCACTGGATGGGTGCACTCATACTCTTGAGAATTCACAGTATGGGTTACAGACATCATCAGACATAAGTGAAACATGAACGTTCTGGACCATTAATGCGGCGCACGCACCAGATGACCGGATAGCGTCTACAGCTGCTTTGGTCTTCTCCTCGATGATCGCTGCAACATGTTGTGCTTTGGGGACGGGGTTCGCAAGGGAGTTCCTGAAGGCGAGAAAAAGATCATTGGCAAGGAATTGGCCTCTGCGCGAAATTGAACGAACACTGATCAGCGCAGCTGTCTTGCTTCAGATCAAAACCGCATGCACTCACTCGTCTGAAGTGAGGACCTTCAAGATGAGCTGGGTTGCTGCGCTCAGCAGGTCTGGCGCGTCCTCGCCTACTTGGATAGGCGCTTCCTTAGTTTTCCCAGCACTGGGTATATCTGGGGCCAAGACGTGATACAGGAATACAAAGAAAGCCAGACTTGGTAAGAACCTCCATATTCTCGAGCATGGGTTTAGGGCCACTTTTCTTACCAGCTTGACCTTGGATGCGCGTGTTGCGAGCGTGATAGATAACGCGCTGAATCTGCTCTCTGGAATTACCGTCGGGTACTTTGACCATGCGCTTCGAGGCCGCATTCTCAACATCTGGCTCGTCCGGTTCATCAATCACGACGTCGGCATCAGGCCGCGTGATCCATCTTCCAAACTCTCGAAACAGCATAGCAGTCTCTCGAAAAACCTGGTGAGCAGCTCGCTGAGGTGAAGTAGGCGCATTATCTGCCTGCTCGTTCACTCGACATTCTCTACGGCTCTGCAAAGTCGGGTCATCCTCGCCCTCTTGGGCAGCAATAGCGGCAAACCCATCTAGGGCCCCAGCGGTTTTGTACAGCGCAGTGAAAATTTGGTCATTACTTGGTAAGCTTCCAGTGGAGAGTGCACCGATCCATCGTGACACGGGATGAGCTTCGTGGTATTTTGACGAAGTGTCGCCTGTCGACGAAGTCGCTTGTCTCGCCTGTCGGCTTGAGTCGCCCAGCAGTTGTTCGCGCTCCGACATTCTGATAAGCCTGGTAGGCGGCAGCGACGGGCCTTGGTTCGCAGAGTTCCCGGCCCTTGATGCAATGCGGAGGACGGTCTCAAAGCGATGTTATGCGTCGTTAAGCATGTGAGGAACGATCGAAAGACTGACATCAACGATGCCCCAGCCTGCGGAGTGACGCGTGCTGAGGACACGGTTCAGGTAGTTTCTACACACTGGTTCAGGCATCACCACATCACCTCTTCAGAACGAGTGCCTCAGCAATGCTAAAGCAGGCTTGCCGCCGCTACACAATGCAAAGTCTGAATTGGAGGCATCAACCCGTCTTCCAGGTTTTCACGTGCCGGAGGCGTCTGCCACTGATTTAAAGTCGTGTCTAATGCTTCGTGGTCGAATGACAGACTCGATGGTAGCCAAAGGCAATCCGTAGCTGAACAACTGCGAAATGCTTTCAAACAACGCAAGAATTACATGCAGATTCTAGAGGATGCGGATGCTTGCCAGATACAGCATAACAGTAATGATGGAGATATTTTGATAATGGTACAATGTGCAGAACGGGAGGAACCAAGTCCCGGGTCCTTGTTCTCTTTTCTTACAAATGAAGGTAAAGCGCGGATGCTTGTATCCATACGCGGTGCGATATCCGTATCAATTAAAGGACGAGTCTGCACCCAAACGTAAACCGATTATCCGTGTGCCGCAGGACACGGGCTCCCGATGCCCATGCAGAAGCACGAGCATGGGCAGAAGCAGAAGTAATGATGGTAGCAAGTGCCTCTCAAAGCAGCGGAGTGAACTCCTGGATCTGCTGCCACAGCTCGCCGCGCAGCTCCTCCTTGGTGATGGTCGCCTTCTCTAGGTCGAACTTGAAGAAGTCGGCAGGCAGGCTCGGCGCTGTCGGCTCGTCCTCCGGGTCGTGGTACGCGGCGAGGTACGGGTGCTCAAGCGCCTGCTCGACTGTGAGGCGCTTCTTGGGATCGAATGTGAGTGTCTTTTGCAAGAAGTCGATCGCGTCGGCACTTGCGGTCGGGAATAGCTTGGCGAAGTCCTTACGCTTGCGGAACGGCAGCGCACGAATGTAGTCGCGTGATCGCCGCGAGTTGATCGCGTAGAATTCCTCCAGCGTTGGCGTCCCTAGGACATCGAGGATTAGCGAGAGTTGGTGGTGGTAGTCGCGGCCGGGGAAGAGCGGTCGGCCGGTAAGCATCTCGGCGAGGATGGTACCGACGGCCCAGATGTCAATCGCCTTGGTGTACTGCTTAAACGTGAGCATGATTTCCGGCGCGCGGTACCATCGCGTCGCGACGTATTCCGTCATGAAGCCTGTTTCGCCTCCATTCGGCTCGGCAGTCAGAACCGATCGTGCAAGACCAAAGTCGCACACCTTCAAATCACAATTGGCGTTGAGCAGCAGATTTGACGGCTTGAGATCGCGGTGGATGACATCGGCGCTGTGCAGCGCCTTAAGCGCCCGCAGCGATTGGTAGGTGAAGTATTGTGCGTGGTCATCGGAAAGCTCCTGTGTTCGAATGACGCGGTGCAAGTCGGTCTCCATGAGCTCTTGGATCAAGTAGACTTCGGTGAAGGCCTCGTAGCTTGGCGGCTTAACAATGTCCAGGATTGAGATAATGTTTTCAGAGACCTCACACTCTTGGAAATAGCGAAGGAGCTTCAGCTCGCGCAGGGTGCGTAGTGCGAACATCTGGTGCTCGAAAGGCTGGATCTTCTTGATGGCGACCTTGTGCCCGGTGGCGCGGTGGACAGCCGAGCAGACAACTCCGTATGCGCCCTCGCCAATCACATCACAGACGCGGTAGCGCGAACCAACATTGAAGCTGGTTTGGAGGACCAGGTGTTTGCAGCGCAATTCGGATGGTCGATCATCAGGCGTGAGTTGCAGGGTGGGCGTGTAGAAGCGAGGCACGGCCGTTTCAGCAGGTGACATGCATCGATGGAGCGATTGCGTCGAGGGGCGGCGACAAAAGATCGACACGGCAGATGAGTGCAATATGGGGGTGTCGTTATAGACAAGAGCAGTCATGATGTGAGCAAGATATAGGTGGGAGATGACGACGGAAAATCCAGAGGTTGCAATGGTCAGCGTCCTGATCTTATGTAGAAAGCGTGCGTTGATCCAACCCGTACAGGCAGCCTGTCTCGTGTCCGAAAAGATGACTCACCGGACCTTTCTCGGAGCCGACTTGCTGGAAGATGGCTTAGAGGTGGAGCTAGAGCGAGATTTCGTCGCAGTGCTGCTGCTGCTTTCCTTTGTGCTGGCGGCAGGCTTGGTGACAGTGGAAGAAGCGACAGACGGTGCCGCCGCCGCTGGGGCATTGGCGACCGAGGGAGAAAGGACTGCTGCTGACATAGTGTATCGAAACTAGCAAAGGAAATGTGTGCCAACGTGAAGTAGACTTGTAGTGGAAAAGCGGACTGCTTCGCGTGGAAGGAGAGTTTGAAGTCGCTCTGAGAGGGACCTGTGAAGCTGCTGGCTATACGACGATAGTTGGTTGATCTGGGCGTGTTCAGGCCTGCTGAACACCTCGGATTGAGGCTTTGCTCACCTTGCGATGCTGACAAGGGGAAGGGCAAGAAATGTAGTCTGAGAGAAGGGTGATTGCTGGTGAGGGAGAAGAAAGGGCGACCTCCAATGCAGCCAGCACAAGAGGAACACCTCTTTATACCGCCCAGTTGGTCGCCTGCGGGGGTGACAGAAGCGGGCGGTCACCACCACCACAGGCGGGCACGGGCGCCAGAACTCACTCAAACCCGGGGCCTCCGAAGCTCTTGTCCACCTCCCTGCACTCTCTACTCTGCCGTGGAGGCTGCCACAGCAGTCCAGCGCCTGGAGGGCGTAACTACTGTTGAGACAAGTGACGCTGTGCTTCATGAGGGCACGACGTGAGGGTTAGTAAAAGCTTATCCTGCCTTCCGAAGAGACCTTTGTTGAGACACAAGTCTCAGCACTAGCAGGCTGGGTAGGCACCGTAAATTTGGAGAGGGAGAGTTTTCCACCCGCTGACACTCGAAAGCGGGCACTGGACAAGTGGTCAGCTCTTTGCACCACTCGCCAGCCAGTCTTGTGTGGAGCTCAGTTCGCGGCTGCAACCGGAGGTCTCCGGCGATTCCCCCGTGACTCCCCCGGTGCCCTGCGGCGGTCGAATGGTTGGGTGCAGGGAAATCTGCAACGCGGCGCCACAATCAGCCTGCTACATATGGGATCCTGTGGAACTCCATCAGAGCGGGTGTCGGATAATCACCCCCCCTAATGTCGCGCTCACGCTGCTATTGCGCTGGCCTGCACCCTCAAGAGCCTCATATGGATTCCTTACATCATCACACAAGTGAACCTCGTTGCCTGTAGACTTATACATAGCCCCGTATATGGGTGATATGGCCTTCTGCAAGACGATAAAGGAGCCAATTAACGGATACGACCGTTGCCTAGGCAGCTTCCACCCTTTTGTCCCTCGCCCAATCTTTTGCTCCCTCTGACTCACACTAGCAAGCGACTGCGCTCTGTTGCGTTCACAGTCGTGTAGGCTGATGTCAATTGCGTTCGCGGTACAATATGGACCTTCCGTGGCTCACTGAGAACAGAGAAGCAAGAGCAGAGTGCAAACGAGAACATTGAATGAACACGATGGCTAATAGACAAGCACACGGGGAACAGCAAAAGGAAGAAGCGCACAAAAATCTCAGCATTGTGAAGAAGCCAATGACTTCTTGTTGCCACGGCAAACTAGCACTTCGACACCTTGCACCCGAAGCCACTCGGATGGTGCGGAGACGGGAAGTTGGGGATGTCGTCTGGGAAGCGCATTTGGTTAGCAACGGAATAGCCAGAGAGCAGTTCATCACTCACACCTATCTCCGTAGTTGGGGAAAAGCTCCTCTTCTGGCTTCAGGGGCCGGAGGGTCTTCGCAAACACCATGCTCTACTCCCCATGCGATTCAACTCCAAAGCCTTGGTGTGAAAAGTGAAGTCAACCCACGCCCTCGCTCTTGTCTATGGGACACCCTCCCATTGGCACTATTCACTCTGGCACACCCTATGCTACTGCCGCCTCCGCTATGTTGCATCCTACCGCTTCCGACGCTGCGCTGCTCGCCAGGACTGACTTGGATGCTTGGTTTGCTTCCAACGTGGATGACATCGTGCAGCGCGCCGTCGACAAGGCTTTCGCTTGGATCTTGCCCCGCGCCGGGGAGCTGGCGAGTTGCGTCGACGCCCTCGATGATCGCTTGGGCCTAGCTCTTCCCACGCATGGCACGTACATTTCGAGAGCTGGAAGCGCAATCAAGGATTGATGCGTAGGATGGACTGCCTACATTTCGTCATCACTCTCATGGTCCCAATTTCAACAACCAGCGTACCACGTGTCATCATTACAAGGAAGTGTTTGTAGCTGGATGCGAATCGGTAATCCTTGATGATTGTTTGAAGACCCTGACATGCCTGCTGTTGCTGATGATGTTGTTGTTGATGGCGGTGCACCATCCACATAAGATGATACGATGTTGCTCCCACTTCCAGTCTGAGCCGTGAATTGGGTGTCGCCGAAAGGCTGGAAGAATTTGTTCAGATGTTTTAAATCCGCACAGGTGTAAGCTATAGCGGCGTAACCCAAAATTTGGGCGTCAGATATGTCGATCAGCAAGTCATGTCCGAAGGCCCGTTCCTCGATGATTGTCTCATGCTTAGTTGGTTCTTGAACGTCTGTCTGACCCGTTCAAGAGAATGGGACTATAACGGTGATCGCCCGTCGTCTGCGCGGGGACCCGCCCAACTTCCACCTCTGAGGCTCTCATGTGAGGCAGACATCCACAACTGTTAGGTCCAGTATCCCTATGCCCTGAAACCTCCTAGGGGCGTCGATCTTGTTTGCGGGTACTACAGCCCGCTCTGCCATTAGTTCATCATGGGGGCAATGCCAAGACGCGGGCGTCCGATCTCGAGAGGGGCTGCATCGCTATATGTTGCAAGGGTTGAGGGCAGGGTTTGAACTTAGACTCTACACAGATAACCACATTTAAATTGAGGCACCGTGTGGCCCAAGAGAATCTAAATATCTCTGGTAGGAAATGTTTGACAATCCCGTAACCGGAGGCTGGCGCGCGCGTCTGCTAGCGTCTGTCTCACTACCCTACCCACTTGAGAGTGGTCTGGCTCGCTACATACTTGGTGTCCTGCATAATGTTTTGGCTGCAACTTGCGACCGTGTCACCTGCATCATCTCCCCAGCGCGTGCTTATGTTGTCATGTCATCTTGTGGTCGACCGCATTTCTATCTGTATGTAATTCAATCTAATACCGTATGTCACTATAGACTGTATGAAAGACAGATAGCCCAAGCCTGTGTCGAGTTGCATAATCCTTGCCTCCTCTAGGAGCTGAATGCGGTTATCGTCTCCGGCCACCCGTCCGCCCAGCGTCGGGAAACTCGCAACTTCCTACCGCCATCTTTTCGAGTCTCGAGTCCGAGTCTCCAAAGCTGTCTACCAATTCAAACATCGCAATCAGCATATGGTGAGCGGTGACAATTCACTACTCACAACACTTAACCTGTACCCCAAGAAAACCATATACATTGTAAATTGGGACACGTCTCTATTTGCACAGTGCTGTCATCAGTGATAGAAGCTGCGAACAAAGTCTGGCTTGCTCTCGCTCGTCCCTCGGCAGCTCCAGCTTAAATCGACCGTGCAAGTGCATGATTGCGAACAGGATCCACAACCATGCGCGCAGTATTGCAGCGAGTAAAGGCTGCTTCCGTGGAAGGTAAGCTACAGATTCGACTACCACCTTTTGTTCACCGGGGGCCAGGGGGTTAGGGGATGATGCAATCTTGTGACGATACGGAAGAAGCCCGGCGAGGGGTTCGCGGTGTCTTGCGTAGGAATACAATCCCGTAAGCATGAAGGACAGCAGTAGGAGAAGGAAGGAAACCACCACCACTGGCTACTGATGCATAGCCTTGCGGCTATTTTCTGCCTCTACTCCACTCTAACCTCAATGCCATCTGTCATCGGTTCGCTCTTCTCGATGCAACCTCTCCAGTAAATGGCCGCATCATCTCACGCATCGGACCCGGCATCGTCGCGCTGATCGGCATCTCAACGGAGGACACCGCTGCCGAAATTTCACCGCTTGTCACTAGAGTGCTCGGCGCCAAGCTCTGGAATGAGGGTCTGACTGCCCAGGCGATTCTCAGAGGCGAGGCGGATAAGCTCATTGTCGCTAATGGGCATGGGGGACGAGTTGTCGCCTCTATACTCGAGGATGCGAATGGCAAGCTGGAAGATCCAGTAAAACAAAACCCAGCTGATGACACGCAAGACACGGCACTCGCACAGAATGGCGCCCACAAATCAGGAGGGGAAGAGCTGTGGGGCGGGAAACCTTGGAAAACAAATGTGGTGGCTCTGGGCGGAGAAGTCCTTTGCGGTTCGTCCACATTGCACTTCTGCCTTACACTCAGTTTGTTCAGATCGACTGAAGCCTCCGTGCTGGATGTATAACCGGAAAACGCGCCAATTTTGCACCCTGGAACCCAGTCTCACAGTTTACATTGCATGCGCGCATGAACAAGGGCACCAAGCCGGACTTTCACAGGGCCATGGGCGGTCAAAGCGCGCGGGAACTGTACGAACAGTTTCTCGCTAGTATGCGTGAAGCATACAAATGTGATTGCATCAAAGGTGTGTCGCTTTAAACTCTCTTCCTCAGCCTCTCTTTGCATGCCCACCAATGGCTGACTCACTCACGCACTCATTCCGTTCTACGTTCCCACAGATGGTCAATTTGGCGCCATGATGGACGTTAGCTTCGTCAACGATGGTCCCGTCACCATCAGTGAGTATGAATCAATATCACTGTACCCTGCAGTCTTCAACCTACCCTGACTGAAAATGCGACTCTGACGACATCACATACCCATTCACAGTATTGGACACTTTTGATAAAAAGTAATCACGAAGTTACACTACGACAGAGCCCAGATCTCTGTGCTTCGTCGAAACGATGTGCGCAGGGCAAAGCATCTCCATCTTTACTCACATCTTGTAGCCTAAAAATGGACGGCCATATGAAGCCGCCGCACTTGACATATCCCTCTACTTTCGTCAGCCTGCAATTGTAGCGGCTTGTCGGTTGCTCTGTATGCGCAGATTCATCAGGTGTTAGCATTAACGTTCCTTTAGCTGAGCGCGACCAAAGGGGAGAAAGCATGCCGCAGTCCTGTGGATGAGCGTGGTACATGAAGATGTGGTTGATCACTTTGATGGCTCTACGTGTTCTGCGTCTCTACGAGGTTATTACGGTTCTACGGATAGCTGTCCGTGAGCAAGAAGCTGGAGAGAGGTGCACATTGCCACCTTTGATGCGCCGCACAAGGCGGAAAAAAGAAAGAAAGAAAGGGGAGGCTGGGGTTCTGTGTGGTGCTGCGAAAGAGGATCACGTGACTTTATGAAAGAATTTTCTTGTCATTGGCCTTGAAAATGAACTCGGGAGCCACAACCACTCTCTGCTTGCATTGCTTTTAAGCATATTTACATCTTGTTCACCATCATAACAAATGCCAATATCCTTTCCTGGTACCAGACGTATCTGAAGATCACTCTACTTCGTTCTAGTTCAAGCAGGCAGTAGTCCCGCATTCATCCGAAGTATTTACACCCAGCAGGTTCATTTACACCTATGATAGACCCCGATTGTAGTGGCTTAAACGTGCGCGCTGAATCGTGAGTTTCATTGCTTTGTCATTTTCATTCCGTCTATGGATGAGCGGCTGAATGCGAAGTGTCATGCTGACGCTATCTTATCTATATTTGCATGCAGCCGGACCTCCTTGACAGCTAGAGGTCTCCTGGTCCAGTTGATTCTGTACTTGGACTCCTCTGACCGGCCCCCATAAGGACCCCCTTCATCATTCATCATATTGTCGACGCTCTCGCAGAGGCAGACCACCGTCGCCTTTAAGCAGCATCTCCTTCAACCGACTTGGTTATCCATCAAAGCCTGAACGCCGATACCCAGCATCGGTATTGTGATTCGCCGCTCGCGAACGAGCTTGTGCAGACGCGCGTTTGTTACTATCGATGAGGGCGACTAACACAGTCCTTGGCCGGGACGTCGGAGCCTGCGTCAGACCCTGAACATCGACGACCTCCATTCATCTCACACATCCGTATTACCTGGAACATCCCTTCATCCGAAACATCATCATCATGCCGCTCAAGGCGCCAATTTTCACCACTCGTAAGAGTGCGCAAGATGTGCGCGAGGGACGGATCTCCCGCGTCGACTTACGCAGGGATGGTGTAGCAGATGCTGCAGCTGCGATAGCTCCCAAAGAGCAGGGCACAAAGCATCCCTTATCAAGTGTGGGGACCACTGGGTTCGGTGTCGACGGGTGCTCAGCCATTGCAAAGCCCAAAACGTTCGGCTTCGGATTGGGCCTTTCTTCCTTTTCCAACTCAGTCTCCAAGGCCGGTGACAAAATGTCAAGCCTGACGCGCAAACAGGGTGCCGCCGTCACAAATGGTGCCGAAAGTGTCCCTGGTACTCCTACATCGGCTCGTAACAGCCCGCCTCAGCAACCTGTTAACACGCTTAGCACCGTGACTTCAGGAAAAATGGCGCCCCCAGCCAACCCCGATCCTCAGCTCTTGGCCCACTACTCGCTCAAGTTGAGCGACCTGGTCAACAAGGCTTTCTTGCCTTGTGCGCCAGGTGCTGCTGCCATGAATAGCGCTGTGAGCGTCTCTAGCACCGTAGCTGGTGCTGCCAAGGTCATCGGTGTCGGTGTGGGAAACGGAATCGGTGGTCAGAGGGACACAGTTGGCATTCCGACGCTCTCGATTATTTCCTACGAGGGAAAGAAGCTGCCGGACAAGATTCGGGTGCAAGAACTCGCACAGACTGTCACAGAGCAGTTGCATTATGCTGCTAGCGTGGACTCGTACCTTCTCCGCGCAGTTGCAAGGCAGGTCTTGAAAGCCCTTACGCTCTTTGCCACGCGCATCGACTCGCTGCTCATATCCTCCTCAAAGGATCCCAACGTCCTCAAGATCCCGTCCACGCCAAAGGAGGGTCGTGTTCTGCCCGCCGCGATGGAATTCAACATCGGATTGATAGCGATCGAATGGATCGTAGAAGACTCACTCGAACGCTGCCTCGAGGGTGACGGTGACGAGCATCCCCAGCTGCCCCGCTTCGTCTCGGAGATTCTCACGCCTGTCCGCAGAAAGATGGAGGGCACGATCTTGCATGTCATCCAGCCGATCTTGAGTGGAACCAAGATGAGCATCACAACGTGCATTCAAAAGGCCGTCACTGCACCCTTCACGCCGGTGTCTCAGCTCAATGCTTTTGGCAGTGGTGCACCCGCCGATCAGAAAACACCGGGTTCACCAGCGGGCACGGTCGATGGTACGATGACGCCTTTTAAGTCGCTCGTCTCGCCCGGTGACGTCTCGCCATCGGGAAAATCTGCAGACGGGGGCAACGGGGGCGGTGTCTGGGTGAAGGAGCTGGATGGCAGACTTGCGGGCTGCCGCAGGATGCTCGTCGCTCGAATTGAGAACAGGACATCCAAAGATGGCGAAGGCTGGTTCATCTCCGTCACCATCTACATCATCTGGAAGGCTCTGTTCATCTTATCGGCGCGCAATGCGGAGGCGACATTCATGTGCTCAGCATTGGGGGTGAAAGGGCCCCTCCTTCAGCATTCAAACGGTAGCATCTCCGCCGTCGCTTCGCCCCAAGTTGCATCGCTCTTAGACGGCCAATCTGCCAAACGCAACCCTAGCCCTGCCCAGCTCAGTTCTGCGCTGAAAGCCGTCGCTCTGACCGGTAAAGGCAAACGCTCCGAGCCTGTCGAATTGTCTCGCCCAAACTCGGGTCGTGCAGCGCCTGATTGCTGGCAGCCCGTGCCGGATGGCGGATTCTACCGATGCAGAAAGTCTGCACAGATTATTGCTGAACTACAAACTGTTGAAAGGCTTGTCAAGGAGTTCTGCAGCGGCTTCTACGACGAGCCTGCGCGTAGAAGAGCTCTGAGCTCCCACGTCGTTGTTGCGCCTTCTGTGGATGACGAGGATGACAATAGCAGCTCGGATGAACACAATGAGGTAGATGAGCTAGCACGGGCCGCTCTTGCTGAGGCTCTACATGGTCTCAAGAGCATCGTCACTTGCGTCCAGGTACTCGAGGTCAATCCCGAAGCTGTCTCCTTGGCATTGCGCGCAAAGGGACAGGGGCGTGATACACATGCTGGTCCCGATGGCCAACAAGTGCTGCCGGCCGAGACGGTTCGCGCATTCAGAGCTGCCCCGCCGCTCATCCTGCTGCATATTCTCTACAACCGCCTGCCCACAGCCAGCGGTCGCATCGTCGTTCCATCTCCACCCGAGGCATTCGGCCTGTCTTGGCAAGAATACGAAAAGTCCATCTCCGGGTTTATTGGGGCCCACACCTGGGCCGATGCACTACTCCAGGAATGGAAACCACTCGTCGAGGCAGCGTGGCAGCATCTGTCGACGCAGCTCGAGGAAGCTGAGAGACTGCAGGCAGCAGAGGATCAGCAGCAGCAGGAAACGAAGCCAAATGACAGAGCCAACATGCCGTCCCGTACCGGTCAATCCCATGTGCAGGAGCCTGAAGGCCACGCATTGCGTCGTAGCGCGAGTCAGCTTAGCAATACTAGCAGACGCTCAAGCGGCTCAACATGCGACTATCAGCACATGACGCAATCCACATCGGCTATCGATACCGAGCACAAGCAAAACAAGGAGGCCCGCATGTCTTCGCGCGAGCCTTCGCCTGATGCTGACTCCAAGGAGCGGCACGGGCGCACCCCTCTGTTCTGGAGGACACACAGCGGCTCATCGCGTGGCTTTAGCCTCTCAACGCTCTCACGCACCGCATCTCCGAGACCTAGAGGCCCTTCAGAAATGGGCATTATCGTTGGCCCCAACGCCGACGCCGCTGTTACGGCCAGATTTCTGGTGGAGGAGATGCGCACAGAGAAAAAAGCGCTGAGGAGGTTTGGGGGCAATCTGGAAGCAATTGCGTTGCACATGGGCAAGGAGTACACACTGAGTCTGTAATGACAAATATCTAGACCAACATGGTCCATTTCAAATAGCATTGCCATATGTCCTCGCTTGATTTTTGACATGAAGAGCACGACTGCTTCCGCCTTAGGCCCTCAGTATAACGCGCATGATCGAAGGCGGGCATGGCCCATGTATGAGGCGCAACTCGTGCGCCCTACGACCCTACTCGCACTCATGTGAATACTGGCCCCGTCTATGAATCATGATACCACCCTCTGCGCCTCCTGCAAGTTACACAGATCATCAGGTGCATTGTCGGAAGGGTTTCAAGTGCACAAGGATGATAAATGCTAGCTGCAGCAGCAGAGCTCGTACCAGCGCTGCGCAGCGAGTATGCTGCGCAGCATTCCAGAAGAGTGGAGGATGCCGACGAGGAAGTGAGGCGACACCGTCACAGCTGTTCGCCCGATTCGAGGAACGCTAACCGAAACACATGGCAATGTCAACCACTTTGTTATCCTTCAGATCTTCCTGCTTTACTCTCTCAGTAGGCCCGATCCTGGCCGCCGTGGTCTCGGACACGTGGAGATATGGTCCGACCTCCTTCGTGTCACCGTCAAATTACGAGATATTGAGCCTTACCATCAGCAGGATGACTCAGCGATCGCTCCTGGAGTCTCTGTGGAGCCCGTGGACGCCGCAGAAGCAGATCCAGTTGCGAGACGATCGAAGGTATCTACGCAAAAGACAGGGAAAGGGAAAAAGGACGTCAAAGCAAAGCAGGGCGGGCCTAGCCATGTCGAAGCGTACATCTGGCAAAGCCAGACAAGTCTCCGCTCGCAACGCGGCAATACAGGCAGCGTAATGTGGAGGTCGAGGTAAGGTTGCCATGAGTGCACGAATATCAGAAGAGAGCGACTCATTTTCTTTCGCCTTGCTTCTCTCGGCAACAGCATTCTTCTTGGTGCTACGATGGTCAGGCAACACGTCAACAAGGCCCCTCTTGTCAACGCCAGCGGCGACCCTGTACCGTCTCTTTTGGATTGGACTTGCAACGGTGCATCTCGCGATCTTTGCGTATTGGAGCTCGGAGCGGGTACGGGCGTTCTCTCTGCCATCTTGCACTCTTCTACCATCTTCAAAGCAGGCCAAGGCACTGTGACGTGGGTCGCAACGGATCAAGAAGCGCTCCTACTGTTGCTTCGAAAGAATATCAACTTCGTTTGTGATGCATCACTTCAGACGTCTCCTCAAGCGATGGCCTTAGACTGGACGCAAGTGAGAGATGCAGTGCAATTGACGAAGAGGCAACCGTCGGCTCTTCGAACCGTCCTGCGAGACATTCATGCACCCTTCGGGAAGCACAGCCTGCAGGATGATTTGCCATTCCGACCTGCGGACATCGTGGTCGCAGTTGACTGCATCTTCAACCCAAGCTTGTTTCCTGCTTTCTTGGACACTTTGACCGCGCTATGCCACCCGGAATTCACGGTGGTTTTTGTTCTGGTCGAGCTCAGAGAGCAAGCGATGATGCACGACTTTCTTTCGGCATGGGTTGAGCATCGACATCCCACGCAAGAATCTGCCCAATGGGCAATTTGGAGCATTGAGGGAAGTGCACTGGGGCTCGAGGGCTTGCAAAAAGGGTACGCATGCTTCGTAGCATATCTTACACTGACCTGACTCGCAATTGTATGTCTCTTGAAGATGCATAAATGTGCCTATGACAGCATACGCGTATATGGCGGGTATCACATACCATAGCTAGGCCATTGTAAGATTTATTCACTTTCAGGGTCCCAATCAGTCCTTGATCAGTCCTTGAAACGAGTGCTTGTGGTTGACTTGACAGAAGACATGCATCCAGCGAGCAGGTCTGAGAAGCTCTTCTTCCGGCACACCGCGCGCCTCCCAGTAATTTGAGAGTCTGCCCCCCGCACGGGCGGTTTTGGACCGACCGCACTTGCCGTATTCGCAATGCTGAATAGCATTGGTAGGCTATTAGATATCCTGACTCCTCGCCTTGTTGGAAGAGTGACAAGGGTCTCACCCGTACGCCCCTTCTTCAGCAGGCACTCTGCCGCATCTCGCTCTTGTCTGCGCGCTAGGAGCTCGCTGCAAATGCTTTGGAGTGCTTCTCTTGAGATGATGGGCGGTCGGCGAATCGACCCGAGCGTGCGAAGCTCGTCGCGAGCTTGCAGTTGGTCGATCGGAGGTTGAGACGCATCACGCTCATGTCGGTCAAAATCGTACAGCAGCGTTCTGGGAATTGACAAGCGGCCATCATCGGTTACATGTTTGAGCTCTAGCGCTGGTGCGAGCTCCGTTGGTCTCTCCTCCGGATGTTCGAGCAGAGACTCTGGCCAGGCTGGTTCAAGACTGCGCTGACTCCTTCGCCGCCAGTAGTTGTCCTCGAAAAAATCTTGCATGTCGAAGGTAGCTTGGCTGCCACAATCGCGCAACGTCTCCTCAGCATCTTCGTAAGAGTGACCATTCTGATTGCATATGCTGAGATGGCCCAGGAATGAAGTGCGATGCTCCATGGATCCTGGGTTAATGTTCGGAAGCGTGCGCGCATCATCTGCAGCTTGCCACAGCGGATCAACTGTAGGCGATGCAATTTCGGGACCGCGTTGTAGCACTTCTAAGTCGGCGTCGAGGAGCGGGTTGTTCAACCACGCAAGCGGGATACCGCTGAAGCTCTTGCTGCGCGCACGCGACTCGCGATGCCGTGTCGTAGGGTGACGGTCGTTCGATCCCGGCGCCTTTGAAGGTACGAAGAGGACCGAGTCCCGTCTGAATGGAGCGAAAATTCCGCTACCAGGGCGCGCCTGTGGTGTAAGGGGTCGTTTCTGAGCCCGCGGAGAAGCCGACACAGCGATGGGATCAGGTGCAAAAGGATCGTCGGACAGGTCCGGATGAGGAGATTGTGCCTGGATAGTGAGATCGATCAAGCGCGGATTCCGACCACGGTGTGACGGCGAGTACGGCGTTAAACAGACCACCTCGAAAGGCGCGGATGGCTTTGGTGATGAAAGTTGATCCGAGCTGAACTGCGGCGAAGGAAAGAGCGGGGAAAATAAGAGTGACGAGAAGCGCTTGGCATTTGATGTGAAGAAACCTGGCGAGCTGCTCCGAGAGTCACCAGGACTATCCATAGGCTCGTCTTGCCCAGGTGAGAGAAAAGAGAGCAGATTGGGTGAGTTGGCGCTCCGAATCTTCGTGCGTCTTTCCGACAGAGGCGAAGGAGGAGGCGTGTTGTAGTATAGTGGCTGCATGTACCAACTAAACCCATCGTGGTGAGAGTTGTCGAGGGATGCAGGCGTCGCTGGACGGTGATCAGAGAGAGGACCTAAGTCTCGCTGCTCATCTCGTGGACCACCAATGAGGAGATTTCCCGAAAGCCGTCTTCTGTGCCACGACTTTGTTGGTGTGCTCGATGGTTCGCCGATGAAGGTTGAAGAGGAGGGCTGATTGATCTCCATGGCTGAGAAAAGGCGCGGGCTGATGAGCTGTAATCAGACGATGAGGCAGGCCATAGTTGTGGTGGTAGGGCTCGTGTGGGCGCGCAAACGGTGCGGGGGTTCTAAGGCAAGCGAGTAGAAACTCAATCGTGTGCTTATAATGGAGGGCTGTCAGCCAGTGAGATTCCTAGCGCAAAGCAAGTATTATCAAGTCAGCAGTATCACTTGTGCCCCCCAGGTAAATGGGTAGCCTTGTCCGATCGTGGCCTCGCAGCTGGATCCCGTATCGCCAAGAATCACATCGTGAGGTCCGTGGAGGCAAATCGCTCCCTCGACTGGCCTGATGCCAAAAGCCTATAGAGTCAGCTCTGCTTTGTTGTGTGCACGTTTAATTTACTCTTGCATGGATGCAAACCGCCAGTCCAGTTAGGTAGCTCAGATCGAGATTTGAGCAAGCATTTCCCAGGTACATCCAGACTACGGAGCGGAGCGGGGCAGCAGGGACGAGGCCAGTACAGGTAAACTGCTTGGGTGTAGAGGAAGGCCATCCGATTGTCCGGGTCCATGTTTGCATTGGCATAAGCAAGCATGTCGGGTAAAGCCTTCATTACTTGAGTGGTCGTTGACTCCAGGAGTCTGGAGTGTGAGTGTGCCGCTGACCTGTTTGCTTGCACCTTGTTCTACCGTCTGCGCAGTCTTTAGCCGAGCTGCTGCCTGCTGCAGCCGCAATCCCAACCTTTCATGTGTGAGTGCGCACTTCTCAGTGCTCTCCTGTGCTTGTAGCTCGTTGGTCGCGGCAGTTTCGCCTATGTATACACGGGAAAGTTATGAGCACCATACGATGGATCAGCAATCAGCACGTCCCTAAGTGCAAACAAGTGAGGACGCAAGAGGGCCGAATATGCTAGAATGTGCCTGAACCCAATGACCTGAACACTGCATTTTCTATTATTTTATTATTTGTTAAAAAGAAAGAATCAAGCTAATGTTCGACAAACTAACTTAACTGCAGCCCGCCGCCATGCACGCCATCTCCCCAATTTTGGAATTGCATCTTTGTCTGAACCGTCGCTTGCTTCGTGGGTGCAAAACCCATTGCTCTCGTTCACAGTGGATCGAAAAACAACCAGGCCGCTGCGCTCAGGTATGGCATCGTCGATCCGCAAGCAGCTGCCCGAAGCAGCGCTGAAAGGTATCACCGAGGCAAATGCCCGGCTCGTCCGACGCCTAGCAACAACGCCGCCCGCCCGTACAGACTTTGAGTGAGAATCGTAATGATGAACAAGGCTTGATCTCTCCTCATTAACCGTCTGTCTTGTGCAGCATCACGAGTCGGACGCAAGCTGCTGTCGCAGTCATTCTCTACGAGTCGGATCACGTGTGGGATGGTGACGTCTCGGGAAAGGGCAAAAGCCCAGCCTCGGACCCATCGCTTCGCCTGCCTACGCCACAATTGCAGGTCCTCATGACCACGCGTGCACTGAACCTTCGATCGCACCCCGGGCAAGCCTCTTTACCCGGAGGCAAGGCGGATCACACGGATGGTTGCGTGGAACGGACCGCGTTGCGCGAAAGTGAGGAGGAGATAGGACTCGCGCAGAGTAAATTGGGCACAACGCTCTTCTGGGTGCACACGGGAACGCCATGTGAGTCAGCAGTTAGCCCGAGCACTCCATAAGAAGCACAGGAAAGCATGCTCATCCACGCCCTGGCCATCCTCCGTTCACTACATTTCGAAGTCATCTCAAAAACCTGCCTGCTTGTGCATCCTGTCATTTTTCTCCTCATAGACCCAGAGGAGACGTTGCCGAGCCTGGTACCGTGTCCAACAGAGGTATCTGCCATGTGGTCCTTCCCACTAGAGCTCTTCCTCTCTTCGTGCATACCCGCAGAGTACAGCAACATACCATTGTCGGACCCTACCACAGTCGACACGCACCGCGCACCACAGGAGGTGTTCCGCACATACAGCGATGTGCCCTGGATTAACAGCGAACCGTACCGCCTACATCGCTTCAGGACGCACCGGCAGCTCATCAAGGGTCTCAGCGCAGACATCCTCATCGCGGCCGCGATGCGCACGTACGGTCGCGCGGCGGCGTACACGCTCTATGCGCCAGGCCAGCCGCCATGGCAGGCATGGGTTGACTACATCGTCGCAGGCGATCGTAGCACGCGCGTCACACGCTGGGGCGACGGAGAAAGCGGGGACATGCTCACGAGCGCACATGCGTACGCGACTGCCGTCGGCGTTGACGATGCCGTGCCGCAACAGGCTGTTACTGCGAATGACACTGCTGCACCGCGGTCTGAAGACTTAGTCAACGGGACGGAAATAGCCATTGTAGAAAGCTCATGAAACCGATAAACGATTGTGGTTAGAGCCAAATGCTTGCTATGTCAACCATGGCTTTGCGCTGGCACCAGGCGATTTGCTCACTTAACCAAGGGACATGCCCAAGTGAGCACTTCGCAGCAGGAGCATGAGGTCCAGTCTTGTTCTCTGGTGTGGTGGCAAGCATATATGTTACGCCACTGTGCTCTCGCAGAACCTGCAAATCAAGAAAGGATAGTATTCAAATGGCTGATCTACGTCATGATTAGAAAAAAGACTTGAATGAGCCGAAAAAGAAAAAAGTATTCAAGCCAAAAAGATGATTTCACCCGGTCTCGAACCGGGGACCTTATCCGCAACAAAGAACACTGCAGTGCTCACTTGTTAAGGATATGTGATAACCCCTACACCATGAAACCCACTATGAAGATTCTTCCTCTCGGATTCCACTAAAGTTCTTTGTAGCACTACTATGCTTACACACGCGCAAACCAGGTTGAAAAGTTTTCAAATGGCTGATCTACGTCATGATTAAAAAAAAGACTTGAACGAGCCGAAAAAGAAAAAAGTATTTAAGCCAAAAAGATGATTTCACCCGGTCTCGAACCGGGGACCTTATCCGCAACAATGAGCACTGAAGTGTTTACATGTTAAGGATATGTGATAACCCCTACACCATGAAACCAGCTGTGATGTTTCCGCGATTTCAAAGAATATGAACCCTAATGCCTCGGTTTACGAAATATTTTCAGCTCCGAGTGCGATTATCGATGCCTTATGCTTGCTAATCATCAGCAGAGGCGCTTCAGAGCTGGGCTAAGTGCAATAGCCGAGACCTTGCCACCCCCACTTCAATCCCCGGGGTGTCATGGCTGCAAGAACAAGTTGGCTGTTGCGAGAAGCGCATCGCCGTATCACAGCGTACGTATGTACTATGTTTTCGTAGGTCAGCATGGGCTGTTTGTGCGCGGCCCGGGGGAGGGGGGCTGGGTGTTGCTGGGTCAACGTGGTCTGGCGTTTAAACTGCTGCAGTGCCTCCGCGCCGCGCTGGCGACTGTGGTGGTTAGGCAGCGACACACAAACAGTGATCAGTTCCGGCCAACACCGCTGCACCGCGCGCGCGTCTCTCGTTCATCACATCACACCTTTCGATCCCATGCCCATCCGGCGCATCCCCCATCTTGCCCACCCCATCCCATCCCATCGTTCTGGGACGGCAGCAAGCCAAAGCTACACTTCGTGCTGTGCCACAAAGAACTGTGCCGGTCGCTCTCGTCGACCCTTGCCCGCTGGCTGCTCGGCCGACGCACGAAACGCTGGCTCCCCCTCCCCCTCCGAGTCGTGTAGCGGGGGGAGAGAGAAAAGTGAAAGAAACGGCCCGCCGCCAGCTGTGCCAGCAGCAGGAGTTCCTTTCGCTCGTGCGTTTGTCGCTTTACACACACATCTGCACGACAATAGACACATCGTAGAGCCAACCTTCTCAGCCTCCACTGCCACTCATCCCAGTGCCCCGGCCTCGCAAGCTTGCAGCATGGCGGCCATGTTACTTTCTCAAAGTGGCGGAGGCGGTGGACCTGGCGCGATCGACTCGGCATCGACCGCCTCCAACGCATTGTCGTTGCACTTTCTCGCCAACGGCCCCGGAAGCAGCATCAGCACCACCACCTCGTCGCCGAGTCTCACTGCATCCTCTTTGACGTACCAGCCGCTCAGCCTGGCCGACGCCATGGCGCGGGCCAACGTGGATCCCACCTCGGCGCTCGAAGAGGTGCTAGCCGAGCGCAACAAGTTCTGCCTCGAAGCCGGCAAGCTGAGCAACGAGAACATGCGCATATGGAGCCTGATGGGCAAGATTCGCAAGGAGAACGAGGCGCTCAAGGCTAAGATCGCCGAACTGGAGAGGTGGTCGCCCAGCTCTCTCTCCAAAATGTCGCCGATAGGAGGCAACGCCCCGACAGCAGCAGCAACACCAGCAGCAACACCAGCAGCGCCAATGTCAGCGGCGCACAGCACGCCCACCCTGTCGGCACCACCTGGAAGAGCGCCAGTGGGGACACCAGGCCAGGGAAGCTCCGACTTGACATCTCCGATCGATGTCACGTCGTCGCCGTTCCCAACAGGGAGTGCCCCGCAGACGCCGATGCAGCAGCACTTCGGCAATTCGAGCGCTGCAGCAGCGTCCTCGACCATAACGGTGATGACAGCTGTAGAATCGGCCTCGGCCTCTTCGGCTGCCATCATGCAGCAGCGTGCTGCCGCCCAGCAACGCAGCCTGGAGGGCGCGCAAGGGCGAACGAGCATGGAGAGCCAGGACTTTGAAGTGGAGGCAGTCGAGGCGAGTGATGCGGAAGCGTCGGGATCCGAGCGGCAGTCTCTACAGGCCGGTGCCATCCTCCAGTCTGCCATGACGCCACCCTCAGCGGCGGCGGCGGCAGACATCAACGCAAGTTTCCTGTCACAAGGCGCACAGCCACTCTCCCCGACCCGACTGCGCGGCGACACATACAGCGGCATCGCAGGTGCTAACCCGGTGCCGGCGCGCGATTCCGCTGTCACGAAAAATACGCGCGCGTTAGAGCTGTCGGACCTGCTTGCGAACGCCGCCGTTGAGAGCTCGTCGAACATGCCACGCGTGGACGGGTCGATGCTGCACACGCTGCAAGTCTCCGTCACCAGCTCGGTCATCAAGGCCACATCTGGCAAGGAGCGCGATGTCTGCTCGTTCCTCATCCGCATCGAGAATCCCGCGGTGCCGCCGCCGCCACCGCCGCCATCGGAAAGCGGGCGCGGCAATCTCAACGGTACCGGCGGCCCGCCTAGGGTGTGGAAGGTGGAGAAGACGTATGCGGAGATCACAGCCCTCGACGCGCGGCTACGCCAAAAGTGGGGGAAGAGCGGCTCAAAGAAGCTGGCTCACGTCGCCCCGCCGGACAAGTCGCTCTTCAAGGATCACGCCCCGAGCAAGGTAGATCAGCGCAAGGTGAGTATGGCCCAAATCGCCTGCGTCAAAGTGTTCTGAAGAGCTACGATGGGCTCACTGATTCGATCTCTGGACTCTCTTCCCTTTCCTCTTTGTTCTACCGCGCAGGCAATGCTAGACAAGTGGCTGCACGACTGCATCTCAGCACAACTGCCGGACCGGGACGATATTGCGACGTTCCTGTGCACGGACGTGGTGCTGCACGACAAGCCTAAGCCGAGCGGCTCGGCGGTGCGCGAGGGCTACCTGACCAAGAAGGGCCAGAACCTGGGGCGCTGGGTGACGCGCTATTACGTTCTCCGCGCCACGCGGCTTGACTTCTTCGAGACACGCGGCGGTCAGCAGATCGGTACGATCAACATCCACGGCGCGCAGATCGGCCGCCAACAGAAGAGCGCGACGTCCGATATGGATGACAACTCGTACCGCCATGCATTCCTGGTGCTCGAGCGGCGCAGCGGCGGCGCAAACGGCCTGCCCGGTGCGGGGACAAGTATCGCGGCCGCGGGCGAAGGTAGTGGTCCCGGTGGCTGTGGTGGCGTAGGCGGAGCGCAATCGGCGCAGCTCGTCAGGCATGTTCTGTGCGCGGAGAGCGATGCCGATCGGGACGAGTGGGTCGACAGCCTCGTGCGGACTATTGGGGAGATGGAGAGCGTGAGTAAACCGCCGCTGTCGCCAACACAGCCGCAACCTCAACTGCAGCCTTTCGGCGAGGCGCCACAACAACAGCATCACTTGCAGCAAGCGCACTTGCATCATATGCACATCCCGCCGACGAGCTCACTACTGGGTGGCGCTCCCGATTTGGCGCCCGATGCCCATTCAACTGGCGTGCCGAGCATGCCATCGTCACCTTCCTACCCACCTGCGTCCACTCCTGCGCCGCTCGTACTTCCGCCGAGTGGGCCTCAATTGGGCACCCCCAGCGCCTCTGCAAACATGTCCGTGCTACCGAGTGCCCAGACCCGGCCAGGAACAAGCGGTAGCCTATCCAGGCGCCTCCGCGGGACCGGCGGGAGCGGCAGTATCTCCACTGTCGGCGATGGGAGCTCGAGTCTAGGCCACCACCCTGTCTCGAGCCCGCCGATGGGCACCATGGCGCTGCCGGACAGCTCCGTTCATTCGTCTTTCCCGCGCGCTCCATCGCCGGACCAGGGCTCGTCTGCCAACGGACACGAAGCAGCAGCAGCCCTAGCTTCAGGAGGGATGCCGTCGACGCCGCAGCGGGCTAACGCAAAGCTGCCGATCAGCGGGCCGATGAACGGTGCGCCGATCCCGCTGGGATACAAGTTTGGCTCAAAGGACGATGTAGGCAGCGCGGATGGTCATGGCAAGAAGGATGACAAAAAGCGCTTCTGGCAGGGACTGCGGCCGTTTGGTGGCGATAAGGGAAAGACGGAGCATCGCCCCGTCTTTGGCGTTCCCCTCGCGGAGGCGGTCGCAGCATCGAGCATCGGCGACAAGACGGGCTTGCCGCCGGTCGTGTATCGGTGCATCGAGTACCTTGAGAAGCGAAACGCCGCGCTCGAGGAGGGCATCTATCGCCTCAGCGGCAGCTCAGCCGTCATCAAGGCGCTCAAGGACAAGTTCACCGCCGAGGGCGACGTCGACCTGCTCGCCGGCGATCAATTCTACGACCCGCACGCGATCGCTGGGTTGCTCAAGACATATCTGAGAGAGCTGCCCACGAGCGTGCTGACGAGAGAGCTGCACATGGAGTTCATGCGCGTGAATGGTGAGTGCCCAGATACTCGACGGGGAGGTTGAGCCTCGAAAGTGCAGTGGCAACCCCAGTTCTGACTTGTTGATGTCATCTCCTCTTCGGCAGACGTGCCTGAACGCGTGGATCGCATCAACGAACTCGGGCAGCTGGTCTGCATGCTTCCGATGCCAAATTACGCCCTGTTGCGAATTCTTTGCGGACAGTGAGTGCCAGATATGGGCAAAGAGACGTGTTTTCCATGGATTTAATAAATCGAACATCTTCGCTCGCTCTCCGCAGCCTCATCAAGATCATCCAGCACTCAGACGTGAATAAGATGACCATGCGAAATGTCGGCATCGTCTTCAGCCCCACGTTGGCCATCCCCGCTGGTGTCTTTGCGCTCTTCTTAACCGAATTTGACTGGGTCTTCTTCACGGATGCTCGTGAGTAGAGAGGGAGAGTTTCGCCTTCTGGATGACGCCCCAAGCCGACTTTCTCTTGCTTCATTCTCATAGATGGGGAGCCTGCGCCAAAGCAAATGCCGCAGGCAACTGAGGAAGCAGAGGAACTCCCTCCACCGCAGCATGCAGATGCTAGCGTGGCAGGCCTGTCATTACCCAGTCCGCGGTCAGGCGGGCGCAATAACAACCGAGCGAGCTTCATCAGTGGTTCCATGATGCGCACCGGCGACGGCACCACCGTGCAGGTCGGGCGCAGCAACAGAAATAGTCTCCAGTACAAAGACAGCGACCTCGACCGCTTCCTTGGTCTCTCGAAGACCGGAGGCACGCCGATTGTCGGCGAGGAGGACATGGTTGCCGCCGTCAACTCTATCAGCCAGCAGTATCCTCGCGACGATTCCGAAGACTTCCGAAAAGACGCCGATGCAGCGTTGATTTACGGCGAGCAGAATACCTCACCGCGACAAGAGATCAGGGCTTCATAGCGATTCGCCACGTGCCAGCTTGTCTCTAATCTCCCATCTTCCCCCAACATCTACCGTCTACACATTCCATCGCGCACGAAAGGACCTAGCGGTCGAGTTCATCACATATAGCACACGTTGGATGCACCTACACAGCAGCGCTTGATACCTCTGTTTGTTCCCCTCCTATCACCTGCTGCATCGCATGGCACCCATTGCTCCTCTTTTCCGGACCTCGACTGATGTATGTATGTAATTTGAGCAAATCATCATGGCCTTCCAAGTGATGGGACGATTCCTAGCTCCTATGAAGCAAGATCCCAGATCTTGACTCTCGAATGCTTCGCTTTGAAAGACGCGTCACACATGTAGACAACCTCAGGCGCGACAAGACAACATCAATGGATGTATGCTATCCCTTGCTTGTTTCGCATGTTGTCTGATTGGCAGCAAGCACATGTAAAGTGCTCAGAACATCAATCGATTGATCAAGGTCCGTTCAGGATGAGCCAAGAAGAAAAGACACTGCCGCCTTCGTTCTCCTCGTTCCAAGCTGCATTGTCTTTCCGATCCTTCAAGGTATCGACATCGCCATCCGCCGAGGACAGGCTTGGTCATGAGCCTGGAGCTTCCAAACGTTCTCGCAAGGCAGATGAAAGGCGTGAGAAATCACCTGCAGATCACCGCCACCGAAATGATCGCAAGAAGCGCAAGGTCGAATCTACTCGCAAAGACGCCAGCGGTTCAGCTTCGCATCAAAGCAGATCGACGGAAACCAAGTCAGATAAGGGAGGCCTCACAAGATCAAGAGATCACGCTTCAGAAGACGGCAGGCATCGAAAGAGTTCACACAAATTGCCTGATCAGGGCAAGACAGAGACCAGCAAACGATCACAACTTGTAGAAAGCCATCACGATCAGGGATTCGCTCGCGCACCTTCTGACTCGGTAGCGGGTGTGTTCATCAAAGACACTGTGGGCGATCTCGCTCGCGCCAAATACGGTCCAACCAAGCATTCCATCTCGCGTTTCAGAAGGTCATGCGGTGAGTCAGCAGTACTTGCGGTATGTATTTGGGTGTGAATGTGCTGATGCTTGCGTCTGCTCCTTTAGGTGGGAGAGTTCTGGGCCTCGATCAAGGCCTTCGAATCGCTCCGCAACTTTCAGATCACCGTGGGGTCGTTATCGTGCCGAGAGGGCGAGCTCCTCTGCGGTACATTGATTCCTCACATGCATGGAAAGCTCACAGGCGACCTCGGAAGCGACTGCGGCTTGCGACTGGGCCTGAAGCTGATCGAACCAACTTTGACCACCTCTCAGACTTTGTGGCAGTCTCCTACGGTCGCCCCCGGCGCGATTCTGGCAGTGGACAGACGCTTTCTCCGCCTCGCTTCTTAGATAACCTGGGCGACGAAGTGACCAGCGAATCCGAGTCAGATTCTTTACTCTCAGATGTTGGTGCCGACCCAGGGGAGGAGTTACGGCGCAAAGTGGCTCATGCCAATGCTGCCGTCTCGAGCGAGCCTACAAATCTGCAAGCGTGGCTCAAGTTGGTCGAATTACAGCGAGACCTTGCGACTTCACCTGCGATGGAGGAGGAAAGAGGCTCCGACCAAGTCAAACGCACATCGCGAAAGAGCAAAATGGGTGGCAAGACTCTTTCATTGGGTGTAGTGGAAGCTCAAATTAGCGTACTTGACAAAGCCTTGGCCTCGGTATCAGACATCGATGACCAGCTCAGACTGCAACTCGAACGCATCTCAATTGCTACTGTGGCAGGTATATGGGACGTAAAGGCTGCCGAGGAGCAGTGGGAAAGACTCCTTCCGATCGGCGCAGAACACGGAGCGCCTGCGAGCTACGCCGGTCTCCGATGGCGCAGTAAGGTCCAGGGCTGGCACCATTACACGAGCTGGAAAAGCAGACAAGCATCCAAATGGACCTTCACGAAAGTCCTAAACGCATACGGCCAGGCTTTGGGAGCTCTGAACGAAGAAGTATTTGCGCTCGATCCGGATTCAAGTGGCCAACTAGAGCAGGCGATGGTAGATATGCAGTTGGAGCTCGCGGCTGTCATGCGCAGCGCAGGCTATGTTGAAAGAGGCTTTGCGGTACTACAAGCTCAGTCGCAGCTCTGCGCGACGTATCTCCAGGACTCGCGGTCCACGTCCTTGTTGACTTTCAACGATGCGCTGGACAAAGCGGAACAGCAATGGGATGAAGAAGGTCCTCGCTTTGGTGAACCGTTGGCTCTGTGCCACGCTGACGCTCCAAAGCAGGGGAATCACGATCCACTCGATCAATGGCTCGCCTCGGAGCACGCAAGAGCAAGAGCTCACCGATACCCGACTCGTACGACCGATGCTCCTCTTTGGGATATCGGAGAAGCCGAGGTTGATCCTTTTTCCAGCATCTTCTTTTCAGACGTCTCACCTTTCTTGTGCAATTTGCGAACTTCTCAGGCGAGAAATCGTCTGGTAGATGCCTTTCTGCAATACCTCGGCCTCCCATCAGGCAGCTTCTCTGCATCGCCATCTATATGCTCGACAGCTGTCCTTTCCACCTGGGCGCTACTCGATCGGGAGACACAGAAGAATCACTTCTGGCCGTCGGCGTTGGTCAGCAATCAGACCGATCGCCTCTCTCACCTCTCTATCGAGCTTGAGCCGAGGCGACATCCCAGTCGCTTGGAGAATCCGTTCTCGAATCCACACCTGACACTACCAGCCGATGAACTTACCGATCTGCCGCATCGCAATGCTCAAGCTCTTCATTTCTCCCAGCTCGGCCAGGCCGTCATTGGGTCGGCAGATGTGCAGCAATGTCGCCAGGTGATCAAAGCAGCACAAACGGCATGGGCAACACCAGTCTCACGTCTAAGCATACTTGACTTCTACTTGGACCTAGCCTCTTCGACCACTTCGATCAATAAGGTGGGTAAGCGAGCACTCAGTACGAAGGGCAGCCAAGATGCAGACCTTTGGCTCGCCTACGCGAATGCGGAGAAAGTCTATGGGAGCTTGGAGACAGCTCGCAAAACGCTGCGCATGACACTTTCGTCTCTGGAGTCTTCAGCCATTGAATCAGCAAAGCTTTGGTACAGCCTTGCTGAGCTCGAGCATCGCCCGGATCCACATGTGGCAGTAAAGCTGCTCTGTCGCGCGGCCAACTTGCGCTTCGGCCGGCCTTCGCTGGACGCCCTATACAGTCTCCAGAATATGCCAGACCCGAGCCCCATCGAAGCCCGAAAGGCGCGCAACTACTACAAACATCGCTTCCAGGAGTCAAGTGAGGATGTCCATCTGCGAATGATCGCACTCGCTACCGGGTTCCTCCTTGAATGGCTCGTTACAGGCTCGGAATATCGTGCTGGTGTTCTCGAAGAATACCTTGATTTGCTTCAAGGTATCGAGACTGCTGCAGCTGACATGTGCAGGTTGCGAATTTGGGCAATTGTGTGGCGCAGTCTCCAGGATCAGTCAGATCGATCGCTTAAACCGGCACAAGCACGCTCATTGCTCATCAAGACAGCCCAAGAAAGTTCAAGTACAGCATTCCTTGCACTGCTTGCTGCTCACGAGATGTCCCGAAGGTTCGAAGGGCAACTCCGCTTGACGCTTGAGCGAGACATCCTTCCTAGGGTCGTACAGGCAAGCGATGATCCCGCGCAAGAGCAACGGAAGGAAGCAGTTTTCGTTTTTGCCACTTTTGCAGAGGCAAACTTGTATCCGTCTCATTGGAACCAGCACGCTGTGCGACGTCAACTCGAAGTGGCTACCGCGCATCTTCCCCAGTGAGTGCCGTTGGACGTACCGTGAAAAGGTTCGAGCCAAGCGCGGAGAAGCTTACTATCAGGTCTGACATACCTTGAACCAACAGCTCATTGCTGCTCTGGCACCTCTACCTCGATTTCGAGATATTTGTCCTTGAAAGGGTAGAGTCACTCTCCTCTCCAGCCTCTCTCAAAGAGTGCAGAAATAGGGCGAAGGACGTGTTCTTTCGTGCTCTCCGTGCTTGTCCAGGTGACAAAAGTGAGCTTCATTTAAGACAGGCATGAATTGAACGCCTAGCTCACGAATCCGCCTTTCTGGACAGATATTTACCTTGCTGCATTCGCGCACCCGCTGAAGCACGCTCTAACTGGATCCGAACTCAAAACATTGGCCCACACGATGGAGGAGCGCGAGCTTCGGCTTTTCGTCCCCATCGATGACTCGTGGTGCGAAGACGAACGGTCTCAAGGGGAGCCTATTGACGAGGACGACGCTTCGGACGATGCCATGGAAGAGCGAAAGAGGCTTCTGCCTTTTTGACGATACGTGCAAAAGTCAATTCTGGTAGCGGGATGCAACAGCCGAGCTGGTATGTACAAATATCAATTAAGAAACGATCATACTTTCGCTCAAGGAACTTTCACGTTGGTCAAGCTTGCTGGCGACTATGGCTGCGATTGAGTTTGCACAATCGCGGGCGTTAGTCTATTTGCCTGTAAGCTGCATGGTTGGGGCAGACTCACCTTGAACTCGGTTCATAGCCGCGTCCCTCTCGCGAGCCTTTTGCGCCGGAGACCGAGCGTTCTTAGCGTTGAGGGTCTTAGTCGAGCTGCGTTTGATGATTGGCGAGCTTTTAAGACTGCCCTTGCTAAGAGACGGGGATGTGTTGCTGTGCGGTAGGCGGCACACTGGTCCATCATCGCCAAGCACTGTACTGCCACTGATTGTAGAGAATGTCTTCTGCATCACCGTGCTTTGGCTTCTAGGGATAGTAGGTGCAGGGATATTGTTCAGGCTCTTGGTATGAGCGGCAGGCGAGCCCTGAGGTCCCTTGCGGCGGCGTGGCGGGTTTTTATCTCCGTATGCTGTGACTGGCGAGGCGAGGAAGAGATCGGAGGCACGATCCTTGGGCGCAGGACTGGACAGCAGCAAATTCTGCCACGTCGGACCGTGGGGTGAAGCGGGTGAGGCAACGACAAGTGCATCTGGGAGACCTGGCGATGTGCCTAGAGAGGGTAAGGGAAGAGGCGGAGGAGACACTGCCCTCTTTGGAGAAATCGGCGGTGAACGTTGCAAAGCCGGCTGTTCGTCATCTTCTTCGTCACTCGCTTCCCCAGCCGATCTCTGCCACCGCCCTCCCTTGCGCAGCCACGTCTTCTGCCTTATGGGAGTTAAGATAGGCGAAGGTGAGTATTGCGCCTCACTCGGAGCGACACACTGAACAGGGGTTGCGAGCCGCGCTTCTGACTTGTCCTTGAGCTCGACAATGGGTGGCGCTGTGGGCTCCTGCTGAACTCCTTCCTCGGTGTGCGACATCATGGCGACAATCTCAGTGGCAAAGCTGCTGATTTTGTGCATCTCAGAGAGTGTCACCGAATTGACTAGCATCTTCAACGCATGCTCTCCATCAGTCTTGCCTGCATGAACAAGCACATTTCTGTCCACCATTGTTGCTCCTGAGCTTGCACTGCTCTGCGTGGTCCTCGAGCTAGTGCTGCCTTGTGTGTCTGTCCGCTTCAGGTCCATGGTTCCAAAGACATCTGTCACCATCTCGGTTAGCGGCGGCTTCTTTGAAATGCTGGCAGTGGCCCCACCGGCTTCCAAAACAGCAGATTCGTCTGCCACAGGACGCTTCTTCTTCAGCGTCTTTGAACGTGCGATCGGACTGTCCATTGCGATCTGGGAAGGACTAGCATGCGTCGAATTAGCTCGTCGATGTCTCTCCGCCTTCGCTCCATTCACTGGCTTCTTGACGGACACCGTCTTACTTCTCGACAGCGGTGCTCTCGGCTGGGGTTCCTCCCAGGCCTGTTTGGAAGGGGAGGCGGTGCGTGGAGAGGCCAGGGACGAGGCGGAGGGAGAGTTGAGGGGACCATAAGCACTGCCGATCTCTTCAACATTCGCATTGATCCTGACAGTCGCGCGACTTTTCCTGGTGCTTGCTCGAGATGGCGCACTTATGTAACCTTCTTCCCTTAGTGGCTGTATATTGGATATTTCTGAGTTTGCGAGCGTGTTTCGGCGCAAGAGATCAGAAAAGTTGGTCATGCGCTCGTCGTCCTTGTCTTCAAAATTGGGAGAGGCGGTGAACGCGCTACGGCCCCAGCTGGACGAAGTGTACTTGCTCGGCGAACTGCACGCGGACGCGGATGCCGAATGCAGGTCTGTGTCCTGAGGTGAAGCTACGTAGCGACGTACGGAAGAGCTTTTCTTTGTCGGACTGGACATCGGTGACTCAATGAAGCCGTCATCGTCGAGGATAGATGGAACGCTGTGCGAACGACACGCCTGGGACAATTGCCCAGTGGCGGTGTGGACGACAGGCAAATGAGAAGGTGCGGTCTTTCGAGGGGAAGAGCGCGGACTGTGGAATGCGGGTAAGTCCTCGCCCGCTCCTCCGAGCTTCACAGGCGATCCAGTCACGGAGAGCAGATTCAGTGACTCGTTTGCACCGCTGTCGTCGGCGCGAGAGTTGGTCAGCCAAGAGACCATGGCGCCGGGCCCGCTCTTCAGCGCGCGTGCAAAATTGCTAGCGGACTCGGAAGCTTTGTCCAAAAGCGACATGCGTCTTCGCTCGTACGATGTTGGACTGAACGAGCGCTGGCGATTTAAGCGGCCGGGCCAAAATGACTTTGGCGCAGGCGTTGCGTCTTCTGAAGGACGAAGCTGTATAACAGGAGAGGTGTTAGTTCGAAGATGGCTTCCTCTGGCGGGAAGGATCTGTTGCTGTGCATGACAACTCACCGCTTCTGGCCTGCCATCACCCTCTCTAGAAGCTCCCCCAAGGCGCGACATTTTCATCGCTTGTGGTGGGAAAGCAGTATATGTGTGCTGACTGTCGACTTCCTGCGCACCGAAAGCGCGTTGCCACTTGAGCTTCCACCAGGCGTTGCTCTGCACGCCAGACTCGAACCGCCCTGCTCGCGTTCGTGTCGTTGGCACGTCCCGCGCCCAGAAGTTGCCAGGCCGATACTGAGGCCGATTGCCGTATCCTTGGCCTGGCTGCGGGCCACGCTGGGTCGGTGCATAGTCGACCCAGTGGTTGCCTTTGCCCATGAAGAAGTCGTATCCGTCGGTCTCGTAGCTGATCTGGCTCATATTACGGTTGCTGATCGTACCGCTGCCGGAGAGCCCTGCTTGCTGCTTGCGCCGCCTGCGCTCCTGACGCTCGGAGTGATTGGCCATGACGCCCCAGCATTTACCAATGAGGGTTGCAAGCAGGAGAATGCCAAGAACGGCGAACAGAGGAATGAGATAAGTGATGTGGAACGTTTGGCCGGTGGTTGGAGTAGGCGTGCTTGTTACAGCCAAAGCAGAATTGGTGGGACTCAGTGCGTTGGATGTCATCGAAGGCACCAGGGCAGCTGTGCTGACTGGAAGTGCAGGCATGACACTGCTCGCAGGTAGTGTAGCGCTCGAGGCAGGCGCAGCCTGCCTCGTAGCCTGAGCCGCTTGTGCAGTGGGAGGCTGAGACTGAGCAACTGTCGCAACAGGTTGGACATTTTGCGCCTGCGGTTGCGCTGCCGCCGCTGGCTGCTGCACTTGTTGTTGTTGTTGTTGTTGTTGTTGTTGTTGTTGCTGAGGCTGAGGCTGAGGCTGACTCTGGAAGCCTGCCATCAATGGAGAGTCTTGCGCACCTGTGTCGTCTTGGGCTGGAGCCGCAGGCTGAGCTTGAGACTGCTGTTGCGCAGCGGCCACCCTGCCCTTCCCTGTGTCCATGTTGAAAATATTGCACTCAAGATGGGAATGGGGTCGAGTCGAGCACCGCTAATGACCTCTGCATATGGTAGTAGAGTTGGCGAACGGTACGTGGTAGCTCGATTGAATGGGAGCATTTGATGAGATTGCATCCCAAAGGCGACCTCTGATGGTGCACGGTGTACTCAGCAGCAGGTAGCATGTTTTCCAGCAGCTTTGTGTTGAGGGGCGGTGATAAGACGTCACCCGCACTGTCCACTATCGTCGTCGTCGGTCACCACTGTCAGAAAGGCATGCGAAATGCCAAGGGAGGAGCAAAGCCTGCAACTTCCTTGCGTGGAAGGAACATCTTTCTTTTGCGTGACGTCGACCGTTGGAATATCGCGGATATAGATGTTGATGCCGGTTCTCCATCTTGCTGTGAGCCGCCAGACAATGCCAGGCGATGCCCAGCGGCGGCGACGCACACATCTTACATTCACATCTGCTGACCTGCCTTGAGATCGGTCACATTCATGCACGTAAGAGGCCTGCCTCTAGCTGTGGTACAATCAGGGACGAGAGAGTATGTAGTAGACGGAGCATCAAGCATGTCCACAGGCTCATAGAGCCGGGCAAAAGTGTTGCTTCGCCAAATGTTTCAATTCGCGTCGTCACGTGCGCGTCTCGGTATTATGGATGAACCATTCGAACTGCTGAGAGACCGAGATGCTGAGATGATGCCTCCTGCTCCTCGACCTCACTTCTTCCAGTGCAGCGTAGACATGTTTGATGCGTTCAATGCGGCATGCAGGGTGCATACAGGAAGGCCAACGCGCGGGCAGGGATCAAATATGAGTATTGCAGCAGGCCAGTCTGCATCCAGCTCGTCCATGAGCGTTGTCGACGTGGGTCCTGCCATCCCAAAACCTTCTGCTGCTGCAAAGCTAAACGAGTATGAGATTCGTACGACGTTGCTTGACAAGACCTGCCTGGTTCACATCACTGATGGGCGCGCCTTCAAGGGAAACTTTGTCTGCGTCGATTCGGCCCGAAATGTTCTTCTCAACAATGCGACCGAGTACAAGCTGCGGTCACCACCGGGACAGGCGCATGGCACAAATGCAACGAAAGGCACTAGGCCGCCAAGGTCACTCGAGAGACAAATCGAAGAGTTCGACCGGCGCTTCGTCGGACTCGTCATGGTTCCAGGTGGACACATTCTCAAGTTGGAAGTGCAGGCAGGCATGCCACCCGTGGTAGCTCGCAGCAGCGGTAACAACTCGCTGCGTCCGCTTCCTTCTGATGGGTCCATTTACATATAGATGCAATGGGGTCGGTATAGGCTCAGTATGGCATCTTTCGGCATGTGTTGGGCCAATTCCAAATGCTTGATACAGTATGTGAAAACACCCCTGCACTGAGCCTCAAGCGTCCTCAGGCTCACTCTCATTTTCTCCCTCGGCTTCTAAGCTTGCAACGTCGTCGTCCGTGTCATCGTCATCATGGCCGCTCGCGTCCTCGTCGCCGCTTTCGTCCGTGTCGTCTTCAAGCATACCCGCTGCCTTCGCCTCGTCGATCTGTTTTTGAAGCTCGCGGAGCTCTTCTTCTTCTGCGTCCGTATCGGGTTCCTCGTCGTCCTCGGAAGCGCCCTCTAGAACGAACTCGTCGGTGTCTACCAAGTCAACTTCTTCGGCGGAATCTTCGTCCTTTTCATCGTTGTCCTCTTCATCTGCCTGGTCGCCGCTGCTAGCCTTGCTCACACCAGAGGTGCTCGCAGAGGGTGCTCCCAGCACGCCAGCGACACTGAGACATGTCAGGCGCGAACCTTTAGTGTCGTACGATGCGGCAGATGGAAGCTCCAACGGCGATGCTGTCTCATCCGCACGTGAACTACCAACCGCCGCGACCAGCGGGGAGAGGTCGAACGCACGAATCAGGCCATCTGACGAGATGGTCACTGCGGCTAGCGTGTCCTTGGCCTCATTGGAGTTTGTGCCGGAAGGCTTGACCGGCTGTACGCAGACAGTTCGCACACTGTAGCATAGAAAATTGTTCAATATAACGTATTCTGGTGAGTCATCGCCCGCCGCATAACATGTGCCCTCACCGGTTGTTGTGGCCGACAAGTCTAGCAATCTCCTTGAAAGTCGGGATTCCCTCCACCTCGAACGGCTCGGCGACATCGTAGACATGTACCATCTTGTCCTCGCCAGCAACGAACATCAGCTCTCTTGCCTTGACGCTGTAGAAGCGCACGTCGTGCCACCTGACCTTGGCCGTAATCTCGCCGAGCACCTTCATCTGCGTGTCATGCACCCTCAGGTGCGGGCCCGCAAGTACGGCGAATCGATTGCCGTGGCTATCCCAAGTGACGCGCTCGCCTTCCTCACCAATCTTGGTGCTCGCAGCTCCGACGCCGCGCATCAGATCCCACATCCTGATCGTCCTGTCCTTGCCCACGCTCAGCGCCACGCGTCCGGAGGGATGCGCAGCGACGTCGTTCACAGATCCGACGTGACCTTTGAGCGTCTTGAGCAGGCTCCAGTCTCGCGAGCGATAGATGTTGATCCGTCCGTCTTGGCCAGTCGTAAGTAGGTAGGTGCGTGTGGGAAAGTGTAAGGCAGTGATCGTGCCTTCGTGACCGGTCAACGTGCCAACTTCGATTCGCTTTCGCAAGTCCCACACTTTGATTGATTCATCCGTGCCGCCGGTGGCAAGCCACTTGGAGTCATGGCCTGCGCAGGCGACGCTGCGAATGGAAGAAATGTGCGCGGGGAAGATAAAGTGTGGCGTAAAGGTGAACTGTAGCCCTTCAGTGCCCGCAGTAACGGAGGCATCAAGCCCGTACAGAAGCCGCTCGTATGATCCAGCAACAATGCGAAGAGTCGAAGTCGCTGGTGGAGGTGTGGGAACCAGCGCCGGTATGTCCTCGTGGGAAGCCGTGCGCTTTTGCGAATCCTTTGCCTTTTGCTTCGACTTGTTTTGCTCGGCTTGAGAAGCACACTTCTTTGCAGCAGCAGTTGCAGCTGCAGCCTGGGCTTTCTTCTTTTGAATAAAGTCGTGCTTAGTTTTTGGTTTTCCTGCAGATTCGGTTACCTTTCCTTTGCCCTTGTTGTACGACCCTGCCTGCGGGGCTTTTGACTTTGCTCTCACATCCGTGTAGCTATTCGGTAGCTTGACTGCCGGCTTTTTCGGCTTGGCTTCCTCAGCAGCTTTGGCCTTAGCAGCGGCACGCTTGGCTGCACCGCTCGTTTCGCTTTTCTTGACCTGTCCTTTACCTTTGGACCGTCCCGCCTCTTCCTCGTCTTCGTACCGCTTCGACGAGGACGAGTTGGCGTCTTGGCGCGCTTTTTTGGCTGATTTACGGAAAACGGTCGCTTTCGTGCCGCTGCTTCCAGGCGGTTGCTTTCGCTTTTGAGCAGTCCCAGCCATGGTTCTAAATCTACGATCGCTTCACAAGGTGTGATTAGCTTTTGCGTGGGGCTCGTCGAAGATTGCTCAATGTCAATGGCCAAAACGACAGCATAAGGCCTTGAGAGCAAGGGCCATAGGAAGGCCGACCATGTGCACATATACATGTAATGCGGAATCGAGAGCGAGAGTATGCTTAGAACAAAAAATTCGTCGGTGACTTTTGTGAAACCCTTCGGGAAAATGCCGAGATAAAGAGAAAGCTCTGGCCACCAATTCACACGCCACATGCAGGAGAGAGGGGCCTTGCTGGTGCCATTTTTTTACGATTGTTTCCGAGAGTGCTGGGCATCATACGAGATTCTGCCCACGACCAGGTGTCCCCTGCCCTACAGCGGGCAAGGCCGCTGCTTGAATCGGTAATTCATTCTTTTTATTCATTTTTAGAATCGCCCTGCCCCCCCCGGTCCCTCTCTGGCAGCGTGGCACATGACAGAGGGTGTATATAGATCGCACGGTGTCACACCACATCACATCGCATCGCATTATCTACCGGTGAAGAGCGCTTCTTCGTCGACAACGTCTTCCAAAGGGCCCAACCACGCACCCTCGAGCGCAGCAGGCTTTTCAGAAGTTCAGCCTTACAAAGCGACAGTGGGCTGCACCAGAGATTTGGGCGCAGCGTGAAACACCATGGCAACGATCAGCACATTTGCAAATGCGACCCCGGATGGCGCTCGTGCCCGTGATCAAAGGGAACTGATTCCGACGTCCTTCGAAGACCGCCACATGACCCGAGCCAGTGAATTACCAATGACACCCATACCACGAAGTTTGCGTATGTAGTCATCACTCGTATGGGATTTTACCACCAATGCATTAATTGGCGTTTCACATCAGTGCGGTAGGAAGGAAGGCAAGTCAGCTGTGAGTTGAGACACACTTGTACGAGACGGCTTTGAGAGCAGTGATCCTTGCACCTTTAGCTCTTAAAGTCTTCCGTCACCGAGCTGATCGATTTCCTTCTCGCCATCACCTCTACAAACCAACGACTAGCACTTCTTCGCTCGATCGGCTTCACCCCGTCTTAATGGGTATTATTGCGTCCCCTTCCTTTGATTGCAGCCAATGAATGAGCCTGCACTGGTCAGACAGTCGCATTTTGCGCTCTCGCCGCTTTGCGGGTGAGTTCGGCTCGTACCAGATTGCCACACTTCCCTTGGAAGTTACTTTGCCCGCCTCAAAATCTTATGTTTCTTGGCTCTTACGCCAGCGATTAGAGGGTAATTAACCGTCTACAATCCCCCGCTGCGCTCGTTTGATGCACCATGGTTGAGGTGCTGATGTTATTGAGATGTTGCGGCTGCTTCGAATCCCTTCCACGTCTCCCGGTACATCATGCAAATCCTCAATTTTCACGCACAGATTTCCTCGAGCATTCTTCTTTGCTTCTCCCCTTGCTCTTGCACTCCCGTTACGCCATATTCCTCAGCGCTTGCGCATGAATGGAGCGCAAATCGCCGACTTCTTCATGCTTGTCGAGCATCTTAGGTGCCAGTCTAGCAAGTGTCGCGCAGACTTGATGCTACACAGCATCATTTGGGCAACACGCTCACGCCACAACTTTTACTACCTTGGCAGTCAGTAGGGATCGCCGTCATTAATGCTCTTGGTTCAATCTAGCTCCTCCACGTTCACTGACACCTTCGGAGTCAATGGAAGACGTTGCAGAAGCAACAGTCCTGCAAGGCCGGTGAGTTGTGCCCTGGCTAGGAATTAAATTGCTCATAATGTTACTCGCATCGCTAGGCCCTCGATCTGTATTCTACTGTGAGATTCAAGCATAGTATTATATCTGGTGTATGATGCAGTGATGAAGGTACTCTACCTCGTGCTGTTCGTAGGATGGTGCTGCTGGGGTGATGTGGGGGAGGGCAGGGTAACGCTGCCCTCAAACTGCCCGCGTCGATTTTTGACACGTGTACGGCCCCGGGTATGTGAAAGGGATATAACCCTGGCTGAGCCTTGCGTGGGCAGTGCGAGACTGCCCGCCCAAAATGCCCTGAAGTGGGGGAGCCCAGATAGGACCACCGGGGCCGTAGGCATATTCGCAATGCCGGATCTCCATGCTGAGATCTCCACTTCTACAGGAACTGTTCATCTTCTGCCTGCGGTCTGTATTAAAGGGAGGCGGCAAGGGGCTCAAAAATACAGAGAAGGCCTTGAGCTAGCTCTCATCCTCCACCGCCGCAACGCAGCATTTTATATATATTTTGGCCAGGACATTCTCCTTTCACCATGAGCCTAGTTGACTCCGCAACCGCTGCTCCTGCGGCCCAAGAGGCAACCCCAGCTGCTGCTGCTGATACCGCTGATGTCTCTACTGCTCCACCGGCCGCAGCCCCTGCTGAAGCTCAAGCCGCCAGCAGCGACTTGCTCGTTGTGCACCATCTGAACGACTCCCGATCCCAGCGTATCCTCTGGCTTCTCGAGGAGCTGCAGATTCCTTACACAATCAAAAAGTATCAGCGCACGCCCCTGGGCCTGGCGCCCAAGGAGCTCTTCGCTGTTCACCCCCTCGGCAAGAGTCCGGCGATCACGGACAACGGAAAGATCGTTGCAGAGAGTGGTGTCATTATCGGTACGTGCGAAGTTGATGCAAACCGCCGATTCTCGTTCTGATCTTTGCGCACCCCCCCCTAGAGTACCTGATTAAGAAATATGGCAAGGGTAAATTCGTTCCCACTTTGGAGGATAGCAAGATGCAAGACACATTTTGTAGGTTCAGGAGCAATCACAACCCCTTGGGCTCTCGCAGCCTGACTTGCGACATGTTCATTATTACAGGGCTGCACTGGGCTGAAGGATCGGCCATGAACTGGTTGCTCATGAAGCTTATCTTCACGATTGTTCCTCAGAAGGCCCCTTTCATTGCTCGTCCCATTGTCAGCGGCATTTTCAGTAGCGTGTGCACCAAGTTGGTCGACCCCGAAGTGCAAAAGATAGGCAATTTCGTTTCCAACGAGCTCACAAAGACGAATGGAGGTTGGCTTGCTGGCGGAGACGGTGATGGAAACCCCGTGAGTCTGGGGCTTGCTGTTCCACAAGAAGATGAATGCAACTCATTCTGTTCGCTGACGTCCACTCCCTGAATTGTACAGACCGCTGCCGACTTTCAGATGATGTTCGTCGCCGAAGCAATGGCCTCTGGCCGTCTGCCAAATGTGCCCGACTCGATCAAAACCTACGTTCAGAAAATTCATGAGCGCACCGCGTACAAGCGCGCTCTCGAGAAGGGCGGCACGTATGCATACGGCAAGCTCTAAGCTCTGCTTCCTATTGATTCCTCTCCAGTCTCGCCATTACCACCAAACCAAGTCGAAAGGGAGCTTCGGCAACCATTGAAAGTGCATCTGCACGCAAAACGGGATTTACATTAGGCTTTCTTTACCCTCTGTGCCCTTTTAACCGTTTGTAGCACTTCAAAATATATGAAACCATGGCCGAAAAGTGCTGTGCATATCGAGCAAACAAAACTTGTGCTGGACAACGAGTGGTGTTTGGTTGAAAGATAGTAGGGCATTGAAGTGGGAAGCTCCTGGTGGCAAAAAATGATCACACCCGGGCTCGAACCGGGGGCCTCAACCGCAACCATTCGCGCCACGAAGGCGGAGTGTGAAGGTTGCACGCTAACCAACTGCGCTATGCGACCATGTTGATTAGTTCATCATTAACAAATATATTGCGACAAATAAAACGCTTTCAAATTGAAAGAAAGGGGATATTTCATTTGAAAGCGTCATGCCTGTCTCTGTCCAGAACCAAATGGTCAAATTTCAACAATGGTCCTTTCGCGAGGAAGAACTAAGGATTCGCCTTAGAACCAAAGGTGAAACAGGCAGGCACGGCATGCTCAGCGGAATACAAAGCAAGTTTCAAGGTCACGCACGCCCTTATGCTGGATCATCTCAAGTACCTGTACACTAACTTTACAGTTCGAGCTCCTCGCAATATACAAAGGTGAGCTGCACAATAGCGATATGGAGCGAATCAAGCTGTCAGGAGGACGATTCAACTCTACCCTCGGCCTCATTTTCACATTTTGTTTTTTTGTACAACCCAGTCCGACTTCGAATCTCGTTTCACCCAGCAGGCGGCGCGGGACGACTCAACCTCATCCTGACAATCTTCCCTGTGTCTCGACTGTGTCGTGTGCGCCTCCATTCAAGGGAGTATCAATAATTTCTTTATGTCATCGACTTTACGATCGCATAGAATTGGCATCTATGGCTGCTCAGGAAAAGTCCATGTTTGCGATGTGCTTGGGATCACACGACATAGTCAACGTTGAAAGGTTGCGTGACGTCGTTGAAACACTGTCACTGCGGGGGCGTGTGGCTGAAGCTTGTACAGAATGACAAGTCTGCCGTTGCAGTGCAAGGGTGTGTCCCAGCAGGGATCGATGAATTGCGACTCCCCTGGACGACCTTGCAGACAGTCATGGCGCCGTAAGCGAGCACTGCATGAGTATGCATTCAAAGCTGAGCGTAGCGCACCCAACCAAGCAAAGTCAGGGTCACAGACTCGCAGTCTCAGACAAGAGCCTTCGTACTGGACGAACTGCCGCCAAAATGGGTGCTGGATATGGCGATCCATGAGGTACCGCGAATCACTCAACGCCTCGGGGATCGTTTCTGGATGGCGATCTTTGCAATGTCAAACGGCTGAGATGAAGATTTTTGAGACGATCTAACACCGCTGCTACTGCTGCGGCTACTTCCGTTCCGAGCTTGCTGGCTGCCTTGATGCTGTCCTCGCTCGTCCGACCGTTCGACCTGATCGTCGGCCACCAGCTCCCTGGGATCGATGCCCTCGCCATCAGAAGGAAATAGCGCAGAGCCGTAGCGCGTGCTTGCATCCCGGAGCCTCTTGACGTCCGCACTCCCGTTTGGCTGAGCATATCTCTCCATATCATCTCGCAGAAGCATAAAGATGAGCTCTGGCATGAGAATGCTGTGCACAAAGCTCGTCGGGTTGAGTGGCTCGATGCGCGCAAGCGCGTCCTTGCTCGTGAGATGGTACCGTGGATCCACGTCGGTGCCCTTTGTGAACGCAGTCAAAAGCAGCGTGAGCAGGTGCTCCCATCCTTGCTGACCATAGTAGCCCGCCCTTTGATCCTCAATGTTTTGCATCTGTTGAGTGGTAGAGAACGCCTTCTTGCCTACCTTGGCCACTCGCTCAGATATGGCAAGGTACCACTCGCTCGTCGTCGGATCTTTGATGCGTTGTTGCAGAACAGACCAGTATATTGGATCTCTGACCCTTTGCTCCAACTCTCGCTTGTTCAGTATCTGCGGCCATCCGGCCTTCACACCTTCCGGCACATGGACTCGCTCGTCTTCATGTCTTACGCAAGTGCCAATCGTGTGCATGGCGCTGATGCTGAGCGGCCCGTCTTCGTGATAGCGATCCAGCAGACCCTGCATCATGCTTTCCAATTTTTGTGTCATCTTGTCTGGCATGCGACCATCGCAAAATGGACAAATTTGAAGATCTACGAGCGAGCAAGGGAAGAGGGACATTTAGCGTGCGACGCACTCCAGTCAAGCTTAAAGGGAGCGTTCACCTTTTGCTTTTCGAGTGACCATGTCGGAGGGCTTTGCTGCTTCCACATCCCGCACTTTCGCTGCTTTGCCGTCGCGTGCTTCCACTGCATCTTTGCCGCCCTGAGACGCCTGGGGCACCTCTGACACGACTATATGATTCCGACTGACCGCCGTCGACTCCCATCCTGGCGCAAGTTTCAATGCGACGCCTTTCTGAGCATGGCCGCTAATCCTTGCCGCTCCAGAGGCGGCAATGGTAGCAGGTTCCACATTTTTCTGCACTTTCTGCTTTTTCTCCAGTGCTTTAAATGCTATTTCGACTCGCTCAGCATGTTTGTAGGTTTCCCGCGTTTGGGAGCCGATCCGAATGATCTTAAGCGTCTTCTCTTTACGATGGACAACTGCTTCTGAGGACAATACAGTCTTCATGTCGACTTGAGCCTCCAACTCACCGCCGGAATTGACATCGATGGCGATACTCTCGTCGACTGCGAAGCCTGTATCGGCATCGTGCGCATCCGTCATTGGGCTGAGCGACGAGGAGCGCTGACTCCAGTCCATCTTGCGTTTGAACGACGGCAATTTCAATTTCGTAGCTTTTCTGATGAGTATGCTACTCCTTCCTGGCTCGGAAATTGCAGAGCCAGCTGGCTGCGTACTCTGAGGAGGGTTTGGCTGTGAAGTAGCGGAAAAGTTGGGCTGCCCATTTTGGAGGACACATCGGTCGTCGCCTTCGGTTTCAGGCTCCTCAAAGTCAATCTCGATGTCGCTGTCGGACCTATCTGATTTTCCATGGTTGCCTGCATCCGGCCCCTTCAAATCCCACGCAGCGAAGGCCTTCCCTTCACTCTCAGCCGCAGCGACCGTAGATGACGATGAATATGCCGGCCTTGTGCTTGGAATCACAGGTGAGCTGGTCCCCAAGCGATGATTCTGAAAGTGAGACATGGCCAAGAGGTCGTCATTTTCTCCAGGTCTACGCCAATTTGGGCTGTTCAAAGCCGAGCACCCATTCGTGCTGCTTGGATGAGGACGCTTGAAGTTGGCTTCCATGCGATTTTGTGGAGCTTCAGCTCGTTGCCCGCTGGGCAGCTTCCCCTGGTTGCGCAAGAACTCCATCCTGGGCAGAAGCTCCAGACCGACCCAACTCTTTCAGCGGGAGCTACTTTGCAATCATGCCCGATCGTCCATGCTCAGCGAGGCGTGAGTTCCTGGCTCCTCGTCCGCAGCTGTGATCCATGTCGTCTGATTCACCGATGAAGCGATGACGACGGAAACGCCAACAATTCCGAGTCGGGCTAATGGCAGCCTGCAAAGTGGAGCAGCCGAGAGTCGTGATGTGAAGATGTGACACACGCGAGTCGCGACGCGTCCGCTGTGCCGTACCCAAGTATTTTTTTTCTCGCAGTTCAATGTCCAACGATAAAACCTCACGACAGTCAAAAGCAAAACGGATGAAGGCTCCAGAGATCAGTCGCTCTCATCGCTCTCATTAGAGAGGATATTCTAATTGGTTGACTCCAGCCTCCGCCGCTCCACGACGTTCACCACCTCGATTGCGGCTACAGCTCGGCCGATGTTCTCCAGGCCTCGCGGTACAAGGTCACAGTCGAAATGTTATATACAAGGTACACGGCGTTCGTCGAGACTGTCTAGGCCGTTGTCTGCGGCCCAAATCCACCGGTAGATCCAAACCCTCCTGCACCGCGTGCTGTCTCATCAAGGTTCTAAGAGCGGACAGAGCAGCAAGCAGACGTGTCTGTCAGCATAATTGGGGGCATGTACTCTCATCTTGTTCACGCACCTCAACTTCTTGAATGTCTGCCATGCAGATTCGTTCGAGAACCAGCTGCGCGATCCTGTCCCCGGCTTTGACTGCAGAGTAGCATCACAAATGGACAGGGGGAAAGAGCGTCTCAGTTACCCGCATAGCACACGTTCCTTTTCGTAACTACTCACTTGTAAAGTCCTCATCCGTAAAGTTGAACAGCAAGATGCCGAGCAAACCCCTGTAATCAGCATCAACGACGCCAGCACCCACATCGATGCCATGCTTTGACGCAAGGCCGCTCCTAGGCGCCACGCGACCATAGCATCCATACGGAATAGCGAGACGGATGCCCGTCTGGACTGCTGCTCTTCCGCGCTTGGGAATCGTCGCGTCTTCAGACGCGTACAGATCATAACCGGCCGACAAGGCAGAGCCACGCGTCGGCAGCTTTGCGTTCGGGTGCTCCTTGTCACGCAACACGCGCAGCACCGGCTCCGATTGCGCATGCGCAGGTGCAGACGTCGTCATGGGTTTGGCGCCTTCGAGATGAGCGGTTGGTGCGGATGCAATGTCGATGGAAGGCATCTGGACTGGGGCCAATGTTTGGGACAGGCGGCGAATCTTGTTTGGGCGAGGCGAAGGGGGATTTGCGCTGTCGGTGGTCATGACCAGGTGGGCTCGTGTGAGGAAGGGATGACGCCGGAATGATAGTTGCAGAATTCGGCTGTGGGACAGCATGAGCAGAAGAAGCAGAGAAGCAAGCTGAGAACATGGTGGGACACAATGATGAGCATTGAGGGAATCCCCCGACGCGAAGACAGCCCATGCGCAAGAGTTGGCCGTTGATGGACCTGCACTCATGTCGCGTCGCGAATCGCAGTTGCAACTACGAATCGCGACGTGTTGCCCGCACGAGCCATGTCGAACAACCCTACTTCAGCCTATTTAAAGGCCGTGATGCGATCCAAATCTCGTTTGCCTCCATCAGTCCATATCGATTTTGGAATGGACCTGGCCCGAAAGATTCCACTCTTGAAGGTGCCACCAGCGAGGCCACGGCTGCGTAAGCTTGCAGCTCGAACGTCCAAGAATAACTCATTGACTCCTTTTTTTTCTTCTTAATACACTGAAGGTGAGCCAGTCACTGAGGACGGCCTGCTCTCAACCGAATTGCAAATGCACGGTTGCGCTCATGAATAGGACCTGGCTCATGAGGACCTGCCTCCTGCCTATCGCCTGCAGGGCCGCCCCGCGATCCCCCTTCGTTCCTCATACGGTGCGACGGTTGACGATGAGTACTTCAAATCACACTCGAATACCTTTCAAGCAGGCTGAAGAGTCTCGCGAGCCTTTTGATGTAGAGTTTACATGGAACATGAGACAGATCGTCAATCCAGATTGGCAGGTGCCCCAAGGCGCCAACAAACATCCTCGGGCAGTCGACTTTGATCCTAAGGCCAAGGTCACGCAGCTTAAGCCGGAAGATCTCGATGCTGGTACGAACTACAAGCTGCTCATGTGGGCTCAACTCGGTTACAATGCGATCGAATAATTGCAAAGTCTTGATGCTTACGATCGGCGACTACCCTCCCATGCTCAAAACAGCAACGGTGTCGTCCCGCGACCGATTGCCTTTGTCTCCTCTCAAGGAAAAAACGGGGTACGAAATCTAGCGCCATTTTCCTACTTCGCAGTTGTGGGACACAACCCTCCTATCATCAGCGTATCCATTAACGCCAAAGGCCCAAGCACCGAGAAGGACACCGCCACTAACATCCTAGAGACGAAACGCTTCGTGGTCAACATTATCTCCGAGCCTTTCATCGAAGCGGCTAACTACACTTCAATCGATGCACCTGCTGATGTATCCGAATGGACCTTGAGTGGATTGACTCCGGTTCCCAACATAACCTGGGGCGGCGACCAAGGCGGCCCGCCGAGAGTGGGAGAGAGCGCATACAGTTTGGAGTGCGAGCTTTATCAGAGCGTTGACATCAAGAATGACGAGAATCACAAGACCGCGACGCTGATCCTCGGTCGCATCCGTCATTATATTATCAAAGAATGTGAGTCTGCTCGATCGCTCAAGCCCGCTTGACGAATGGTACGACTGGCTGTTGCACATCGCTCTGCCCACTCTCTGTTAGCTTTCCTAAATGAGGACAAGTCGATCGACCCGGGTAAGCTGTTGCCCGTCTCGCGCTTAGGCGGCATCACATATGCTAAGCTAGGCAGCGGATTCGAAGCCCCGCGGCCGAAGTGGGAAGAGGAGAAGGAAAAGGACAATGTCAAGACTGCATTGCAAAAAGCAAAACAGTAAAGTACTGATATGTATTTTAGGTGCAGAAAAAATGCACCGAGCCACATATAGGGCTTCGTCATGGGCGCCATTTTATGCATAGTGGTAAATTACCCAACTCGTTGCGCTCGATGCCAGAGGCAATTGCCGTGAACCATATCTCCTCCATTCTCGGCCTCCTCCCCGCCGGCCGCAACATGAATGGCCTGTGCCATTTCGGCCCAACTGGCACGCGACATGAGTGATGCAATCGTGCCTGAAGGTGGAATTAACCCAGACTCATACACGTGGAGTGTTTTTAAGGAGCTGATTGTTGTAAGGCTCGTCTAAGAAAATGAAAAACGTGGCTGCATCACCGTTAGAAGCGGGAGTCGCCTGTTCTTTGATTGTGTAAAGTATATCGTATCCCTCATGTAGGATCATGGATGTTCGAAAATTGCGCCCTTCTCGTACGTGACTCGTTGCGTTTCGCATCGCCTCACGCGCTTGGTATCAGTGGGGGCAAGCGTTTCGCATCTGCGTTCTTAGAGTTCGTCAGGGCTCGGCGGTCTTGAGAAAGTGGCCGAATAGCTGTACTGAGACGTGCCGGTATCCGATTTGCTGTCGGCGTCAGTCAAGTGTTCATCACTGGATGCCAAGCAAGGGAAGAAATTTGCATCAGAGAGTGTATCATATAATGTCCTCCGAGCTAACTCACAAGTAGTGCGCAGCTGTGGAACGCGGCGTGCGGGGTGTCCGCGGTAGCTTGAAAGACATGCCCGCACTCAGAATCGAGTAGGCCACCAAGCCCGTCCATCCTGTCTGATGCGATGCTCTGAGAAGGGCGGAAAGAGCATGGAGATAATCAGTCCCTTGAGCTACACTCGCATCCTGCAAGACCTCTCAGACTCACCCAAGACCTTTGCCCGTATCACCATGGAAGAACTCGTAGAAGTGCACCAATTCCCTGAAGTGCGGATCGTAGTCGAGCATTGCCACACCACCGTTGGTTGCACGCCTGCCCTGGTCGTCTCGGCAGAAAATGGAGATCAGGCGGTGCTGCAGCTCTTCGGCCACATGGCCCAAGTGCATGTAGTCGCCGCTGCCTGTCGGGCACTCGATCTTGAAGTCTTCACCGTAGTACTGGTAGAAGCGCTGCAGCGACTCGACAAGGAGGAAGTTGACGGCGTACCAAACTGGACCACGCCAGTTGCTGTTCCCACCGAACATGGGGCTGTGGCTGTCGCCTGGCCAGTAGCCGACGTCAAAGTCCTCGCCGCCGACGTTGACCTTGAAAGGATGGTCCTTGTGGTACTTGCTGAGTGAGCGAACGCCAAATGACGAGAGGAACTCGGTCTCGTCCAGCATCTTTTTGAGGATCGTCTCGAGCCTTTCGCGACTGACCATGGCCAGCAGGCGGCGGTCGCCTCTTCCACGAACGCTCATATTAGCAATGTTGCGCTGGGACATCTCCGGACGGTTGTCAAGGAACCACTGCATGCGCTTTGCGAACGAAGGAAAGCGCTTCAGCGCGCTCGGCTCGATGGTCAGCGTGGCGTACAACGGAATGAGGCCGACCAGACTCTTCACAGGGATGACCTGCGAGTGGCCAGGCCCCCACTGAATGGCGTCGTAGTAGAACCCGTCCTGCTCGCTCCAGAGGCTTAGACCTTCCTCGTCACCGCCCTCCTTGTACGTCATCGCGTCCGAGATGAAAATGAAGTGCTCAAAGAACTTGGACGCGATGTCCTCGTACGTCGGGTTGTGCTTGGCAAGCTCAAGCGCCATGTTGAGCATGTTGAGCGCATAGAATGCCATCCAAGCCGTCCCGTCCGCCTGGCGGAGGGTACCTCCTGTTGGCAGGGGCTCAGAACGGTTGAATGGACCGATGTTGTCGAGACCGAGGAAACCGCCCTCGAAGACATTCGAGCCGCTGGAGTCCTTGCGATTAACCCACCAGGTGAAATTGATGAGTAGCTTCTGGAAGACGCGCTCGAGGAAGTCCAGGTCTTCCCTGCCATACATCTTTCGCTCGATCTTGAACACTCGGAATGTCGACCAGGCGTGCACAGGCGGGTTGACATCGCTGAAATTCCATTCGTACGCCGGGAGCGCGCCGTCGGGCTTCATATACCATTCGCGTGTGAAAAGGTCGAGCTGCTTCTTGGCGAAAGCGGGGTCGATCATGGCGAGCGGGATGCAGTGGAAAGCGGTATCCCAGACGGCCGGGAATGGGTACTCCCACTTGTCCGGCATGGAGAGAATGTCTTCCATGTGAAGATGCCTCCACTCTTTGTTGCGAACGTTCTTGCGCTCCGGCGGAGGCGGCGGCTGACCCGGATCGCCATTGAGCCATTCGGGCTGGACAAAGTTGTAGAATTGCTTGCACCACAGCATGCCCGCGAGGGCCTGGCGCATGATGCCCTTCATATCATCAGAGATGGGGCCCGATGCGATGCGTCCGTAGAACTCGTCGGCATCAGCGCGGCGAGACTCGACGGTGGCGTCGAACTGTTCGTCGTCGTTGATCGTCGGGTCTTCGCTCACCGTGCGCGGCGTCAGCTTGAGGCGCACGACAGCACAGCCGCCATTGGCGGGGACGTCCTGGAAGAAGTAGTGAGCACCGCTCTTGGTACCCTTCATCTCTGGATTGACATAGTTGCGGGGCGGAGCAGTATTGGTCGGCATCTCGTAATACTCTTCCTCCAGCTCGACCTCTTCCTGAACCTCCTCATTGACATACTCGTCGTCGTCATCCTCGTTGGCAGCCAGACCATGCTCGCCATCCTGAGCGCGCTTGGTCTCGCCATTGCCATTGACTTTGCCATTGGTGGCAGGCTTGCCACGAATGGTTCCGTTACGACCGAGCTTGGGCTCAGCTGCGTTGCTGCCAGCAGCCTTGATGACCTTTTTCTGGACGACCTTTGTGACAAGCTTCTTGACGGTGCGTGTCTTGCGGACAGGCTGCGGGCGGTCCTTCTCGAGGCGATGAGCAGGAATGATGTGGTCGTGGAAGGCATCTTTGGCATACGTATTGACGTTCTTGCCGCCGTACAGACGCTCAAAGTTAGTCTCGTTCTCCGTGAACAGCATCTGTGGTGCAACCTCCTCGTCCGAGATGAGTTCGGGCGGCTGGTTGCGCCGGCGCGAAGGTTTGCTCGGCGCCGGCGACGTCGAGCAGTAGAGGAAATACCTTCCAAGCGTGTCATGGTCGGCCTGGATGGTGTACTCTTCCGCAAGCTTCATCTCCGGCTTCTCGGGGGTTTCCTTGGGCCAGGACCAGTAGTTGCGGAAGAACATTTGCGGGATGATGTGCAGGTCCGCAGGCTCCGGTCCGCGGTTGAACGCGCTGATCCGGATCGACGTCGCGTTTTCCTCCTCCGCGTCCTTGGCATATTCGATAAATATGTCCCAGTACCGGTTCTCATCGAATAGGTCGGTGTCAGTGACCTCGAACTCGGCGACGTCCCTGCTGCGATTCTGCGATTCGCGCACGAGCTGCTCGTAAGGGAAAGGACCCTGCGGGTACTTATACAGCATTTTTTGGTACGAATGCGTCGGAAGGTTGTCAAGGTACCAGTACAGCTCCTTGACATCTTCTCCGTGGTTGCCTGTGCAGCGACCGGGAACGGAAGCATATTAGCTTACGACCGCATCATCCTCGCAAATGAACATTCAGCACGCAAACAGACATACCCTGATTATTGGCCAGGCCAAACATGCGCTCTTTGAGCATCCGATCCTTCCCGTTCCACAGACCCAGGGTGAACGCGAGCCTGCAGTGGTTGTCGCAGATACCTGCAAGGCCATCCTCGCCCCACCTGTATGTCCTAGACCGAGCATGTTCGTGCGGGAAGTGGGACCACGCGTCGCCATTCGAGGAGTAGTCCTCACGTACAGTGGCCTGCACGCGCGGAAGGAGTATGGTGTTCAACATTCTGCCTGAACATGTTGTGCGTGATGCTCACCCATTGCCTTTCGCTAACATATGGACCCCATCTACGCCAGTACTTCTCCTTGCGATCATCTTCGCCTAGTCGGACCTCCTCCATCGTATTCCAGCTCCGATCGGTCGGGATGGCGCCGTGGTGGTGCCCAGCGCCGGCGGCATGTGGATGTTCGGCGGCGGAGCGGGACATGTGAGGGCCGGCCTGCGTCGTTGTCGTGCCAGCACTTACGGAGCGCATCTCTCCGAGCCCAAACGCGGTTGGTCCGCGGTGATGGCCGAGATCCATCTCCGAGGAAGCAGAGCTGTGCTGCGTGTGTCCGTGCACTGGCATACCTGGCAATGCGCCTTCGTGGTCGCGAATGGTTGCGTTCGAGCCGGTAGAAGACATGGTGAAGCCAGAAGGCGTGGAACCAATTGAACGTCGGTGGTAGTCGCCGGTGTTCGAGTAATGACTGGGATTCTGTGTGCACCGGAGGACACATATCACGAACAGGATAGGTTCAGCTCTTCAGCCTTGCTCTGCTTCATATAGCCAGGCTGAATTCAAGATAGCTCACAACATAAGGCGAAGGTTGTCCACTGTTTGCGTTCAGCTGAGAGAGCATGAAGCTGTCGCGCGAGTGGAACGAGGCTCTGTTGGAGAGCTTGGGAGCGGCTTGCGACTTGAGAGCCCCGAGTGAGTCGCGACCTGCAAGATAGGCGAAATTCGCGTCAACACCATGCTACGACGGATCGTAACGCAGACGGAAACAAAGAATTAGGAAATACTCACGAACCATCTTCTTCTTGCTCGGCAGGCCTTCCTTGCTGGGAGTGCTTGGCGTGCCGCCATCTTGCCCGCCCTGCCGGACGCCGCCTACGCCAACCTGCCCAGGGATATCAATCTTGAGGTCTGCCACTGGGACAGCTGCCTGTTGGCTTTGCACTGTCTTAGCAGCTTCCGGGGTGGTCTCTTCTGCGTCGACATTGCTGTTGCTCGTCCGCGTCGGCGTGGGGGTGGTCCGGCCGGAATCCTTTTGTTGCTGCTGGCCATTCCCGCCACCAGAGGTGCCAAAGAAATTGCGAAGGGCAGCCATGTTGTTCTATGCAGTTCCAACAGGGGTTTCTCGGTTGCGAGCTGTCCTCGTATCGTCGCAACGCAGTTGTTGTCCCTTTTCGGTTCGGGCTGGGGCGAGCGATAAGTGACTCCCGGCTTGGCTGACCTTGATAACCGGAGGAGTCAGCGGGCAGCACAGGATACCAACCAACCAATCGAGAAGAAATGAGGTGCTCACAGGAAAGTCGGGCGAAAATGCACAGAGCGAAGTGGCCGAATGTCGGCCGCTTCGGGTTGGAGACCGCGCCGGCAGCCTGGCTTGTGTCACGGTCTGGGTCGTGCGAGCTCTTCGCCAATCTGGACCGACTGTTGCACAGAAAGAGGCTTGGGCCACCACGAATCGCGGAGGATATACGATGTAGCTGGCGATGAGGAAGAGGGGGAGAAGAAGGCGAGCAAGTGAGACACAGATCAAGGAAAGGAATGGAAGAAAGGTAGCAAGGGCTTGATGGTGTAGTTGTCATCAAGGAGTACTGTTTATTATCGTTTGGGCTAGCGATTCTCAATTCAAGAGTAGAGAACAGTGGTGTGGTGCCTGGAAATCTATCATTTCGTTTGGTGGTGAGTTGTCGGCTGTCCCCGCTGGCAGGTAGCAACGACCCAACGTCCCCACCTGGCACTAGGGCTGTGTGCGACGGATCATGAGCAAGCTCGCCAACGCCCGAATCTCCCTCCTGTCCCCCATGTGGGCTAAGCGCCTGCAGCGACAGCGTGGCATGGCTCGTGCGCGCCTATAGTCATTCGCTTCATCCAGCCTGTCAACGATTCCAACCTCCAGAGTCTAAAGTCCAAGAGTTTCGTAGCCTTGCTCTAGTGTTGTTACGATAAAAACAGGTTTCCAAGTCAATTTTTTTACGCCAGAACAATAATTCCACCAGGGACGAGAGACTAGGAGCTTGCAATAGTGACAGCACACGCAAACAATGGTGCATGGCTCAAGGGTGCCCTTCCTTATTTCGATGTGCGACTTGCCTCGCTCGGGCTTCGGTAAGGTTCGACTAGGCAAGGTCGTGTGTATCGATGGACACTCTTGACGCGCAAACGTTGCTCCCAAAAGCCGTAGAGGCATTCACAACTCATAGTACAACAGTTGGAGGTCAGATAGGACGACAAATCACGCATGAAATTTGGATCCTCTCATCGCTCGTGTTTTCTTGATTCTACATCATGGCTCAAAAACGCGATCACTTCTTCACTCATCATGTTGTTCTTGTGCTTTTCTGCTTTATTCACTCATTGAATGTTTCCCGCACCAGCTGTGGCGAAGGCTTTGGCGTGCAACGTGTTCAAGATGTATCAAGTGCTGTTGGAACATAGGTGCTCGAGCTGTTTGAACCTATCGTTGCACGTGACCCATTTTGGCGCGAGACGCGGTCAGCGAAAGAGTTGTTGCCAGTCGCCAGGACATTTGTGCTTTCCGGCAACGGGCACGGCTGCACAATTCACATAGCCCTTCAGCAGGCACTTGGACTTCGTAAAGAACAGCCCATGTATGTTTGAGTAATACTCCTTCCCAGATCTCTCTCAGGTGTCCTGGTCGTTGACCATTCGTTCCCTTGGATCTTTTCAACGTGCCTTGCGCAGCGCTTGAACGTCGTGAAGGGGAAAGGCTCGGAAACAGAGCAAAGATGTACGGATTCGAGCAGCCAGGCTTTCCTGGAATTGGCGCCGGGCCGGTCAATCAGATGCCGCAGTCACCCTACGGCCACCCATCGCATGTCCAGTCTCCTCAACGAACGTCACAGCAGTCAAGAGGGAGCTCCAATCGTGAGAGGCGCAAGTCCCTGAAGTGTGTGAGTGCTACTACAAAGGCCTGGAGTGATGCCGACGTATGCGATAAACCACAGTACTAAATGTTGTGCGTCGCAGCTTGCGGAGAAGTGCATGAAGCGACTCAAGTACGCCCACTTCAAGGTCGAGCACGGCTGGGTGAGCGACATCTTGCAAGCTTTTCATGCTTCCAATGCGCTCATACTCCGTGCTTTCTTTCCTCTTTGTCCGCAGGCCAAACACTCGCTGCCAGAAGTCGAAAACCTGTACTTCCGACAGCAAGGTCAGGCAGCAGGTCCCAGCTCCAGCCCAGCCGACAGGGCAGGCCCCCATCAGTCACGACATTCCAGTATCAAGTATGCATCACGTCAGAGCCCCAGCACCCTCGTTTCCCGCACGGCGAAATCAGAAATCAAGAACAGAAGGTTAGCTGGGCACATATACACCAAAGGCTACAACATGTCCGCAGGAGACGTCTTTGGAAGTTATGGCTACGCCCCACCGACAGGAGCAAGTGCAGATCAGCTACGGCTGTCATCAGGCTCTTCGAACAATGTTGCAGCTCCCAGTACCTTCCAAATAGGCACCCTAGGCGGAGCGGGTAATCTGCCATTATCACCGCCTAGGACAGACGGCGGAGGATCGCCGAACGACAGGTTCAACACGAGTGGCAGCGGTGGTGCAGGCGGTAGTGTGGGTGGCGCCAAGGATGTATCACCCCATATGTCTCGTAGCGGATCCGGGTTGACCACCTCGAGTGCCAATCTGTCTGTCTCACGAGCGCATGCGTCCGCCGCGGGCACATACGCCGACTTTTGGGCGAAGCTGGGCCAGGCAAGCGCAACTCAAAGTCCGACGCGGTCGACTTCGATCGCAGGAAGCCTGCTTGTCTCTCCGCCAGCGTTGACCGCGGCTGCAAAAACTCCACCGCCGACTTCGGCGTATCGGAAGCGCTCGGCGCCAACGACGGGCGGGAGCAGTGGCGATGGAGGCACGTTCGGTGCACAGAGCCCGGCGCCCACCGCCAAGCGCCCGAGAACTGCGCAAAAGCCAAAATCGGCAGAGCTCGCGGAGCGAGCAGAGGCACCGCTAACCTCAGCGCCAGCGAATGCGAGGATTGCTGTCACTGGTCGACCGAATGGCTACACAACGACGCCTTGGGACAATAGGCCGCCAGGGCAGGCACTTGCCGTGTCTCCGTCTCTCGCTCCAATGGCGATACCATCTGCAGCCGTGGCTGATGCGCAGCAAGGGTTCGAATACATCCGACAGATCGCAAGCATGTTGCAGAGTGGAAAGGACGGCGGGCCTGAGTCTGCGGGGGATGCAGGATTGAGCTTAGACGGGGTCGCAAGCCAAGGGATCTCGCAAGAAGAGCACTTGCAGTTGCTGGCTCGTTCGCACGGGAACGGACTGGGCGATGCGATGAGCAATAGCAGCAGTAGGAACATGTTGAACAGCGCCGTGTAATTTGTGTACTAGTCGACAGGGTCTGGAGTAGTTTGTCGTCGAAGAGCGACCTGGGATGGCGACAATGCAATGAGTTGCAATTGAAGAACCGAGGCGCAGGGTGAGGCACCCTACCCATTTTGCAGCCAAGCACAGACGTTCCGTTTAGATGCTGTCCACTGAAGATTCAAGTGATGAGAGCGGGCCAATCAACCTAACGCTGAATCTCGCATGTCGGGCGTGACAGAACGCCTCAGATGCCGGGAAACGAAACATGGGAGGCGAGAAGCCAGTGCAGTGTAGCAGAGCGTAGAGAAGAAAGCCAGCTCTTCATTGCTATAGATGAACGTAAGAATGACAGAACGAGAAGATCGCGATTGAACAAAAATAGCTTGATGTGACTGACAGGAGCAGAAAGAAAATAAGGTTGGGGGCCAACCAGTGACCCTTCCGGTGCGTATGCGCCAGCCTGCGCACCAGCCAGCCGGTTAGCGAGCTGCGCGGCAAAACGGGGGCTCCGCTGACTGATTGTCGAGACACAATGCGAGTTGTGACAAGAGGCGGCCGGGCCCGCACCGTGTTGGAGAACGGCGCGGGATTGCTACACCGAAGGAAACTAGCAGAGGGCTGCGCGCCCAGGCCGGTACACGAAGACGAAGTTTGAGCAAAAGCTGGTGTGCCGTCGAATGGATAATTGGCGGACCCATTCTTGCAGTCAGTGATAAAGTTGGATGAGAAATGAGCGTTGTGAGCGTGGTGCCGCACGGAGCGAGTGGCAGAGACAGTGACGTAATACCCTTAACGTAAGTGATAAGAATCTGCGGGTCTATTGGATGGGTGTGTGGATGCGTGCCGGGGTGCTGGCGCGCCACACAAGTGGCTCGCCATGGGGCCCTATGATCAGATGTTTCGCGCGTTCAAAAGGCATCTACTGCCCCAGCACACGCATGTGGATCGGGTTCAGGACACCGACGTCGAGCGCGGCGAGCTTCTTGAAGACGCCCTTAGTCGCATCGACTGAGTACTTGTTTTTGCAGCCGCCGCAACGGTCGACGACCGTGGCCTCGACCATCTTGCCATTGTAGTGCAGATGCACCTTGTCGCCACACTTGGCGGGCGAGCCTTTTGGTACGGCAACGACCATGTCATTGTCCGTCGGCGTCTTGCCACCACAGTATGGGTTTTCGAGCTGGCTACCGTAATAGTAGGTCATCTATACATGGCAATGGGGGTTGTTCATCAGGTCAGTCCTTTCGCTGTCATTTTCTTTCTTCACATATAGCATCCCTAGAGCGGCAGGCGCACCAGTCCTGGCGCCTGCCCTGCATTGCCTCCGGACCTGCACGACTCTCGACTCTCAGCCGGATGGAAGACTGACCTGACCCTGTTTGTACACCGTGTACCGTTTCTCCATTGCGAGAGAGCTGTGTCTCGCCTTGCTCTCCAGAGCGCGGATCTCGCCCATGGAGAAGTGCTTGTCGGAGACGGAGGCCGAGGCGGCGGCGGCAGCAGCCAGGACAGTGAGGACAGTGGTGAGCTTCATGATGCGATTAGCGAGCACCTGGACACGAGGGGCGAAAAGAAGGCTGGATCGAGACACTACGAAAAGAGGATGGGAAGAGCGGGAGAGAGCCAAAGACCTTTGTTCTGCACCGCGAACAAGAATGACCTTGACAGAAAAGCTGGGGGAGGGAGAACTAAAATGGACTGGACTGGGATGGACGTGATCCTTGTTGCTTGGATGGATGGTCGGAAGGGGGGTGAACAGGCTTGCTGCAAACGGAGTCGAATGGGGGGAAAGGAGGCGGTAATGAAGAAGAGTCCGTCGGTCTGTACTTAAGGCTCGAGTGGGTGAAGGTGGCGCGGCGAGGATGGAGCCACATGGAAACTGGAAAAGGGCAGTCTATGCAAGCGGTGTGGGCTGTGTTGCGCCTGCCAGTGCTAGTGCCAGGTGGTGCATTGTCGAATGTCGTCAATTCATAGTGAAACTTCACGAGATCAGCCATGTAACGAGCGAGTGAGCAAAAGGCGGGAAGATCAGTTAGAAACTGGAGAAACGGGATGAAGGCGATAAACTTTTTCGCGCGCACAAAGACCCTTTGTCGAAAGAGGGGACAACACGCACTGGAACACAGCCCTCGCCTTTGATATGCTAGCCGAGCTCTGACCTCGCAGATCCGATGCCCATTTCCGCATCTGTGTGCGGCCCGCGTTCTTTGCGCTGCACAGGGACAATGTCCATTCATGTACGCTTTCAGCGGCGCTCGAGACAGACAGTGAAACACTGATGAGGTGGCCCACACCCAGGAATTGCACTGTCGCAGGCACAAACCGCAAGGCGGCAAACGATTGCAGTCCTGCCCGCCTGTGCCTTGTTAATGTTCCCTGAAAATTGGTGTCTTTCTCCGCCCTTCTGAGCCCGATCTCGATGCCGGCGGGTGATTTCGTTGGTGGTCACGTGGGTGGCCCAGCGCGGCAGGGTTGGGCAGAGGTTCACAATTTGTACATGGGTATGTATGTACATATAGCGTGGCGTTGTGGCCTTACTTCCTTGTGGTCTAACCTTCTCCGAATGCGGCTAGCCAGTAAGACACACTAGCAGTGACAACGGGCCTGCTGTTGGCGTATGGGCTGTGCGACTGTCATAAATACAGAAATAGACGTGCAGGTAGGACGGGCACAGGTCCTCGCGAGGTGGGGCTTGCTGTAAATCCATCCTATGAAGCGCTTCGCCCTCCCGGCCGAGAGGGCGGAAGATGTGAAAGTTAGTGCAGTGGCGGAGAAAAATAGCGAGATGGATGTGCAGCTCCCTGACTTGCTTTTCTCGAGAGCCAACCAGAGTCCGCAACGTCGTTCGCATGCAGGCCGCACCTTCGGGCAGGCATAAGATCTTTGTGCATAGCTGATCCTACTGGACATCGCAAGACTGGCACCTAGTGGCAGCGTAATTGAGAAGAAGAAACAGCACCAAAAATACTCCTCGCTCACCATGGCCGCCACGAACCAACAAGTGACTGCGATCCTGTCGGTCTACGACAAGACCGGCCTGCTCGACCTCGCCAAGGGCCTCGCAGCCAAAGGCGTCCGTCTGCTAGGCAGCGGCGGCACGGCCAAGATGGTCCGTGAGGCTGGCTTGCAGATCGGGTGCGCGCATCGTTGGCCTCTTGCTCGGAGCGGCGGCCCTAGCTGACAGATTGACCACCTTGCCCACGCAATCGCAATGTCCCCTTGCCGTGTCTTCTCTCCCTGACGCACGTGAAAACAGGGACGTGTCGGACATCACAAAGGCACCTGAAATCCTTGGGGGCCGTGTCAAGACACTGCACCCCGCTGTGCACGGCGGCATCTTGGCCCAGACGTCCAAGTCTTCCGATCAGCAGGACCTCGCCGCGCAATCGATCGACCCGATCGACATTGTCGTCTGCAACCTATATCCCTTCGAAGACACGATCGCCCAGCAGCCAGAGCCAACCATCGCTCAGGCAGTGGAGGAGGTGGACATTGGTGGCGTGACGCTCCTGCGTGCTGCTGCCAAGAACCACGAGCGAGTGTACGTCTTGAGCGACCCGAAGGATTACGCCGGCTTCCTGGAGAAGTTTGGGTCTGGCAACGTGAAGGATAGCCAGGCTTTCAGAAATCAGCTGGCTCTCAAGGCGTTCTCGCATACTGCACACTATGACACTGCCATCTCGGATTACTTCCGGAAGCAATATGCGTCCAAGCAGCCCCCCGTCCAGCAGCTCACGTTGCGCTATGGTGCCAACCCCCATCAAAAACCCGCACAGGCTTTCGTTACAGAGGGAGAGATGCCAGTCAAGGGTGCGTCCTGCTCCTCTCCCTGAGGATTATGGTGCAAAGCAACTGACATGCAATGTTGTGCTTCTGAATGTAGCACTCTGCGGCTCCCCCGGATACATCAACTTTCTGGACAGCTTGAACGCTTGGGGTCTCGTCAAGGAACTCTCGCAAGCGACAGGCCTCCCTGCTGCCGCTTCGTTTAAGCACGTCTCACCCGCTGGCGCAGCGGTCGGCGTGCCGCTCAGCAATGCAGAGGCCAAGGCGTCCTTTGTTGACGACCTCGGCGAGCTATCTGGCATCGCGAGCGCGTATGCTCGCGCACGCGGTGCCGACCGGATGAGCTCGTTTGGCGATTTCATTGGCCTGAGCCACGTTTGCGACGCCCAGACGGCCAAGATTATTGGACGGGAAGTCAGCGATGGCGTCATCGCGCCAGGGTACGAGCCCGCAGCGCTCGAGATCCTGTCCAAGAAGAAGGGCGGCAAGTACTGCGTGCTGCAGATGGACCCGAACTACGAGCCTCATCTGCAGGAGACGCGCCAGGTCTACGGCATCTCGCTGCAGCAACGCCGAAACGATGCCAAGATCGATGAGACTCTTTTCACGAATGTCGTCTCGGAGAAAAAGGAGATCCCCAAGCAGGCGTTGCTCGACCTAACGGTCGCGACGCTCGCGCTCAAGTACACGCAGTCCAACTCCGTGTGCTACGCGCTCAACGGGCAGGTCATTGGCCTCGGCGCAGGGCAGCAGTCGCGCATCCACTGCACGCGACTCGCCGGCAGCAAGGCGGACAACTGGTGGCTGCGGCAGCACCCGCGCGTGCTCTCGCTGCCTTTCAAGAAAGGCACCAAGCGGCCAGAGAAGAGCAATGCGATCGACCTCTTCGTCGAGGGCATCGTCGATGGCGAGGACATGGTTGCCATGCAGGAACGCAAGGAGTGGGAAGCCGCGTTCGAGTCGGTCCCGCAGGCGCTCAGCGCGCAGGAGAGGAAACAGCATGCGGCGCAGCTTACTGGCGTCGCGTGCGCTTCGGACGCCTTCTTCCCATTCCCGGACAACATCTACCGCGCAGCTCGCAGCGGCGTCAGCTATATTGCTGCGCCTGGCGGGAGCGTCATGGACGACGCATGCATCCAGGCTGCCAACGCGCAGGGCATCGTCGTCGCTCGAACCGAGCTGCGGCTCTTCCACCACTGAGCGCGCCCAACGTGTCCATAGATTTTACTCTTCGAATACAGGTGTACCCTACAAAAAGAAGACAGTACATGCTTCGCTCCGCTTCTGTGTTTCACAGTTTGCTCTTGATCCAGCCGACCACGCCTTGCAATGCCTCGGCCTGCTTGACGACCTTTTCGTCGAACCACCTGCGAATCTCGAGCTCCGTAGTTGAAGGGCACTCGAGTTGCACCCAGTGACCGCAGTTCCTGACTGCGACCGTCCGAAGCGAAGGGACGAGCTTCGCGCCCGATTTGGCCATCCATGTCGGCAACGCGGCGTCCATGTCAGGCTGAAGAAAGAGTGCGGGAAGGGTTGCGGGTAGACCTTTGGATATCAGACCTGAAGGGTTTTGTGAAAGTACAGTGTATTAGGGAGGGGAGCGCGGTGGTGAATGAAAGAAAAGCGAAACGCACCTGCCTCCGTCTCTGCGTTGATTTTCGTCGTTCTATACCAGTTGAGAGGACCCTCCATGCCGCCGCTGCGGAAGACGCACATTCTTCCTTCGAACTCCTCGTCCGACAGTAGTTTTCCACCCGTTGTAGGCGGATCCCCGCCGCCAGTGAGCTGACGCTCGAGCTTGCCGACGGTCACCCATTCTGTGTTCGCAATGGGCGCATGCGGGTCGTTGTGACTGGTGCTCGAGCTGAAGAGGCCGGGTGCGGAAAATACCAGACGCAGGAAGCGCTCGAGCTATCGGTGACGTGTAAAGGATGTTGCAATGTTAGTGGTGACTGGCAACAATACATAGACAGGTGAGCAGGACTGGAGGATACTCGCATGCTTCTCGACGATCGGTGTCGACCGTGGCGAGCTGAAGAACTGCTGGTAGCCAAAGTTCGGCACGCGCTTTATGATTTCTTCGATACTCGCATATTTTCCCGAAGGAGCAGAGTATGGCACCGCGAGGCTGCTGACGCCAAGCAGTCTCTCTGGATGGTACTGAGCAAAAGCCCACGCAAGCGCTCCGCCCCAGTCATGGCCGATGACGACGATTCGGCCACCTTTGCCTGAACCTGCGAGGCGGATCGTTTCAGCACCATAGAGTGCACCTTCACCTGCGCGAGCATGGTCGAGCAAGTCGCACAGGTCCTCGACCATGCTCTTCAGGCCGTACTCGGCGATGCGATCGGGGTACGCAGGCTTGCTGGATAGGCCGCAGCCGAGGCAATCCGGGACGATCAGCCGGAAGCCGGACATGCTCAATGGAGCTGTGATGCGTGACCAGCTGGCATGGCAGTCTGGGAAGCCATGCAAGAGCAGGAAGGTGGCTTTTTGGGGCACACCTGCAGGTGGTGAGATGTCAAGGTAATGGTAGCGCCGTTGGAACGTGTTCCCCGCCTCGATTGGTGTCACGAAGAAGCGGGAATGACGGGAGGTCATGACGGCGGCGTTCTGCCTTTTCTTTTTAAGTTTGGGAGATCACGCTGCAGCTTCTTGTCTCTCTCGGCTAAACGGTGTATATCTCTCGAGCAGGGGGAGGGCATTAAGGAGGTAAGCTCTCGAAATAGATGGAGAAGCTGGCATGCAGATGCGAAGTCCTCACCAGGTGCAGCCCGGCCCCATGCAATATCCGGTAAGCGGGGCTCCCGGCCTGGCTGTGTACAGAGATGAGACACATCGTACAAACCAGAAACCATAATGCGATGAGCCCAACGTAGGGTTGATGCTATTGATGCCGCAGCGTGACGCTCGGAGTGGTAGAGTGCGAGAGACGCGTCGCACAATCGCGCTGGTATAGAAACCACATCAGAATTATCAGCAAGGCTTCAACGGGAGCCTTGGGAGTGGCGAGGACCAACACCTCATATCTTCCCTCCTAATAAGTCCTGCAGCGTTATTCGCGCGCCACCATCCAGCTGCACCCACGACAAGTGGCTCTCGTGCACGCTCTCATCACGTCTTTCCCTCCTCTATTGTATTCATCCTGCACACTTCTCGATCCACTTGCAGCATCAATGTCAGCGCCGCGCGACGCGTCTGCGGCCAAGGAGCGCCACTACCAGCATCTCGCCAGCGCGCTGCAAAAGCTCACCGCCAACGTCGCCATGGCGCGCGACCACATCGAGGAAGCTGGCAGGCAGTCGGATGTCATTGCCAGGCTCGCTTGCGGGCAGGCTTCTTTGTGAGTGGTGCCGTCTGTCGTGGCGTCGCTGTGATGTGGCATTGACAATTGATCACTTGTATACCACAAACCTGGCTGTACACAGATTCATGGCATCGCTTGAGCAAGTGGACCAAGAGAGCGCAGCAGCAGCGGAAGCGATGGCACGTGAGGAAGAGCATCAGTAATGGCACCAATCGCTCGCAGGCGCATCTGTCGCCGTGCTATGAATTCTGCCGCCTATCGCCCTTCAGACAGGAAGGACCACGCCCGGCCCATTGCAAAGCGCATCGAATTAAGCTTCCCAGCTGGGGTTTATTCACCTTGAGAAAAGGCAGCCCGCTGAATGAGTATATTGTCCGATACGTGCTGTGTTCCATCCGCCTCGATCGAGTCGGCATTATAACCCGCACAGCAACGCACAGACGCAAAGCATGCCAAGCCGTCAGAGAGCACTTAAAGCACTTAGACTAACTTTGTTCATGTCTCTGCTCGTCTCAACGTTGTGCCCCTTTGACATATCCACTGGAATCCTCGTCTCTCGGTGGCTGCGGGTCGGTCTACAGACCCGAGATCAGATGTGCATGTACTCCGTGTAAGCACTGGTTCTGCAACATTGCTTGAAAAGAGACGAATATTAAGGGCAAACGTTTGCAGAGCAGGCCTAGAGGGAAGCGCTGCATCATTTAATGACCCGATTTAGATGTCTATGCAAGCCCTTTCGGATTGTCTCTGTTATACCAAGGCGATGCAAACGTGGCATGTCATAGGGAAAGGAGAATGGTTTGTTTGCGTTAGAATCCGAATGATGAATATGTTCGTACTCGCAACTATCTTCACTGAAACATTATCGCTCTCAGCTTCAACTTCTACCAGCGTCACCGCAAGCTAATACACGGGGTTGATGATGAAAGAGCCTCGTTCGAACACTACTCTTGATTTGACCACCACGAAACGCACGCAGAACAACAAAACCGGACTGCACACCCGAAATGGTCTGCGAGCAAGATGGTACAATGTGATAGCGAATGCGGTCAACGGAGACATACAGAAAGTTTTTGCATTGAAGCTGCAGAGTGCGATCGTATTTGTGCTATGCGAAGCCTGTGATGCGTTGCCTGGCCAAGAAGCGCCGCTCGTCTTGTTACGATCACTATGCATTGGTGCTCGAGCTCATTTCCGCCTGCCTTCTCAGCGCGGCTGGAGCGTCGCCTCGGGGCATGAAGACCTCAACAAGCGTGCATTTATCAGCCTTGTTGAACTCTTCATCTTTGAGCAGTGCATGTAATTCAGCCTTGGTGTGTGTGGCGTGATAAGCTGTCTTGGACATCTCTGGATCAGAAGCATGCGATGGATTCGTCGGGCGCCTGTAATTGGGCGGTGGGCGCAAGAGGTCGAGTAGCAGCGAGTGGTTGTACGGCTGAATGTCATTGTACGAGGCTTCGGCACCATGAATCTGACGCTCGATTTCTGGAGAAGTGGCATACGAGTGCACACGGGGTCAGACGATCGCTCTTTGCAGGGCAAACGTGAAGCAAGGAAAGGAGACGTACCGTAGCCATCATTATTCAGCACAAAAATCAATGGTGTGAGGCCCTGTCTGATCATCGTTCCGATTTCCTGCAGTGTCAATTGCAAGCTGCCGTCGCCGATGAAGAGAATCGTTCTCCCTTGCTTGGCCGCAGCATCGCCCTGTTTTGTCAGCTCCCTCATGCCCAAAGAGACGCCCAGGGTAGCCGGACAACTCCATCCGATGCTACCCCAGAGCACCTGAGCCAAGAACTGAGCATCGCGAGGGAAGCGTACTTCCATCAGGCCGAACGCAGATGTGCCCGTCTCGCCAATGACTCGGTCTCCTGGGCGGAGGAACTGCCCGACGCGCGGCCAGAGATATGCTTGAGAAATGATGCTGCTCGTCACGCTCTGAGAGCCACCCATGGCCCCGATCTGCTCGTGCGTAAAGGTAGACAACTCCTCTTGAGGAGTCGGCAGCTTGTTGTTGAATGTTGGAATACGGCGCGCCACGCGAAGCAGTTCTTCTGTCTTCTCGAGTCGCTGTCGACCGTGTTTCTTGAGCGCGTCCGTCAGCTTTGGCAAGAGGCCCTTCATGCGCACGCCCTCATAGGTGGCGAACGCAACGCAAATGCGGTCACTGTGCAGTTCAATCGTTGACTCCCTCCTTGTACGATAGGAGAAGTTGCCAGTGTTAAAGTCGCTCTGCAGCGTTCCGATTGCGATGATCAGGTCAGCCTTCTCTTCAATGACTTCCTTCACTTCAGGGGAAGAGATGCTGCCGATGTAGACCCCGCCGTACTGAGGATTCGCGTCCGACTCATCGACGGCCGTTTTGCCCATTGGCGTGGTAAAGATAGGCAGGCCTGAGCTGGCGACAAGAGCACGCGTCTCTTTAACGACATTGTGCCGCAGGGTGCATGCGTCGACGAGGATCACGGGGCATTTTGCATTTGTAACCTTGTCGGTGATCACCCGTAAGACGTATGCTTCCGAGTCAGCCTTGTTCGGTGAGAAGCCTGTCTGCAGCGACTGCTCCGTCAGACGATGCTTGCAGGAAGCCGGCAGGGGGAAATGCACAAGGTCCGAAGGTAGGGCGATGTAGACAGGCAGCGCCTGACGCACACAAACCTCCAAGATGCGGTCCAGCTCGCGCGCAGCATCTTCGCCGGTACCCTCACTGTCCTTTTCCATGAGTTGCATCCGTCCTTCACGCTTCAGTAGAGCAAAATCGAGCTGTGCAGCGGTGATCTGACGTGCAATCTGACCGAACGCGACAAACTTGTGGTCGCCTGTGGGGCCATCTCATAGGTAGGGAAGTGAACAGAAGGATATGTGAGTCCATGCGGTAGGTCCAGACGTGTCACATACTGCGTGATCTACCAAGCGTATGGTGCAGCAGTAGACCATGCTCTTGGGCAGAGCTTGTGGGTGTGCCAACAATGTGTATCACAGGGATGCGTTCAGAGTAGCATCCAGCTATCCCACGTCGACAGAAGCAGATCAGCACTGAAGATTCTCTGCGACACTGCAACAGGTCCTTGCAGAGACTCACCAATCCCATTCGCTGCGCTCAGTTCTCCGACACCCATGGTAGTGACCACTACGCTGGGTCTCTGAGGTCCGAGAACACGTGCAAGACCGTCTGCTGAATAGGTAGCATTGAGCTCATTAGCATTACCGATCCACTCGGGCGCCTTCCCGTTGATCCCATGGTTCTGCTTGGAACCTGACTTCGCGTGATGATCAAGGAATTGAGAAAGCAGACCCAGTGAGTAGTCTCCGGGAACACCTTGGATTACTGGAACATTGAGCTGTTCGAGTCGACTCAGGAGGTACTCCGAAAGGAGGATACTGTTGCGGGTGCCGGCTGAGGAGGACATGGTCACGGGTTTCGTCGTGATGGATGTCCAGTCCACCTCGCCGTTGTGTTGGCCTGGCAAGCTGGAAGTGCGAATCGCGCTGGGAGATGAAACCACGCCGAAAGAAAGACACACTGAAAGAAGTCTCTCCTACGACTTCTTTATATAGGGAGAAGCATCTTCAGCGCAACATTGGCTGAGTCAATCAAATTGACGCATCACACGCATGTGGCTTATTGCTGACATGCGCTCTCACGGACAACTTCGTAACGTCATTTTCGGCGATGATGACAGCTGCGAGTTGCGCTAGTTTGCCCTCGATTTAAATATTGGAGCAATCATCCGACCCTTCGGTAATCCAGTTTTGGGTGCGCAGGTAGGTCTCTTCGCCTTTATCGGGTTAGTGCCGTCGAATCCAGAGGCAACGGACACGGTCAGAATCCCTGTGGAGACCCCCCTTAGTCCAGATTTACACTCTGACGAGTTTTCATCTGCATCAATTCCGTGCAAGATGCTGTTCCCAGGCCTCAGCACCTCAGCGCCTCATGCCATCAGCGCCTCGGCAGTTTCTGGCTCTGGCTCCAGCAAGCACAAGCAACAAGCTGGGATGCTGATGGCTGATACGTTCCTCAAAAGACACGTCATGACTCAACGCGACAACAATTGTGCCTTGTACGTCATAGCATCAGACCATCAGCCGAAGAGTCCGAGAAACCAGTCTGCTGTCGAGGGGAGCTTGCACCGATTATACAATTTTGGCTGGCTTCATCCCAATCAAAGAGTCACCTAAAGGACACCTTGTGAAGTTTAGGTCACCAAGCAAGAAGGGTCTAGTTGCGAGCGGGGAGACTCGAGTGAGCCGTCTGAAATGTTTCACCATCTCAACGTCGAGAACAGCGATCCTGTCATTTTTGAAGGCTGAAATCCGGAAGGCGAGGCTGCACGTATGGCTCCGTCACGCAATGCTGTCCCAAGCAGCCGAGGAGGCAGCTACAACGGCACCGGCTCTTCGTCTGCTGATCGTGGACCACTTTGACTCGTACACGCTTAACCTCCTCTCCCTCTTGTCACGCGTATGGCAGACCGACTTTTCGTCGGTCGAGCTGACTGGCCGGTCGAATGTACACAAGACAACTCCAACAAACCTGCAATCGGAACGGGGCCATCATGCAGGTCAATTCGAGCTGCAGCAACTGATAGCCTCTTCATCAAAGAGTCCGGCTGCACATGCCACACACACCTACGGCGGCACGGCCAACGCGCTCATGGCCTCCAATGTGGTGGTACTCCCGCACACGCACTCGCTCCTTTCGTCGGAAGAGTCCATTCGAACGCAAGTCCTGCCGTACATTGACGCCATCATCCTCTCCCCGGGCCCGGGCACCCCCCACGAGCCAAACGACTTTGCTGCCGCAGAACGCTTGCTGCGTATGCAAGAAAGGCCCAAATGCGATGGCAATGGTAGAAACTCGGTCCCAATCCTCGGTGTCTGCCTCGGCCACCAGGGCATTGCTACCGCTTTCGGGGGCAAAGTCAGGCGTGCGAAAAGTATTCGACATGGTGTGCAGAGCCAGCTCAGTTGGACCACGGAAGCAGCACATAGAAGTGCCTTCTTTGGTTTCGGGGAAGCAGTAGAGAGAGAAGGGGATGTCGAAGGGGAAGGGTTGTTCAAGGGGATCAGGCAAGGTTGCCAAGTGATTCGCTACAATAGTCTGACCGTTGATCCGAATTGTAAGTTCTTTTCCACTTCTCAGCTCCACACATGAACAGCCTCTAACAGAAATTGTCATTTTCGAAGCCTTGCCGAATTGCTTGGAAGCACTCGCATGGACCTACGACCCTCCCAACACGCACCCACCTCCCATTCTCCCACAAAACTTCCCCATCCTACCACCGTCGCGCCGCCCTACCCCAGCTGCCACGCCCATCCGCATTTCCACACCGCGACTTGCGTCGCAAGCTTCTATGGCATCGCTCGCTACTACATCCACGTTGAATGGTGAAGGACGCACTCTTGCAAAAGGAATCACAAACGGGACGGAAGGAGAAGCTGTCTTGTTGGCCTTGCGCCATCGCTCGCTGCCTATATGGGGCGTACAATTTCATCCCGAGAGTATCGACTCGCGCAATGGGGAGAAAATTCTGGCGAATTGGCTGCACTTAGCTTCTCAGCATCTTACAGGCTATGAACAGCAAGAGTCCAACGAAAATTATATGCGAGAAGATTCGGCCGCAGCAGCTGAGGGCAATGTCTCTCAGCTACCTCCGCAAGTATCTAGCCTACCGCAGCACTTGGTCCGCGCCGGACGCGCCTGCGTCGCTATTGGCTCCTCATCAGTGTTGGAGCCAGGAGCCATTGATGGAACATCAACTGCGGGATATCCATCACCATCGTGCCCCCTTGCATGCACTGAAAGTACGATAATGGATAACACCCGCGCGTGGCAATTGCAGCTCCAGTGTCTGCAAATGCCACCGTCCGATTACGTTTCAGAGAATACAAACAGAAGCACGCTCTCAAGCAGAACACTGGGCTCGCCGTCAATATCACACCGATTCCCAACCGCCGAACAAGCGGAGCGCGTCTTCGAGCGTCTTTTCTTCAAGTCCCCCGTCGGTCAGGACGATGGAAGTGGACGAGCAGTGGGAACGGGTCGCTCGATGGATGGCATCTGGCTCGACAGCGCACGAAAAGCGGACCCACACTCGCGCTTTTCGTACATGGCCCTGCCGGACCTATGGCTGTCTTATTCGCGAGAGAACAGGGAAATCGTGGTCTCCTTGCCACAACCGCCTTCACATGGAGGAAACTCGAGAGTCAGGTTCAAGCTGTGCGATGGCGAGAGCTGGTGGGCCGTCGTACAGGATGTCCAGCGGAGCTTGCAGGCTATTTGGAGACAGGGGACGCCTGGAGGCACATCAAGCGAAAGGCACCGTGGATCTCACGAATGCCCACAAGCAGCGCGTGACGTGGACATCAACATGTTCTGTGGCGGCCTTGTGGGCTATTTTGGATATGGTATGCGAAAAGAAGCTATCTTCCGAGATGAACCGTTGCCGCAGGAGCCAACATTGTCCTCGCTTTCGCCATGCTCACCGGCGCTGTCCGATGATGCATTAGCAAATGGATCCTTGCTCCATGGCCGCTCGAGCAAGGAAAACGACAATGGCAATGCACACGAGGCAACGAGCAAGCCGGACTCGGAGCTTGCAATGTGCTCGCGTGTCCTTGTCTTCGACCACCACACAGGCGCATGGACGGCATTTAGCCTGTCTCACTGTGAGGACAGTGGTGCACTCTTCGAACCCGGTCTTACATCGCAAGCAGGAATTGAAGCTAATGGAGCCACGGCGAAGAATATCTTACATCAGATCCTTGCTACTCTCGCTACTTCTGATGATTCGCATGAATGGCTTCAATTCGTCAAGCACGAACTGCTGGCCATTGGATGCGAAGCCAGTGAGGAGCGCAGCACTTCGAGCACCAGGTCTTCTTTTCGCCCACGCTTTCTCCCACTCATGCGGTCAGACGACAGGGCGCAGCAGTACATGGACAAGGTACAGTCGTGCCGAATGCATATTGCCTCTGGCGAAAGCTACGAGCTTTGTCTGACGACGCAATTCAGGGGCCGCATCGCCCTCGAGATTGGCGACGACCAACAGGACGAAACGATCATGCACTACGAATTGTACAAGACTCTTCGCAGGAAGAACGCTGCGCCATACTCCGCCTTCATCCCTTTGCCGCGCCTACGCGACGATGGCTGCAAGGGGTCTCGTGCCATCTGTTCTACATCACCCGAGCGCTTCATGCGCGTGACGGCACGGGGGCTCGCGGAGATGAAGCCGATCAAGGGAACACTCTCGCGAGCTGGATACAAGCCTGGTGAAGAAAGCTGGCTGCCATGCCAGTGCAAATGTCAGGATGCGCGAAGATGCGAATGTCAGGAAGCGCAGAAGAAATTGTGGAGGGACAAGGAGGACGCCAAGCGTCGAAAGGCACTGGCTGCCGACATTAAAGAAAGGGCCGAAAATCTGATGGTGAGTGCGCAACGGTACGGAGAGCTTCGCAAGTGTAGGAAAGTTGCGGCAACTGACGTTTTCGTGTACTTGGGTGGACAAGATCGTCGATCTGATCCGTGCAGACTTGCTATCGATATGCAAACCAGCGTCTGTTCAGGTCCCCAAGTTGATGTCTGTCGAATCGTACACGTCCGTGCATCAGCTCGTCACAACTGTTCAAGGTCAACTCAAGTCCGGCATCAGCTCCACGGAGGCAGTCGCCCGCTGCTTTCCGCCCGGAAGCATGACTGGCGCACCCAAGAAGCGGAGCGTCGCAATCCTCGATGAGATTGAACGCCTCGGACGTGGCCTTTGCGCGCCCGATCATGGTGATCGTGCACAAGACGGATCGGAGGCTCATTCCCAGGCGTTCGATGCGGAAAGAGGGATCTATTCAGGTGTGCTTGGCTGGCTTGGCATCGACGGCTCAGCGGACTTTGCCGTCATTATTCGCACCGCGTATGTGGAAGGCAGAGGTGCGTGATAGCAAGGCATCTTTCTCTCGCATGCGCTTGGAGAGAGGCTGACTTTCTGAGCGCTTCTTCTACCGAACCACAGATGTTTCCATCGGAGCGGGCGGCGCTGTTACATACGCTTCAGACCCTGCGAAGGAATGGGATGAGGTGCTCGACAAAGCGAAAGCCATCGCGCAGATAGTAGAGGCATGACGAGCCTGAGAAGTAGAAGGTAGTTGAACCCGAATTTCATTGGAAAGGCGCGGAGTATGTGCGGATTGCACCAGATCGCCGCCTACATGTCCGCGATTTCCACCTCGATTCCCCGGCATCCGAAGAATCTGCGAGATTCCAGAAGCTTCGAGCCGAAACACTTCCAGCATCCCATGCGAGTTTGTTTCACAAGACGCTCATGACGAAGTCGATGATGTTAATGTGCTGCTCGCTCAGCTTCGTCGATGTTCTCTGACAGACGAATGAGACGCTGTCCCGAGAAGGCTCATCGTCCATTCGAAAGCGCAGCAATGCTCTTGCCCAAGCAGGGTATAAAACAGCGCGGGTCAGTCGCATCGTCCTATCTCTCAATATCCGACCTCTCAGACAACAAGTATGCTTTTTCGCACAGCACGTAAAGCACTCTTCCAACAGCTTCCCAAATCAAGCTCTCAACGCACACTCAGCCTAAGCGCACGGTTATTGAGACCCGCAGCAGCCTACGTCCCAGCAGCCAACGACATGACGCTTTCTCTCAGGCCTTGGTTCCACCCGACCAGCTTCTTCAGCCCGGACCCATTCTCCACTTTCGACACGGAGCCCGATTCGAGCAACGCTGATCCGGAGGGACAGCAAGTTGCTTCCCGCTCTCCGGCCAATTTTTTCCACCGTCACTCCCTCCCGGCTGGCCCAGCCACGGACATTCACGACACGGGTGATACAATCGTGGTCACGAGCGAATTGTGCATATCTCCCCGTCTTTCAAGGTAAATGATTGGGTACTGAACTGCTTTCTAATTTCCGTCACTTGTACAGGCCTGGTGTCAAGAAGGAAGATGTCCACGTCAGCCTCGATGATAAGTCGCGCAAGCTGACCATCTCCGGTTCGTTCAAGTCCGAGTTCCATACCGGCAGTGGCGAACAATTCAAGGAAGCTAGCGAGGAAGGAAAGGAGAATGGCAGCGCAAGCAAGGAGCAGAAGAGGCATGGCCCTCGTCCTCTGATCAGTGAACGTACCTACGGTTCCTTCTCTCGCACGTGGATCTTGCCCAACAATGTGCAGACGGACCATCCAGACATCAAAGCGAGTTTCCAGGATGGCGTTCTCAAACTCTGCATCCCCAAGAAGGCGCAGCCTGAGACGAAGGAGCCGCGCACCATCATGGTTGAGTGAGGACTTATCAGAGATCCAATAGCAGCGGCCGTTTGTTCGACCTTGAAGCAGCCATAACGCACAATGCGCATGTCAGCTAGCGCGAGTCACCATTTGCCTCATTCTGATAGCATCCCTCAACAATATTTCCCATCTCGTATGCGTCATATCTCGCACGCACAATTTAGCATAGTCCACCATAACATTTAGCTGTCGCAATAATTGAATTTGCCATTCATGAGCACGTGTGTCTGCTTTCATCTGAAGTGTTGTCAGTGAATACACTGTGTCGTTCTACTATGCGTAAATTCCTGGAACGGATGATCAAAATCTGGGATGAAGATTTGCATGTATGCGCGGCCAAGATACAGGCACACACGAATCTAAGCTCGCTACACAGCAGAGTAGTCGATCTTTGTCTCGTGCTTCTTGGCTTCTTGCAGCTTGCGCGCCGCCTTCATGAAGTCATCCTGCGTGACATAGTCTCTGTAGGAGCGTAGTTCAGAGGAGAAACGTGGGGGGTCAGTGATTTGCGTTCATGGCAGCCCTAAGTGCAATGTATGTGCCAATTACAGCAACTCTAACGCACCTATCGTCGCGCAGCGCAAACATGCCGGCTTCTGTGCAGACGTTTCGAAGATCTGCGCCGTTGAACCCATCTGACAGCTTGACAATCGCTTCGTAGTCCAACTCATCCTTTTTGGCCAGCGGCTTGCAGTGGATCTTGAGAATCTCCAACCGGGACTGCTCGTTTGGCAAGGGGATCTCGATCTTCCGGTCGATACGCCCGGGTCGCATCAGCGCGGGGTCGAGTGTGTCGGGTCGGTTGGTGGCCATGATGATCTTGGTCTTGCCGAGGTAGTCGAAACCGTCCATCTGATTCAGAAGCTGTGTGGGTGCATTAAAAGGCATAGCGTCTGTGAGCGAAAGAGCCCATCCAGGGAGGAAATTCCAGCCCAGCAGCTCACCTCCATCAGTGTCCGTTGAATCTCCCGATCAGCTGACGTTCCCTCTGAGAACCTTCGCCCTCCAATCGCGTCCTGTGAACGCAATCATTCGCAGTTGGTCAGTCTTCAAAAATGTCGAGGGTACGTTTCCAGGGCTCCAAAAAGGCGGATGACTCACGATTTCGTCCATAAAAATGATACATGGCTCGTGCTCCTTTGCATAGCCGAACATCTCCCTGACTAAGCGCGCGCTTTCGCCAATGTATTTGTCGACGATAGCGCTCGAGACAACCTTGAGGAAGTTGGTCTCGAGCGTGGCGGCGACGGCGCGCGCGAGCAGAGTCTTGCCTGTGCCTGGTGGGCCGTAGAGTAGAACACCTTTTGGTGGCTTGATGCCCACACGCATGAATAGCTCTGGGTTCTTGAGCGGTAATTCGATGACCTTAGGAAAAGAAGGACGCAAGTGATCAGGCGGGTCGCTCGAGGGGTCACAGGCCAAAAATGCTGCTAATGGAGCACTCACTTCTCTTAACTCCCGAATTTGTTCACCAAGACCTCCAATACCAGCAAATGTGACGCCGCCAGGGTCTTCCATGCTCATGTTGTATACGAGCGGATCCACTTCTCGTGGAAGGATGCGCATGATGGTCAGCGTGGTCATGTCGAGGGAAACGCGTGCGCCTTGCTTGAGCTTGTGCTTGGGTACGGAGGAGCGGCATCCGACGATGTAGCGAGGGCCTGAGGATGCTTTGACGATGTATCGCTCTTCGTCTAACTGTTTCAGCAGCTCTCCGATAATCTGCCCTACCGACTGGAGTGCTTTGATGTCATCTTCGGTTTTGTCAAAGTCCGTCTCCAGATCCTTGAGCCCAAAGCGCACTACGCCCAAGCAGGTGAAGAAAGGAAAACGCAAAGCAGTTTAGCCACCATTGTTCAGAACGAGGCACTTCTCAGAGCGCCGCTACGCACGCTTCTTCAACCCTTCTGATAGGTCCTCGTGCTGCTTTAGTGCCTTCTTGTATGCGACGAGTGCAGCGTCTTTGCGCGCATCGCCCGTGATGACAGGCGCTTCTAACGCCGTGGACGATGAGCCATTTGCCGCCACACCGCTGCTCGGGCCGGCGGCGGCGGCGTTTTCGTTGCTGTTGTCCGACATGTTTTCTATGCAGCACGGCTCTTGTGAGCTCGCCTGTTCTTCTCCGTGACGATGAGGGGGTGTAGTCGATGTCGAGTCTATACGCGAGAACGAAGAAGACATTGATGTTCAAGCGGCCTGCAAGAAAGGTGTTAGTTGGTCCAATCTCAATGACGCGGCTTCTTTCGACGTGATGTTGCAGCGGGCGTTTCGGTTCTGGCTGACCGCGACTGAGCGGAACAGAATACTACAGTGCCCACTGCCGTCAGCCGCACAGACCTCTCTCCAAACGTGTCTCATTCCTCGCTGTGCCGCGCCCGCGCTGTTGCCATGCCACCATCGAACCACACAGCCGCCAGCACGAAGATGAGATCCACCTCACGCAGTCAATCCCTCGCCTTGCTACAGTAATACTTTCTTCCTGATCGCAGCTATACAGGCAGGCACAGCATCCACTGCCTGGATGCACTCTGCGCAAAGAGCGGAAGAAGCAGCACAGAGCAGCATTTGTACTCGCTCGCCCATCTAACCAGCGCACAACATTCGGAAGAAGCGCGTGTGTTGCCAAGCTTCCCCCTTCGAGGCCTCTCACTCGTCTCTCGCTCAACTGCGCGGTCCTCCAAGCCTCGACTTGGACCATACCCTCAGCGAGTGGAGCGGACTGAAAGCAGCAAGCTCTCTTTCGGGGTATCTGGCGCTGCTCGCATCAGAAAATAGTGCATCTCATCTGGAAGATAGAAATACCATTTGCGTGCCGCACAGATTATACAGCAACGATGGCGGACAAGCCCATCCTCTTCTCGGAGCACGTCCAGCTCACCAACTTGGGCATCGCGGCCGAGTCCATCTCCTTTGCCAATGTCACGCTAGAGTCGGAGAACTTTGTCTGTGTGCGGGAAAGCATCAATGGACAAAACTCGGTGGCCATTGTCAACTTGAACGATATCAGCAATGTGTGAGTAGCAGTCGAGTGGCACGCGTGCTCTTCCCGGCTCTTGTTTCTGACCATGGGGATACCTTCATTCGGAAATGCAGCATGCGCCGGCCTATCACGGCCGACTCGGCCATCATGAACCCAGTGCAGAAGATTATCGCGCTCAAGTCGGGGCGTCAGCTCCAGCTCTTCAACATCGAGGCCAAGGCCAAGGTCAAGTCGCACGTCATGAACGAGGATGTCACCTTCTGGAAGTGGATCTCAAACACTTCCCTCGGCGTCGTAACCGAAGGCTCCGTTTACCACTGGAGCATGGAAGGCGAAGGAGTGCCGACTAAAGTGTTCGACAGGCATGCCAGTCTCGCTGGATCGCAGATCATCAACTACCGCGTGAGCCCAGACGAAAAGTGGATGGTGCTCATCGGTATCTCAGGTAACACGACACCGGGAGCATTCCGCGTCAAGGGAGCGATGCAGCTATACAGTAAGGACCGGGCCGTCTCCCAGCCGATCGAGGGCCACGCTGCTGCCTTTGCAGACATCAAGACGGATGATTCGCCCAACCCGTTCAAGCTGTTCACGTTTGCCGTCCGCACTGGCACCGGCGCCAAGCTGCACGTCGTCGAGATCGACCACCAGGCGGGCCAGCCAGCCTTCACCAAAAAGGCTGTCGACGTCTTCTTCCCACCCGAGGCAGCGAACGACTTTCCCGTCGCTATGCAGGTCAGCAAGCGCTACGGCATCGTCTACCTCGTCACCAAATACGGCTTCATCCACCTTTACGACCTCGAGAGCGGTACATGCATCTACATGAACCGCATCTCCGGCGAGACCATCTTCATCACAGCCGAGCACGAGTCGACGAGCGGCATCATCGGTGTCAACAGGAAGGGACAGGTGCTCTCAGTCACTGCGGACGAGAACACGCTGATCCCGTACATCCTGACGACGCTCAACAATACCGAGCTCGCGTTCAAGCTGGCGTCGCGCGGCAACCTGCCTGGTGCGGATGATTTGTACCTGCAACAGTTCCACTCGCTCTTCAGCTCTGGCCAGTACAACGAAGCAGCCAAGATCGCTGCCAACTCACCGCGCGGCATTCTACGCACGCCGACGACGATAGAGCAGTTCAAGCAGGTCCCCAACCAGCCTGGCACACTCTCGCCCATCCTGCAGTACTTTGGCATCCTCCTTGAGAAGGGCACGCTCAACAAATTCGAGTCGCTTGAGCTTGCACGTCCCGTGCTTGTGCAGGGCCGCAAGCACCTACTCGAAAAGTGGCTCAAAGAGAACAAGATCGAGTGCAGCGAGGAGCTCGGCGATATTGTCCGTCAGCATGACATGAACCTGGCGCTAAGTGTCTATCTGCGCGCTAACGTGCCCAACAAAGTCGTCGCCTGCTTTGCCGAGACGGGTCAAGTCGACAAGATCATTCTCTATGCCAAAAAGGTCAGCTACACGCCTGACTACGCTGCGTTGTTGCAGCACATTGTGCGCATCAACCCGGAGAAAGGCGCCGAGTTCGCTAGCAGCCTTGTGCAGGATGAGAGCGGGCCCCTGGTCGACATTGAGCGTGTTGCCGACATCTTTATGGGTCAGAACATGATCCAGCAGGCCACATCGTTCTTGCTTGATGCACTTAAGGACAATAAGCCCGAGCAGGCGCACTTGCAGACGCGTCTGCTCGAAATGAACCTCGTCAATGCACCCCAGGTCGCCGATGCCATCCTTGGAAACCAGATGTTCACGCACTATGACCGCCCGCGGATTGCCAACCTTTGCGAGAAGGCGGGTCTGCTGCAGCGCGCGCTGGAACACTATGAGGACATTGCCGACATCAAACGCGCTGTCGTGCACTCCAACCTGCTCAACGTTGAGTGGCTCGTCGAGTACTTTGGCCGTCTGACGGTCGAACAGAGCTTAGATTGTCTCAAGGAGATGCTCAAAGTCAACATCCGCCAGAACCTCTCCGTCGTTGTGCAGATCGCCACTAAGTACTCCGACCTGCTCGGACCCGTTCAGCTCATCGAGATGTTTGAGAACTTTAAGTCTTTCGAGGGTCTGTACTACTACCTTGGCTCCGTCGTCAATTTGTCGACCGACCCCGAGGTGCATTTCAAGTACATTCAGGCTGCGACGCGCACCGGCCAGATCCGCGAGGTGGAGCGAATCTGCCGCGAGTCGAATTACTACAACCCGGAGAAGGTCAAGAACTTCCTCAAGGAGGCCAAGCTGCAGGACCAGCTGCCGCTCATCATCGTCTGCGACCGCTTCGACTTTGTCCACGATCTTGTGCTCTACCTCTACCAGAACATGCTGATCAACTTCATCGAGGTATATGTTCAGCGCGTCAACTCGAGCCGCACGCCGCAGGTCATCGGCGGCCTACTCGACGTTGACTGTGACGAAGGAGTCATTAAGAACATCCTAGGCTCCGTCACCGGCCCCATCCCGGTCGACGAGCTGGTCGAGGAGGTGGAGAAACGCAACCGCCTTAAGCTGATCCTCCCATGGATCCAGTCCAAGATCGACGCCGGCCAGACGGACCAAGGTCTGTACAACGCCATGGCCAAGGTCTACATTGACAACAATAATAACCCGGAACAGTTCCTCAAGGAAAACACGCTCTACGATCCCAAGGTTGTTGGAAAGTACTGCGAGAAGCGCGACCCTTACCTGGCTTACATTGCCTACGCCAAGGGGTTCTGCGACGAGGAGCTCATAAAGATCACCGACGACAACGCAATGTTCAAGCACCAGGCACGCTACCTCGTTCTGCGTCGCCAGCTCGCCCTTTGGGACCAAGTCCTCAGCTCGGAGAATGTCAACCGCAGGCAGCTCGTTGACCAGGTCGTCTCCACCGCTGTGCCCGAGTCGACCAACCCGGAAGATGTCTCTGTCACTGTCAAGGCATTCATGGCTGCCGATCTGCCACATGAGCTCATCGAGCTCCTTGAGAAGATCATTCTGGAGCCATCGGCGTTCAGTGACAACCGCAGTCTGCAGAACTTGCTCCTGCTCACCGCCGTAAGGACCGACAAGGGCAAGGTCATGAACCTGATCGACCGCCTCAACGGTTACGACGTCGATGAGATTGCCAAGATTGCCATCGACCACGGGCTTTATGAGGAGGCGTACAAGATCTTCCAGAAGGCGGACCGCCAGCTGGACGCCATGAATGTGCTGGTTGAACACATCGTCTCGATCGATCGCGCGTTCCAGCACGCCAACAAGCTTGACAAGCCCGAGCTGTGGAGCCGCCTCGGTAAAGCCCAGTTGGATGGTCTGCGTATTAAGGATGCCATCGATTCGTACGTCAAGGCGGAGGACCCTTCCAACTTCACCGAGGTCATCGAGATCGCAGAGCATGCCGGTCGGGAAGAGGAGCTGATCCGCTACCTCCAAATGGCCCGCAAGAAGGCCAGGGAACCGCTGATCGACACTGAGTACGCATATTGCTTGGCTAAGGCGAACCGCCTGTCGGACATGGAGGAATTCCTCAGCATGACCAACGTCGCGGATGTGCTTAGCGTTGGTGAAAAGTGCTTCAACGACGAGCTTTACGAGGCCTCCAAGATCCTCTTCTCGAGTGTCTCAAACTATGCACGTCTCGCCACGACCTTAGTCTTCCTTGGGGACTACCAGGGAGCCGTGGAGGCCGCTCGTAAGGCTGGCAACACGAGCGTCTGGAAACAGGTACATGCTGCGTGCTTGAAGAAGGGAGAGTTCAAGTTGGCCCAGATCGCCGGTCTGGCTGTTGTCGGCAGTGCAGAGGAGCTCCCAGCTCTCACGCGCGCCTACGAGCGCTTAGGCTACTTTGACGAGCTGCTCGAGCTGCTCCTGGCTGGCTTGGGTCTCGAGCGTGCATCCAAGGCGCTATTCACGCTCTGCGCCCAGTCGCTCGCCAAGTACAGGCCGACAAAGTTGATGGAACATCTCAAGATGCACTGGTCGAGGACGAACCTGCCGCCCGTTGCGCGTATGTGCGAGCAGTACGCTCTCTGGCCCGAAGCGGCATACTGCCTGATGAAGGATTCCGAGCACGACGAGTGCGCCATGATGGCCATGGACAGAACCGTCGTCTGGGAAGACTTGGGACACGACTCCTTCAAGGGTCTTGTCGGTAAGGTGTCCAATGTTGAAATCTTCTACCGGGCGATTAACTTTTGTGAGTCATATCGCTTTATGGTAGTTCGAAGAGTCTAAGTTGAACTGTCATTTTTGGTTGTCGAACAGATCTGCAACAACATCCCCTACAGCTTAATGACCTCCTTGTCTCTCTATCTGGCACCAACCGTCTGGATCATGGCCGTGTCGTCCGGATGCTACGAAAGTCAGACGCATTCCCGCTCGCATCTGGGTTCTTGCTCAGCAGCCTCAAGCTCGACGCGACCGAGGTCAACGAGGCAGTGTTCGACTTGCTGGTCGAGGAGGAGGACCACGCGCAGCTTCGTAGCTTGATCGGGACGGTAAATTCCTTTGGCGTTCTGGAGCTGGCACGAAGATTGGAGAACAGCGAGCTGCTCGAGTTCCGCCGGATCGCTGTCGTGCTGTACAACAAGCAGAAGCTGTGGTCGGATAGTATCGCGCTGAGCCAGCGGGATCGATTGATCAAGGATGCAATCGCCACTGCAGCCGAGTCGAACAGCAAGGAGGTGGCCAAATCGCTGTTCGAGTACGTTGTCTCTCTGGGAAATTGGGAGGCGACAGCTGCGATGCTGCTCGCAGCCGACTGGTTGCTGGACGAGGATTACGTGATGGAGTTGCGCTGGCGAAAAGGCATCCCCAGCGATTTCGTCCAGCCGTATCTGATCCAGAAGGCGGCGCAGCGCAACTCGCGGCTGGTGCAACTTGAGCAGCAGCTCAAGGAACTGGCGACGCGCACCCAGACCAAGCAGGAGGAAGAGGATTCGGCACCGATACTGGGACCAGGTGGCCTTGGTGGGCCGAGATTGATCACAGCAGCGCCGCAGTGAGTCTAGAAAAAAAAAGATCATCATGGACGCACTGACAATCGTTACTGGTTTCTTTTTGCTTTCGCGCTTTGCCGTTGCTAGAATGATGGGGCAACCAACGGGTATGCAGATGCCACAGGCTACTGGGATGAACGGGTACCAAGCAGGATTCGGGTATTAAGTGGTGGCCTCTCCCATCATCGCTGTATATGACAAGTATGAAGCAATCATAACAGGTTTAGATCATCCCGGACAAGGCACTTTCGTTGGATTAGACATTCAATGATATAGCGATGTTCGATTTGCAGTGCAGGGTAAGACTGCGGGATGCAGAGATACATGAAGCAACAAGAGAGATTGAATACATGAAGGATACCTTTTGCGAATGGGGCGTGATATGCTGCGGGAATGATGGTCACCGTGATGCCGTTTGGGTTGGTCCTGTGCGACCACCCGGAAAGATTGGGCTGATTCTTGGAGCGCCCTTGGCGCGCAATTCCCGTCATGACCTTCGACTGGTTTCCACTCCAGCCTGCCAACACCCTTGAGGCATCGCGACTCGGAGAGCCGCGGTTTCCCGGGGCGGCAAGCAGGAACGATGGCGAGCACGATGGGCTGTTCGTGCTTTGCTTTGCCGATATCACGTCCAGCGACCAAGACGGAGCCGGGCCAAGACTCAGATGCCGCCACCGCTACGCTCCGTGGCGACGTAGCGCCCTCCGAAGCTGGTGCCGCGCTCGGCTGCAAGATGCGCGGCGCGCCGGCTGTAAACGTACAGGCCTGCTGCGCCGGCAGTAGAGAATCTGCCGGATGCAGCAGCAGTGGTAGCAGGAAAATCGATAAGCGTGGGCGGAGCGGGTCAAATCTAAGATTGGCAATTGTATCGTGAAGACCACCGCCACTTACACGAGCAAGCTCCGCGGTCGCAGGATGGCCATCATTGCGCTTCGGCTGTAGATTTCAAACAGGAATCGCGGGTATTGTCCGACTTTCTGGCAGTGACGACGATGAGAACTGCGACCTTTACGCAGAATTAGATAAACACCGTCCCTCCGAGGGAACGATCGAGGTCAGGGAATAAGAGGTCGTGGAGGTCGAAATCCCGAGAGCCAAAGTGGTGAGCTGCCAGGTATTCAGGTGGGGTTGGCTGGTTGGTTGGTTGGGGAGAGTCATGCCGAGCGGAGAGAGTAAGACTGCTGATGAGTTGATTGCGATCAAGTTTACAGCCAGATTCCCTCCATGGGGTAGGCACTGCGCAACTGTCCGAGATTCAGGTTCACGGCTCACGGTTCCGCCCCCAGACCCCATGGCCCGACACTGCCGAGCAACCATCCACTGCACTGCCGCTTTGCACGGGCCACGCTATCAGGCAGAATGTACCCCGAAATATACTTCATCTGACTGTTTCTTTCTTCCTCCCATCTGCTCCTGTGCGCTTACTTTGAGTGCGGTCTGTGCTCAGCGCTCGAACCAGCCGTAGTCATCAGGTTGCCTCCCTATGGAGCCTGACTCTGCATCACGTCGACGAGCGTACAGGCGGCCATGTTTGTTCGTCTACTGCATACTGCTCGACTACAGCTCACAGCGCCTCGAGAGACCTCAGCAATCGATCCCAGTTGTGCACTGCCTGCGAATGAAGTTCCACCTTTGAGTCGACGTACTGTCCCAGCATCTCCTTGAGCTCGAGCTGCTTGGCGTACTCAAACATCATCGCCTCGACGGTGACCTGCTGCGAGAACGCCTGAGAGACGTCGTGCGACGTCGCGACGGCATCTTGAAGCTGTTGAAGGGCAAAAAAGAGGGGGGGAAGAAAAGATTGAGCATGTTTGGCCTGCTGCCACTGCTAATACTAATATCACCGAGAGCTCCGACTAAGTGACTAACCTCCTTGATCCGCCCATCGAGCCGCTGCATCCTCTCCACCCTCGTGCGCTCCTCGTCGATGCCACGCAATGAGTCCATCTGGTCCTTGAGGTAGCCCGTGATGCCTGCGCCGCGCACGCCACCGTGTCCGTGTCCGGCGCCTTGCGGGCTGCTCAAGCTTGCAAGGCGGTCGCGCTCCGCAACGACACCGCTGAGGTACTCGGTCAGCTCCTCGAAGTCAAGCTGCTTCTGATCGCGCAGCTTAAGCACCTGCTTGTGCGCGTTCGCATACGTCAGCAGCGCATGCATCGACGCGAGGATGCTGTCGGAGCACCGCGACGCATCCTGCTTGTGCAGGCGCGAGAACTCGGCCAGCGTGACGGCGAAGCGATGCAGCTGGTCCGTCATGCCTGATTCGAGCATGCCTAGCCCGTCGATCGACGCTGCCAGATCTTCATAATCAATGGCCAGGTCTTTATCAGGCGCAAGGTCAAGTTGAGGGGCATATGGATCAGGCGCCAAAGTGGAATACGAAGCGGAAGGGGCAGCTAGGTGAGCCGTCAGTTGCGTCAGGGCGGCGATGAGACGAATGCTGCAGGCTCTCGGCATGTGAAGAGAGGGTAGCATGAACGATGAGGGAGGATGCAAACTTACCGGAAGTACGATTTCGGTTGCGCACCAGAATGCGCTCCGTCGATGCAAGGCTTTCTTCGAACTTCTCGAGCCGCTCGCGCATCTCGACAAATTTGGCATCCGGCTTGCGCACCTTGGTGAACGCGTTCAGCAGGGTATCTGACAGCGACTCGAGCAAGCCAGAGGACATGGCTTCGCCGTTTGGAGAGGTAGTAGCATGTGATTGCGACATGTGCGTGTGCATATCGACGTTCTGTACGGTGGATCGCGTGAATTCGTAAGCAGGCCTGTATCAGTCGTCAATGACTTGAGTTCGCTCACCCATTCCGTCGATTCGAGAAAAGAGCGGAGAATTGCTGTTCGCTGGAGGATCGAATGTCGACATACTCGTTCCAGGAAGAGTTGCAAGCTGTCATCGCGAAAAAAAGGAACCCCAACAGCATGAATAAGCACCAAATCGCCTTTAACCGCGCTGCACCAGCGCAGGTATCTCATTAACTCACTCTGCAGTCCTTCGCTCCACGAATTCGGCGCTGAAACGATCGCCTGTGAGATATTCTGGCATGCGTAGCCAAACTTCTTGTCAGCTAGTCCTGCTCCATCAGCACTCGGCCGACGGGTGTCCACATACCTAAACGGTGTTTGTCTGGCAGAGGGGGTACGACGCATGCTGGAAAGTCCTTTGTGAGAGCATCCCGCAGAAATGCAAAGTCTTTATATCGCCGCCGATTGGTGAGCCGTGTCCGATCAAAGTGAGGAAGATTGGTCTGCAGCCACGTGGCAAGCTGGGAGTCAGCTACAGTCCTCGGATCACTTGGAGGGACGGGTGCCTCCGAGCTCACCTCGGCGCGTATGCCGTATGAGATGAACATGTCCTTTGTGCCCTCTCCCTCCTTGCGCGCATCGCACACCTGTACCATCAGGAATCCCTGCCATTTTGGCAGCTCGGGTCGGTCCTGTGCCGACAAGCGCATCATGGCCGGCGAGTACGCCTCCAGCCCTGCTGAGCGGGTGTTGCTTGCTGATCGATCATGGCTGGGCCCTGCTGCGGTTGCGGACGATGCCGAGGGTCCAGCTTCTGCATCGCCGAAGCCAGCACCACCTAGCGCAGACGTGGACGGCTCTCCCGCGTCCCAGTGGATAGAGGTGTACTGATGCTCCTCATTGCCGTCCGCCATCGTCGCCTGGCAGATCCTTGGCACGATCTCGGGGGCGCTGGTTGATGGGCCCGCTCAGCCAGCTCGGCGCCAGAAGATCGTTAGCCCCTCTGCGGGTTTGCGCCAACAGAGGCCGAAGTGCAGGTCGCCGTTCACCGTCTGCGTCGGTATCTGCGTGCTGGTGACCTCTTGCTCGGGATGCGCAAGAGTGCCCTACTTAATAGATACATGCTAGAGAGGATGTTGGTTGGGTGAAGGATGGCGCGGCGCCGCACGAGCCAGGCAGGAGAGAGCAGCACTGGGCTTGAGCGCTGGCATCTGGCCGGCGGCAGAGGTGGCATGCGTTTCATGTAAATTCATCCATTCCGCCCAAGCGCTCTCTGTCGAAACTCTTCGAATGGCGATTATTTTTGCAAACCCGAACAGACATATCTTCCTCATCTTTTTCAACTTCATCTGTCTCTACCATCCTGCACTCATCTGGTCGCAACACATTGACAAGGAGTGCCTCTCTGCCTTCCCTTGCAGCTTGACTGTGCGCTAATCAGGCGAGTGTTACTATGAAGAGATGTAACAGCTCGACAGGTATCGATTCTTTGGCGAAAGGTGAGTGCATCGCATCTTCGCGGCGCTGCGACTGCCCAGCGCGGCATCGAACCCAAGGAGGGCACATACCATAGGTGAGTCGCTGGTACATGCTTTTGAAGGCCTGGAGGCTTTCATGTGGAGAACACGGAAAGCAGGGGGTGAAAGCGATGTGCGGCGCAGCTGCTACCGATGACGATTCATCGTATTTGACCAAGGAATCTCGTTAGTCTTACTCTTCATGGGGATATCGATACCATTCTATAAGTTTCAGCCTTGTCTGAGGATAGCTTCTGCCATTATGCATTCTATACGGTCGACACCAGCATTGGGCTGGGTGTTGGATATGCGTGGGAGATGGGGATCGGGTCTGTCTGAATCCTTCCCAAGCACACTGCTGACATTGTGCACGTTCTGTTCTGGACACAGGCACAAGAAATCGAGAGCATGTATTGCAAAGCACCACGAGTGTTGGAATGTGAAAAAAGAATGAGACAGCACCATAAGAATTTCCAGGCATATTTCAGCCGTATCAATGCGCGTGGATGAGGCAACGTGTGTTCCCAGCGTCACCATATATGTTAGTATGCGCCAGGCTGACCGCGCATCCTGCTGGATTACGGTTCAAGCTGCTCATGTGCGAACCATCCTCGGAGCTCAATAACAGCTTTGTATCTCGCCGAGTCGCAATGCTGCCATCCGCGGGTGTATGGGCCATCCGCCCGCCGTCCAGCACGAGGAGCGATTGCGCGCCGGTGCATCGAGCACTCTGTCTTGCGCGGCTCGTGCCAGGATAGACCAGAGGGTCCATCGTCGGGCTCGTCATGAAGCCTGTGGGATCAACCCTTGTATAGTGGGTAGCGTCGTACCGCTCTGGAGCATACTCAGGGCCGAGCCCAGCTCCCGGCGGAGTGCCGAGGACGTTCTTTGTAATTCTCCAGGCTTTGCTCGCGATCCTCCTGATCCTTTTGGAGCGTACAGTATCGCTGAGGTCGGTGTTGTTAACCTCGAACGATGAAGCGGAGTCACTAGTGCCGCTGTAGAGGGAAGATGCATAGGAAGGGCGTGGGATGATTCCTTTGATATCGCGAGGCTGCCACATCGGACGCGGACCATTTGTCGCTGTTTCACCAAAATACCAGACAAAGCGTCCCAAGTCGACCTCATACGCACCGTCCTCACGCAGTCTGCTGACTGAGATCATGACTGATGTGCATTCGGGATCTGCACTGGAACGAATGCACGTCAGAGGGCCCTCGAGCGCTCGTTCGTCACAGCACGACGGACCTTTGAGTTCCACAATGATCGGAAGCATTACCGGGTCTTCGAGCGCACGGCTCTCGACCTTGAAATGCCCGTCCACTCCGAGCATGTCCGTGATGCGGTTTCCTTTTGCGTCCAAGTGGATGGGGTAGACGATCACCTTGACTTTCTCTGGGCACTTGCTCAGCTTTCTCTCCTGCAGCCGCACTTCGAATGCAGCCCTCGTGCCATCCTTGTTCCGGCGCATACGGCAGCGGAACAGACCGGGGCGAGTGGACCACCGCATCACTTGTGATGGAACCGCCGTGTCAGAAAAGCCCCATTTGGGATCGGCGAAGATGTCACAGGCTTTCTTGACGGTGTGCGTCAAGGTGCGCCCGTGGAGCAGCGCAGACGGCATGGTTGCAGGGCTGCTAGTGAGCCACGAAGGCTCGACGACCTTGCGATGCTTGCAGGCGAGCAGGCCGAGGTCGATCGCAATTCAGGCGGTTTAATACGAGAAGCTGAAAGGGGATGGATGTCAACAGCAAGGGAAAGGAGCCCATGGGCAATAGAAAGAGTATATACAAACTTGGACAAGCTGGGAGCGGCGTTGAAATCCCATCACGGTTCAAGTCACCTGGAGCGAGCTGAGGATCGAATGGTAAGGGTGGGGGCCGCATGCGGTCCAAACTCCAGCGGCAGCTAGGCTTATATCTAGCGTAACCATAACTGCACAATGCACATGTGCCTCATGATGCATAATCGGGGGAGAGACTCCTCTGCTGCCAGTTGATATGTACAGCGGCCATCGTTGTTAGCCGTCTGCGGCTGGGAGTGCACACATGACAAGCCACGTAAGCATTTTTCATTTCCAATTGCAGGTACCAGGGCAAGGAAAATTTACTTGGAACACGATCGATTTTTCTTTTTATTTTCAATTGAAACGCCTAGCTCCACTTATCGCTGGCGAAGTGGGTGCCTTATTGGTTGCCCAGTTTTGCAGATTCGGGTGCGAAGCCGTGGATTGATGCTCCATATCCCCACTGTTTGGGCTGTTATTCACCGGATTCAAGCGGATTATCGTCAACCGAGGACCAAATTGCGTGTCGCCTCGGCGGGATACAACAAATCTTCAATGCGCGTGCTCTCCACAGATGTCCATCATACACATTTTTACAGCTCGCAAGACTATCCTCTCTGATGGATCGATAGTCATTCCTCAATAGAAAGTCTCTTCCCGTCTGCACCGGGTGGAAGCAGCCTGCTATCCGAAGGGAAATGGTGCTCATCCAATAGCAGGCGGCCTGGCTCTCGATTCCCTCGCGGTAGCGATGGCCTGCGGCGGTGGACCTTGCGCCTACATCACGCTGATCCGGCATGGGGAGACGCTGGCAAACCACATGCGACTGCTGCAGGGCCATTCCGACTCGCCGCTGACTGTGCACGGTACTTCCCAAATCGAAGCGTTGGGACGCTACTGGGGAGCGCGGCAGAAGGGAGAACAATGCCCGTCAGATGGAGGGCCGTCACAGACATTAGAGCCGCCCATCACCTTACTAGTAGCTAGCCCAGTTGGGCGAGCGAACAAAACCGCCGATGCGATCGCGCGGAACTGCATTGACCTCGATGTACATGCCAGTGACATCAAAATGAGCAACGATGACGCAGATTTACCAACAGCTTCGCGTTCGTCCTTCGATCCAGATTTCGAAGCAGCCCTTTTGCAGGAGATCGGAAAGGCGACCCTAGACCCAGCTTCGCTAAGCTACTGTCTCGACGCTGGACTGGCTGAACGCGATTTCGGCTACATGGAGAGCACAAGAGGTGGAATCTATGTCCCTTATCAGCAATCTTCGGGTAACATTAGCAATGGCGCCGTCTACAACAAGCGAGGGAAAGGGAATGGCGAGACGAAGGCCGTCTTCGAACAGCGCGTCAAGAATGTTGGCAGACGGTGGATCCAGCTGGCATCGAAAGCTGCAGTCCTTTCCGGGGACAGCGGTAAGCCTTCTGTCGCTTCGAGTCGAGGAACAGACCGCAGTGCCACTGCAGGGCCAGTGCACGTCGTGCTCGTCACACATGGCCTGTGGCTCAAGACATTTCTAGCGCTCTTCCTAGGCGCCAACACGCAGCCCCCCTTTGCAGCCAACACGGGCTTCTTCACCCTCGAGCTCCGTGCTCCACGGCTATTTTTTCGTATGGAGAAGGGGTCGATCCTAGAATCCTCTCGCGAAGTGCACAATAGGGACAAGAGTTCCACCGTTACACGCAGGGAAGTGGCGCGTGCTGAGCCGAACGCGGCACGGCCGGACCGGATAAGCCTCTTGCCAGGCCTCCAGCTCATAAGCAAAGACCAGACGCCTCATCTTGCCGGTGTGAAGAGGCAGTGTGGTGGGGCCGGCAGCATCGCAGAAGACAGAAGCCAGTCCAAGCTGCAGTCCTTCTTCGGTTCTTCTCCTAGCAAGAAGCGGAAAGAAGTATCGCCGGACTGATTATTCTAATTTATTGCTTTGACAAAATTCACTTGGGATCGAACTCGACTACAGCGTCATAGAATTCCTTGATCAACCTCTTTTGCGCGGCTCTGCCCGACTCTTGCGGCGTGTCCCCGATCGCGCGAATGCTGAGATACTTGCGGCCCATCAGCACCTCAGGAGGCACAGTTCCAAACATCGAGTCTGACGCTAGCGCTTTGGATGTCCAAGCCTTGCTTCCGACAGTGACGCCGCCCGCTTCACGCAGGATGGCAGTGCCTCCGTGTCGGAAGAGAGTGTCTCTGTCAGACTTAAAAGCCTCCTCGAGCGCAAGTTGAGCGATCTGCTAAGAGCTCACCTGCGCATTGGTCCCACGACCATGTGCCGATCTCGTAGTAGACGTCGATGCTACCGGCTGCGATGCTCGCGCTGACGAGCGCGGCGCTGCCGATAGATCGAATGCCCTGAACCATCTTGCCCCCTTCTACGTCTTCGGGGTCACCGCATAGGCGGCGGAACGATTGTAATTTTGCCTCGAGCTGACATACAGGAATGAGGTAAAAGTTAATTAACACAGTGAGACGCTGTCACGCCGAAAATGTTCAGAAGACATTGCTCGAAAACGACTCACGATTTCGCTGCGGCGGTCTGAACCCCACTCCATGGCCACGACGGCCTGACGCATTGACGGTAGCGGTGTAGGCTTGGCCAGTGGCAAGCGACGAGGTTCAGGAGCCTGCGCAGTGACGAGATAGGCACCATGGCCTTGCAGGGCATAGTACAGGTGCTGCAAGACGAATTGAAAGCGTGAGACCGGTCAAATCAAAGCGGGTGGTGTCGAGACTCACGTCCAGGAACGGTGCGTAGCTGTATGCCCGGGAGGATATTGGATGCGAGCCGGGTTGAGATATTATCACACCAGCAAAAGGCACCCGGGGAACCCCATCTCACATGACTCCCATGACCGGCTCCTTCTTGTACGTGAACCCAATCGAGATGCAGCAATACGGGAAGCCGTGCACAAAGTTGGTCGTGCCCTGGTGAGAGTGCAGAAGGGTACGCATTCATCAGCGGTCATTCACTGGAACGATGCCCTTGCGCAGAGAAAGTAGCGCCGTACACACATCGATAGGATCTACGATCCAGCAGCCTCCTTCTGGTACACTTTCGCTGCCTTGCGCGCTCTCCTCGCCAATGAATGCATGGTCAGGGTATTTCGCTGTGATGGCCTCCTTAACGAGCTTTTCGGTCGCTTGGTCAACCTCTGTGAGCCTGTGCAAGCAAATTGGGATTCCATGTTAGGTTCCTACATAGGCGGTACTGTCACACTCTCCTTGGATGAGCTCTTGGAGCGTGATCTGAGGGATACGCAAGGAAAGTGACACACACAGATCGGCAGAGTTCTTCTTGGTCTCAGCAGCCGTGCCCTCTGTGAAACGCTTGGCTTGACCGTCCGAGATGGCCTTGCCCGCCTTCTTGGCGAGATCGATCGCAAAGTCCAGCACTTCCTGCAAGTTGAGCTCGCTCATTGTGAGTTGCTTTCGGTCAAATGCCGACGAGAACTGCAAGTGCCCGGACTGTCGATAAAGGCAGGTATGCATCTAGCGCATAGCGCAAAGGCACGGGCGCATGTGGACCAGTACTGGCAAGCACGCAGTGTGCCATTGGAGGAACTCAATGTGAGCATGCCAACATACCCTCAAGAGCAGCAAAACGTGCAACTCGGTTGCCCCGTGCACATATCCGTGGAAAGTGGCGCCTCTCTGTTTACGCATCACGGACTTAGCTGCACCATCGCTCGCTCGTTCATCCACTTTCCATCAGAGCATATTCGTCTGAACATGCCTTCCGTTTAAATGTCTCACAGCGCCAAAGTGGGCATGTAATGCGTTGCACAGCGAGTATGACGCTGTTCCCGTCTCAACGCATGCAAGACGGATGTGTTTCAACGACAGTGTACGAGCATGTATGCTGATCCACAACTAAGAGGCCGCGAAGGCGATCTACGCCAGAGAACGAACGCATGCTTTGGCTCTTCCGCTTGAGCTTGATCGCTCAAAGCAACCGCAGCCAGATCGATCTTTTTGCAGTCTCCCAACCATGCAAGTGATGCGAAAGAGCGCAACATGCGCAAGTTACTGGAAGTGCATCTATGCGCCCCTACGGTTTGTACTGTTCCTCGATGTACTTGGAGACAATGCGACGCTGTGGAAAGCACAAGATGACAGAGATGGTGTCAAAAGGTGGAACTTTGAATCTCATTCGTGGTGCATGTTCAGCATTCCCAAAGAAACGCACCTGGATTTCTGAGGTACCCTCGTACAGCATGAAAATTTTTGAGTCTCTGTAGAGCTTCTCGACGGGGTATTCCGTGTTGAAGCCTTTGCATGCGATGATGAGAAAGGGGCAACCATCAGCACATGTATCTTCACGAGGAAAGTAGGAGATACAAAGGTACTGCGCACCGGCTCCGCCAAAGACCTGCACCGCATCATTCGCATTGCTGACCGCCGCCTCGGACGCCATGGCCTTGGCCATGGAAGCGTAGAACGTGTTCCTCTGTCCTTGGTCCTTGACCCAGCATGACTTCCAGACCATGTTGCGCGCCGCCTCGACGCGCATTGCCATGTCGGCTAGCTTGAACGCGATCGCTTGGTGCTGAATGATCGGCACGCCCATCGTGCGCCGCTCTGAGGCGTACTTGGCCGCCTCGTGGAACGCACGTGAGGCGACACCTATGGCGCCAGATGCAACCAGCGGGCGCTGTACAGCAGGAAACAAAGGAGTAAAGAAAGGATCGGTCAACCGAAGCTGGAGGGCCGAACGTTTAGACGGTCGAAAAGCGATCTCACCGTGATGTCGAACGCTCCCATGGCCGTCCGGAATCCGTCACCGGGCTTGCCAAGCACATTCTCCTCGGGTACCTCAACGTCCTCGAAGGTAATCATACCTGAAGGAACCAGAAGCAGTGTCATTACCGCATATACTCGGTCCTGCCTGATACCAGATTATCCGCAAGCCATGGCGCAGGACTCACGCGGGACTCACGCGTATCGCTGCAGCGCTGGCCCATGTTGATCTCCTTCTTGCCTCGCGTGATGCCGGGCGAATCACCATCGACGACAAAGCCAGTCATGCTCTTGCCGGCCTTCTGCGACGGGTCGGTCTTGGCGAGGACGAAGTACCAGTTGGCATATCCGCCGTTAGTTATCCACATCTTGGACCCGTTGATGACCCACTTGTCGCCTTTCTTCTCTGCACGCGTGGAAATATTGGCCACGTCTGAGCCTGCGCCCGGCTCGGTGACGCAGTACGCAGCAACGAGCGGCTCCTCGGTCATGCGACCAAGGTACTTGCTCTTCACGTGGTCGCTGCCCGAGACAATCAGGGGGGCCTCAGCAAGCCCATTGGCCTCGATGGCCGTCTGGATCCCTGAGCAGCCGTACGCGAGCTCCTCGCTGATCAGACTGCATTCCATCAGGCCCAGGCCAGACCCTCCGTATTGTTCTGGGATGTGCGTGTTGAGCAAGCCAACGCTGTGAGCGGCCTTGATGATCTCCCAGGGGTACTCCATCGTCTTGTCATGGTGCTCGGCCTTGGGGATGATGTGCTCTTCGGTGAACTTGCGCGCAAGATCTGTTGCAAGCCAAGAGTGTGGCCATTCACGTCAGCACGCCACAACAGACAAACAAGCTAAACCTGCTCGCGTTACGTCAAAAGAGGCCCATCCCGTACACACCTCGGTACGCCTCCTGGTCTTCCGTCAGCTTGAAGCTCGGCCCACCGACGGCCGCCTCGGAAGCATAAGCACGACGCAGGGCGGCTGCTGTCACCACCTTGCTACCGCTGCAGCCTGCGTACGCCGACGCGCCACCCGCAGCGAGGCTCCTCGTTGCGGCGCGAAGGCATGCGAGTCCAGCCATGGGTGTAGAGAATGCCATTGTTGCAGGATTATAGTTATTTGAATCGCTTTGCTTGCTGCTCGGCTCTGTTCTTCACACGAGCTGAGGAATGTGTATACGATCACAAGGAAAACAATGCATAGACTACGTGGACACTTGGGAGAATCAATACAGCCTGGTCCATGAGCCGAGCAGATAAGCGAGGGACGGCAACGGCACTCGGCTCTGACTGACTACATGTGGATCGTCTATCCGCTCGTGAAAGCCAGCCTTCCCCACGTGACTGCGGGGTGAGCACTGTACCAGTCACCGGCTCACCACGTACACAGCTGACCAGTCGCTGGCTCAATTACTCGCGGGGCCAACAGCTCTCACAAGCTGAGCTGCTGGCCTATGCCACGCGTCGATGTTGGAGGTGGTAAAGAGCTCCGTGGCTGAGATTGAGGGGGCTGCTGAAACAATGGACGATCGTAGGCGTTGCTTGCGATGACGTACGCGCGGAAGGCCGAAGGGCATTGCAATGCTTCGGTCCTGTTCATGGCTGCCAACTTCATCCATTCTAGCTGCAGGGATCTACTTGGCAGATTGCTACGAGGATTTCGCCTCCCCTGAGATTGCCGCTCAATCGTAGCTGCGCAATGTAAGTGTCGCGCGCATGATATGCTATAAAGTCTCATGTAAGCTCATGCTGTACTGCAGTTCCTTGCTTGGCTATTCCCACTATTCGCCCCAGCCATGTACAGTGAGTGCTACTCGGCTTCCGACATGGTCACCTTATGTATCCCTGTTACCCATGCCGCAGCGAATCTAGACCCCTGGGATATCGTCTACGATCTTAGCGGCCATTGCAGCTGCGCTAGGCATAGTTCAGCTGGTCCTGCTTCGCTACGGTGCACACATTTGGGCCCACTCACGCGCCGCGAAGACGCTGTTGCTCGAGGAGCAAACGCTAGGCGGCGCTCCGAGAATAAAGCAGTGATTCGAGCCTCGAGACTGGAACAAGGAACACTCGAGCTTGGACGCTTGAAGAGCCTAGCCTTGCACGCCGCACCTGTAAGACACCTTTCCCGCACCCTACTCTTCGTGTTGTTTGACATAGGCACCTGTGGCAGCCTTGCTTTCCACTGAGCAAATCTTCACTCCACCTCAGCTCTGCTTTCTTTACATTTTCGTCAGAACTGAAAGTTACAGCGTACAGCTGCAGAACCTCTAGCAACATGTGAGGTCTCAATAATCGTAGTGAGCCAGTCATTTGGGAGCAGTCTATAGCGTGCGAGGGTACCGAGGACGACATCTGAACAGTCCTGTACCTTGTGACTAGTGGTAGCCTTATTATTCTTACTATGTCTAGGTGATCTACTCGTTGTATATAGCCTACACTCACCTTTGAAGTTGCCGCCTCGTAGTCTCGGCGGTCCGGGTTAAGTTTACAAGCCCACGTAAAGCCATGCCCACCCAGTACTTGAGTTACTGGTTTAAATTATCGTATCTGACCCTCTAATACCTGAGTAGCTGACCTTTCAGCGGACAAAGGGGGCTTGATTTAGCAGTAGTAGCTTTGAATAACGACTTTCCCCTACCCACTTCTAGTGCCTGTACGATGATCCTCGGACATCTTTATTTCACCCTTCGAGGTAATGTGCAAGCCTGTCCGAGGGGTCCTCGATGGACTAGTAGTATCTAAGGCCTATAGCACTGCCTACTTTGATAAAATGCCCTAGTGAGCTACCTCAAAATGACTAGATTACCAACTATTGCGACGGTGGCGAATCTCGCAAAGATTCTGAACTGGCCACCTAGTACACCACCTGACGACTTGGCTGGTGACGTCACACCGCTGCACACAGTATCTTCGAATCTCGACGTGCGTGGTGCTCCTGACTCGCCACGTACATCAGGACGGCTTGTGAACACATCAAGATGACGGGACGACCGATGTTCGTTGAAACGACTGCTGCTGCGTGCTTGCTGATGGTTGCGTACCATTCCATTGTTCTGCAGCGTATCACTGGTGGTCAGACCGATCGCTGCCAACCTTCTCCTACCAAGGACAGTACCGCTCTTGACGATGCCCAATCTCTCCGTCGTTTCTGTACTACTCTGTCGTGAGATGTTGCTGTGGTGAATAAGCATTCTGTCTTGCTACTCTTGGAGCCTTTTGCGGTGAACCACTGTTGTGGAAGAGTACTTGTAGTGTGCTGGACATAGCCTTGGCAATGAGAAGGGAAAGTTATGAGCTGGTGGACTGTCGGCTCCGGGATCATTGACTACGTGAGAAGTGACCTTTTTTTTGCAGCAGACGCTAGTGAGCTCGAGTCTCTCCGTAATCTGCTCTGCAAACGTCAACGACGCCATCGTTCCTGGAGCAGCTTTTGACTTGCCATTCGAGCATCTTCCGATGTTCTTCCACCTCTCGCTGACGTGGGGTGCGCTCATTTGGTACAGGGTACGTTTGTACCCATCTCTTGAGGTTGATAGGGTGCTCTGCCAGCTTGAAAGCGGTGTGCGTGTTGTTGGCGAGGCTGTTGACTTAAGTCAGGACGCGCCTCCGCCGTATCTTTGCTTCCTCCTCGACGCACCACTCCGAGCGACATGCTTCAACAGCCAACCACCAGTGCAAAAGCACTGATTCAACAGACCCGAGCGAAGTGTTTCCATGCGCACTTCACCTCGCCTGTCCTCTCCGCTCTTCCCCCAGGGCCGATATGCCACTCCAACTCCTCACTGCCACTAACTCGACTCGATCTCTCGCGCCTTCACTTACCTTTGCAGTAAGATTGCCAGCGCAACATCGCGTGAATAAAATCATAATGGTGGTCATCGTGGTTGCAGGCTCAAAGGAAGACAGACGTGCAGCTGTGCAGGATTTGAATTTGAAATGCTTCGCCACTCCCTTTCACTGCTTCACAGCTCTTAGAGTTTCAAGCCTCCAAACGTGTTTGAATGATACCTCGAGAGTCATGTGGAGATTGCAAAGGCCGAAGATCTATCTCAGTTCGGGCATCTCGACGGTTGAGATAGCTGCCTATGTAACATCTCGAATTCCCCACTCTCCTCAAGGGGGGTACGCATTGTGCCCTCGCGCACTTCCTACCAAAGCAGGGAAACCCCGTGGCAGCACCTCATCCAGCATCTATGGGCGCTTATCAAAGCACTACGGCGATGCTGACGACGCACCGGCAATTCCGACCTCCGGGGTAACCGCTCGCAAGTAACATGTCTGGCGAAGCAGGAATGACGCTCGACGGCCATGGGAGCACCATGGGCAGTGCGGCCGCAAGTCATACTCTATGCGTTGTGTCCGCTGCTCTCTGTCATCATTATCTCAGGCTCGACTACGTCCAAGCTGCGGGATGGCGATACGACAATCGCTGTGCTGGTTTACCAAGCAATTCGGTCGCGACCGGTGGCCATCAGCATTCGAAGGCCTTTGCTCGAGCGCAGATTCCCTTCTATCCTTAGCCCGCGTTCACTTATCGGGCTTCTCCACACCATCGGTATCACTCTCGCCGTAATCGAAGCGCAGCCCGAACCATGGAGAACTTACCGTTCGCACCTTCACGATGTAGGATGCTATACCTCACTGTCATGTGGTCGCTTGCTTACTTCTGCTTCGAAGGCGATCAAAGAGGTACAGCAGAGGAATAGGGGATTATCGAAGGGCCATCGTGCAGGCCTCCACGGCTGGAAGTAACGAATTTGAGCAGGACATTGCCATTTCATATCCGTATACATCACATTGGGACAATCACACCTGCAAAAGGTTCACTGGTGTCAGTGTCGATGCTATTGATACTTCCCTGGACGACCCTCTATGCGGAACGTGAACGCAGGGAAGACAAGAGGTGGGAAAGCTGCGGTGCATTAGGAAGGGGCTAGCGTGGCACGAGTGTGGCGATGCTTCTGTTGCGTGCGAAAAGGCGGAATGGCCATTGTATGTCAAGCATCGATTGCTGGATTCTCATAACATTGTGCACGTCTCACGTAGATGGACTACACACGTAACTTTGACACGGCTTGATAAACCTGAAGTTGACTTTTAGGAGCGACGCACCAGCTGACCTTCCCTGCTGCTGCTTATCTACTCGAAACTCGTCAGGTCGCAGGCTTTCGCTGCTCGGCACGTATGATGCACTGACACATGCCGCGCCAGCGTTCAACGGCGATGTTGTTCAGAGTCACTATTTTCTTGGAGGCAGCTGTACAAAGCTCCATCTGACTGTGCTATGCCTGTAAGAAGCTTGACTTAGCCCTACGCCTCGAACTTCAATGTGTCAGTAAGCTACCCACAACAGAGGGGCGCCTAGTACAGTCAGATACGGTGTATGTATTGCAAACCAGGGCTCACCTTGATGCGATGCTGTCAATGACCCTAGCGGCCTCACCTTTGGCGCGTTCCTTTTGCTCTTGAGTGAACAATGCTCCAGCATTACGAGTCTTCTCCGACCGTTCGCTCCATCGATCTGCAAAGAGCTGCTCCTTGCCAACGAATAGGGCCGACACTTTTACGAGCTCCTCGCATACATCTACCAAGCGATCGTGATTCGACGATGCTAGCATGCGATCGGCTTCATCAAAACATTTCCAGGCCGTTGGCAAAGACGCTTGATTAGGGATGACAAACCTGCGGAGTGGCGCATCAGCAAGGGTTCAGTGACACATCGACAGAGAGCCACGCTCACATTCTCATCCAGCGACCCAGTATGCGCAACGTGTTGACAGCGTTGAACGATTGCGAGCCCCCGTTGACTTGCGAGACGGCACAAACTTTACCTTGCGTTGGACGAACGCTGCCAGTTGAAAGCGGGATATGGTCGAAAATTGTCTTGAAGATTCCTGTAATGTTACTGGAGAGGAAAGGCTTCAGCATGATGAGTATGGGTGGTCATCATAGTCCTGGCGTCTTCTCAAGGAGTCACCCATGCTGCTCGGGTGAACACCAGAAGTTGGCATCGCTTCAGGCCATCATAGACCTGAGCTCTAGCACCTTAGGGTGGTCGACGAGACAGTCTGAAGGCCAGATAATGAAGAGTATGTCAGGCCGCGTCATGATTCTTAATGCGGCAGAAACATCACTCATCATCCCTAAGTGGCAAGCCTCTTGGCGAGTTCATTCTGACGTCGCACGCCATGCCTGAAAGCAGTCTGGCAGCTTCATAGGCCATGAGCCTCGAAAAAGACCTAAGCCGCAGCCGCAGCCTAATTAGATATGTGGGCTTCGTTTGTACACTTCCTCGGATCACTCACCTATCCCTCAAGCTACCGTACAGTATCAACACTCTGATGGGCCTCGGTAGAGCTAGCGACAGAGAAGCAGCGTTCCCCAGCCCTGCGCTGCCCTCAGCAAAGACTACGTAACCTGTCCAGTCTGGGCTCACAGCACCATTTTTGGAGGAAGCGGCGCGGAGGAATGGTCGATACGTCGCATCAACTTAAGCTGGATCTTCGCCTGCTTCGATGACTGATTGCTTGATGCGCTCCGTAACGTCCTGTGCACAGAAGCTGTAGACATTGGAGTGCGAGTCGAGCGTCATCTTGCGGGGAATAGATGGAATGATGATGGCTCGGTTCTTGCGACTGTAGGGCTGTCGAAGAATGCTAGGCTTGGCCGATCGAAGAGAGCGAGTGCACATACGGGCGAGGAAGAGGGACGTCTTTCGTCGAGATGGGAGCAAGCTCCAATTTCAAATTCGAGGTCCCACGCTATTGTCATGCTAGCGGCGTGGCACCTCCCGATCACACAGCCCCCACCCCTTCTCGTGGCTAGTGCCTTCGAGCTGGCGTGCTGAGACTACAGACGGATTCGAGTTGGCTGTTGGTGCCGCAGCGGCAATCGCGACAGAGCAAAGTTCCGCAGACGTTGCGGCACCTGGTGTGGCCGTGTAGGAGTTGGCAGACCAGCTTACCTGACATATATGTGTGAGTATTTGGCAGATCTCAACTGCACTGTGCTCCTCTGCAGCCATAGTGTTTTTGCTCGCCATACATCGTTCGATGTAGCAGCTTGTATGACAGATTGAGGTCCGCGCCAGTAGGAGCAGCATTGAATGCGCATAGTAGCTTACGAAGACCCTCACGCACACCAGAATATCTCAGACGCAACTGCTATCGGTCCAAATGTACTGCATGTCATCTCAATACCAACTGATTTTACACTGCATCACCTCGAGCTGCTGTCCGCCCCCGCCCTGCCACCAAGAGCCGTAGCTTCGTCCCACCTCATCAGGGCCTTCTAGGTATGGTTCTGCCAAGAAACAGCACGCAGCCTTCAGCGACTTGGACGAGGAGATGCGGACGGAGAAAGTTCAGGCAACTCCACGTGGTGAGATTGCGTGAGAGGGAGAAGCAAGGCGACAGAGGGTTCATTTCCAGGGCATGCATTGTTACGAGTCTAGGGTGGGCTTGAGGCGTAGCTTGCTTAGAGACACATTGGTAAGAATGGACGTAGCTTGAGTGCAGTATATCGTGGACGCGATCGTAGGTGTGGACGAGGGCTGTCCACAGGATATGAGAGGGGGGTCTGAAGGGCAATTCCACAGACGATAGAGTGCCAGAGGCAGACAGAAAGGGATGTGGGGTAGATGCACGGAGGCCAGGGGTCGGAGGACGGAGGAAGTAAGGACCAAAAACAAAGCAGACGAAAATAGGACGAGTTGGCGCCTTGGGTTCAAATCCGTTGATGAACTTCCCCTGCCGTTAAGCTCTAGTTATAATTGAATCCTGTAATATGTGAGTATTCACGAGTAGCTCTTTTGGCGGCAAAGCAGCAGCTTAGACCTGCGATACGTTCTTGATGACTCACGCAATGCTTCTCCAGGTAGCACATGGCTTCCAGCTCTAACATGCACTTCTAGCCTGCCCCTCCTACAAAGCTCATCAGTAGGCCACCAGGCCAAATCTACAGTCTCCACTGCACTCTTAGCCCACACGCGAGCTGCCTTGCGCATCACGTACTCGGCGAAACGTATGTCTTTCTTGATCAGGTGTGGTCAGGTATCGATGGGAGTTGGGATCATGTTGCGGCGTGTCGAGCAATGTGTATGCTGACAAGCGCGGCCTTGAAGTCCGGCGCTGCGTTCCGAGGTACCCCTCGGCGTGGGACGTCGAAGCGCGACGACGGTCCAGCAGAGATTGACGGTGTGCTAGTCTTTGAGAAACAAGGTCGAACTCTGCTTGGACTCCTGCCCAAACGACAGCTGCTATAGCCACTGCAGCCGGAGCAGCAGCAGCGACATCATATCCAAATACTCAGGACAGTGCTTCCGGCATATAGGCCATCCACGTCGAAGTAGCCCTTCGTCGCGCGCGTCCCTTGGAGTGCTTTGAAGCCGAGCGCTCACATGCTGTAGCCTGAAGCTCAACTTAAGCTTCAGTGGTAGACACGGCTGAAGGGAACAATCGACGGATATTGCTCCAGCCCCTGGCCGCTGGGTGAGCAGCATCCATGAGTTCAAGCGCTCTAGAACCGTGCCATATGGCGCTCAAGCGTAGTCGTCGTGCAACGCTGCTGGTGTGTCACTGCGAGACAAAGCGTGCGCAGTGGTAGCGACATATATTGCTCTTTGACCTTTCGGCGCTAGATGTTGATCAAGAGACGAGTGCAGCTTCATGGGACCTGCATTTTGAGCAGTCTCACTAACAGCTGAGATTGACGCTACCGAAAGCTGCTATCATGCACGTAGAACGATCCGGCACGCTCATCTGTTGATGAAGCCAAGCTCACAGAGAGCGATGCAAGTCGTATTCATTCAACATGTAGCTACTGGCTTGATGTGGACTGTGATGACTGACACGAGCCGGAAGCTGACATGCAAGATTGACGCGAGTGCGGATACAGAGCAAGCGAGAGTCGTGTGTGTGCACGCTCTAAAAGAGTCTCTAAATCAGACACAAAGGTATAGCTTGAGACATTTGCTACATTGAATCGTTAACCACGCAAGTCGATAAAATTGTCACATTGATGTTACACATTACGCCGTTATCCTTTCTTTCCTCAACGTCCGATCGTAATTCTCAAAGATGGTAGGATTACTAATGCCGGGCTCACCCTGACGCTTCCTAATCTCTTGCATCCCATCGTTCCACGTGCGATCCCACTTGAGTTTTCTACCCAGGGAGAGCGCGACCCAAGAGAGTATCAGCAGCACTGGTACTTCTACCAGCGGTCCGATTGTGGCTGCAAGTGCCTGGTCGGAGTCTGCGCCATACACCGACACGCAAACGGCGATGGCGAGCTCGAAGTTGTTGCTACCTGCAGTAAAGGCTTGCACGACAGCCATTTGATAGCCCCACGTTCCTCGGCCGTACCGTTTGGAGAGCCCCCAGACAAGGAAGAAGCCCAAGCTCCACATAAGAGCAAAGTAGAGTACCAAGGGAACGAAGGTGCGGAAGGTTGGACCCAAGTTGTCGAGGATCCGTCGTGCTTGCTCAGCGAATATGATGATGATCGTGTAGAGCAGGCCGATGAGGGAGAGAGGGCCAAAGAAGGGAAGAAACTTATTCTCGAAGAAATGCTTGCCGAAGGCGCCCATGACTGAAAAGCGCGTGGCTACACCTGCGGCTAGCGGAATGCCAAGGTATATCAGCACGGCAATAGCTGTGTCGCCGTATCGAAGCTCAAACTCCCTGGATCCAGAGATGACGTTGACGAATAAGAGACTGTATGGCGCGTAGAGGACGATCTGAAGTAGCGAGTTGATGATGACGATGATGGCGCAAATGTCAGGGTCGCCACGCGCAATCTGATTCCAGATCATGACCATGGCGATGCAGCGAGCAAGGCCGACCATGATGATGCCGATACGGTACGATTCCAAGTCTGGTAGTGTAGCCCATGACAATGCTAGCATGAGAAAGGGCCCAACGACCCAATTGAGGATGAGCGAGACGGCGATCTGGGCCCAGATCTTTCGCGTTTGAAACGTCTGCGGTACCTTCTCATATTGGACCTGGGTTGTGCGAGTAAAGTTACCATCTTGTTAGTGTAGACGTTCACAACCAACTCACTTTTGTCAAGATTGGCCACATCATGACAATCAGCCCCACTACGAGAGGAGCCGAGACACCCTTAAGATCACCTTTTGTGAGGTTCTCCTTTACGTTTGGCGCAAATTCTCCGATGATGACGCCCAAGACCATAGCTAGTATTATGAAGAGTGACAGTAGCCTGTCCAACCAGCCCAGCCCGACGAGAATGCCCTTGGCCGTCGTGCCTTGTACGTCTGCACCATGCGCCATATCGTTCGCCGTCGGCACGCCTCCTGTCCTGCTAAAGTGTTGATCGACCTCGCCTGGTCTGTGTTCGCTGTTTGGTTGTGCCATAACGCCTAGGTGACGGGTGTGACAGCGTTAGTCTTGAGGGTGATGAAGTACGTAGTGGTGGTGGTCATGGCCTTTTTATAGGAACCTGTGGGCAATACTTACAGACGAATTTGAAATTCGAGCTTCCAACGTGCACATTCCTTGATCTGGACATTTGAAATTGGGAAATACTCTAACACTCCACTTTCGGTCTTCCACCACCGCTGCGACCAACATGCAATTTCAATGAAGACATGTCAAATTGATGTCACCCCGTGCCTTCTGGCAGCGCTCGGCGCAAGCCTAGCTAAGCTTAAGACTGGCATTGCTTCTTGCTTTTGCTCTTGTACTTACCTGTACGATTCCATCTTCCATCACGCACCATGTCAGAGCAGCATCCAATTCACTCCAAAGGCTGGCAAGATGTCTACCCAACGCCTCGTGATCGCTCCACAGCGCCTCTGCCTAGGGTTGATGTGCAAGTGCTCAAGCAGATACTCGAGAGGCAGGCAAATGGGCGAGCGACAGAGGCAGTCATTATCGACGTCCGTCGAACTGATTGCGAGGTTAGCATGAGTGTTATGGATCTGTGCATACGTACAGCATGTGCTGACTCTCGCTGTCCTTCTGCCTCAGTCAATGATACCGACTGCGATAAACTTGCCGGCTCACACGTTCCTTCTGTCTTTGCCAACACTGCTGCCTCTGCTTGCCAAAGTGCCACTCGTCCTGTTTTATTGCAATCAATCGACGGGAAGAGGTCCACGCGCAGCAGGCTGGTATGCTGATGCTCTTCAGGAGTACTCAGATCTCGATGATGCACAAACGGCAGCTAAGGTCGGCGTCGTCGAGGGTGGTATCGTGGGTTGGGAGGAAGCGTTTGGCGCTGGCAGTCTGCAAGAGCGCGGCAAGCCTGCGCAGGGTTGGAGCAGTAGACAGGTATGAGAGTTCATCTGTAGCACATTCAGCAATCAAGAAGACGCTGGATCCATCCTTGTTCCCGTGCTGTAATTACTGATCGTGCCGTGACGGCGCATGCCGTTCCGTCTGCTGCCGAGGTGTCGGTCATCAGTTATGCAAAGTGCAACCGACCATATATACTGACTTCCTAGACAAAATGAGCTTACTTTTCCAAACCGTTAGCTGACGCAGAACACCTCGGTGCCCATGCAGTGCTACCTAGCGCGGGCGTACAGCGCACCAGTGGTAAGCTGCTAGAGCCGCGACACACGTCCTTACGGCCAGCAGTTTCATGTGCGATGTAGCAAATACCGCGCAAGTCAAAAGATAGCGCTGGCAAGTATGAGTGCTGGCGCTACAGAAGAAGGCATGCGGTCGAAGACAACTTGTCGCTGATTGAATTCTGTTACAGCGTCTTGCCCTAATGGCATCGCTACGAGCACGAAGACGGGCACATGGGCGGGGCTCAGATCTAAGGCAGTGGCATTGACGAGGTGTCGAGAGGTGAAGTGGGTAGCGGCGAGGGCGTATGGACTATGGCTGACGCGTTGGAGTATTTCACTCCAGTTGCTGGTTCCAACGGAGAAGACAACAGGACGAGGGGAGACGTTGGGCTCTCGCGTACGAATGTATCATTTATCTTTTGTGCTGCGTTCCTTGCTAATCTACAGAGACTGGTCGTCCACCGATCATACTTTCCTGTGTCGTTGCGAAACTCCTTCTTAGGTCGATGATGGAGATGGTGACCCGGGGGGGGGATGGACACAAGGCCTGTGCCGCAGTCCTTCCTTCTCTGGGCCATTGGGCGGAACGGGTGGCGAAGATGGTGCTGCCTGCAGACCCGCCTGAAAGGGTGTGAGGATGGAGCCTTCGACATAGTGAAGGGCGGAAGATGTGAATGAGTGGGATGTGGAGAGTAACAGCCCAAGAAGAGGCTGCGATGCAAATGTGCCCAATACTGATGACTTGCTTTTCGAAAATTCTGGCAGCACGCTTGTCGTTCACGATGACGACAGCTGTCCCTTTTTGCTTGGAGTCCGAAAAGCTTTTAGCGAGAGTATGAGTATGAGTCAGGTGCGGAGCCGTCCGAGGCGCCAGATGGCAAGGCCACCCGCTGTGGGCCGGGCGATTGTCGTCGCTGCATCGCGTAAGGATCGTAACTACTGGATGCAGAATGCTGTTGCTGATGGTGATACTGAACTGGAGCCTGTACATATTGTCCTGGTGCAGATTGCACAAAGGTTGCCGGCGGTGGCGTTTGTGCGTACCGTGCTGGCTGGTAAGGCGCTTGCGAGAAGACCATGCCCGGCTGCATGGGTGGGCCGGAGACTTGCTGCTGTTGCAACATATACCCCGAACTTGTCGAGCCAGATCGCTGGTGAGGGTGCTGACCGCCGTCCATGGTGCCAACATTCGGAGGCGGGAACACAGCCCCAACGCGCAAGGGTCCTCCTTGCGGTGATGTCTGTGCCGACTGATACCCGCCGCCCGAGTAGGCGGTGAAGTTAGAGTCCTGTCGCACAGGTGGCCCAGGCCGCTGCTGATAACCATACATGGCTGCGCTCTGATCGTCAGGGTGGAGTCCGTGGTCCACCATGCCATAGCCCGCTACCATGGGATCCCCTTGGCTTGCGGTTCGCTGGCTCGGCACGTTCTCATAAGCCCGATGGCCCCCATTGCTGACTGCCTTGTACATGTCTCCTGAGCGCTTGCGGATGTGACCGCTGCCGACAAGCGTACCGTCCGCCGAGTCCGAGTATCTTGCCGAAGGTTGGTCAAGCAAATTGTCGCGCGACTCGCGCCCTGGGCCATACCCATTACCGCCGTGGTGGACATCGCTGAGCTCGTACTCATCCCCAGGCGTCTGTGGAGCGCCAGCGAGATAGTTGGCGTATTGCGCTTTGAAGCTCGAGGTGCTGGCACCGTAAGCCCCGACACCGGTGTATGGCGTGCCTGGAGAAGGGGGTCGGGTGCCGTAGCCGGACATCCCGGCCGCAATAGTCGTACCAGACATGACCGAGCGTGAGTCTAAGTCCTTCTTTGGGTCGTATTCCAGCTGATCCTCCTCAACAAGAGCCAGCTTCAGTCCGCCTTCGAATCCTTGTGTCTTCATCTTTCTGCCGTCGACAACTTGCGTGCTGGTCGCATCCAATCGACCGCGGTAGACGTTGGGCAGCAGGTGTTGCACCTTGGCGTGGACCATAGGAGTCCAAAGCTTCTCGTGCAAGGACGGGTGACCGAAACGCCGTTGCAGACGGTGGTGGCGTGCGTCTCCCTTGTGGACAACGATCCCGGCCATTTCCTGTGCATTCGGAATGTACCACTTGTATTGCGAGTCGAATACTCGAGCGGTGTAGATCTTGAAACCTATCACCATCAGGATGGGCGGCAGGCATGCGATTGTGCGGTACCATTGGCCAGTCTGGTCGAGTAAGACGGCCAGAGCGAGGATGATTTGCATCATGACGATGCAGATATAGAGACGGTTAATCACTATTCTCCACAGACTGCCACCCGTCTCGTGTTTTGTCTGGCACACGAACATCAGCTGATACTTGCAAACCAAGGAAGACATCCAGAAGCCCGCGGCACCGAGGACTGTGACCAGTGGGACGAGCGCCGCGTATAGCATGACGACAGCAGCCATGAAAAGCAGGTTGGAGTAGTAGATCGAGTACTCGAAGAAAGGCGGGCGAGTCAGCTCGCGGACGTCGCGAGGCGTGCGCCCAAAAAATCCCTTCTGGACCCAGACGAGCAGCAACTTGATCACCTGCGCCAAGTCGAAGATGATCATGTAGCCTCTGAACGGCAGCCAGGTCAACCAGTAGTTTCCGAGGACAAAATACTGCGTCTTGATCTGATTCAGCAGGTTCTCCTTCCCTAGCTCCCTGAGGATCTGTAATGCGGCCTTCTTTTCCTGAATGTTGTTAACCAGCTTGATGACAAGATTGATACCGATGCCCAGAAGGGTAAAGACCAGGAATTGAGAGACGACGAGATAGCCAAAGTATTGCGTTAAGATGATCTTGTCTGCCTTGATCTTGGTCTGCAAGCCTCGGTACTTGGCGATGCGGCGCATGAGAATTGGCAGCAGGTAGCCCGCCAGACCGGAAATGAGTGGCGGGAGTAGACCGGCAACAGCTGCGAATGACCATGAGCTGGCCGAGTGCCATGATCCGAGGAACCCCACTTGGTCGATGAAGAGCGCCATGTTCGAGATCAACGAGACCGCCAGCAGTGGTACGGCGTTGACAAACAGAAGGACCAAGAGAACAATGAAACCAATGGTACTCCGTCGGAATCTCTCTGCAGAACTCATGGTCAAGTTCCTCCATATGATAGCGTGGGGAGACGGAGCAAGCTGGATTCGGAGACCTCCGGGCTTCTTGCTTTGCAGGCTTTTTGCTGCAGCGTGGGCATACGGCACCGCAGCGAGTGACGCAAAGCCGTAGTTCTGCGGCTTTTTGTCCGAGATGCGCTCCCTCCAACCTTCGATGGCAGCTTCGGTCTTGTTGATCTGAGCTGTGTAAAAGTCGATAGCGTCGACAGTCTCCCCCCCCAAGCCCAGCCATCCATTAAGCGTAACTGTGGGCCGCTTGCCGCTAACCTTGCCTGGGTTCTTGAGGTACTTGGCGAGGACGCGTTCGAGCTTGCGCACCAAGTCTTGGTGCTTTTCGATTAGATCCGGTAAGAGGCCTGTCTCTCTACCAATGTGGACCTCAGTTGTTGGATAGGGCATCTTGAGGGTCGAAAGCATGCTGCTCAATGCTTGGTCAGATTGGAGGCGCTTGGACACATTTGTGATCATGAGTGTGCGCGCGTGGTACGCCGTTTGATACTCCTCTGATCGGAAGTACTGCCATCGAAGCCGTACCATTGCCCTATAATTGAAATAGACTGAGAAGAAGGCGGTTCTTGATCAGCTTACGCAGCCCTTGAACAAACGTTCTAGGTTAGGACGGCGCACTCACCAAAGGTCAGAGCGATGATGGTCCCAATGTAGCCCATGGCAACGTGAGCCCAAACGTAGCTGCCTTTTACTTCGCGCATTGTGATAATGGTGAGAGTATATTGGAGGGAATCGTTCGAACTTGACTTGTTTAGATTGTACAAAATGTCGACCGGCATCAAGACCACGCACATGACGACAGCTAGTACTGTCGCCATCCAGCGCATCATTCTTCCGAAGCGAAGGTATGCGATGGCATCCAGGCCGAGGATGGGCAGCAAGTCTTGCTCTTTCCATTGCAGCACAGGCTTAACCCAGTCGAAGAAACCATCCCCGACCCGCGGCGGCTGGCGCCCTTCTTCTGCGTACTTTGATTTCGGAGCATACACAATTTTATTGTTGGGTCGAAGCACCTGAAAGCCGAACAAAGTCACTGCCCCTAGAGCAGCGAATGCGCCGACTGCGATACCAACTTGCCTAGCGGCGACATTGGATTGTTGATTCTGGTTGTGGTTGCGATTGAGAGGATCAGCATTCATTCGGGCGTTGCGGAGAGAGATGAACTCACCAAAGCGCAGACAATCTGACCAGCCGGGCCCTTCAGGTTGGCTGTGGCATCCGAACAGGAGACAGGGTCCGTCATGTCGAAAGGCTGGCGTCAACACTCCGTGCTACCACATCCAAGGGAACAATGCTCGTTCTCCTAAAGATCGACAGGCGAAAGTTGCGAAAGCAGAGCTTATACCATCAGTCGGCACCAGGCCATGTGAGCTGCTGTCGCGGATCGTTCCAGCACCGATGTCAAAGCTCAGCAAGTGCCGCGGATCTTTACAAGTGGCCGATCAAACGTTGCTGCCGTCCGTCGATAATGTGACGAGAGCTGCTTCTGATGAGACGAGTTGAAAGCAGTTCAATCGTCCGAGTCGCGGTGTGAGGGGCGAGAGCAAAGATATGATACAATGCCAAAGAAGACTTGCCGGAGCTTACAGTCCAGGGGTGCCGTCCATGCATTCATTCAACGCCTCGAAAGGTCGAATAGCCAATGAACTTGCAAGGCGGCAAGATTCCGGTGGTGTCGTCGACGTTCGATAGTGGCGGTGAACTGCGACTGGAGTGGAATGAAATTGCTGACCAGCTGGGCGGGAAATCCCCGTTGTGACGCAGTCTAACCAGAACAAGACCGTCTGACAAGGGACGGGAGGAGAGCGAGAGATAAATGTCGGGCTGTAGAATGGGATGGAAACTGGAAATGAATAGTCGAGGAACGCGGAACTCCGCGCTCGGTAATCGCTAGCAAAAGCTGAAGAGCAACTTTGCTTGCGATTGCTTTCAGACTGGTTTACATCTGCATCTCAGTAATTTCTGATGTGATTCTCCTCATCTACCTTTTGTGTTGTGCAGCCGGCGGGTTAAGAATGAATATGAAGGAGCTTTCAAATACTCCACCCCCAAGAGTTGAGGCCTTGACCGGCCGACTGCCCAAATTATTCGAGGGTGCACTTGGCTGCCAAGTCCTGGGGGGCGGAAGGCCTGTCTGCTGTTTACCTCTTTTGTCTCTCTGCAGTCTGCAGGCTACCCGCCTCATCTTCCACCAGTCCATGAAACTAAAATTATGGCCAGCCGGCCGCGGCGCCTACTACAGTGCCCGGAATTTGCACAGGGTGTAGTCCGAAATTCAAGCTTGAAGTACCAAAATAGGGGATTGTGTTTTGTTTTACCCGTGGACGCCCCTCGCTCCAATGGATTTAGCAGTTTGTGCCAGGGAAGATAGGGTTTGTTCACCGCCCCCCATTTTGTAGAGCATTCTAATTGACGCACGCGTGCCTCTCGGTGAAGTCAGGCAAGAGCAACACAACATCTCACTTCAAACTCAGCCAGCTCGCATGCTCACATCTCACATCTATCGAAGAGCCAGCTCGTATTTAGTGCTCACGCGAACTTGCCCTCCACCAAATCCTCTTCGTGGCACACCTTGTACCCCGCATTTGTGTTGGCGTGCAGTCGCACATCACTCAGCTGTAACATCCGTATTACCCCTACTCCACGCCTCATTAGCCCCCTTTTGGAGCTCCAACAAGGCACGGGGTAACAACACGATACAAATACCTTACAACGACAGCGATGAGCTTCCTATGCGGAATTGGCGGTCCATCCGCTGGATCCCGAAGGGTATGTAGGCGTTGCGAGCTTCAGCTGGGCTATGCAATGCCCTTGACATCTTCTGCTCATACCCCTCGTTGCCTTCGTATATTCGCCTTGTGAATGACACCTGTTCGCCGCTTCGAATTTGCAGTATCAACGGAAGATCCTTATCGTCGGTCAGTATGGCTGCGCTCAGAGCCTTGTGAATACTTTTGTGGTCGAGTTCTGACGTGCTGCAATTGATGACAAGCAGGTGATGGAGCTTGTGGAAAGACATCTCTTCTGAACGTTTTTACTCAAGGCTATTTTCCACAAGCATAGTCAGTCCTTCGCCGATACCCCGAGCTATACAAACAGCGAGCGCCATGATGACCCTTTTCTCGTCATTCTGTCCTGCTTTTTTGCAGCGAGCCGACTGTGTTCGAGAGCGCCGTACACACACTTGATCTCGGCAATGGCCAGGTTTGCGAGCTGTCTCTGTGGGATACTGCTGGGCAAGAGGACTTTGATAAGCTACGCAGTCTGAGCTACAGCGACACCCACTGCGTCATCATTTGTTTCTCTGTGAGTATCAGCGAAAAGGCTCCTGGTTGCGCTGGTGAGGCGACCAGAGTATGTCTCCTGAAGCCGATCTTGTCCGCATTGCAGGTCGACAGACGAATATCCTTAGAGAACGTCGAGAATAAGGTGTGCCCTCTCGTAGTTTTAGCCCACTCATACGTATGAAGTCGCTTTTCGCTGACACACTTTCACCTCGCGTATATCCTCAGTGGGTCCCAGAATTGCAGGAGAATTGCCCAGGGGTCAAGGTCGTGCTTGCCGCGCTTAAATGTGATCTACGCTCAGAAGGCGCATTTCTGGAGAAGCTCGCGCAGCGAGGGGAGACACCCGTAGATTACGAGGATGGCCTGGCTGTAGGTTCAGGACTTTGGCGATGCAGAGGAGAAGAGGACGAGCGCTGAGGGTGTTTGCTCTCCTTCTCGGCCCGGCAGGTGGCGAAACGAATCAGGGCAGCTCGATATCTAGAATGCTCAGCGAAGTGCAATCGCGGCGTCGAAGAATGTTTCGTCGAATCAACCAAGGTTGCCATTGAGGCAAGGGCAAGAAGGAAGGAGAAGGCGGCAGGCGAGAATGGTATATCCTGCACCATCACTTAGCATCACACTCCTACAGCTCCGAATGTTAACTTTATTGCTTTGAATGCATTTATTCCCGAGCATTCAGCTCGTCTATATCGCTGTTATGGGCATCCAATCTATTGGACGAGTAGATTCGCGTGTCCAGGATTAGGTGCAGAGCTTTGATTTGTGAGATAATTGCTCGCCGTTCGCACAGAGCCTGCACGTTGCGAGATCAATGTCACTTTAGACGTTCATTTATTTATCTTTCTTACCCTCGACCTTGAGGATTTCCGCCATTTGCTTCTCGCGCTCTGCGTCCTTGGCCAGCTTCTCCTGCCTGCCCAAGTACCAATCTGAGACCTGCAGGAGTACGACGCCTGCAAGCATGGCAACAATGATGCTGTTAGTCGCGCCGAGAATGCGCAGCGCTGCGATGCGCTCTTCGCCGGTCATTGGGCCGGTTGGTGGAGGAGGTGCGATACCCTTGGCTGCATCCTCAGCCTGTTTCTCGCGCTGCGTGCGGATCGAAGAGCGGTCGAGATAGTCGACATTGTTCGGATTCGCTATCAGACGCAGGTTGGGTACGGAGACGGCGCCGTACATGCAGACAGCGGCCATGTATATGACTGTTCAATGAAAAGAGCGGGCGTTTGGTCAGCTCAACTCTCGATAGAACGCGAAGCAACTGCAGCCGAACTTACCGAGACTCCCTCCGTCGTAATACTTCGCCGCATCCGTCCACCTGTGCAATTTTGCGACAAGACCGATAAGGCCTAGTGCCATCATTCCGTGCAGTAGTGCCTGCACGGCTGTTGGTCCATTGAAGAGTGAGAGGTAGAAACGCTCCGCTGGCTCTACTGCCGCCTCATCGAATGGCGAGTAGTACAGCAGCGGGAAGTCATAGATGGAGACAATGAACAGCACGCCTGAAAGAAACACGATTAGTCAGCGCTGATATGATGCATTTTGCAGGTGCCTATAGCATATCATTGTACGCACCATAAAGGAAAGAAACGGCTGCAATGACGAATCCAGTTCTGAACCCCATTTTTGACGAGGGCAAACTAGAGTGCTGCACAAGGTCAGGAGCAAGACGTGGGAGGGGTGCCTTCGGCTTTGGCGTGGGTGTGCCGAGGGTCGGATGTTTGATAGGACAGCTGTTTCAAGAGGGATGGAGGATGCTGAAGGAGCCGATAAGGATCCGCCCAACTCAAGCGAGCTTTCAAGAAGTCGACAGCAGCGCGCGCCGCAGCGGCCAGCGCCACGCTCCAGGAGGCGTCCCGAGTCCCGACCGGCCGCCTGTCGCCTGTGGCGGTATGCAGCACACCTCCAACCTCCATGCACTTTCCATAGAGAGACTTCCGATCGACTGAGGGCAGTTAAGTCTGTAGTGCAACGTTGCATACATCCAACAGTTACATGTATTCCAAAACGTGTGGCCTGGACTTAGGCGATGTGCAACCGAGATAATCTGACAAGAGAGTGACGAATACAGTTTGCGTACAAATGCTCGATCGCAAATCCAGGAAATCGACGAGGCTATATTGCGTTTGTGTGTGGATGGGCGCGAGGTGGTCGCCATGGAGCAAAGGAAGAATGCCAGAAGTTGTAAATCCAAAAAGGGGTAAAGTGAAAGAGGCCCACAGAATTCCCAAAGCATGTTGGAAGGCCGAAGAAGAGAAGGGTCAAAGTCCATTTTGCGTTGAACGTGTTATTAGCCCACTGCGGAACCGATACGGCAAACTCGACTGAGCCGTTGGACAGAAAGCGCAACATATTAGTGCGCGTACTGTTGGTTGTGTTGGTGGTACTGCCCTGTACTTGAAGGTGCATTATAGTACTGCTGGTGAGACGAGGGAGCTGACGATATGCTCGGGTAATCGTAGTATCTCCCTGCCTGGTAATCGGACGATACCTGACTCGGGTGGCTTGCGATGCTGTGATCTGTGCGACTGTTGTGGTAGTACTCCCCCGCGTCGCCGGCCTGATGCTCACCCCACCCCTGTTGCTGGTAGTTGCCCTGCCGAGGGCTGTGTGGTGTTGGTGTAGCAAGCGGCGTCCGCTGGCTGTAAGGCGATGCTGCGCCCTGCCCTGCCGTCTGTTGCGGGTCAAAGTAGACGCCAAGTGCCTCTCTTGACTCATTTGCCGAGCCACTCATGTCACCCATGCGGTAGGAATCGAAGGTACCCATCGACCCCCGTGGCGGTAGGTTGTACGGCTGCGTTGGTGCGTAAGGCTGTGTGGGCGGCTTGTACTCGCTGTCTCCGTTGGGGCCAGCCCATGCCGCCGCCCTTGCGACATTCGCCGGGTTGTTGGCATAGGAGTATGCACCTTTAGTCGTCTTCAGAGCCGCACCCTGCTTGTTCCTTCGGCGGCAGAAGAATATGATCAGTGCGAGGATGAGCACAGCCGCGGCGCCTGCGACGGCGATCGCAATGATCTTGCCAATTGACCAGCTTGACTCGTCATTCGCGATAGGCACGTTGTACTTTGAGTTGTTGACCGGCTGGGCAAGCGGCTGGAGAGCCGAACCGACCTGAACTTTCCAGGGAACATTGCCGACCTGAGCCATATCTACACCCACAGAGATGAACTTGCCCAGGCTCGGGACGCCGTTGATCGTACAGAAGAGCAGTGCTGGACCAGCAACGAAGAGGTTGGGATTCGTCGGCATAGGGTTGACAGTGTAGGTGACAGAACCATCATCATTCACGACGTAGGTGTTGGCGAGCTGCAAACTGCGTTGACCCATGTTCATCGCGTGCGTCGAGAATCCAGGGCGGATGACCATGAACTTTGTCGCTGCGGCCTTTGCGTTGGCGCTCGTTCCCATGTATTTAGAATCCATGGTGACATTGAAAGAAGGTCCGCCAAAGGGGATCATCGCTGGCATTCCCTGTGGCGCCGGGCGGTCTTTAAAGTAGTAGTCGGGGTACCACTTCTCCAGCTCGTAGGTCGTGTTGTACCCTTGCGGTGTCGTGCCGGTCGGCATCGATTGGTTGACGTCGACATGCGGGTTGCTGCCTCCAATAAGAACGGATCCGTCAGGCAGAAGAATAGCGGTTGAGTGGTAGAGTCTGGCGATGTTGGTGCTGCCGAAGCCCTTATTGGTGAATCGCTTGCCGGATGGCTGAGACGGGTCGTAGAGGACGGGCGTGTAGACAGGGTCCTGCGCGAATCCTTCAGTGTAGATAGTCTGCCCATTGTAAGTAATCGTGTTCCAAGGGACATTTCCATAGCCAGCGGTGCCCTTGTTGGCGCCGTTGACGATGAGCATCTGGCCGGTGGGCAGGTGGATGAATTGACCCATGGTGCGGCCTTCTGGCATTTTGTCTTCAGTGACAAAGTTTTGGTTTGTCTGCGAGCCATCGGGATTTTCAGGAGTAATGGACGAGCAGTCATCGGAGGCAGTGACGTCGAGAATGGGGGTGCCGGGGGCAGTGTAGCTGCCCCAAAGGGATTCATCCAAGACTGTGCCGCCGCAGAAAAGGATGGTCGGCTGGTAGTTCTTGCTTGGGAGGAGTGGAAGCATCGCGACAGCAGCAGACGCTGGATAGACGCGGATCACCCTGTTTGGCATGTCAGGCAGGGGAGTCTCGACGTTTTGATTGTGCTCCCAGAGTATGTTGCTATAGTTGGCGTTCATGAAAATCTTGCCCGATGGCATCAGGTACGCTGCAGCAGCGAAGCGTGAGCGCATGCACCTTGGAGACCGAGGAAGCGATAGGCTTAGACTCACTATGCGGATACATGTTGAGGCCGCTGGTGTTGATCATAAATTTGGAAATTTGCATACCCAAATATGTACTAGGACCGGTGACGTTGGTGCGACTTGGGTAGTACTCGTACGTCGGATTTGCCCCACCAACGTAGAGATTGGTGATGGAGCCCCCATTGGGAGTGGGTGTCTCGTATGCAGGATCAACGTTGGGATAGTTCCTGTTGATGAATCCTCCGTTGATAGCGCCACCGATGATGACGACTTCACCAGTGGCGATGACCTCTACACCCGGATACCACCGCGGACTGTTCATCTTCAGCAACTGATTGTCATCCCAATTAAGCCCTGAGTCCTGCACATTGATAGTGTCCATCAAGCGAATTGCTTGGCGTCCATCGACGCTTTTGTATGCATTGTTTGTTGCAGTCGCGGTCACACCACCCGTAGAAACTGCTTGATTGCCACCGAATACGACCCATGTTCCGTTCGGTAGGGTAGCACCGCTGGCGCAGAACGTATTGGTCTGCACATCTGTCGATCGGACAGTGTTGTCTGTAAGGTTGACAATAGATCCCCAAACTGGGCGGCCATTCCCCAGGGTCGTAGGGTTGCCTTCTACCTTGTCAAGAATCACTGCAGGGGGTACGAAAAGTCGATCAGATTGTAAGCACGCGTCCTCCAAGCATGAGGTAAGAAAAGCTGACGACGACACTCACAGACTTGATCCTGGTTGATCAGACCCATCATCATGGCTGAAGCGAGCGAATTCGGCACCACAGTTTCATAACTAAGCGGCGAACGACCCGCCATGGCTGCAGGGACCGCCCCCAGGCCGATGGCCGCAGCGGCAGCTGCGAGGCCAGCGCCGAGCGCCTTGCGGGATGCAAAGCGTGACATGATGAGCAGGTTAGGAGCTGTCAAGGAGCCCACTCCTGATTTCGGTGCCCTCGAATGCGATCGCGAGGGTAAGAGTCTGTCGGATGGCGGAATCGACGCGGATGATGTATACCCGGTGAGCTGACTCACAGAAGCCTTATCGCTGCCGATCTATTTGAGTTTGCTGAGGCGCTCTTGTGCAGCAGAGGTGTTACGTGGCCTGCGAGCCTGCTGGCAGCCGCTGATTCGAACCGGGACAAGTTTATTTGATGAGTCAGGGAAAATACGCGCGAACGAGGGAGCGAGCGAGGTAGTCTGCCACCCCGCTCGTTGTGGTCGACGAGAGATGGAAGCAACGTCGTCAAGATGCTCTATGAAAATACGTCACGCAGGGAGATGTTGATGCGGGAACGCTGGAAAGAAGGTGGGCACACAAACGGGATCTCCTGATGTTGACGATCAAAATAAGACGATTCATCCCAGCTTCCATTATTGTTTCAAATGCTGGTGGTGTCCAGCAGAGAGCAGTGCAAGTTTGTGGCTGGTGGTGGCATAGTGGTGGTGTGCGCGGCAAGACCGGTGTTTCTTTATTATGGGAGCGAATCCCATGTAACATTCTTTACAAGGCACTGGGGAAGAGGCAATATGGGTTGTAACAGAGTGCCATGCCGCTTCTTGCGGAGCTTGGGTGGTTATACCCATTTGACCTGCGCTTTAGTGCCTCCTAAGTAGAGACCATTCCCACGTCGGGGGATTAATCGTAAACAAGAGCAGCAGACAGGCAAAGTGCCGCGAAAGCTGGAGCCCGTGCTTCCACCTGTCCCGTCTGCGTGGTGCCACCTGTTGCCAGGCTGCTTTGCAAGAAGAGGCAGAGCGGCGCAGTGACGGACTCTACTGTACGACTGATCAGACTTCTGTGCTGGCTCCTTGTGGGCTGTGATGGCTAGCCGCATGAGGGCGGAACGTGTAATGCACACCTGTAACAGGTAGAAGGAGGATTCGAACTTTCGTGGCCTCTTTAACAAAATATTTTTTTGGTGAGGCAGTATTGTGATAATGGAGCCATGTTGCGAAAACTTGCGGTAATTAGCTGTTCTGCCGAGTGTCTGGATGGGTGGAGAGTTTCGTCACATGAAGCTCACGTCGGCAAGCGCACGAACAATGCACAAACTACAGCTGCAGCAACCATGCGAATGTGTATGGATGTAGCAATGATACATGGCAACGGTAGCGACGGACATCCATGCCGAGAGTGTGCCGAGGGTTTTTGGTCCATGGGACATGCGACGCTCTATCACTTCTGTAGTTCTCTTTGCGGACATCGTGTTGCTGCTCACGCGCTCACGAGTCTCTACTCGTAGTAACGAACTAGTTACGACATTCCATATCCTGTACGTATACTATGACCTACTGTGACCCACTGGCCACTGCGGCCCAACGATGGATGACTCCCAGGAGATGAGGCTGGTTGGAAGCAGTTGGAGCTCACGCGTGACTGACAGCAAAATGAGAGGTCGGTGGCAGTGATCACACTTCTTTTCATCCGGCCCTCGTCGCTGGCTTTTGAGTTTCAATATTTAGCAGAAACGCGTACTTGTCGGTAGTGGGTACTCCGGAGACCACAGCCCAGCCTCGTCCAACCTCACCACCTCGTTGTCGGACGCTCCACTCGACATAGGTCAAAGTGGTCGAAAGTAAAGACCTTTCGGAAATTCGGAGACAGAATAAAGCCAGTCAGGAGTCTGGTAATCTCGGCAGCGAATGTAGCTCGCAGCCTGTTGTAGCACTCGCATTGCCTTGCACTCTATTGACTATGTATGTACTGACTTGCTGGCTAACATCTGGATAATGGGATGGACCTTTGCGCGACGCACGGGATGGAGTTCGCAAAGCAACGGAATCCGTTGTAACCCGGGTGCCAGAGCCTACGGAGTGTGGACAGCTTGTGACTATACGTATGTGACTTGTAACATGTGACTATAGGCTATGGGGCCTGCCATGGGCAAAACACAGATGCCATTGCTATAGATGGTGCACGGTGCTGGTGGACCTCGATGGACTCGCAAGTCGCAAGCGCTGAACGGTACTCTCTGTGAAGCGCCTCAGCCTAGTGTTGGATTTGCCCAAATCCAGATATTCTTCGTTCGAACCGCCGGGATCTTTTGCAGCCAATATGATGTTTAACCTTGCATGGCAGCCTGCGGGTGCTAAAAAGAATCTATTCCCAGCGTCAAAGTCCCCAATTGCAGGGAAGTTTCGATTTAATCATGAGGATGTAATCCAATGTATCGGTGTGCGTCTTATCACGCCGCCAGCCGCCGTCAGCGCCATCAGGCTCAGCCACAAGCCCTGGCCCGCCTCGGGATGTGGTGCGCAGAGTGCCAACATCTAGATATCCAGCCAGATATGAACGCGTGAGTAGGGGTAACCGCGTGATGTATGACCAGACATGTCAAGAAGGTTGTCACCAGCCGTGAATATGCGTTCGAGGCATCTGACTGCACATACTCAGACCTGCCCAGCCGAGGTTGAAGGTGACCAAAAGAGGTCAGACAAGGCCAGACATGCTAGCGTGTACAACGGCACTGTTGCCGATGTCCTGTATACCTCGCCCGCCACTGTAGTTCGTACGTCGCACCGCCTATCGGCGATCAGTTTCATACGCTATGACCTGTCGGACCGGACGCCAATTACAACGCCCATGCCTGCGCTCATACAGGCTCAACCGTGGTTGCCTAAATCCACAAGTAGTGTGGAGTGCGGACTCAGCCCGTTGAGTGTTTACCAACGCTTCCACAGGTCTCTTGACCGAATTTTGAAGGCATGTACTCACTTTCAGCAGCGCGCACCTCCGACTGCATAGCCTGCGCGCATGTACATGAGTCACACACGACCGCACAAGGCACGGACTGCGCTGCAGAGCGTAACGTTACAGCAAGGATGTCAATACGATCAAAGGTCAAGAGCCCTTCAGCGAGAGCTTGTGTATGTACTACTACGTGGGTAGCGTTGCATAGCAAGCGCCGAGCGGTCAGCGCGTCAGTAGCCGAACACCCATTCGTTTTTCAGCCTTTTGTGTGGCAAGTTGCGAATTGCGACAGACTGCGAGTTGCCAACTCGCGGTACATTTTGCAGAAAAACAACATCAGTCGAATGTTTGCGAATGGATAACCTTCAGCTGGTGTAGCTTCCCAATAGGAGAGAAACAGCCCATTCGCGACCGTTGCCAGTGACAGTCTGGTAAGGCTTTCCGAATGTTGCAATGATGCATATGTGCGCTGGACTAGAATGCTGTGCGTCCCTTCCAGAAGTTCCGTGTACGAACAGTAGCAATCCAGTGAAAGATTGCATGGCTGAAAGGCCATCGCCAGCCGCCGTCCTGTCTAAGGGTCTGCGCCTGCGTGGAGTAGAGATCCGAAAGGCAAAATATTTGAGGTTGTGGTGAGCCACGTTCGAATGGTGAGTCCGCACGATTTATCAGTTGGATTAGAGCGCGATCACGAGCTGACAAGGAGGGATATTTGGCAAGGGCGCCCCCCACAGATTCCAGTTCAGAGCTCGTGCGCTCGACATTGAGCGGCCTTTGATTATGATTGCCCTTGTGCCTGGCCGAACGACAGCTCATGGGAACTTGGGGATCCAGCGGCGCAGACTCTTCTCCGTGAGCAACGTCGCCTTGCTTCCGATGGCGTCCGAGTGCGTCAGTATTTTGAATGATCATGCGATAAAGTATATGACAGGTGCCCCGTTTCGCCACAGGGTTCGACTCATCCTAATATCGTCGTGTCCCTTCGAAGACGACACGACGAGGAGCGAGCAAGGGCAGCTTGTGAGAAAAGTCAGGAGAGTGCAGAATGCCACCAAAGGTGGTCGCACCACGCGCAAGGGCTTGGCACTTTTTGGATGGCTACCTGATATATGGGTTGCACTTTTCAGGGCCAGCAGGCGCAGTGCCTTGCACAAGCACTACAGTGGATGCGCCAGCAAGGGCGGCCGCAGTCTGCCAGCTTACTATATTCTTGCTTGCGTCTTGCGGGGTATGGAACGTCTGGGTTCCGTCGCTATCAGCCGACTCTGACCCTGTGCCTGAAAAGCACATACGTTATATATGTAGAGTCCTTTCATTTGGAAAATAATTGGCTATTTCGGGTGAATGCCAGATTGGACCATTTCCAAGGGCTTCAGGTTGTGTCATTTCTAAAGTGTACCGCTGCAAATGCATGGCGGGGATGGAAAGCCACAAAGCACAAGAGTCATCGCAATAGAGAAGACAGATGTGCTGACTGTGCGGTCGTGATGCCCCGTGCGATGTTCCATGGGGCATGGGACTGGTACGGGCTTCTGCAAACAAAAGAAAGGCGGTTGCGGCCCATGACGCGGTGAGGCCCAACCAAATCGCCCGGTTTCGCGAGCGGCGAGGAGCAAGGTCTGGCGAGAGACGAGAGGACAGCGGAGCTCCGAGGCATCTTTACAAATTGTTCGAATCAATTGCATCTCATAACTGCATAGACGCGGACTGCATGCGCCATACACAATTACACATAGCCATACCCCACTTCGGTTCCCTCATAGAGGCCTTATAATATCATCTCCTCGTTTCCCCTTCTATGAGCTCTCTTCTGCGCCCGACACACATTTGCGTATGCTTCCTCTGTGTGACATCTACCCTTTATCGGCAGCTGCTCGAAGGCCAGCGCAGCCACTTCGTCCTTTGATCCCGTGCTCGTGAGACCTGCACCTCGCAACCAGCCTTCCACTGTCGCTTTGTGCTGCACGATAGAGTCGCAGTCTCAACGATCAACTATCAGCTCTGAACTGATTCGAACAGTCGCGTGCTTCCTCCGCCTCTATATACAGAGACGGGATCGGGGGAAGCTGTCACACCCAGCAGTCCGTTCAAGCAGTGCCAGTGGACGAACTGTCGCGGTTTGCACACTGTCTGCATCCACCATGAAGTTATTCAGCTCGGCGCTGGTGGTTCTGGCGCTTGTCGCATTCCGAAGCGTCATGGCCGGCTCGCCGCTCTCGTTCGAAGTCATCAATGACAATTCTATCGTCTCAGCAATGATGCTGGGTCTCATCAACGAAAACACGGTCATGATCCTGGACAAGGTGCGCAGATACATTCTTGATAAGGCACCCTTAAACATCCCCACTGATGAAAGCATTTTTCATATGTCCCCTTGACAGGTCGAAGATAATGCGTATCATTTCTCCGACGGCAAGCCGGCGTGGGCTTCATTATTGAACCTCGCAAACAACAAGGTCAAGCCAATAGAAGCAAACTCGAACACCTTCTGCGCTGGCGGTGGTGTCCTTGCCAATGGGACATGGGTCGTGTTTGGTGGAAACACCAACATCAAGTCTGATGGATCGCCTCAGACCACAGGCATCGGCCCGTATAACGCTCAGGATGGAGGCAAGGCAGTGCGCTTCGTCGAGCCCACGTCAGACTATAATTCAGTAACGTGGCTCGACGACGGCTCACACACGATGGCTGCAACGCGTTGGTACCCTGGCGTCGAAATCCTCGCGACCGGTGAAGCTCTCCTCATTGGCGGCATGACCGGCGGAGGATACATTAATCGAAATACCAATGCCTCGTGGCCAAACAATGGCGGGACATTCACGTACGAGTACTTCCCACCGCGGGCCGGCGGCGAACGCTCCACGGTCAACTTCCTTCGAGAAACGGTCGGTCTGAACACGTACGCACACACGTTCCTCATGCCTTCTGGTAAGGTCTTCATGCAAGCCAACGTCAGCACCACCCTGTGGGACCACGAAAAGAACACGGAGCAAGCCCTCGACGACATGCCTGGCAACGTCGTGCGCGTCTATCCCGCTTCGGCTGCCACGGCGATGCTTCCATTGACCCCAGAAAACAGCTACACACCAACTATTCTCTTCTGCGGCGGCAGCGTCTTGACTGAACAGCAGTGGGGTGTGAGTCTCACCGTGTACACTTGCAACACTTTCTTTTGCAGTTCTCTGACCTCATTTCCACCTCACTCTATGATTTCTGCGGCACAGAATTACACAGGGCCCGGTATCAATGTTCAAACAGTTGAGGCATCCAGTGATTGCAGTTCGATCACCCCGGAGAACTTTGATGGTTCGCAACGGGATCAGCACTATACGCAGGAGGATTCACTTCCAGAAGGCCGCTCTATGGGCCAGTTCATACATCTCCCAGATCAGACGATGCTCATCATCAACGGAGCAAATAAGGGCACAGCGGGCTATGTCCAAAAGGGCGCCGACTACATTGTCAACGGCATCGATACGGAAGGCCTGGCGCAGGACCCCACGTACACGCCCGTCCTGTACGATCCAAGCAAGCCGCAAGGCTCTCGTTTCACTCGCAATGGCTTTGGCAAATCGCCTATCGCACGCCTGTACCACTCCACTGCCCTGCTCCTACCCGACGGTTCTGTGCTGGTTGCAGGTTCCAACCCGCACATGAACGTTGCGACCAATATGCCACGAGGCACGACGCCGCAAGGCTACAACACCACATATGAGCTCGAGAAGTGGTACCCCAGCTACTACTTCAAGGTCCGGCCTCTGATCTCCTCTACTCTCCCGAACTCGATTCCGTTTGGTGGTTCCTCGTTCAATATCACGATCGACAAGTCAAGCATGGGCAAGAGTGCCAATGCGCTCGCTGCCAGGACCAAGGTCGTCGTCATTCGTCCTGGCTTCACGACGCATGCGATGAATATGGGTCAACGCAGCTTGCAGCTCGACAACTCATACGTAGTCAACGACGACGGCTCGGTCACGCTCATCGTCAACCCGTTCCCGACGAACCCAAACATCTTTGTCGCCGGTCCGGCGCTCCTCTTCGTCGTCGTCAACGGGGTTCCAAGTATGGGTAAGATGATATCTGTCGGCACGAATGCCACAGGTACCGGTCTGCTCCCTTGGACGCCCGTCGTGGGTGCACAACTGCGGACTTTACCAAATCCCGTCACCAACGCGGCATTCAACGCGGCGATCAGCACGAACTCGTCCAGTCTTTCTCTCGGTGCCATTATTGGAATCGCCGTCGCTGGCGCAGCAGCGCTCCTCCTCATCGCACTGATCTTTATATGCGTTCGCCGTCGTCGCGCACGAACCAACAAAGGTCAATTCGCCCCTGTCGCCATGAACGACGGCTCTGCTTCATCCAAGAGCCATGGTCAGTGGTCTAGCTCTCCCTCCGCGTCCTCCCCGCTGTTCCCGTCGCAGCAACAGTACCGCGACAGCAGCAGCATTGGCAGCATGTATAAATCGCCGCCAAACTCGTACTACGCCGCTTCACCCATGTTCATGGGCAACAGTACAGCCGGCAACGAGAGCATACGATCGTATGGCCAAAGCCCCCTGTATGACGGTGCAGAAGGTGGTGGTGGCGGCGGCGGCAATGAGCACTACCGGGATAGCAGCTTCGGCCACGGGTTCTCAGCGCCACCGCTGAAGGAGAGCTCTTCGCTGCGAGGATCATGGATCCCGGATGATCGATCAGACGGTGGCTGGGCAGCAGCGCGCTACTATCAGAATAGCCCATCGATGCAGTCGTACGAGCCCCCGTACCAATCGCCGCGGCGCTCAAACTTCTCTGGCGTTTCATCGCAGCCGTACGGCGCGGTGCCAGGCTCCCCGGCTCCTCGACACGCCACATTCCTTTCGCCGGTATCGCCAACGGCAATGCGCACCGCAATTCCTGCCCAGCAGCACGGGCAGCACGATGCACATTCGTCTTCTACCGGATCGCAAACGTTTGAGCAAGCAGCACAGTCCCAAAGCTCCTATGCCTTGTGATGGATCTGAATTGCGTTTAGTTCATTGGCATATAGCATGTAGATTTTAGTAGCAGACGCATCGCATGTTGTCTTATCGGCTCGTATTCATACCTGCATTTAATATATGGACATTTTCCGCATTCGTGGGAATTTGCACTTTGACGATGGAGGATAGGAGGACCGAGAGAAGATGACACCCGGTCTAGCGTTGGAACCCAATCGTGCGCTGTAAAGTACAAGAGACGCCAAACGTTTTACGTGCTCCACTTCAAGCTGTGACGGCTTGCCTATTTTTGGGTGATCGAGGTATGAGAAGGGGAGCAGCGCAGGCGCCGGTGCGCGCCGCTTGTCGTTGCCTCCTTCCACTAGTACACCGTGTTACCCCCAGCGCATGGCTATGTCAATGGGAACCAGAGACGAGCAAGAACGAAGCGAGATATTGGATGGATGGAAATGTGCGGGGAAGTGATGTTTTCTGATCAGGCTGGAGGGAGGTTTTGGGCACCCAGCATTGGTAAGCAGCCAAGGAGGTCCCTAGACATTTTGCTTTGCGTTACAGGGCGGTGAGCGTCGAGACGCTTATTGGCTGTGGAGCAGACAAAAGCGAACAAGGCGGCATAGTGTCAGCTCGAAAGCGTTCCTAGTCATGTATATCTTGTCCACGGCTGGCCAAAGTATCCGCACGAGAGAAAGGAATGGAGACGAGGAAAATGGAAACATGGCGCAGACTGGGCTATTCAATAGCCGCTGTAGCCACTGGAACCGAATCCATTTTCGGCGCCAGAGTAGGCGCTGTTCTGCTGATCGTACGTGTTGCTGTGACGATGTTGTCAATGAAAGGGGGCGCCAAGAGACAGCCAAATGGGAAGCAAGAGTAGCCGCCGGGAAGAGTCGGAGCGACCCGAGAAATGTAGATGGACCCGACAAAGCGAAGCGCGGGCGGGGATTCGGAATGGAAACCAACAATCGTAAGACACACATTCTGAAGCAACAGGACAATCGCGCCACCAAACCCCCTCTTGGGAAGGTGTCTGGTGCGGCACGTTTGCATCTGCGTTTCTTCTGTTCCCTCCTGCTTTCCTCGGGACGGGGCAATGAGAAAAAGAGAGAAGACGGGGCACCAGGAGCCGGAAGAAGGACGCGAGGACACAACTGCACGTGCACACAGAACCTTTGGCTTGAATGCATGGAATGAACTCACCCGTAGCTCTGACCACCGTACCCGGCCTGTTGACCTCCGTAGCCGCCCTGCTGCGCACCGCCGTAGCCGCCTTGGGGCGCGCCGGCAAAGGAGCCTTGCTGACCATAACCGGGCTGGGGAGCACCGTACCCAGCCTGCGGGGCACCGTAGCCGGCCTGCTGGCCGCCAAAGCCTTGCGGGGCGCCGTAGCCGCCGGCGGGCTGACCATAGCCGCCAGCGCCAGCGTCACCGTAGCCGCCCTGGCCGCCGAAGCCTTGGGGAGCACCACCGGCGTAGCCGCCAGCGCCGCCGTAGCCAGCACCGTAGCCGCCAGCACCGCCGCCGTAGCCGCCAGCGCTGCCGCCGTATCCGCCGCCGTAGCTACCACCTGCGCCGGCGCCAGTGCCGCGGGACTGAGCCATGTTGACGCGAATGGTCCGGCCGTCAAGTTGCTTCTCGTTGAGGCCGGCAATGGCAGCATCAGCCTCCTCTTGCGTGCCGTAGGTGACGAAACCAAAGCCACGCGAGCGGCCCGTCTCGCGGTCCTTCATGACGATCTGCAATGCGGACGAATTCGAGGTGAGAAGATCAAACAAAATATGCCATACGCTAACCCTTTACCCACGTAGTCAGTCAGCTGACCGTATTGAGAGAAAGCGTGGGCAAGACCATCATCGGTCGTGTTCCAGCTGAGGTTACCAACGTACACCTTGGCCGCCATCTTGGAAATCTGAGCAAAAGATCGTTGTGCGGTGTGCAGAATGGCGGTCAGCATGTGGACCTTTCGAAAAGAAAAATGTATGCTAATGCTGTCTCGCGGCTGGCACTCACTGAGAGATACGAGACAAACGAGTTGTAAGGCTACAATTGACTGTTGACGCAGGGACGGGAAGACCGGAGAGGGAGACGGCACCAGAGCCACATTTGCGATGAAGATAGAACCAGGGCAGCGGATGCAGCGAGGGAAGAAGGAACCAAGACACAGCATCTCGTAATCAGCGACGGCCCATCATCTCTCAACAGAACAAGCAAAGAGGAATGGAAGATATTCTCGACGCGATCCAGACCCAAAGATCGAAAGGACGCAAGTGCAAGCACCGAAAAGCGAGAGCATTGATCCATGCACGCGTGCACGCATGCGTGCACAAGCCCAAGCCATCCGTCTCGTCAAAGAGACGGACATGGTCGGCAGGGTGCAAGAGAGAGAAAAAGAAAAAGAGAGGAAGGATGGTAGGTACACACCGAGAGCAGAGTCTGAACCGAGCGCAACGGACGGAAAGACAAGACGAGACGAGCGAGCGAGACGCGGGCGAGATGATGGAACGCAATCACACCGACGAAAGCGAAGCGGGTCTTGGTATCGGTATGTATCGACAGGATGAGCCCGACGCGACAATCCAGAACAGACAGACAGAAAGACAGACAGACGACAGTCTCCGAGTCCGAGTGCAGAAAGCCAGAAGTGACGAACGAGCTGTGTTTCGAGTCCGGGAGCCCAAAACGTGGATGTGTTCGATGGAGAAGGAAGTGGTTAGAAGGGTTGGGATGGTGGCGTTGAAGAAGAGAGGATGAGGGCGAGGGAGAAAAGCGCGAGGGCGACAGACATCAGGAGGGGGAGAGCGGGCGGTGTGTGTGGTGGAAATTCCATTTGATTCCAGCGGCAGCAGGCTGCAGCCTGGGACTGGAAGAGAGGCTGTGCTGCGCGAATTGGCTCCTGGTGTAGCCTGGAGACCGTTCTCGTGCCGCGTGCTTCGGGCAGGGCAGCCAGAGGCGGACGGGCGAAAACGCACCGCGCGGCTCTTTTTTCTCTCGTTCTCGATCTATCCCTCCACGCTACGCCACTGCGCCTCTCTGCCTTGGATGGTGTGATATGTGCGGAGGATGAGAGAGCCGAAACTGAAGAGCGGGCGGCTGCGAGTGACTGTGAGGCGGCAAATTCTCAAACTCTCTCACCGCTCACGAACAGAGAAGGGAGAGTGTGACTGTGCGACTCCACCGCGTGGCTCTTTCCGTGTCGATTGCCGTCTGCTTTGGAGACAGCAGTGGAGGCTGGCTATCATAGGGGCTATAGAGTCTTGAGGGCACACATTCGTGCATGTATCGAATATGTAGCTCGACGACTGCCAACCGAAAGAGTCAGCAAATGGATCTGTCCACGTCATGGGCCAAATGACGCGCAGAGCACGGATGTTTGTGCTGCTGGAATTGCTATTGAGACGACCGTATGAATACAAAGGGGTGGAAAGCGCGATGAGAGGAACGTGCTACTACTCCGACAACGACGATGAGAAATGCCGACTATTTGGCATCTAAATGAAGAAAGGTAATGGTGAGCCATGTCCCTTCGGGCTCGTTGCTCGATACAGGACCGAAGTCCGAGAGCGGAGAGGTGAAAAAAGAAACAGACAAGGGTGTCCGATGCCGGTCAGCGAAGACGAAGAGAACAAAGGACGCGCACGAAGGTCAAAAACAGCTGGCGTCAAGAAGTAGAAATAGGGTTGTCGGATACATCGTTTTTGTATGGTGCTGCAGGTAGATGGGTGACACTGGCAAGCAGCAGCAGCTGCTGCAGTTGCGATCAAGACGTACCGTCCGTCGCTCATTTGGGTATTCGTGCAGAGCAGGGCGGCCGTCCTAGCAAGGATCAAGGAGAGCCAAAGCTGTATAGATTAGAGAAACAAGCAGCCGTGGCCGCCCGATTGTCGGCGGCCCGGTAGCGGTGATGATGCGATGTTGGCAAGCTCTGGCGGCTGGCCGGGGGGGCGCACTCATTCGCGCAAATGCCAGCCGCCTTCCTCGTCGCCTGCCCGCCCTTGTATTTCGCCGTCGGTGTATGCTTGCAGTCCTCGTGAGCCGAGGCTAGCCGGCAAGCTGGTCTGGCTCTCGGCCATATCTGCATTGCTGTACGCCACACCTCGTCGCCCTCCGCCGGACCGTCGGCCCGTCTGCGAGATGCGCTCTGGGTCGTCCTCGCTGTTGACGACGCTGGCTCGTGCTACGCGTGCTGATCGTGAGTTGCCCTGCTGCTGCGACACGTGGCGTCCCTGCTGGAAGTCGTACGCTCGACGGCCCCAGGAAAAGTGTGGTTCCGAGAGTGACTCTTGGTCCAGGAAGAGGAAGATGTAGAGCGCGATGAGCATCTCGCTCGCCCAAAGGAAAACCTGAACGCCAAAGGTGGCAAAGGCGAGGGCTACGATGAGCTGTCGAAGGTAGCAAACGTGTTGAAAATCCATCGGCTTGGGGTAGTGGAAGTATCCATCGACTGGTGAAGAGCAGCATGGCATGTAAGCAGGCCGTCGCAACGGTCACAATTGCGAGCAGTGCTGCATCAAACCCACATTGGCAGTTCTGGTAGCCACCCAGGTCTTCATAGTAGGCCATCGCGCCTGAAACCCAGAGCACACACATGGTGAACTGAAGGAGGAGCTCAACCTTGACCCTGAAGAGGCCATAGAGGAAGTCGCCATAGTTGATGAAGGGCGCGAGTGGCATGGCAATGTTGTAACCAAAGTAGATGATTGGCGTGAGAACGCTGAGGATGATCAAGTAAATGAGCGAGCCCCATGATGGGAACACGATCGGTTTGTGATCCTCGTAGTACTAGGGAACGTGATCGCCAGTCAGTACGCGTCCATATCCCCACATCCTTCCACGGCGAGACTCTTACCTTAACGACCAGGATACTGATCACCAACGTGATGAGAGAGAGGCAGCAGAGAAGGGCAGTGATGAGGAAGCGAAAGACCAGGATGATGTTGGGGTGAATGGCCTTTGGCTCTTTGCTCCTGTCCGGAGCCTTGGTGCTGAGCGCGTATCTCTCTGGGAAAGCCATCTTGGGTATGCATTACACGTGGCTACCACCACTGCGTTTCTTCCCCTTCGGTGATCCTACACCCCCCCCCCCCGTTCCCCAAACCAAGTCCTTCAGCTCTTGAACGCGAGGACCTTGGTAGCAGCTGGCGAGCGAGCCCGTTTTGTGGGGCTACAAGCGTCGTTTCTAAGAGGCAGCGAAAAAGCGGGTATGTGAAGGCAAAAAGAGGCGAAAGTCGTGTCGAAGTCGAAGTAGGTCGAGTCGGAAAGAGCAGGAATAAGGACCGGGCCTCAGGCACGGCAAAAGATGAGATCGGATGGAATTAAAGGGAAGTAGGCGGAAGGGGATGTTGTGAAGGAGTGGCGACGAGGTCGAGCGATAGAGAGAGGAGGACGATCATGCGGAGAGACGGGTTGGCGAGAAAGGGTGATGGTGAGCGGGGGAAGCGGACACATAGCCTGGAGGGTAAGAACAGGTTGGGCCAATTTCTTTCTCCCTTTCAGCGAGTTCTGGGAGGGATATGCAGGGGCACACCATACGTACATTAGCCGAAATTCGAGACTAACAAAGTCCCAAGAGTAGCCCGTGCCTACTTTCACTTTTTTTGGCCTGAAGCCCTGAGCCTGCCTCAGTACCGTCTCACGGGGTCTCGTACCTAGACCCCGCGCAAGCTGATTGCAGGCACCTGATGAGTTCCATCACAAGTCTCATAACTGCTGCGCCCCCCAGCCGAAAGTCTTTAACAGCCTCATACATTCAGCACTGCGACTCTGTTGCGGGTCCCGAGCGGGCTGATGCGGAATTAGAAATCCCCCTTGTGGTGATTGATTGATGAACATCTTTGCTCGGATCGGAGAGGCGGCACTTCGACAGTGGGCTTGGAATGAGCACTTGTAGAAGTTATTGCGGATCAACCTAGGGCTCCAGCACGGCAGACCTGAGTTGCCGACAACGTGCAGCGCTTGGGATATTCATCAATTGCTCAGAAGGCTTTCCTCTGCCCTCTGCTGCCCTGTTCAAGTCAAGCGATTTGTACGTACACTTGTAACTCATCAACAGCAACCAAAGCCAGATCGTAGTGCTGCTCCTGCATAATTGCAGCAGACCCAAGCAATGTATATGTAACTTTGTTCATACATACCTCTCTGTATGTACCAGTGTATGTACCCTCCCGAGCATGGGCAGCAGCAGATAGACTAGCTGAGAAGAGGCAAGCGAGCAGAGGGCCAGCAAATCATCGCAAGTTCTCTGCGAAAGTGGGGGAAGATGCAAAACTACATACGCAGCGCATCAGCAGCACAGTGCATGCGCTCATGTGCGTTGCTCTGGCGCCGCTTTTGGCTTCGATGCTAGTACCTCTCTCAGAGGACCACTTGCGAGAATCTGCACGGACTTTGTTGGGGGTCTCCGTGCGTGCCTGCGTCATGCAGCATGTGCAGCCTACCCACTGCCTGCCTCCTGATCCAGTCCTCGCCCACCACGGCACACACACTGTTGACGCAATGTTGTCACCCTCCAACCTAGTTCCTCTGATCTGAACTTGCGCTCCGCCTGTACTGTGTTGCGCCAAAAATGCAACCCTGCTTTCGCGCTCTCTTTGAGGCTCGTCCTCCACCAAGATGGATACTTGCAGAAAGAAGATTGCTTTCCATTCTTCACTGTGTGTGGTGCGTGCGTCATTCAACCACTTGCTGTACATGTAACGCGAAGTTGATGAGAAGGTCTTGCTCGCAGCGTTTGGGCAATTGAAGTCTCCCTGCGGAAGCACAGCATCACTGCTCGACCTCATCAACATCAGCATCCGTCAGTGCCAGGCTTTCATAAGCTCTTGTAAGACATCCAACAGGGGTTGAGGCAGAGCTTGCAGCATACCAGAGTGAGCGATACAACGAGCGGCGCGGCACGGCCGAGACGTTCACACAGGTTCAAGAAAAGGCGAGGGTTGTGGCAAACATGAGCCAACATGATGTGGGTCTCTTCACCGCGTATGGTGCGTATCGAATGAGTTTGTCCGTCAACCGCAACAAGTGTGTCCCTTGTGACTGACCGTCGCATCGCATGGACATCGGCACAGGTGCGCTGATGATTGGCGCCATAGTGCCCATCTACTACGGCTCGCTCGCGTCGCTCAAGACGCCCAAGACGACGCGCGAGCTCCGCAAGCAGCTGCGCAAGCGCAAGAAGGACGATGCCGCTGACGAGGCGGAGGACGAAGACGAAGACGATGGACTACGCGTCGGCGAAAAGGTCACGTCGGAGGATGCCTGGCTGTTCCCGGTCTTTGGTTCTGCCGTGCTGTTCGGCATGTACCTCGTGTTCCGGTACCTCGATAAACAATATGTCAACCTACTTCTGAGTTTCTACTTTGGTGTCCTGGGCTTCTTTAGCCTAAGCAAGGTACGCGTTACCCTGGCGGGTCTCCGCTGCCGTCGCAGCCACAGTAAATGCTGACGCATCGCCTTCACTCTGTCCTGGCACGCAAGGCTTTCCGAGACGTGCTGCATGCGGTCCTAGGTCGCAAGATCGTCTCGAGGTTTGAAAAGATCAAAGTGGAAGTAAGCAAAGCTGGGAGAGGTGCGTCTCGTTGGAAGAAGCAAGAGTGACTTCCCTAAAGCCGGCAGCCATGCTGATACCTTGATACCACGCAGAGCTGCTCATATTCACATGCAGCTACCTGGACCTTGTCGTTCTTGTCCCACTTTCGCTCTTCCTCGTCGTCTTCTACATCATCACGAGACACTGGATCGTCTCGAACCTGCTCGCGCTATCTCTCGCTTTGAACGCGATCGCGCTGATGGAGATTGACAGTTTCCTCACGGGAAGCATCATGCTTGGCGGTCTGTTCGTGTACGACGTCTTCTGGGTCTTCGGCACGGACGTCATGGTCAGCGTCGCACGCAACTTTGACGCGCCGATTAAGATCGTATGGCCAAAGAACCTGCTGGATGGCCTCGCGGGCTTGCTCGCTGCTGCTGCTCGTGACGGCAGAATGAGCTCCCTCTGCGAGGCTTGGTCAAAGCTGCACTGGCAATTCACCATGCTCGGGCTCGGTGACATTGTGATACCGGGCATCTTCGTCGCGCTGGCGCTGCGTTACGACCAGCACGTTGCATCCGTCGCCGCGCCGAGCGTACACTTCACGAGACGCTACACGTCATTCCCCAAGCCGTACTTCACCGCGACGCTCATCGCGTACGTCGCGGGCCTCGCGACGACCATGGCGGTTATGCACGTGTTCAAGGCGGCGCAACCCGCGTTGCTGTACCTCAGTCCTGCATGCGTCTCGGCTGTCGCGCTGCAGAGCTTCAAGCGCGGAGAATGGAAACAGGTGTGGAGCTGGAAAGACACGGAGGAGGACTCAGAGGGGCAAGAGCAGGAACAAGCGCATGGGTCCAAGGAAATACAATCAAAAGACAGCAGGGGCAAGAGCCTTAAAGCAGCGACCAAGAGCAGCAATGGCGATGCTGGAACCGCGACAGACGGCGGATTGGAGCGCCGCTCCTCGCGAAAGCGCAGGCAGAGCGTCAAGACTCTAGAGGCCGATATCTGAGCAGTTGGGATATATACTGTGTGCAAAATAGTAGAAAGCCTGTACCCTAGCTAGGTGGACTAGATTCTTCGAAATTTGACACAGGAACACGGGCAGGCAGGCGATAATGATAATACATAGAAAAGGCGAAGCTGGAAAGGTGTCTGGAGAAAACAGTACTGATAAGGATGTGTGAGGCAAAGCGAAAGTGTATGTGTGAGCGGGTGGGGTGGTGACTGAGTGGCTTTGTATCAGATTGGGAGGTTGGACTATGTATGTGCGTGTGGCGTGTGTGCGTCGAGCGGATATCATCAAGTCGCGAGCAAAGCAATCGAGCAGGAGCAGCTGATGGGCCCACTTTCAAGCGTAGTCGCGAGACTCGAGCCCGCGCATTTCCTTCTTGCGCTTGTCCTCGCGGGTGAGTCCGAAGTACTTGAGCACGATGGGCATGAAGAAGTGGACAACGGTCGCGGTAAAAACGGTAGCGAGAGTGAGCCAGAGAACGATGACGAGGGCGCGGTAGAAGTTTCCGTTGCGAAGGTACTTGTTGACAAGCGCGTTGGCTTGCTCGGCCGTCGTCGCTGAGTTCCAAGGGCTGATGGTGTCCGCCTGGATGCCGAGGGCGGCGAAGCCGCCGTCAGGAATATAGAATGAGGCCGCCGAGCTCGAGTAGAAACTCTGCGCGATCTGGTACAGCGCGTACTGGACACCTTCACTGAAAGGCGTGCTGTACGCGGGACCGGGGCTCAGCGACCATCGGCGCGTGTTGGCGTACGCCGTGTAGGCAGAGGTGATACCGGTCCAGGCGCCGAGGATGATGAGGTAGATTAAGGTGACAGGAAGCCAGGCTTTTGTGCCCTCGCCCGTGTAGTTGCCGCGCCGGCCTTTAAACTGCCCAACGCACAGGCGGATGCAAATGATCCCCCATACGAACGTGATGGCACCGATGACGAGCGCAGCGCTGCGCGTTCACGACATGCAAAGCGGCAGTTGAGCTCTCTGAAATGAGCCATCCCTTTCGTCAAGACTCACAAATCGACCCGACCTAACCCATTGTCCTCAAGGCTGAACTGCCCGCCGATGGAAGAACCAGCGAGGTTATGGCGGATCATGTGAAAGAGGCGGATGTCGTGGCCGGCCATGCCCATGACGATGGCGCCAAAGGACATCGTGCCGAGATGGAGCGGCAGCTCGAGGAGATGAGCGGGGACGTCACCCATGTTGAACGACTAGTCGGAGTCAGGGGAGCGGTCAGGTGGTGGGTATGCGGGCCCCGAGCGAAGGTCCAGTGGAGAAGCGAGAGGGACGTCGCCGTTGCGGCCAGTGAATGCGGAGAGTATAAGAAGGGCGGAGAGGGAGAGGTGACCGGGCAGGAGGAGCAGCAGGAATGGATATGCGATTTCGTTGACGGTGCCTGGTAGAGCGGCTTCGAAAGAGGCTCTCACGCCGATGGAATCAGGATGTAAGATCATTTGCTTGCCCAAATGATGTGTTGTGCGATTGGTAGGACTGGAGAAGGCGAGGTGCTACAAGCCGACAGAATGCCGAGTGCAGAAGTGCCGGGTGGGTCAGGGCCGCGGAGAGACGACTCTCTGCGGCCCTTTGGGCGCCTACGCTAGCATTGTAGAAGAGAAGTGGGGAGTGGGGAAGAGAAAGGCAAAGTCAGACGAGAGTTCTCTTGTGCGGGCCGCACGGCCAGATTTTTAGGGAGGCCACATCCTACCCCGATCAAAAGAGATCCTCGCATTCTCCTCCCCCAGTAAAATAAAAAGAAAGGAAATGGAATAAAAAGCGAATAAAAGAAACAAGTGTCCAACTTGGCATGGATTTGTAAAACCCATCCGTCAAACAAGGTTCTGTCCGCCACCGCATGTAAAGCAACCCTACTTGCTTACGTAATGACATTGTTGATTTCCACCCGTTCTAACATTACGTCATTCTCCCCCGCACTTTTTGGAGACTGGCGGACTGGCTGACGCAGAGCAGAAGCAGTCTAAATCAAAAATTAAAAATAAACAGTTGACGAGTCATTTGGAGAAATGCCATGTCCGTCATCGCCGAATACTAACAAACAGTGAGCTCGCCGTCTCAGGCAACCAAGGCCAATGCTCTCCTTTCCTTCCGTTTCAGATCACTCGTCGCCGACGATCCCTATTCAGACGGTGCCGGTATCGAAGCTCTCCCATAGACCGGACATTGTAATCCTCCTCGCAAGCTCATCCAAGCCAGAGACGCGAGACTGCCTGTATTTAAGGTGACCAACCCCAGCATCTGTCCGGTTTCGTTGCCTTACCTCCCTGCCACACACCTCGGCTGCAACTGCACAATCCAATCCTGCAATACACATAAGTGCATATCGCTCAACTCATACGCAAGCAAGCAAGTAGCACACAGCTCTGCACGCATTCAATTTCGACAATGCAGGCAGCCACAACCCTCAGTAAGCGCCTGGCTCTCTCCTCGCAGCTCGGAGCAGGCACAAGCGCGAGAGCCCAGCGCCGAACAACGAACACCTCCGCTTCTCTGATCGCTATTGCAGCCGCAGCGCGCCGTTATCGCCCATCGTCATTCATGATGCCGACCTCGAAAGGTCCGGCATCAGCGTCCGCATCGGCATCGACGGCAGCGACGTCGCTCCTCAACCTGCGCCCAAAACCGGTGCACTCGATCACCGCGCCCGTATCTGCACACCGCATCACGCACGCGCCGAGCTTCTCTGCGCTCGTCAGCCGCGCCAACAACACCGTCGCGGGGCACGATTCGCTGACACAAACAAGGCACCGGCAAAACCCACTCCGCCGCGGCGGCGCCGTCGCAGCCTCCGGACAAAGCAGATCGCAAGCGAGCGCTGCGGGGGCCGTCTGCGCAGCTGTTGTCGCGGCTGCTATCACTACCGAGCTGCAATGGTAAACGGCATCGTTCTGCCAATGATGCATTATATCACCACAAATCACTTAGTGAGTGTCGTTCGAGTGTGGTTCAATGCGCGTCGAAGCACAAGATCTAACTTTCGTACACGGTCTGTGCCTCCCCGCTCGCCTTTGCAGTGTGCATGTGCTCCGCGTATCTCCGCATGTAACATGGCCAGCATTACTATACATTAAAGATGTTTCAACGAGAAATGAAAGATTTGGTTTGTGCCACTCATATGGGGGTGGATTTCCGGCAACGATACAATCCTCCACATTCGAACAAGGTTCGTGGAGAGGTATGAATGGTACCTGGTGCCTGAGAAAGGATCTGCTCCATCGTGCTCATGATCATCCATTCGCCCTCGATCGTGAGAGTCCGTCTATCCGCGCGGCCTCATCAAACGCCGGACATGGGGAAATATGGATACTGCGAGTGCTGTTGGCCGCTCATGACAGCCTTGATGTACGCTGCCGACATCTTGGGCGTGCGCGTCTGGTTGTAACCGGACGGTGAGTCGATAAGGCCAAACTTGATACCGTAGCCTTCGCTCCACTCGAGGTTGTCCAGGCAGCTCCAGCTAGCACAGCCCAAGCGCCGATGCAGGGAGAGAGGCAAAGGAGAAAGTTCGTGTGACATGAGCACAAATTCAAGATGCATGCGTGAAGATTAAAACTCACGGAGTAAAGCCAATGAGAGGCAATTTGGCCTCGAGCGCCCACTTCATGTTCTTGAACGTGGACCTGTACCAGTCCACGCGCTCCGGGTCGACGATGCGCTCGGCGAGGTAGAGCTGGCTCTCGTTGCGCCTGCCCATGCCGTTCTCGCCAACGGTGTAGGCCTTGATGCCGTGCTCGTGCATGTACTTCAGGCCGGTGAAAATCGTGTCGTTGGCGCGGAAGTTCCAGTTGCTCTCAGTGGGCACGCCAATGAGGTAGCCGTCATTGTTGTAGTTAGACGCGTTGACGCACGACGGGTAGAAGTTCGACATCTGGTTCCTCTTGCAGTCATGCTCGTCTTGGCTATCCAGCGCGCCGACCCAGATAGAGGTGTACGCATCGAACGCAACAAAGTCATACGAGCCCGCGAGCTTCTTGCTCTCCTCCGCCGTGAACTTGGGCAGTGCGTCGCCAAGGTAGTTTGCAAAGATTTCGCCGTACGAGCCGTTCACCAACGGGGGTACCTCCCAGAATTCGAATGCGTGGTGCTGGTCGAGCGCCAGCCTGTCCGCCTCGCTTCTCGGGTCCATCGGCACGCCGGGCTGGCCGTCGATCTTGATGCCGAACCTGCCCTTGACCTTGCCTTCCTTCTTTTTCTTCTTGAAGACGTCATGTGCTTCCGAGTGCGCAAGCAGCGCATTGTGGTAGCACTTGTACTGCGTCTCGTATGTCGCGTTCGCGAGCGCCGGCGCAGAAACTGGGTCCGGGCCGTATCCCTCGGTGCAGAATGTGCGCGGCTCGTTCATCGAGATCCAGTCATCGCACAGGTCTCCGAGGCTGCCCATGAGGACATCCGCGTAGTTCTTGAAGTCAGCCACGACCCGCTTGTCGACCCAGCCGCCGTACTTGTCCTGCAGTGCTTGCGGCAGGTCCCAGTGGTAGATCGTGCACGCAGCCGTCATGCCGTTGTCGTGCGCGGTCTTGACGACGTTGCGGTAGAAATCCACACCGTGCTCGTTGGCCGTGTGGCCGGTGCCGTTGGGCAGGATGCGCGTCCAGGAGATGGTGAAGTCGTACTGGTTCATGCCGAACGCCTCCTTGAAGAGCGGCAGGTCCTTGGGGTACGTGTGGTAAAAGTCAACGGCGACATCACCGTCCGCGTCCAGTGCGATGTGACCGAGACCTTTTCCGTGCGCAAACGTGTCCCAGATGCTAACCCCCTTACCGTCTTTTGCTTGGGTCCCTGTGGCACCCTCGATTTGGTACGCGGAGGCTGCAAGGGCGAAAGCGTGGTAAGAGGTACTGTCGTCAGTCCAGTGTCGTACTTCTTGTTGCGCTCCTCTCGTCCACATGTCTGCCAAAGCCACTCACTTCCGCAACCAAAGACAAAGTCGTCTGGGAGATCGTGACCGTCAATGACATAGTTTGCTGCGACGCGCGTCGCCAGAAGCGCCAGCGCGCCAGCTAACTGGCCGAGCCGCGCAACCATCTCGCAAGGTACCATTCACGAAAGCAGGACGGCGGTCGATACTATCAAGGAGGCGAGGTTGCAACGCTCGCGATTCGACCTATGGTCGAATATATATACCGCATTGGCTTGCAAGAGTGCATATACAGGTAGCAGGACGCCTTTTAAACGAACTCGCCTGATGATGAGGCACGCTAACTGCATGCCATACGCCTGCCTCTCACGGGTATGACTATGCAATACCACCGGTACGTACACGGGAAGGTGGGAGTCTATGCGCATGCAGCCCGCCCCTAACCCTCTATACACTCTGGAGCCAGCATGGCGTCGCAACTTGCAGGTCTGGCGCCAGGCGCAAGCAGCAGCTCTTGTCGTGGTCAGCATAGCCCTGGCCATCAGCGCCCAGCGAAAAGCAAGAGGAAGTAGCCTCACGGAGTCTCCGGTGCAAAGTGCACGCGCCCACACGAATACTTGTTGCGGAGCGAACAAGCGCAGTCGGACGAGCTTCGGGAAGAGAGCTGAGAGGGCGCACTGCGCACCACTTCTCTTAACCGCTGTTCCAGCAGGGGTGCGCTAGTGGTCCACTCTAACTCCTAAGGATGAGAAAAAAAGCGTCTGGATCTATACGTTGGGCTATACATCGGTGTATCTGGTGTGTGTGAATTGCGGAAAGCTCATGTCGATCGTTTCTGGTGGATTCTCTAGGCCCCAAAGCGCGCGGCTGCAGCCTACAGGCACCCTCTTGATCTCTCACAGTCGTAGCGCTAGCACTGGGGGAGCCTACTGGAAGTGCTGGGAACGGGTTAGACAACGGGTAGAACATCAGGAACTGACAGCACTGCAGAAGGCAGTACAACACACACCCATCTTTTCAGAGTTGAACCCATGCCGCCCCACCGTCATCCACACTCTCACATGCAGTACACCCGTCAAGGTTGTGAATTGTCGGGAATGGTCACGTGATCATATTTGTACAGCCCCGCCACGGCATGGCATCTCTCCCCTGTGATCACTGCTGGTGGACTATCGTAGTATATGTGCCTGCATGCTCCTCTGACTTGTATGAATCTAGCTATCATCTCTGCCTTCGTAGAGTGCCTCGGCACCTCTGGGGATTGCCCTACGGTGAGCACCGGCGGTCGCAACACCACCTTTTCCCCGCGAGGGCGCAAGGTTGCAGTTGGCCAACAAGAGGTACAATCCTGTGTCCATATTCGAAAAAGACGTGCTCATATCATGATACAGTATGTACACACGATGTTCAGATCGCCAGTAGCCGTGATCAGACAGTGTCTAAAGAGGTGGCCAAGCCCAGATGCGGTGAGGGCCTCCCAGGATTCATGCTCAGATTCGTTTCGACGCGAGCCTGCCTTGCGCAGGGTTCGGGTTTGGTACACGGATACGTAAGCAAGGTGGATAGGAGATCAACGATATGGTTGTAGAATGGGCTCGTATCAATTTCTTTACATTTCATCGCGCTCGTGCCAACGTCAAGTCGGGGTCGTGTTCGCAACGGCATGCGTACACGCCAGCGCCAGACAGGGACAGACACGGCTTAACGCTCAAGCGTACAGGTCGTCGTCATCCGCAGCGTCCGCACCGAACGCCGCGCCGCTCGCGCCGCCCGCTGCGCCGCCCTCACCTTCTGGGAACTTGAACGCGCTGCCAAAGCCCCGCGTCTGCTGTAGGTTGGACGCAAACAACTCGTATTTACGAATGTCAGCGTCAGACACACTTCGCCTCGCGAAGCGCATGGCCTCCTCGAAGCTGTGCGCGGGCCGGTGCAAAGAAAGGGCATGGGTGAGTAGGCTTCCGCTACAGCTGCATGGATGCATGTGACACTCACTGCTCGGGTGTGATCTCGGGAACGGGGTCATCTAGTGCTGCGTCCTCTTCCATCTTGACGTCTCCGCCCGTAGCGGCAGCCTCCTTCTTTTGGCGATCTGCCCTCATATCTGCCTCGATGCTCTCGCGGATGGCGAGCTTGGCAGCCCTCTGGCAGATCTCCGCCAGGTCGGCACCAGAGTATCCGTGCGTATGCTTGGCAAGATATGACAGGTCGACCTTCGGTGAGATGGGTGACTTCTTGAGCGTGGCACTGAGGATGGACAAGCGCGAGGCTTCGTCGGGGAGAGGAATGTAGATCAGCTGGTCCAAACGACCTGGACGCAGAATGGCGGAGTCAATCTGGTCCGGCCGGTTCGTCGCGCCGATGACGAACACGTTCTTCTTGCTGTTCATGCCGTCCATCTCGGTAAGGATCTGGTTGATGACACGATCCGACGATCCACCGCCGTCACCCAGGCTGCCGCCTCTGCTCTTTGCGATCGAATCCAACTCGTCAAAGAACATGACGCAAGGCGCCGCAGCACGTGCCTTGTCGAACACATCTCTGACGTTCGCTTCTGACTCGCCGAACCACATCGTAAGCAGCTCAGGGCCCTTGATGCTGATGAAGTTTGCCTGGCATTCGTTGGCGATAGCCTTGGCAAGCATCGTCTTACCCGTACCGGGCGGGCCGTAGAAGAGAACGCCCTTGGATGGGGACATGCCGTACTTGAGGAACTTCTCCGGGTGCTCGACGGGGTAGGACACGGTCTCTTGCAGCTCCTGCTTGACCTTCTCGAGACCACCAATGTCGTCCCAAGTCACAGTAGGCACTTCAACGACTGTTTCGCGGAGGGCCGACGGGTTGGAGACACCGAGAGCAAAGCGGAAGTTCTCCATGGTGATGCCGAGGCTGTCGAGAACCTCGGCGTCGATCGTGTCCTCATCCAGATCGATGAGGTCCATCTTCTCACGGATCTGCTGCATGGCCGCCTCCGAGCACAGCGCGGCGATGTCGGATCCGACATAACCATGCGTGTCAGCCGCTATCTGCTCGAGGTCAACATCTTCGCCCAGCTTCATGTTCTTGGTGTGAATGCGAAGAATTTCAAGACGGCCGGTAGGGTCAGGGATTCCAATGTCGACCTCCCTGTCGAATCGTCCGAAACGACGCAGGGCAGGGTCGATTGAGTTTGGTCGATTGGTGGCGGCCATGACAACGACGTTAGACCGAGCCTTGAGGCCATCCATCAGCGTGAGCAGCTGTGAGACGACACGACGCTCCACCTCTCCGTTTGTCTTTTCACGTTTTGGCGCAATTGAGTCAATCTCATCGATGAAGATGATGGCTGGCGAGTTCTTTTCGGCCTCCTCGAATGCCTTTCGCAGATTAGACTCCGATTCACCAGCCATCTTACTCATGATCTACAGAAAATGGGCAACGTTAGTTTCCGCAACTGCCGGGACCTCGATAGGTGAGGTACGCACCTCTGGACCATTTATGAGGAAGAAGAAGGCACCCGTTTCGTTGGCAACTGCTCTCGCCATGAGCGTTTTACCGGTACCGGGGGGTCCGAACATGAGAACACCGCGAGGCGGCTTGATACCGATGCTCTTGAACAACTGCGGGTGGCGCAGCGGTAGCTCGACCATTTCACGAACTGTAGAGGGGTTGTGTATGTGTGAGCACATAACTCGAGTGAAGCTACGAATGCGAAGCGCTCACTTTGAGCCATCTGTTTCCTGCACCCTCCAATGTCATCGTACCCGACATCTGCCAGATTGGCCTCCTCATCTTCCCGCTTGACGGGATCGCCCTCTGTGTGAATGACAGTGTCCTGTGCGACGATGCAGAACTCCGCCGGGTCGGTCTCGATGACCTTGAATTCGACCTGCCTCATACCGCCACGAACCGTGAAGGTGTCCCCCTTCCGGACGGGCCTGTACGCCTCTAGGAAGTAAGGCTTAAGGTAAACATCGAAGATGTTGCCGGTCAGGCCTTCAACCGAGTCGTCAAAAGGAAGGACGTGAATTCTCTTGCCGTACTTGATGTCGTGGCATGCGTGGATCGTAACGAGATCGCCGAGCTTAACGCGCAAGTTGTTGCGGGCGACCTTGTTCAAGCGAATCTTGGTCTCGTCCGTGTTGGCGTCTGATAAGCAGATCAGGACAGTGTCACGACGCTTCTTGCCACGGATAATAACTGCACAGGAGCATAGCTGTGGTTAGAAAAAAGGGTGTCTAGCATGATTCGTGGAACTCACTGGTGTCGCCTCGGAAGAGCCCCAGCTCCTCCATCTTGGCTTCTGAGAGACACGCCACTGAGTTGTCATCCGTGGTGGAATCCTCGACAAAGAGTCTATTTGGAGCTACAATCCAGACAGCGATGGTGTCAGTAACATATTCCTTCATGTCAGTAATAAGTACAGAGTAGCTGAGCGCGAGTATTGCGGGCCGCATCACGCAATGTGGCGGCGGACACCCTCACAAGCCCGGCCCATCGCGACAGCGCACCACAGTACGTGCTGGTGTTCAGCACTCACACTTCTTCTGCCGCAGAATGGCGGTGGCTGTCTCCTCTTTGCTCTCAGGGGCAGTCCCCTGAGGCGGGTTGGTTTCCTGTTTTGGAGCGTCCGCCATGGTGGTGATTAGCGCTCGAAGGGTCGAGTCCACTCGCTTCGTTGAATGGCCTCTTGGAAAAATGTGGGTTGCGCGCTCTATAAATGCACGAGTCGATACCAGCTGCGTTCCTTCGTATATGTGCACAGTCCTCTCTTGGATTCTTGGGCTGTGGTGGAAGAGAGCTTGCAAGCGATAGCAGGTGGTTTGGCAAAATGTTGTTGTGCCATCAGAATGTGCACTGGAAGCAACGTTGCCTGGAGTCCTGGAAAGGTGGTGACGTGGTCGAAGCCTCCCAGTGTTATGCGGTGTCCCGCTTGTACGTTGCACAGGCCACGCAAGTCAAGTCCTGGCGTTGAGTGGCACCGCGCCGCGCTCACCTTTCAACGGCTTCCGCCCGACCTCCCTTTAGCCTAGTTCAACGAGTTAGTTCTGGTGCATCTCAAACCTTTGGGCGGTTGTCAGTATCTCATCATCGCGTTTTTGCAGAGGACGCACTTTCGTCAAAGCTGGAACAGTTCCTTGATTGTAGGCATCGATTCGTGGAGTGAGCCTTGTGTGGTAACCATTCTTCAAGCTTTGCCTATATCTAGACAAGTGTAAACGAATGCATACTGGCTCGTCGAACCCAGCCAGCATCCACGCAGTTTCAATTGAAAATGAGTAGCCCGGCAGCCCCCTCACGGGCGCAAGTCCTCAAGCTCTACCGGCAGTATTTGAGCACCGCGCAGTCATTCGTGAGTTGGTCACAAGCCCAAAGGCATCGACTCCTCACCCCCCAAGGAATGAACACTGACGCAAAGGTGACCGCTCCGATTGTATTGTTATCCTTGCAGTCCTCCTACAACTTCCGAACATACTTTCTGCGGCGGTCGCGGGATCTTTTCCGGTCCAATCTGCTTCCTCCTTCACAAGCTGCATCCTCGTCCCCCCACTCCAAGGCGGGCGACACGACAACGCCTGCATCACCCGCGGCACTTACCAGTGCGCCACCATCTATCCTCACGTCAAATACAGCGTCATCATCATCTTCGCCAGGGTCATCATCATCTTCCGCAGCAGCAGCATCGCGCGAAGCAACAGGCGCCCACCAGCCGCAGCCATCCGCGGCGCACAGCGATGTGGAGCGCGTGACAGCGTTCTACCACACAGCGCTGAAGGACCTGCAGGTGCTGCGACGCAGCGCGCTCATCAACCGTATGTACGAAGGCGAGCGGCTCGTAGTCGAGCGGCCACGCTTGATCGTCGGCGGTGGTAGAGCAGGCGTGGAGGCCTCCGTCGGTGGTGGGGGCCAGCCTGTGGCTGGCGGGCCCAACTCTCCGCCTAAGAGCGATTAACTGACGAGATGGAGCGTATGGGCCTGGAAACCGAGAGAACGTCTCATCCACTTGCAGCATGTGTCAGCGGTTGTACAATATCATGCTCGCACCCCTCGCTGGCCATGTGCGAACTTATGTTGTCTGGGAGATGACAGCGCGGACAAAGCTGCATGCTCTAGTCGGCTTCGGCCGAGCTTGAATTTACCGCTTGCCCGCGATAACGCTTAGATGATATGGTACAATGTTTGACCTTAACAATGGGCTCGCTCGGACTCGATATGTGGTATGCATGGATATCGTACATGTGGCTACGGAGCTGCTGCTGCGTAAATCAGTGAGCTTGGGCCTGTACTTCCTCCAAGAACTTGAGATAGCTGTTATGTAGCGGAAACATGCGTTGTCAGTGGCCATCTAGATCTCCAACTGCCAGACGCTCACAGAGCACGTACCGCTTCTTGAAAATGACACCCTTGTAGCTGCCCTGGTCATCATTGACAACGAGGTACCTGACGCCGAGTTTGGTAAAGTACTGATGCACTAATTCGAGCGGCGAATGTGTCTGCACCGATATCGGCGCCTTGTCAACGAACCTGCTCAAGTCGTTCGGATCCTGAACAAAGGTCGGAGAGAACACCATCGAATCACGCATACGTCCCACTTCGCCATCAGCATCAGCGCCCTCGCCGCCAGGCGAAACCGCATCAGACTGCCGCACGTTAAGGTAGGCCAGATTGTTAAACGTGCACTCGACCGTTTCGGCGTCGAGACCCGCGGCCTCCTGGTGCAACTTTTGCAACGCGTGCTCCAGCTCCGGCGCGGCGATGTAGCCGACCATCTTGAGCTTGCCACCCGCCTTGGGGATGACGATGGGAAAGCCTCCGTCGGTGTAGCCTAGACCGAGTGCAAGACGGGCGAGCTTGCGCTCGAGCGTGCTGACGGTGTTGTCCTGATCGAGGCGGATCACCTCCACGTTGGTGTCCATCGCGTCGGAGACGGAAACGTTTGACCAGATGTACTCCGCCTTTGCATCAAGGTACGGGAGGCCACTAAAGTCGATAACGAGGTCGTAGATGCCCTTGTGCTCCAGTGCGTCGGCAATTGTGCGAGCAATCAGAATGCTGAGCATGACGGGGATGCTGTACGTCAGCGTGCCGGTCAGCTCGAACATGATGACGACGAGCGAGACGGTGGTGCGTGTGACGCCGGAGAGGGCAGCCGCTGCGCCGATCATGGCATACACGCCGGGTACGATGCACGCGCTGTCGGTTGAAGAGCAAAAGTCAAAGAAGGGCAGATCGGGCTGCGTCCACTGGGTGTACTGCAGGAGCAGGCCGACGATGCGCCCGAAGGCAGCCCCGACTGCCAGGGTGGGGATGAAGATGCCAGCCGGGAGTTTGATGCCGAAGGTAATGACAGTCAGCAAGCCTTTGGCAACCATGGCATATGCGAGAGAACCGATTAATGGCCTGATCTGGGACGGCGTCGCGACGCAGAGACCATCGAGCGACTCGTGTTCATGGCATTCGCTGAACAGGTCCGCGATCAGCTCTGCGCCTCCCATCTTCATGTACCCGTTGAAAAACGAGGCAATCAGCGTGATGATTGTGATCAAGACGATCTCGAGCACAGGCCTGCGTGCCATCCACGACTTGGCACGGACATTCTTGGTCCACATCATGTTGAGCTTCGTGAAGACTGCGCCGTAAAGACCGCCAAAGATGCCAATGAGGACAAAGAAGACGAGCTCGTGCGAGTGCCAGTCCTTGTCGTATGTCACCTGGAACAGGACGATCTTGCCCGTGCCGAACGGGTCGATGGCCCTTAGCGTCGCTGCGGCGACCATGGCGCAGAAGAAGGAGCGAAACATGACCTTGGCGGGGAAGTACGACGACACTTCTTCGAGCGAGAATAGGACACCACCGACGGGCGCGCCGAATGCGACGGCGACACCAGCGGCACAGGCGCACGAAAGCATCTCGCGACGTTTGCCCTCGTTCTTGTGGAACTTGTCAAACATGCGGCAGACGATGTTCCCTACGCAAGAGGCCATGTGCACGAACGGACCCTCCTTACCCAGACTCAGACCAGAGGCGACCGAGAGCGTGAGGCCGACCGCTTTGGTGAACAGAGTCCAAAACCCACTGTGAATGGATGCCCGAGAATCACAGTGGTGATTGAAATCAGCAGGATCCCGTGGGACAGATTGGGAGGGTGTGTGCACGTGGTGCGACACTCACAGATAGCCATGAATAACAAAGCCGCTGAGGATGACCTTGATTTCGCTGATCCCGCTGCCGCTGCCGAAGTACAGCACCTTTCTAGGCGGCAACGCACCCGCGGCGCGTTGTTCCTGTGCGATTTGCGACAGCAGTTTTGGCGGGAGTGCAGTGGTGTTTCCGACATCTGCCAAGTCGCGAGCAGGAGCGTCATCGATGGCTCCGTACCCGTTGATGCTGTAGGCGGCTGCAGAATGTCCGTTTCCCGTGTCGTCTCGCGCGTGGTCTCCTTGCGCGCCATGCGTGCCGGACCGGGTCGAGGGTTTCGACGCGTCGACGGCAGGGGACTTGGGTGCAAGGTACAACTCAGAAGACGTCAAATAGATAGTGAGGAGAGAGGCGATGGTGGCCCATAAAATCTAGGTGACCGGTGCAAGGATTGGATAGGGGAAGTCAGCATCAAACCCGGGGACGGATGCTTCGTGTGTAGCTGCAGAGCTTACGGCGATGACGAGGTATATTCCGTGCTCGAAGATCCAACCCTCCTTTCCGTCTATTTTGAAGGCGTGAGACCAGGTGACCCATCCCGGGCAGGATTCATTCTCGCTGCTCGGGTCTATCCTGAGCGCGCCAAGCATGGTGGTAGCAGCTGAGCGAGAGGCATTGACGGCACCCGCGCCGGCGCCAACAGCGACTTTCTTCCACGCCGGACTTCCCGCGACTGGACCAGCCCAACCAGCCAACATGCTTCCTCCAAAGCCGGTGCCGATGCCGTTCGACATCAAGCTCGCCATACCGCTGCCGGAAGGATTGATGCGCGTTCCGGCGAATGCGCTCTTGTAACTCCAACGAGGCGTCTGCAGGCCTGGTGCGCCTGCCGCAGCCAATGCCACGCTTCCCTTGTCGTAGTCGGGATGGTTGGCGTACGGGCAGCAGAAGCGCTTTGCGAGGCGCCAATCTCGCTCGCAGTAGCCCTCCTTGAAGTCGAAGAGGACCGCTTCGGACTGCACGACGCCGCCTGCGATGAAGGCGGTGAGGACGCCAATGATGGAGACGACGAGCCAGCCCTGGAAGCGGTCCCACGCGTTGCGCGCGGCGCCACGGATGCCCTTGAATTCGCGCAGCCTGCGCAGGCGGGAAGACTCCTTGATGGCGTCGTGGATCCAGTCGATGGTGGTGTACGACTCGTACCAGACGCGCACACCGTTGCCAATATCGCGTGCGACGAGGTCGTCCTGGAACGTCTGCTCGTCGTATGCGGAAGCACTGCGGTGACTGCGCTGTCGCGGCTGCGGCCAGGCGCTGATGCTGGACGGGAAGCTGGGTCGGGCGGGTGACAGCTGCTGACTGATACGCTCGCCCAGGAAGCTCAAGGGGCGACCGCTGCTTCGCAGGAGGCTCCGCCCGATTGATTCGGTCTGCTCCATATACGATCTGTGTTCGCAAGAGGGGAGTCCATTCGACAGGTGACACTGGCGTCAGCTAACTCCAAGTCAAGAAAGGAAGAGGAGAGCACGTGTGCGAACAAGGCCACTTACCTGCTTCTGTTCAGACGATGCCGACTCGCGCTCTCCACGTGATTCGATCCAAGCAACGCAGATGTCTCGGTCACCTCTTGCTCGGCGTGATCTCCATGCGTGCCGTTCTCCTCGTTACGGCTGACGCTGCGGCCGCGCGTCTCTTCGGCGTTGACATTGACTTGGACAGAGGCATCAGTCTCGACGTTCCAGGCGTGCTCAGTCATAGTGAACGACGGATGGACTTGCAGGTGCAGAGGTTTGCGACGTAGCCGAGGCCAAGGTGCAAGATAGAGGGGGGAGAGATGGAAAGTGCTGTTCCCTGCTGCCTGCGTCTCTCATAAATATTAGCCCTTGCCTTCCCCGCGGTCGAATGCAAGTGAAGGGGTTATGTCTTGGTTGATGATGATGAGGGTCACTCTTGTTGGGGTTGCTAGCTACTGTGTGTAATTGCATAGGGGACTTTTGCATGATGGATATACTTCTTACCACACACACGCACCAGAGCCTCTGAAGTTGTGGGTGGGTGGGTGGCACCGGAAGTGCCTGTATGGACACATACACACACCCCATGCCTGCCACCAGTCAAGTGATACGCCAGGCACGACTCAACTCCCTGATCAGGAACGCGACGTCTCTGGTTCATAATAGTTGCGACCTTTCTGTTGATCACAAGTTAGGGTTAAGTGACATTCGTTCCGCCAACCTCCCTTCACAAACACCAAACTCCCAAGGTGTTGGTTTGGCACTATCTCTTCATGATGCCGTGGTCAATCCCACTCATCCATCATTGTCGGTCTTGTGGCTGGGAAACAGCACAGTGTCCGACGGCATCGACGCAACTGCTACATCCGGAGCTGACTTCTTACAAAAACGTGTCTTCCAAGTCCGTTTAGCGCGGTCCAGCGGTCGACAGCTCTCGGAGTGAGCGTAACGAAGGGAGCCTGGGGGAACAGCATCGCGGCCGCTGTTCTAACTCATTCATAAACGCTCCGAAACCCCCGGCATGCGTGGTAGCGTAGCATTCAGCACATCCAGGACCGCCGCCAGTCGGCCCCCTGCTCTACGCTCGTTCTACAATACGCCCCGTTTCATATTCCTCTCGTCAGTCTCCCTCTTTTGGGCTCACCTGCGTCTAGACACTGATACTACGATACATGCTTGCGCCTCTGCCCTGCAGTTGGACCGCCCTGGTCTTCAGCGCCGGATTCGGATACTACATTGCCAAGGCGCGTAACACGGCCAAAGCGCACGACTTCCTACGCAAGGCCCGCATTGAGCAGGCCCAACAGTCGGGGACAGTATCAGATGCCGAGCTACAGCAGATCGCGCAGCAGCAGTCCCAGAGGAAAGGTTGGTATGCCGTCAAAGGACTTCCCTCTTGTGGTTGGAAAACATTCGCACTGATACATCCCGTGTTTTAAAAGTATCCTCGAACGAGAAGTCTCCCGCTCAATCACTCGCTGCAGCATTCGCAAGGCAGAAAGAACGTGTATGACCTTTTACAGCGTGTAGCCTGCAGCCAGCACAATCAGCAACATGCACTTTGCAGGGCCGCCTCCGCACGACCTAGAAACTAGCACGCTCCGCTTCAGCCATTTGAATCCACCTGACGCGTTCGACCCGGACTCGTTCTCCATCACGCACCCGTATGTGTCGCTATCCTCCACTTCCAGAGCCCCAGCGAAGTCCGCGTCGTCTGCGCTCCCGCTCTCGCTCTCACTAGCCAGCTCGCGCGCACTGCGACCGAGCGGGAGCATCGTACCACCGCGCAGCGCGCTCGCACGGCCGATCGTCACTGCTCGACGCCTGGACGGCCTGCCGCGCAACTCGCCGACGCGCGAAGCGCAGATGCGCAGACTGTACGACCTCTTCCGCCTCTGCACGCTCCGGCGCGACCATGAGCGTGCGACGCGCGCCCTGCGCGTGTTCATGCGCTCGCACGAGTTCCCACCGAATTTTTGGTTCGCAGACGCACTAAAGCTATGCTCTCACATCGCCGCGGAGACGGAGCGGCAGCGGCTGGAGGAAGAGCAAGTGAATGGTGTCGAGCAGATGCCTTCAGAGGCAGTCGAAGAGGCGTCGAATCAAGCTGCAGCGGAAGCGAGAGTAAGGTATATGAAGGTCATATGGCTACGCGTTCTTTCCTTCGTGAGTGCCCTTTCGGCGGGAAATGTGCAATTTTAAAAGGGAAGGTGCTGAATCGCTTCTCGCTTTTCAAGCGCCCTCTCATCTTGCCTCGCTTAGTCCCGGACCTCTGCAAACTGGGCAGATACTCTGAAGCGCAAGAAGAACTGGACGCGTAAGTGCTCTGCTTTGCTAGCTGCCGCGTGATGCTCTTGCCATCTGTCGGCACCCAACGCACAATACTGAGGGCTATCCGCACCTTTCACATGCAGAGCCCTGCACAAGTTCCCGTACAATGCCAACCCAGAGCTGCACCATTATGCGGGCCTCTTGACGCTCATCTCTGCACATGCGTCAGACGAGCGCGCCGAGCTATGGGCCATGGGCACTCTTACGTCCATACTCGACAAAGAATTGGATGACGATGATGACGACGACGACGAAGGTGAATGTGAGGCCGGTGATACCCCTGCCCGGCCCGTTGGCCGCCACAGTCGCAATGACGAACGCGATCAAGACCAAGGCGAACACCGCGGGCAACGGCGCGTTCCATCAGCGCACGGCATTACGCTCAGCCCGTCCCTCGCTTCATTGCTCCTCGTCCCGACGCGCACGCTCTCCGCGGCAAAAGCGCATTTTGAGACGGCTGTCGCGCGCGCGTTCAGCGGCTACAATGGCTGGAACACCGATCAGCGCATCGACGATCGCGCGCAGATGCACGAGGTGCGCATGCGGAAGCGCCAACGCACGCTGGCGATGCGGCAGACGGAAAGGCTTCACTTTCAGCTTGACGTTGCTGAGGTTGATGCGCTGCTTGGAACAGCGTCTAAGACGTCCACGCTGGACGGCGACGGTGACGATGATGATCAAAGGGATGAGCGTCTTAGCGCGGCCTCCGAGGACGAGGAAGACGAAGATAGCTCTGAGGATGAAGACGAAGAGATGCACCTTTATCGAGAGCAACAGCAATTACTCGGGCAAGAATATCCTCCACGCGTAAGCAAACGCCGCAGGTCGTACTCGCAACCCGATTTCTCGGATGAAGACGAGAAAGAAGCTGCTGGAAACCAAGATATAAATGAGGAGCAACACGCTAGTGACGGTGCGCAGATGTACTTTGCAGCACAGCGTGCCTGGGCTGTCGAGCTGGCGCGTGTATATGTGGACCTGGTGAGCTGCCCATTGTTCTCGCGGGTGTTGCTGACTGGACGAGCAATGTTGACACTGAGGTCTCCTCCCTTGTCCTGTCGTTTCAGATCAAAGAAGAGGAAACTGCCCGCTTGGGGACGCGCGCTAGCAGCGCCGCCTCTGCCGTCGGGCATAGCTCGTCACAGAGTGCGCTGTACATTCAGTCCCGACGACGGCGTCAGCCGGGCTAGAATGTGCGATAGATGAGCAACTGAGGACTGTCGTACCGACGTCCGAACATGCACTCGTAATCAACGTATGTAAACGTACTAAATAAGTAATACACATATTCTTCGATCGTCGCGATCAAGTGATGTGTGCGTCGAGGTTGGAATTAGAAAGCTGTCATAGCGCACCAGATTGGCTCGATGCGGCCAAACATGCCTGGTTTGGGCAGACTATCGAAGGCGTGCAGCCAGCGCGATATGCATTGAGAAGAGCTCAGCCTTTGCGCTTAGTGTCACGAACAACCAGGTGAACTCAGATATGTCGGACCCTCCCCGTACAACGACAAAGCTCGGGCCTCGTACAACATATGACCTGTTGAAGTGTGTAGGCTCTTTATACTATCCGCCTGATGAAATCTCCATCCCCCACCGTCAAAGAAGATCAGTATGTTCCACTGCTATATTGCAAAGTAGACCATGTTCGTCCGGGCATGAAAGTGCAGCGAGATCGCCAGTTTTGTGGTACTTTCTCTTTGTGGCCTAGCTTTCTTGGTCGGACCTCCTTGATCTAGGGTCTGAAGAGGCGACATAGCGTAGGAATTAAAATGAGGCGAGATTATCATGGAGCGTCGTCAGCCATTTCAGGCTATTTCGAGTTGGTCTCAGCTCAGTTCTCGGTATGTATGTATTATATATACCCGGGATGTGGTTGGTTGGCTCATCAGATCGGCTCGGGGCCAGCAGGGTCCGCTGAGGCTTTTCTGTTGAAAACGGCTGTGTAATCTTGCTTGGTCTTCCGCTCACTGCTCGGCGTTAGGCCCTGCTGATCGGTCGACGATGCGTTCACCTGCAAGAGTGCATACCATCTCCCGCGCCGCGATAGCCGCCGAATTGAGGCTTTCATCGGGCCTTGAGCAGCAGCGGATTGCGGAGAGCTTACCGTTGTCTTGTTGTCTTTACTACATGCACACTGATGAAAGTATCGGCCGATGGCGGCTTGTCATGGTCCAAAACAAAACAGAATCTCTCTCAGTCGGTGAGGATCCTGGATAATGAACCATGATGAAAGAAGAACTTATGGACCGTCAAAAAGTCCCCCAGACGAATCGTCACCAAACGATGACCAACAAATGACTCGGCTCGTCAGACATTCGACTTTCGCGTAATGAAGCTTCTCGTGCCTCCCGAATCTCGTCGAGAAATCCCACCTGCCTCGGCTTCGCCAACTGTCTGTGGCCAGTCACCCTACATACCCTGTCCGGGCTGTCACCAAGTACCGGGGCTCTGACATAAGAGATGCGAACGAGTCCCTTCGCTCGAGAAGGAACCTTCATTCTCTTTCTCGCTTTTTGTCTTGTTGGCTTCTTACCCTTTTTATCGGCATCCCAGCTGGTCGTATGAGTTCGTTTTCCTGGACTGACCGCATTTCAAGGATCGAGAATGTTCGCATAGAAGTACTAGGCCCGCTTCATCCGGTCGGAACGCTCTCAGGTCGGGGTTTTGTTGATCAAAGCGAGCAAGCTAACAAACATGGTTCAAAGGAAGCAACCCAATATTCGTGCCGACTTCTTCCTCAACGGCAAGCAATACGCAACCGCTGACGTCGACGATGACAATGTCAAGTCACAGAATGCCTCTACAAATGCCTTCACAGGTGCGACGACTGGCGCTTGCGCTTCGCGCCCTTCTACAAGTGTAGCATTCGCCGCCAGCTAAGCAACCTGCTTGGCGCTATTCGTATATCTATCCATGCGCTGACCGGAATACCGCTGCTCCCTAAAGCGGCTCGACCCGCCGTAATAGTGGTGCTGCTGGTCCTTTGTCGCAGGCGTACGACCAGAGCGAAGGAGGGAAGGTAATTCTCGTCGATTTGTATGGCGTGAGTCTGCTTGGGTGACCTTTCCTTTGCTTGTATAACACGAGCAACGAGTCCTGGTTCAGACTGCGGTGGCACTTCGGAGGCCGATGATCCCGAGATTACGATTGATTGGTCTGACTGGAGAAATGGGCCAATACGGGGCTTATCTGCCTCACGTGCCTCTGTCTGATTGGCGATTGTTGTTTCGGGTCGGATGTTGCGCAGAATTGTCAAGAGCTCAGTGCCGTGCAGGAGCTCGGTCAGCTGGGTCTCTCGCTGTTCAATGTTGCCTTTGCTTTCGCGCCGGTGGTTATGGGCCGTTGAGCGAGGTGAGCCGCGTGTTCGGTGCTGGAGAGCTATTCACAGAGCCACTGAACGTTTTCACCGTGCGTGGAATTCAGTTCATCGGCGCGCAACCCGTTTACCTCGTTTGCTACGGCCTGTTCGTCGTGTTCTTCGTTCCTGTTGCCTTTGCACGGAACAATAGCACTGCCTTCACTGGCAAAGTGCTATCCGGGATCACTGGTGCGGCAGCGTCACCATCGCCCCAGGCATGCTCGCATCCATCTGGAGTTCCAAGGAGCTGGGCCTCCCAGCTGCAACCTTCACGCTTGTTGCTGTCGTTGGTACTGTTGCTGTGAGTGTTCTGCGAGTATCGAGCCTGCCACAACGACGAGCACAAGATACTGAAGAACTGCCTATAGTCACCTCTGTATGCAGGCTACATTGTCCAGTCGAGAGGCTGGTATGGGATCGAGTACACCCAGCTTATAATCAACGGCGATATCTTTATTCTGGATCTCATCTTTCTGTGCGAGACGCGCAGCTCGGTGCTGCTTACTCGCAAAGCCAAGAAGCTTCGCAAGGAGATGGGATCCAACAGATACCGCTCACCGGCGGAGCTGGAAACGTCTAGCGCAAATAGTATGCTGCACGCCAGCACGGTCAGGGCTGCAATGCTGTCGTCAGCAAGCCCACAGTCCTGGTATTCAGTCTTTAGTGAGAGGTCGCCAAGATTGTAGACCTGTACTGGCACTGACGCTGAACTTCACCATTTTCACAGACTCGCCTACGTGTGGTCTCTGATCTTCCCCTTTTCCGCACCAATCCGATTGCCTTGGAAAAGATCGGTGGCTGGAGCGTCAGTAATGGCGGCGTGGCGCACATCGGACCCATCATCGGCTCCTTCATCGCGTTTGGCTTTCCTCTTCCACGATGCCCATCTTTATGCGGAGACACAGAGGAAGAACAATGGCGTTGCTGAGCCGAAAGCCAGGCTCTTCTATGGCGTTGCAGACGGCGTCATCTGCACAGTTGGAATGCTCGTTGTGAGCACACTAAGTATGTGAGCAGACCTTCCACGTACAAAATTCACATTCAATTTGCCCTTCCTCAGTTCACATTCACGGAAGGGTACGCTTGGGTTCATTGGATCGCGCCGGTAATCGGCCTCTCCCTCGACTTAATCGGCGTCAGCTTCATCTTCAACTCGGTGCAGGACGTAAGTGACGGATTTACGGCCAAAATCTGCATGCTTCTTACACCCTCCTGACTTGTACCTGCTCCCAACAGTACTTGTTGGAAGGTGACGGGGAATACGCATCATCTGCTACTTCGGCCGAAGGCTTTGTCCGTAATGAAATGGCTACATCGTTCCCGCTGTACACGACGCAGATGTTCGACAAATCGGGCCTCCAATACGGCGGCCTCCTCCTCTCCCTCCTACTCGTTTGAAAAAGTACCACCAATGCTCTCTCTTGCATTTGGTTCGTTCATACCATGTGCAACAATTGCTGAATAGACCATAGTCGCAGACGTATATAGTAATGCTTGATATTAACTTCAGCATTTTGGATCGCATGCTGCAAGCTTCCAAGTACAGTATCAACACAATCGCCATTCGCATTTCACACCATTGGTCAACATGAGATTCATTGTGATCAATGCCACAAGCCTCTAGCCCCAAGAGTTAAGATTGCATTGAACAGCTTTCGATGGTTCATCGCCGCCGTCGCGACCCATATGATCCCATCTTACTGCAGCGTCTTCTATAGAACGATGAATCAATCAATGATGGACGATGCAGGATAACTCGACGAAACCCTTACAACCGTGACGCATGATGGGTGAACGGTGAACGATTATCGATGAATGTATGATTCATGGGTGTAAGAATGATGCATACATGCTATATGACTGCTTCACGTTATAGCTAGAAGCTCACGCGCTCACGCTTCATTGGGCGCCGAGCGGGGAGAGGTGAGCAATGCTTGTTGAAGCAACTATCGTGTTTAGCTGATTGCATATGTTATGTACGTAGTAAGTGTCAGACAGCGAAGTATCGCCAAGCGCGTGGCGCATTCCATCTCCCTATTCCGGAAATGCTTACCAATGTACACAACAGGTGCAACGTGCGAGTATACAGCAATTTGTGCACCTAGCAGCAAGTCCAGCGATCTGCGATGGGGTTGGAGCTGACTGGATAGGACCTGATGCCCTGATGGGCTCAACGTTGAAGTCCATGTACCTGCTTGTTCCCACTTTGCGAACGAACACAATGACCGAATCCTTTTATTCCGAGGCCTTCGAATTTGAGCACCCAGGTCAATCCGGTCTGGGCGAGGATATAGCCTGACATACATAGCACGCAGCACGCCCCTGCACGCACCCTCCATACCAACGCATCAGCTTATATTGATGACGCTGCCAGCTGCAGGGGCCTTCGACGTGCTCAGTAAATGCTCTAGTTCGAGGATATTTGTGGCGATGATGCGGACGAGAAGCATGCGTCTTTGAGCAATGTCCAAGCACCAGCGCCCTGATGGGTGGTGCTGTTCGACTTGTACTCATCGGAGCGCGTTAGCCTGCGTCAAACCGCGTCACATGCAGACCCATGTATCACTGTAAAGTACCCACTATGCACGCGGCCCGACACAGTCATACATAGTCAAGTTGCATTGGTACATGCACGCACACATTCCGCTGCAAATCAGCGATTCAGTGCACATGCTGGCTGGAGATGGCTGCGTGCTGTCCGCGGCATGCCTGTGGGGCCTGAGGACTTGGAGCCTCGGCAGCGGGCAAATGTCGAAGACAATTGACTGCTTTGGTACCATCGCGCCAACTGTGGCGCGGTAGAGCGTACGAACGCGACCGGAGCAACCTGGCCTGCAACAGCGGAACCCCGCATGCCTAATATGGGAATGTGTGGATCTCCAAGACCGCGCTAAAATGTGGGCGAAGGCTGGCCAAAACATCACAACCACACCTTTTTTGGCTTTCGCTTGCTCTGACAGAGGGAGTTCTTGGAGCCTGTGATACATTTGGAAGAGAGGGGGGCAACCAGAAACGAGCATGGGCCGCACGAATGCAAGACGCTGGATTGAGGGGTTGGCTCTCAGGTTCTCCGCGGATGCTGCTTCTGACAAGTCATTCTCAAGGCAGTCAAGCGCCTGGAGCCCCTAGCGTCCATGTGCAGAGTTGCAGAATTCAGCCGACTAAAAAGCGAATACCCCTTGCCACTACGCAGCCAGACGAGTGGAATAGCAATACACCATGTTGACTAAGGAATCAAGGACTGGCGCAGGCTGGCCCACGCGGATGGGGATGGGATATGGACGATGCGATAGTGGGATAGTGCAATGATGGACCTTTCGGCTTATTACTGTGCTGTGCGCGTCCCATTCTTATATGAGCCTCGAACCGCATTTCCCATTCATGTCTCGCCTGTTCAGCTTCTTTCTGGATGTTCGCTGCCGTGTCTGTGTTCTTCATTTATCGAAGAAAGAGCAGTCTTCTGCAGCCGTTATATCTATTCTGGGCGCGATTCCCTAGCTCGTCCAGGGCCCGTCCTCACAGTAGCGCCCACAAGGCACAGCACGAGGGTTTGGCACCACATCGGGCACCCCGCCCCACCTCCGGCACCCCGCGTCTCGTCTCCGCTCCCGCTTGATCGTCTCTTCCCCAATATAAAGCCAAGACATCCTCTTATGTCACATCCATTCATGGCTCTCTACCAATCCATTGAGAATCGACAGGGCACCACTTTTGCCATTGGCACCACGTTTCCAAATTCCAGAGAAGCAGTACACACAAATTATCATGCAGCTCGCCACGCTTCTCGCGTTCACAAGCTTTGCAGCCACAGCTGTCACCGCCAGCCCGCTGCCTGATCGCATCAGCACCGCTGGCATCGATGGTTTTGTAGCTCGCGGACTGAGCGCACAGCACGCTGGCGCTTGGGACAGCATTCAGCTGCAGCGCAGCCCGGCGGATCCTGAGAACGCCAAACGCGACGAAAAGCAGACGCTCGCAGAGCGTATTGTCTACAACCCGCACATCACCTCGCCCGCTGGAGGGGAGGTCTGGACCGCTGGCTCACAGCAAACAGTCACATGGTAAGTCAGACTAGTCCCATTGTCATGCCCTGTGAAGGTGGTGGCTGAGCTGTGCTTCTGGTGCATGCTTCTAGGGACACGAGCGACCTCCCTGCGGAGCTCGAACATGCAACTTCGATGCTCAAGCTTGGCTTCGAACCTGCGGACGGCAGTGGCGGCCTCAACGAGAAATGGACACTGGCAGACGATTTCCCAACGCGGGCCGGCACCGTCAGCTTCACCCTGCCAACTGACCTCGAGACACGAAACGACTACATTGTCGTGCTCTTCGGCGACTCTGGCAACGCAAGCCCACATTTCACCATCAACGCGACTCCGGCAGCAATGCCAAGGATCGCGAAGGCAAGCGACGACGGCGTGCCAGCTGACGCAGAGGGGCTGCTCAGCAAGAACGTCTCCATTTACTAGGCGTGGCCCCTTGCAACACAGACGCTCAACTTGAACAATCGCTATGCTTTCCTCAAAAAGCACCGTTAGCGTCGACTTGATGATCAACGATGGACCTTCACTCAGCTACAGCCTCCCCTTTCGTTTGACTCCATTTGTATCACCACCAACCCCATAAATCTCACACGCGAACGGCCAACGAGGCCAAAACAACTCACAATCAAGACGCACATCCCCTGTCTGCAGCATTGCAAGCGCCGCGCTTAGGCAGCGTTCACGGCCGCAGCTGCTCTCGCCTCGATGCAGTCAGTTCACGCTTCATAGTCATAGCCCACTGTCACATGAAAGCAATGAATGCAGACTGCCATGAGAATATGAGATCTTGGTACTGTTCTGGTGCCTCTCATGGCTTCCGTCTCTCACGGTACAGGGCCAAGAATGATTCTTTGTCCTCCCAGCCTAAGCCTGTTCTCTTGAGTCGCGATCTGCAAAGGTGAGGGACGCAGGTGTTAGGGATCCATCGTAGGGTGTCCACATAGTCTGCGAAGAAAGGCAGCGCGAGGAGACGAGCTTACAATTGCGATATAAGGTTTCCACAGAGCTCGCTGATCGGATCTGCAGCACTGGTTGTCGCCACGAGAGCGTCTGCGACGAAAGCCTCAGAGGAGGGTGACTCCTCAGGGTTGAGCACCCGCACCTGGAGCGACCTCGAAAAGTTGAGAGAAGCACAGAGCGACCAGACGTGAGTGAGTGGATTGAAGCGCTGTCCAGGGACGCTGAGCACCGAAGAAGGTGATTGCGTGCTCGGTGGGGTGTGTCTGGGAATACCATCGTGTCAGAATGATGGAATCAACGACTCGCAGGTAGATTACTCACTTGATGGAGATGATGTAAATGTCCGGTTGGCCGGCTCCGAGGCGCAGAGCGCCAGTCGCTCGGAACATGGCACGCCATGATGCAGGAAAAATCGGATTCATTCGGAGCAGCCCTCGATTGTTTGATGTGACAAGTTCGGGGAAAATGCACACAGGTCTGTCTGCTTTCCTTGCGAGCGTCTCGATATCCTTGAAATCTTGCTTACCGTTCTTGTCCCCGCGAATCATCGGCGTCTCACCAGACGCAGTGATCATATCCCACATGGACACTTTGCGGAAGCCCAGCAGTCGCGAAGATGGACCTAAGCTGGCGGGAGCGTTGTTCGCCTCGGTGACGACCTCGGCACCTGCATTTCTTCGACGAGCGGTCGTGGGCGAGTTGGACGCTGACCTGCTGTTTTCGCGGCTGCGGGCAGGCGAACTCTGCGCCGATGTGGGAGATGGAGCCACGACAGGGGCTAGAAAAAGTGGATTGAACAGGATGGAAATGTAGAGCACATCGACCCAACTGGACCAGTTCGACACGATGATGGAGCCCTTTGTGGGCTTGATACTCGAAAGTGGTCGTACAGATGAGGCAGCACGCCTGCGCGACGATTATGGTCAGTTCCTGCCCGGACGAACGCTGCCAGGTGAGCATCCTTACCCTCGCTTCTGAAGTGATATAACTTCAGCATTTAACCAGGCGAATCCGAGCCAGAATAATGTCGCTCGTCCGAATACAGATATCAGGAAAGCCTTGACACCTCTCTGCACAAAGCGTCCGAGTCAGATGATGCTCCAGGAATGAGGGGCGAAAGAGATTTTCCTCACATTGATCGACCCTAGAAGTGTATTGAGGACTATCCATATTACGAAAGTAACCAGGACGAGGGCCGCCCGGATGACGCCGACAATGAGGGCTACCGGTGTGAGGATCTGCGCAAAGACCTTGCCTGCGCCAACTGGCTAAGAAAGACGAACAGATTGTGTGCGTCAATTTCGGTCCTTCCGACCGTATATGATTCGCTCCTACAACGTACTGGTACCGGAGTCAGGAAGACCTGCAGTGAAACGATGAAAGTGTAAGAAGTTGCACACCCGAAGCCAATGTCGACGGTGTGCCGTTGCTTGACGAACCTGGATGCCTGTCCCTGGATCCCTGAACCTCGAAAACTTTTCCATGCCTGCTTTTTCTACTCTCCTGCCTTCTTGTCGCGCGGATGGCTGACAGTGACGCCGCGACCAGCATCGACGTGTAAGGTGTTCCTTGCCTGACAGAAGATGATGTGACGACATATTGAAGCGGTCCAGCTCTAAACCCACTGCAGGCTGTGAGCACGAGAGGTTGTGTTCCGCAAAACCGCCGCAGAGGCCACACCCTCCACCACCACTGGACCACAGTCATCGGCCAAAAATTTGGTCGTGGCCTCGAGATGAGTGGCCAGAGTCAAGTCAAGTGGGAAGCTCATCTTTTTCTCAGGTTGTTCGCTCGCCAAGGGACTGGGCATTGCAATTGAAGGATACAAATTTTTCGGCTAGGATCAGCGTGCCGGTGGGCTTTGTAGTAACGCTTTCCATCGGCGCACAGCTCCGCCTCTTGCCGCAACTTGGGTGTCATGTCGCTCGCGCCGTCCGGGCTTCGCCTACCATGACCCCGCCAAGCGCACCTCGATTTGTTGGTGCGTGCAAGCTGGGATGTTTCATGCGATGAGGAAGATCTATAGTCTAATCGACCGTCCGCTGTGATGGTATTGTACCAGATATTGGGAGCAATCTGCTCGATGGCATGTTCTCGGGCCACTACAATGGGAAACAAGCCCACGAGGCAGATCTGCGGCACGTCCTCACGAGAGCTCGTGCCGCAGGTGTGGAGGCGCAAATGGTCACCAGCGGGTCTCTGAAAGAATCAAAGGAGGCGATCGCCATGTCAGACTCCGAAGGTACGCCTAAAATCCACAATCAAAGGGCATGCAACGCTACTTGACCCACTCACTGCATCTCTCTCCAACAGAAGATCTGTTCTGCACCGTCGGTTGTCACCCGACTCGGGTGTCTGAGATCGAAGCGTTTACGGAAGGCTCGGAGAAGTACATCCAAGGGTTAAAAGAACTCATCGACCAGCACCGCTATGAACGTTCGGCCGAGTCATCAAAAAGGAAAGGTACCGTAGTTGCCATAGGAGAGTGCGGGCTGGACTACGATCGACTTCACTTTGCTCCGGCAGACCTTCAACGAAAGTACTTTGATCGGCAGCTTAAGCTGGCTGAGGACTGTCGGCTTCCACTCTTTCTACATTCGCGCAACGCCCACGATGATCTCGTGTCCATCCTGCGACCGCGCATGCAAGCGCTAAAGCACGCTATCGGCGGCGGCCGAGTTGGGGTTGTGCATTCTTTCGATGGCAGCCTGAAGGAAATGGAAGAGCTGGTAGAAATGGGTCTATACATAGGACTAAATGGCTGCAGCCTAAAGACGGAAAGTAACCTTGCTGTTGCAGCGCAAGTCCCATTGGAGCGACTGATGCTGGAAACGGATGCACCGTGGTGCGAGCCACGCCCATCTCACGCATCTCAGGTACACCTGGACGCCTTCAAGAAAACTGCGGGTGCAAGAGCAGATGCGTACTTTCCGGCACAGGTCAAGAAGGAACGATGGAGCGCGGAAAGCCCGACGGCAGTTAAAGGGCGAAACGAACCGTGCGCCATCGGCGGTATCGCTGCTGTCGTTGCGGCCGTGCAGGGCAAGTCGTGGGAAGAGGTTGCCCACCATGCCCGCGAAAATACACGCAGAGTCTTCGGAATATAGACTCAGCTTGGCCGTTGCCTGACCCAGCAGGTTGCGCTTCGGTGAGCGCAAAAATGACTGTACTTATATATGGATTCTGATTCTGACACGCCCTGGCCCGTGACGCGCGAAGCTTGAATAGTCAATTGATGAATCCAAGGCACATTAGCAATTCTGCAGTAGGTTGTCCAGGGCCTTCCTGAATCCTGGACTTGCTTGCGCAGTGCAGAAAACCCAATCCAACGGAACAGTTCATCTGGCTCCAGCAGCTACATATGTATGTCCGCCAACCGCCATCAGCGCAAACAGGTGCGGACTCTGGTCCGCTGATCGCTGATGTGCAAATGCCGATGACCTGATGACCGACAAGCACGGAGGAGCTGTGAAGTGTCAAAATCCTCGAGCTTCCAAAAGGCAACAAATCTTCAACGAAGTGTGGACGGTGAATGGTAGCCAGGTGACATCGGATCATTGAAACGGCGAGAAACAAAATCAAGAAATATGAAGCACATGGAACATGAAGCACGACGAGAGCGTGTCTCTGTAGAGTGTCTGACATTGCGTACAGCTCTTGGAGCCTGGAAGCCTTATTGCAAGTTGCCATATTTCACGTAAATCATGTTGAACCGATTCAAGGTGCATTCTTGAGCAAGTGAGGGATATATTTGCGTCTCGCATTAATTGTGTGCACAGCAGCGCACCCGTGCGCATCGCGTCGGTGGGGAAGACGTGGGTGAGTGACGCGTTCCAGCTGCACCTGCTGCATGCTGATCATTTCGGAATTCGGAAGCAGGGTGCTAATGAGACTCCATAATGGGGAGGGGAGGGCGGAACAGCCAAAGTAGGGGCGGAACAGTGATTCATGCAAGGCGCCCCCTTGATGTCTGGCACGCGTTTGCAACAGGACGGTACCTACATCTTTCCTCGCGGCCACTTCACCCGCCTCCTTGTTTGCAGACTCCTTGCCTCTACCATCCTATGCGGCAGGAGGCATCGGTGAGCCATGCATTCCTTCCCTGCTGCCGAATGCTGTCCACCCCTTCGTGTCTAGTATGCGCATGGAAACAACATTGCTGGCTTCCCTTTGGCCCTTTTGCTGTCTTGGAGATCTGCAGGGCGGATCCGCTGCCGACGCGCTCTAAGCACGGAAGGTACAAGCTTGCCTCCGAGCAGTAAACTCGCAGACGCGTTGCCCAAAGCTGCGGCCTCCATGCTCGAAGACGGGAGAAATCAGGACTGATCAGATGCATCTGTCCGCCGTCTTGGCAATCTCGGTCACTATCTCGTATTGCCTGACCGGTGTACGGTCCTAATCCTAAGGTCTCGAATATCTCAATCCTCATGCAGCCCGCGGCCTCCGCGCCGTCAGCCATGATAGAGTTGAGAGGCTTTGCAGAGCAGGTCATGGACACGGGAGGAGGAAACCTGCCGACGGTCCAAGAGTGTGGATCCTGCTGGTACCTGGAAAACAAGAGACTATGACCGTTCCAGGTAGACTGGTAAACAAGGAATATCGACGGCGATCATCTCTTCATGCTCTGGCATCACGCTTGACTCACAGAAAACACAGCATCCCCAAATACGGCCTATAAAGAGTGACCAGCCTCGATCAGATATTGTCTCCCTTCTTCCTACATCTCTCATTGTCTCTCGTGTGTCCTTCTACCGCCCTGTGTTTGTGGCGCTCCCTCCCCTCTGGACTCGGTCTCCTGTCTTTCGCTCCCGAAAGTACCACATTCTTTTATCACCTTCGCACACTCTCAGCTCTTGCAGCTCTAGGTCTCCTGCCGCTTGCAGGTCCTACCACAACGAAATCGCAAAAGACACTCTTTCACACATTCGCGTAACACCAACAGCCACGATGCCTTCTCTCGGTGTCACCTTCTCGCTCCTCAGCGTAGCCATGCAAATGGCCGCTGCCGCTCCTTGGTCGCAATACAACGAGGGGCACAACACGGTTAACCAGAACACCAACAATCTCGTTGATGCAAGCGGACTGGACGTTGACGTTGACGTGCTCAAGCGCAACCGATGGAACCAGAAGTCCTGCTACCGCTACTTCCACTCGTACAACGGTGGACACAACAGTGAGCTTCTACTGCACCTATGGGTTCATGCAATGTTCAATTTTGGCCTGACCTTTGCTGTTTTGCAGCTGTCAACGAGAACAAGAATAGTCTAGTCGACCTGAGCGGTCTCACCATTGACGCGGACGTTCTAGACCTTGACACCAACAAGTACAGGCGCTACCGCATTCCGCAGGAATGCCACACATATGTGAAATCGTACAACGGTGGCCACAACAGTACGTGTTTCGGAGGATCTTGTCGTGGGTGACCTTGATGCATTCATGCTGACCTTAATCTTTTACGTCTTTTAGCCTTCAACTCCAACGAAAACTCGCTCATCGATGCCAGCGGCTTGAACGTTGGCGTGGATGCTCTGCGTCGCAACGCTCACTCGTACCAGTCTTACAATGGTGGCCACAACACATTCAACGAGAACAAGAACGGCCTCATCGACGCGAGTGGCATCGATGTCGATGTCGACGCCCTCGACGGTGACATTGTCCGTCGTAATGCTCGTTCGTACAAGTCCTACAACGGTGGCTACAACACGGTCAACGAGAACAAGAACGGCCTCATCGATCTTAGCGACCTGGATGTCTTTGCCGACGTGCTCAAGCGCTCTGTCCACACTTATGACGGTGGCTACGACACCATCAACGAAAACAGCAACAAGGTCGTTGATTTGTCGAATCTCGGTGTCTTTGCCGACATTCTCAAGCGTTCAGTCCGCGAGTGGAACGGTGGTCACAACACATTCAAATCTAACGAGAACTCTCTGATCGACCTTAAGAACCTCGACGTGTTTGCTGACGTCCTCAAGCGCAGCTACAACGACCAGGACTGCATTTGCCGCCCTAAGCCCAAGGCCTCCAGTTGTGGATCCAACGGCTACACGCCTCCTCGCCTCCAGTTTCCCAGCCCTTCCCGCCACGTCCCGACCCACACGCCGTCCCCGACTTCATCTCATCACCACCGTCCCAGCGCGAGACCCGGCCGTGGTCAATGCAGATCTGGTTACACGTACATCAACAAGGGTCACAACGTCATCAACTCGAACAAGAACTCGCTCATCGACCTCTCGAGCCTGACGATCGACATCGACATCCTCGGCGTCGACGGTGGCAAGCAGAGGAAGTCCGTCAATGGTAACTACAAGTGCGACTCCGAGTACGGCTGCTGCGGATACCAGGCTCCTTCATGTGGCTCGGGCTACACCTACGTCAACGAAGGCCACAACGTCTACAACTCGAACAAGAACACCGGCGTTGACCTTTCCAACCTCTCGCTCAATATCGACATCCTCGGACTCGGCTCAGACCGCCAGAGCCGCAAAGAGTCCAACCCCAACTACAAGTGCCAGAGCAAATGGGGATGCTGTGTCGCGCCCACCAGGGGTCACGGCTCGTGCTCATCGGGCTACACATACATCAACAAGGGGCACAACGTCATCAACTCGAACAAGAACTCGCTCATCGACCTCTCGAACCTGACGGTCGACATCGACATCCTCGGCGTTGACGGTGGCAAGCAGAGGAAGTCCGTCAATGGTAACTACAAGTGCAACTCCGAGTACGGCTGCTGCGGACACCAGGCTCCTTCATGTGGCTCGGGCTACACCTACGTTAACAAGGGCCACAACGTTGTCAACTCGAACAAGAACAGCCTCCTTGACCTCAGCAACATCACCGTCGACCTCGACGTCCTCAACCTCGGCGGCGACCGGGATAGCAAGAAGGTGAAGGGCTCCTCCACCTGCTCCTCCCAGTGGGGCTGCTGCGTTAGCACCAAGACCTACAACGGTGGGCACAACACTGTGAACAAGAACGAAAACTCACTCGTCAATGCTTCGGGCCTCAACCTCGGCGTCGGGCTGCTCAACCTCTGAGAAGCCAAAGACTGTATCGCCGCCGCCCAGCTCCCCTCTCCATCGCTCGCAGTGCCACGCGTTTTCGTCGGCGCTTATACCCAGCATTTCCCCCCAACCTAGCCTCGAGGGCGTCAGCAGCGGCAGCGGCATGCATGCATCCTTCCCCCAGCCTTTCATCTTTTCACCCAGTCCGGCTCCCCCCGTTTTAGAGCTATCCCCATTCGCCTCGTCGTATGGTTCTCCACCGCACGGTCTCCCGGTCTCTCAGGTTTTCGCATCCCTCATTGTTGTCGTCTTTCTCATCGGGCACCGGTCTGGCTCAGCCGCCGGGTCTTTGTGCTGTGCCAAGGCGCTCTGCGAGCTCTTGCTCATCAGCACTTGAGGCCCGCGCCTGCATTCTCTCGCCGTGCCCCCGAAATGGAAAGACACACGGTCACTTGTAGCATCATCTAGGCTCATCGTTATGTTTCTCCTTCACACTGCGTGCATTGCTAGTATCTTGGTGCCTTATCCGTCTTTTTTTCAAGGGCGCGCAAACATGGGGAACAGGACAGTCTACTGTTGGTCTTTGGTCCCTGATTCGTCAGAGCTGAGAGGATCTCGGGATCACACGCGTGTGTCTGAGGTGATGTGCCCTTCTCCACTCAGAACTGGCAAAGCAATCACAAGCAGCGCAGCGACATGTTATTGCAGCGAGTGCAGGTGAACTCCAAGCTGACCTCTGCGTGCTAAAGGGATTCTTGCGGCCGGGCGCCTAGTGTGCCTTTGACACCTACGAGCTTGACTCCTTGCAGCCCTTGGAAGATGGTATCAAGAGCCGACGAGTCCGAGGTGAGCGTATCGCTCAAGTGATTCAATCCTTTCTGTTGCTGTCCAAGGATCTGTCGGCACGGAAACAGAAAAGATAAAAGTGCAGGTGTGGAAGAAGAATTGTCAGCGTTCAAGCCACTGGGTCGCTCCCATCCAATGCAGATGGCGTACCTTTACGACTTGGTCGAGGGTCTCCTGGTCAACGACCGCCCACTCGACCGCGCCAGGGGCAGCGCTACCGCTCGTGGCGCGTACGATGGCGTCCCGCTTTGCTCGCAGCGCCCCGATCTGCGCCCACAGCTCATTAATGCTAGCCCGTATGCGCGTCGCTCCGACTGGACGGCTCAAGATAGAATATGCTGCTGTTCCTGCGCCTTCGCTGTCATACCCCGTGCCTTCAATCTCCGCCTCGAGGGCTTCGAGCTGCGCGCGAAGCTTCTCCTCTTCCGGCTCGATGCTTGTGCCGCGCAAAGACGGGATGAGCAGGTGACACTTTCGGACCAGCGCCATGAGGCGATGGTGGATGTCGGTTTGCTTGGCCGCTGCGGCACTGTGTCGCACGGCGTTGCTAAGTGAATGCTTGCGCTCGAGCGCTTTTAGGCGCTCCGAGCAGACGCTAAGGTGTTGCAGCTGCCGCGTCGCCTCGCCTTGCTGCGCCTGATGCCGCTTCTTTACGTCACCAAAGCCGACAGCCAGGACGGGGAGAAGCCGTTTAGGGTCCGAGTTCTGCGATACCGCCGCATTCCAAAGCGCATCGTGCTCCCTGCCGACAGCGTCGGGCCGACGCCCCGCGTAGGGGTTGCCTGCTAGCGATTCGATCGCCTGCTCGCCGACGTTGTTGTAAAAATAATGCTGGCAGCGCGAGAGTGTTTCTGTGTCAGGGAGCGGCTGCCCTATGATCGGCAAGGTCAAAAAACTCACTCGAAACTTGCATGACGCAATATCACTCGTGTCCCATGCTTTGTAAACCGCCTCTAGTTGCGCATTGAGAGGCTGTCCAAGCTTCCTCGGATCTACAGCAGCGGAGGATGTAGAGGCGCCGAGGCCAGCTTGTTGCGTCTGCACTGTCTGCTGCTGTGGTTGTTGCAGTTGCTGTGGTTGCAGAGCACCTGACTGCTGAAGCTGCTGATTCTGCCCAAAGAGAGATGTCCCGGCACTGTTGGTAGACGTCTGCCCAAAGAGCGATCCTGTTGTTGGAGCAGCACTTGTTTTAGATGAGCCAAATAGACCTCCCGACGCTGGCGGCTGTGACGCTTGATTTTGCTGCGGTTGGGGCTGCCCGAGCAGCCCGCCGCCTAGGGTCCCACCAGCCGGTTGGGACCCTCCAAACGAGAAGAGAGACCCTCCTGTCGTCGCTGGCTGCTGGCTCGGCTGCTGTTGCTGCTGCCCTGGTTGTGCTTGCTGTTGCTGTTGCTGGGCAGCAGGCGCTCCAAAAGAAAAAGTCGATGTGCCGACTGCACTAGGTGCAGCCGACGTAACCGCCGGCTTTCCGAAAGAGAATGCGCCGCCACCACCACTTTGTGTCACTGCCTGTGCTCCGGTTGCTGGGGTAGCATTGGCGGCGGAGGCTGTAGTGGTGGCAGGTTGGCCGAACGAGAAGGTGCCGGCACCTGTCGTGCCGCCTGCCGTGTTCGGAGCGCTGGATGATGCGGCCGGCTGGCCAAAGGAGAACGCCATGCTCAATGCCGCAGCTTATTTCGCCAGCTTCCCACGAGTCTGTTTTCGTCGTCAGCCTCTTGGATCAACCGCCTAGCCAGCATTGGGTTGGTTGGTTGGTTTGGTTGCTCGCCCCAAGAGGCAATGCTGGAAGAAGTGTGGCAGCAACAGGTGATGTGTCGTAGAAATGTGAGTGAGACAGAAAGTACACGCTCGCAACATCTTTTCCGGTTGCGACTCCTCTCTCTGATTCTAGCCAAAAAGGGTCATAGGCGGCACATTGGGCAAACAAAGTCTCTCCTCAGCGTCGCTCTCTCTCATAAAACTCTTCAAACTGCAGATTGAGCTGCTCTTTGTGCCCATCAAGCCCAGTGCTCGTTGAGTGCATAACCCCGTCCGTGTGACCCATGACAAGCAGCACTTGCCAGGTGAGTCAGCTCTAGGTCCTGGTACAGGCGCGCCTGCCGACAAGCCCACCATCCTGTCCGCGTTGCTGATCATCTACACGCCCTTGGCTGTTGCAACGAGTAGAGCAGGGTCTGTTCAAGCCTAGTGAAGCCTTCAGTCGCACGTTACCACTGAGAGTCCAAGCACGAAGAGGCGAGCTCGCGACGATGTTGGGTCGACTGATGCACTACGGGATCGACGCGCTGCTGATCGCGTCGGTGGCAGCGGGCATCAAGCGCTCCACAGGTCTGCAACCGGACCTTTCGCAAATCAGCGACCCGACGGCGAAGGGAATCGCAGAAAAGTACTTTGGCCTGGGCGAATTGGTCTTCGATAGCAGCATCGCAGCGGCACGCGCGAGCCGGTACTTTGTCCGGAGCTATGTGGGGACGACAGCCGCTGGGGTGGGGCCGCAGGCATGAATTGGCTCGGGAGCACGGGACCAGTTTCCTTGGTTAAGGAGTCGATCGGGCGGTAGCTGCGCTGATCTCGTGCACCACACGATCTGCGCGATCCTGTCGCTCTGGAGGCTACGCCGCCATAGATGCAAGCTTAGCGGCAAGGCTACATGCTCCGTCGTATCCTCGGCCCCCCGCCGCAAGAGATGTCGGTCAATTCCCGAGCGAAGCCGGCGACGACAACCCATCGTTCTCTCTAGACCCATTAGACCTCATCACCATAAAGGCACAGCACCGTCCTACTACATTTTCAACCCCGTCTCGACTCCTTTCCCTGATTTCTGCAAAAGGCATGAAATGTACTGTAGAATGTACCGTATCTCTTCACCATTCAGCATACCACTCCGGCTCTGGTGGACGCGATAGGAGGATATATTGTGATGCAGTAGTCTATCTCAATGTCCATCTCTACTCCCACATCTTGGATCGGGTGTGGCACTCGTCCATCCCTGCTGGACGAGTGATGGGCCTCATGTACAGAGCAAGCCCACAGTCGCAGTCGCAGACGCCGCAGCCCCTCCAGTCGCGCTTCTCGTGATGGCTGGGTGATGAAGGAAGGATGACGGCGCGCTTGTCGCGGCGTGGACCCAGTGTGAGAATGGACTGGGCATGTGTACGTAGTGTCCATGGCCGTTTGCCCCTGGTCTGGTGGCCAACCGGTGGTGCTGTGGCCTCTTGGAGATACTCAGTCGTCCCGGCGGCCGCATGGGCCCGAGCCGAGCCAGAGCGACCGAGGAGTGGCAATACTTTTTGACTAGTAAAGTGCGGTGGATGGATTGGGGGGGGGGAGGGAGGTCGCATGGGTGCGTATCTTTGGCGCAGCGCACACGCGGATCCGCCACACCACGCGGCTGCGAAACACTGCGGCGCTGTGCTTGTTTGAATGAATACCTCGCGGTTGAATGCAGTGGTGCATGAAATAGGAATGTGCTCTGTGTATCGCTCTCTCACGCCCACAGGCCCAGAGTTTCCAGACAGTCGGCTCCGTTCAAGAACGACATCTTGCTTTGATCAGCAGGGGGCGAATGTAATGTGCTTATATCGTATATAGGCTGCAGAGGCAAGCAGGGCTGACGAGGAAGCGCCTTTGCTTTGTCCACGCTTGGCCCTGGCATCGAACGAGCTTCCCACCATGCTCATCCCCGTCACCATCTCGGCAGTCTTTGCGGCGCTCTTTGCCATCTCGACCTACTTGCCATGTGAGCGTGTCGCACTCCGCTGCAGCCGGGCAGCGCACGGGCCGCTTCTGACATCGCCGTTTGCGACCGTGATGCAGTTCATAAGCACCACAACCTGCACTTCCCCAAGGCAGACCTGATCAAGCGGACCGACCTGAACCTAGACTCGTGCGCTCGCATCACCGCACCCGGCCTCAAGTTCTGCGATGATGTCGTCCTGCACCAACCATCCGGCATGGCATATGTCTCCTGCGACCCAAGCAGGCTGTGGTGGGACCCAGTGCGCGGCATTTGGGAGTCGGTGCCCGCGTCGGCTCCGCGCGAGCTGAGAGAGCCGGCAGAAGGCAGCGCCGAGGTCGCCGGCATCTGGTCGTGGGATACGCGGCAAGAAGGCAGCTTGCCCAAAAAGCTCAAGCTTGCACACCTACCGAGAAGAGGCGGGTTCCACCCATATGGCATCGCCGTCGTCAATGCTGACAACCAGAACCTCAACGCCAGTGACCCCGGCTCGCTGCTGTTGCTCGTGTCCAACCAGCCAGAACCAGCGCGGTCGAGCATTGTCGATGTCTTTGTGCACGACATCAACGACGCTGCCCAAGGCGGCCGGCAGAACACAGAGCTGCAACACCACCTCCGTCTTGGACCCGATCACTTTACCCCGGATGCAAAAGCACAGACTCCACCTGTCTCGCCTCATCGCCTCACCATCTTCCACGAGCAGTACAGCCCGGCGCTGCCGCCGCAGCACAACCCCAGCAGCAGACGGAAAATCGTGATGCCATCCTTTTTCTTCTCCGCCACGCCGGACCCGAGCGCGTTCGCCAGCAAGGACGGGAAGAGCGTCAAGTTGGGCATCGATAACTACCCGGACTTCGCAAAGCACATGCTCTTTCCCAAGCGCCAACCTTCGCCGCCGCGGTATCTCTACTTCTACATTGCCAAGGCGGCCAAGTCGGTGCCGATCGCCGAGCTGAGCTCGTGGCCTGGCTTCGTGCCACAAGTGCACGCGTGGGACGGCGGCGGAAAGCGCGCAGGATTCAACTCGTCTGCCGCGATGCTAATGAGCGTCAACACAGGCGCCGAGGTCTCGAGTCTGCACCAGTGGGACCAGCACTGGGTACACGGCGTGGAGGCGGGCCTGGAGGTGGAGCAGGATCCGTACGCTGAATTCAAGGACCGCCAGGAGAGCATCCCGACGGAGGAGGAGAGCGGGATCAAGCCACCCGAGCGCTACATCCATAACTACCGCCCACAGTTTGTCAACTTCTGGACGCGCCCGCTCAAGTCGCCGAGCTTCGCGCTGGCGATCGACGACTGGGGGCGAGCCTGGACGGCTGGTACACAGGAGACGGGGCTCACAGACGCGTGGATCGCCTACCTGCGCCACACACTCGCGCGGGGCCTGCCGGCGCACAAGGGCGTCGGCGCCGCGAGCGTGCGCAGACCCAGCACGCTTATCGAGCAGACCACACACGTCTTCCGCCAGGGTAGCGTCACGGCGCACCCATGGGAGATGGAGCGCATGAAGCTTGTCCGCGACCGGGGCATCTTCATCCCCAAGGAGTTCATCGGCACGAACATCTACCGTGCACATGCGCGCCCTGCAGCCGATGAGTGGCAACCAATCAGCCTGTCCTCCTCCTCGTCGCGCGATGGCAGCAGCATCCAGCTCGGATTCCTGCCAACGCTTCCGACCGGCATGGCCGTCGACCGCGTAGGGAAGACACTTTACGTGACGGGCGCGTACGACGAGCGCGGCATCGCCAAGTGTAGCATCCCCGGTAACTGGGCAGAACTGTGACGAAGCATGTAGCATGTATTGCCGATAGACCTACAGCAAAAGAAAATTGCAGCAGGCTGTTGGGTCCACGGCTATGCAGCCCTCTCGCGGGATATTCTCTGCCTACTGGCGAGGGGAGAAGCGTAGAAAACGTAGTATGCATTCCACGTTCATGTTCTGCAAGAGACATATATATATATACGTGACGTTTTCCGGAGGGTTTCATGTTGGTAGCCTTACATCCAATTCGCTCCTTCCTCATTCTTTCTCGTCTTCAGCGACATTCTACCCACACAAAGCCGGGCTAATGTATGGATATCAAAGGAAAAAGAGGCGCTGATGCATGATGGGCTTGTTGAAATGGTCATTTTCGAGGGAATTGCTGTTGCGAGGTATGATATATGCGATAATTGCGTGTAGAGGATGGATGGAAAGATGGAGGTTCGCGTAGTAAGGTGGTGAATGCCAAAGAAAATTTAGGATCTTGGATGAATAGGGTGAGCGAGTACCGAGAACGAGGGGCAAGACGTGCCGCACCTCATTCAGCTGGCACCGGCTCGAAATTAGGACCTGGTAAGATGTAGGCAGACGTCAGCATCTGCATCAACGGCGATAGTGGACCTGCATGCATGACTCGAACACGATTCACCTCTACGCAGCCGGATCGGCCCCAGAACCTGCTCATTCGAAAGATCCACCTCGTGCCAGCGGTCGCTGTGCCCCTGCGTGACGCAGATGACGCCGCTTTTGGCGAGCTCAATGGCGCACGTGCGAATCTGCGGCAGCAGATCCCTCCACGCGATGCCGGCGTTTTGCACAGGCGCGATTGCAACCCCAGACGCCAACAGCGCCGTCCCAGGCGGGACTTCGAGCTGGTCCTCGCGCAGGTCGTCGTGTGAGTTGAACGTGGCGGGGATGCTGGCACCGCCCGAGCTGCCGGATCTGGACGGAATACGCGAAGAAAAGGGGCTGGGGCGCAACGCCGCGGTCGCCGAGGGCGTGGTGGCCATCTTGTGCGCGACTTCCGAAGGACAGATCGAAAGGCCCTCGTCGCGCGTCGAGAGCAGGAAGATGATCGTCTCAGCTAGCTGCTTGCCGACCGGCGTGCTCGAGGCACTGCGCGAGGAGATCGATTCCTCCGGGAGCGCTTTGGTCGCAGCGGACGCAGATTCGTACACTGCACCAACTGGACCGAGTACCACCATCGCGTTGGAAGCAGTAGCGGTGGCACCGCCCCCTAGACTGCGCTGTCCCGTGTGTGGTCCAGAGGATGGCATCAAAGGGTTGCAGCTGAAGTTGCCAAAAGGCTGGGAGGTGGTATAAATAGGATCCGCTGCCGCAAAGGTGGTGAGAGGTCCTCCTTGCGATCCAGGCATCACGTTGGTGCCAAAGGAGAAGGTGGAGTTGCCGCGGTTCGAATCGAAGTGGTCAGACTTGGAGACACTATAGGGGTTCTGGGCGGAGCCAGGGCCTGGGGAACTAGATTGACATTTGGACGACGGCGGGAATTGCTGCTGTTGCTGCCAGTGAGGAGTAGACTGAGTAAAGCCTACACCTCCGATCGTAGAGCCTGTAAAGAATGGAGCCCGAGACGGCTTGAAGGCGGCGTTGTCCCTGTGGTTGCTTACAGATCGAGGAAGGCGTTGCTGATGGGCAGGAGTCTGAAGCGTTTGATGTTGATGCTGACTCTGCGTCCGATTCTGATGCTGGAAATGCTGATGTGAATTCGCAGGTCTGAAATTGCAATGGAGGCTTGGGTTGTCGCGCTGCGGAGCCCAGATGTTCCTAGAATGGTAGGACTGGGCGGATAAATGGGGTTGCGGTAATTCCCTGTGAAGAGCTGATGCTGCGCTTGGTGCTCGTGCCTTTGCAGAGAATGATGTATTGGCAGCAGTGAAAGTTGGCGAGCTTGGTGTTGCTATCATATGGCTGCTGCCGGCGACCAACCTATTCAACAGATAGTGATACGATCGACCACTGCCAATCGGTCGAAAAGCCAGGACTCGTCACGAGCGGTGTGCAGAGTGGTGCACTATGAACTATTCGAGAGCGATGGCTGCGACCCGTGTGCGTTCCAGGCCCTGTGGGGGACGATGCGAGGGATGTCCCGTGGGCGCGCCGCTTACGCGGTTTGCAGGAGGAGGGTGAGTAGGCTACGCGGCGTAGCGGGGAGGTCTTCGATCCGGCGTCTCAGAGAAGACAGAAAGGTGTCTATAGTATATGTCGGACGATGGTGGGAGCTAGAAGGACTGGGGGGGGGGTGGGTAATTAACACGAAACGCATCCAACCAACCAAAGGCACTCCCCTGAGGAAGCGAGCTCACCAATCCAATCCTACCAGGGAAAGTCCGAGTCGCTCTCCCCTCGCGCCAGCACACGGAGAGAGAGAGAGAGAGCGGCGGAACGCGGATCTCCACGACTAGAGACTAGAGTGGTGCCCGGTGCAGGTGTGCACTGCGCTTGGGGCTTCTTTTCACTGCGCGCTTGCTCTCTCTCCACCTCCGAGTCCAGGGACCTTTCTTCTTGGCCCTTCTTCTTGCAGCATATGCGGATTGGCCACGCAGCTCACAAGCACATCTCGGCGCCTTGGCTGCAGACTGGATCGGTCCTCGCGCAAAAACACCTATCAGCAAGGAGCACGAAAAAGGCCCATCAGCAACCATGAGTGCGATCGAGCTGATCAACCCGCGCGCAGAGTCCGTCCGGCGCACGCAGGCGCTGCAGGTCAACACTGCTGGCGCAGTCGGTTTGGCCAACGTGGTCAAGTCCAACCTCGGGCCGCGTGGGACAATCAAGATGCTTGTCGACGGCTCAGGGAACCTCAAGATGACCAAGGACGGCAAGGTCTTGTTGACGGAGATGCAGATTCAGAATCCCACCGCTGCGATGATCGCCAAAACGGCTGTCGCACAAGATGACCAGTGCGGCGATGGGACGACCAGCGTCGTGCTGCTCGTGGGAGAGCTACTCAAGCAGGCCGAGCGATACATTCAGGAGGGGGTACATCCGCGAGTGCTTGGCGAGGGTTTCGACGTGGCAAAGAAGGGAGCGTTGGAGGTAGGTGCGGGCAAGGTGCTGATCACCAGTTCCTCGATGTGTTTGACATTGAATCTCTGGCATTTCCCTGCATCCTTGTGCTCCCACAGTTTCTCGAGAAGTTTAAACAGGCGCCCAAGATGGACCGTACAACCCTCATCTCGGTCGCTAAGACCTCTCTCAGCACCAAGCTCCACTCGAAGCTTGCCTCACAACTGGCAGCCGACGTCGTCGACGCCGTTCTCGCTATCCGGCCGTCTGTCTCAACGGAGATGGAGGCACCTGCGCCAACCGGCGAGACCCCGGAATCGGAAGATATTTCAGAATGGAAGATCAAGGATCCGATCGACCTGTTCATGGTAGAGATCATGAAGATGCAGCACAAGACCGAGACCGACACGCAGCTCGTGCGTGGCCTGGTCCTCGATCACGGAGCGAGACATGCGGATATGCCGAAGCGGGTGGAGAATGCATATGTGCTCACGCTGAACGTCAGCTTGGAGTACGAAAAGACGTGAGTGCCGACGAGATAGTTCCTTATTCTCCTTTCTTTCTAGGCTCACATCGCTCTGGCATGCAAATCCTCGCCAGAGAGGTCAACTCGGGCTTCTTCTACTCTTCTGCCGATCAACGAGAGAAGCTGGTCGAGTCGGAACGGAGATTCGTGGACGCCAAGCTGAAGAAGATTGTCGACTTTAAGAACGCAGTGTGCGACGCGCCGACGGACGGCAGCTCGAAAGAGAAGCCAAAGAACTTTGTCATATTCAACCAAAAGGGGATCGACCCGCTCTCGCTGGACGTGCTCGCCAAGAATGGCATTCTCGCGCTGCGCAGGGCGAAGCGGAGGAACATGGAGCGCCTGCAGCTTTGTTGTGGCGGAGTTGCGCAGAACAGCGTCGACGACCTCACGCCAGAGATCCTCGGGCACGCGGGCCTGGTGTACGAACACACTCTCGGCGAAGAGAAGTTCACTTTTGTTGAGGAGGTCAAGGACCCGAAGAGTGTCACGCTGCTGATCAAAGGTGCGTACAAGCAAACATAGCTTGCGGCAGGGGCGGTGGCATGCCTGGCTGACTGACTGATGTGGTTCTCTCCCCTCCTGGACCCGCAACAGGCCCAAATGCACACACCATCAACCAGATCCAGGACGCGATCCGCGACGGCTTGCGGTCCGTCAAGAACGCGGTTGAGGACGCGACCCTTGTCCCCGGCGGCGGGGCGTTTGAGGTGGCGTGCGCGGCGCACTTGAGCGAGTCGACCAAGAAGCTGGCCAAAGGGCGCGCGAAGCTGGGCGTGCAGGCGTTTGCCGACGCGATGCTCGTAATCCCCAAGACGCTCGCGCAGAACGGCGGGTTCGACGTGCAGGACGCGATCGTCGCCCTGCAGGACGAGTACGCCGAGGGTCACATTGTCGGACTCGACCTCACGAGCGGCGAGCCGTTCGATGTTGTTGGCGAGGGTGTGTGGGATAACTACCGAGTCAAGAGGCATATGTTGCACAGCTGGTGAGCCGATTTTCCCATACGATCGATTTTTTCTGTGTGTGCGCGTGTGCATGCAGAGCCGAGGCACTGATGCATCCCCTCACTTGCCCTCACTTGCCCTCACTTGCTGATCTGTGTCCAGCTCGGTCATTGCAACCAACCTGCTGTCGGTCGACGAGGTGCTGCGCGCGGGCCGGAGTTCGCTGAAAAGCGAGGCGCCTGGTATGGGCTAGGCGCGCAGCCCGCGATGTATGTATGTATGTATGCATGTACGTACCCAGGTAGCTCACGCAAAGGCGACATACATGGTGATCTGCCGTCTGTCGGCATATACTGTGCTGTGTCCTCTCCGTCGCGATGCGGGAGCTCGGAGCGACCGGACGACTCGGACTGCCGACGACTATGACCAAGTGCCCAACGAGGTGCGCAGCGTTGCGGGCGCATCTCACTTCCTGGGCAGGGGAACCCTTGGCTCGGCGTGACTGGTGGTCGGGCGGCCAGCAAATGTGCGTGTTTGCTGCATACGGCAGCGGTGTTAGCAGCTGCGCCTATTCGCACGCATTGTTCATTGCCGCCGCTTTCTGCGCTGACGACGAGAAGGTGTATTTACTTGCATCGACGAGGGTTGTGAACCCAGGCCGCTTCGTTCTGCCGCTCAAAGGGATGGATGGACGCGCGGCTGATGGTCCTCTCCATGGTCCTTGTATGATATGAGGTAGGCGCGCTTTGATGCAGGCCAGGGCAGCCAGCGGAAAAGGGACTGGACGATCGAAAGGGGGAGGGGGGCGTGGCACCGCCACGGGCAACCACGGGAACTTGTGCGCCGGCGGGTATGGGCCAACACGTTTACGTGGATCACAGACATGGTAGGTCAGGCGTCGGGGTACATGGCCGCCGGTGCGGTCAATTCCTGCAGAGGGCACGATACTGCCACCATGGCTCACTCTTGCGCGGGCAGGTCGGATCGTCCAGAGAACAGAGCGCCAGAAGCAGACAGACAAGCTCATCGTTTCGGACCGGGAGCCTACCTTTGCGTTGCATTTCTTACGCGACATCCTACGATAACTCAAGTTCACATCAAAGCTTTCGTCTGCCTATCATGCCACTACCGATAGGCAAACTGAAAGTGCCAATCAGACCATGGAAGCGTGCGTTAGATGTTACGTGGAGTATCTCCAGAGCGACTGGGCTAGCTGGCTCCCAATGACATGCTCATATGCGCTTCCAAGGTCTGATTGGCTCTTCGGGTTACCTGTTGCTAGCGGCATGATAAGTAACCGAAAGCTTGGAAATGACTTCGAGTCGGGGGAAGGGGGGAAGGGGGGGGGTCGAAACGATGGACTTGAGGAAACCATGGTCGACGAAGACGCGTCGCACGAACTGCCTGGCTAGCTCGTGAGAGTCGTCGGTGCTCCAGGACTGGCTGAATCTGCCCATCTTGCCAAACCATTCCCCGATGACAAAGGCTGCGTTCCATCCATTGCTCGAAAGGAGTACGGTGATGTGATCGACGGACAGGTTCTCCCATCGTCGCAATAGTGTCCTAAGAGGATCCAGAAGGCTATAGAGGCAATGTCGTGGAATCTTCGGCTTTTGGCAAAGATCGCACATCGAGACATAATCTCCGATGGAGCTCCACCGGCTTGGCCACCAGTAGTACCGAGTGAGCCGGGACGTGGCGCGATCTTTCCCTGGTGACGCGAGAGCGGAGAGTCGTGAGCTGAGTACAGGAGAATTGGACGAGCAGTTGAAGGAACGTAGACCTTGTCTACGATGTAGAGCAGGCCGCCTTCGAGCCTAAATGGTTCAGAGAGCATGCAAGATACGGTGCTGTTACAGCAAGTGTCCTGACATAGCTGAGCTGATAGGTTCGATGGCGTCAAAATTCTCGGGGCTTTTGGAATTCTCGGAATTTTCCAGTCACGCCGCCGAGACCTTGACCGCTTCACTCACAACAGGTTTGAGCAACGCCGCTGGCTCTGCGATGCTTGCCATCCCTTCCACGAGGTCGACGCAGCGAGACATCTCATCAGCCTTCGTGTTGCCCTTGCCCCGCCGGTAATGGGTGACGAGTCCGTATGCCAGCACCCTGTCGTAATCCTCGCACGTGCAAATATACTCTTCTACTTTCTCGTGCGAGCGTTGGTACCCGTCGAAGCGATCAGATTGCAGCGGCCACAGTAGGGACTTGTCTCGCGTTGGGACATTGGCAAGTATCTCGCGATCTGCGGCGGCTACAAGTGCGGCGAGGTTCCTGTTGGCATCAGCATTGCTGGTTGGCAGACATGCTCTTGGATGACGTGTTCAATGTCCTTGGACATGAACTTGGCAGGCATCAGAGTTAGGAGGTCAGGCCCTGATGGAACGAATTCACCACGTCACCGTGGCTCACGCTTGGGCAAGCAGGTTGGAACATCCGGAACAGTGCCGGAAGCAGTGGGATCAGGCGCGAATCGCTTTATTGATAGGCTTAGCAATGAATTCGTTGGGAACTAGATACATCGAGGGAATGCGATGATGCGCGCGTGATTACTATTTATGCGATGCGAGACGGGTGTTGCACACAGAATGTGCTGCGCGGGTCGAACACAGTGATGGGTTGAAGCTGAACCCGATTTGTATTTGCTACACTTGCCTCTGTGGCCGAACGCTCCGACAGTCGCTCCTACTGAATGCCGACGGTCGGCTGGTGACACACATGGCTGCTGCGCTACACACTCTTTAATCCCAACCATATGGTCAGCCTGCGGCATTGAATTTCGATATTGCGTTGGAGTTCAAGAGCAAGGTCAACACTGACTATCTGCACGCTCACGGCCGCACACTCATGACTGCACGCTCATGACTGCACGCTCATGCCCTCCTCCCCCTGACAATGCGTCCGCGAATATCGCTGAGACGACTGTTACAAAGGTGAAGGAGGGCATGTGGGTCTGCATAGCGGACCCCGCGCTTCACGGCACTGTTGTCGGAAGGCGGCTGGCTGCGACTGCGTGACGTGGTCGTGCATGTGTTGAATACTACCCCACTCGGAGGCAGCAAGGAGCACGACCTGCGACCCTGTTCTTTGCACGTGCGCCTCGCACGCCTGCCCACACTCTTCCTCTTCTGCACGCACATTCCGTGAATCCTCTCACACCGCTGCACAGCACAACCCTATTCTGCGATGCGGCACAGGGACCAGCACACGGAGTTGCACCAGCTCGTGTGTTCCTCGTCAGGGCGCAGGTCATGAAGGCAAGCTGGCGAACAGGGCCACTGGAACAGAATCTGCTCTGCACGGAGGGTCCCTTCACTGTTGCCAAGCACGTGCGCGACATCGGATAGGCTCCTGCCGATGGGAACGGGACTATTTTCTTGGATTCCACGCACTCATGCTGGTTACACCCTGTTGCCTAGCAAGGTCCCGCTTTAGGAGAGCGGAATTGTTGTAAAGGACATAAAGGAACACGTGACGATACCATTCAGCGCTGCCGCAGCATGCGCCTCACTCTCGGCACATTCATCGGCGCCCCCCTCTCCCCTGTTATCACTGCTGCTGCTGAATGCTGCTCTCGCTTGTATGAAGTCTAGCCATGATCCAATCTTTGTAGAGGGCCCTCCGCATCTCTGCACATTGGTCTATTCTGGACGCCAACGCTCGCAACAGAGCGCGACGCGCTGACCAACACACACATACGCGTCGCGACTGATGTACACGCGTCCAGGACAGCATGGCTTTTGTGCAGGCTGTGGCGCGTGTAAAAAGTGTGTGCCCGCGGGCGGAATGGAATGAAAGGATTATCGCCTGAGCGCGGCTTGACTCAGAGACTGATAGGCGGGACTGAATATGGAATGCATTTTATGCGCTTAGTAAAGGACAACAGAGCAGTCAGCATCGCGCTATGACGGTCAAGGGGAGGAACGGAGCATCAACTCTTTGCCCGCTCACACCTCCCGCACAACCACCCCGCCCTTGGGGGTTCGGATCCAGCACTGCCAAGTACGTCCACCGTCTCCCATCCAGCACGGCCAGCAAGACCCACGCACAAGACGGGGGGCTGGCGGGCGCATCCCATTCATCTATCCATCCATTCATCTATCCATCCAACCCCCTTGCTTGCCTCGTACCCACCCGTCATCATCACCACCACCATGGTGCGCTCCGTAACGTTCGAGATCAGATGGCACGACACGCAGCCCATCTACTCGTGTTCCTTCCAGCCCCTCTCACCGCTTCACCTCCGGCGCGTCCTCGACCACAACGCAGGCCAGGCCGCCGGCCACAGTGCAGAGCGTCTCCTCGCTGCCGCTTCTGCAAATGAAGCGAGCACGAGCACTGCGTTGTCCGGAGGCCATAGCGGCAATGCTAGTGCTGGGGCGGTGGCCGATGCAATGGGGAAAGAAGCAGCTGCTGCTGTGCTCCCCATGCTTGCCGGAGGGCAGTGCTGGCGGGTTGCCACGGCCGGCGGGGACAATAATGCAAGGGTGAGTGGGGACGCTGCTTCTGAAATGGACCGCAAGCGTCGCCGGTTGCGTCGCCGTCTGAATTCAAGAAAAAGCACTGCTGCTGACGCTTGCAAATCGATCGTGTGTGCGCGTACACCCGGAAGATCTGGATTGTGCACCCGAACATCCCATCACCCTCTGCCCTCAAAGCAAGCGAGGCCGCATCCTCCACCAGCAGCAGCAATGACAGGACAGTAGCAGCAGTACAGCCACTCTCACCGCACCCGCCGCGCGTCGAATATATGGCGACGCTGTCAAGGCACACGAACGTCGTCAATGTCGTCCGCTTCGATCCAAAAGGAGAAGTCCTGGTCACTGCTGGCGATGGTACGTACCGGCCAGGTCACAGTATCGCTCCATCTTCTCCCAGCTTACCGTCTCTATTTACTGTTCTCCCACCCCTTCTCTCTCTTCCACTTCTGGTACCCCCTTCATGCGCAGACGGCTTTGTCATGTTCTGGGTCCTTTCCAACCAGCGGCAGAGCGCCTTCGCCGCCGCTGCCGACCAGGGCGATGACGCGCATATGGACAAGGAGCACTGGCGCATGCGGTTCACATCACGCCCGACCACGTCGGAGATCTATGATTGCGCGTGGAGCCCGTCCGGAGAATCGCTCGTCGTCGGCGGGACCGACTTTGTCGCGCGGATCCTTAACGGGCAGGATGGTGCGTGCCGTGTGGATGCGTGGGCGGGGACGACGCATTTTATTTATTTATTCTCACGTCCAGGGAGGTGCGCGGTAGTTGACGCTCGATCATTCCTTTTTTCGCAGGCAGCGTCCTCCGCGAGATCTCAGAGCACAGCCACCACATTCAAGGTGTGTCGTGGGACCCTTTGAATGAGTACATCGCGACACAGAGCGCCGACCGGACCGTACACGTGTACAGCCTCCTCCGGAACAACGGCGGCGCGATCGCAGGAAACGAACCCACCGCCACCACCAGCGGCATCACGGGCACGCAGATTGTAAGCCGCAACAGCCGCATGGACCTCCATCGCCGTTCGGGCAGCGGGCAGTTCGTCTGGGACCGAAGCGCCAAGCTGCCGCTGCAGCGGCGCGGGAGTAGCCATGCGAGCGCGTCGGAGCGGGACGAGAAAAAGGAGCCACCGCTGCAGCAGCAACAGCAACCGACTGCAGCTGGTGGGCATGCGGCAGGCAGGAGGGCCGACAGCGCGAGAAGTGCAACGCCAAGCGAATTGGTGATTCCATTTGGCTGCTCCTCTTCATCGTCGTCGTCGTCCGGGGCAAACACAACGACAGCGGTGCCCATGAGTCCCTTTTCTTCCTCCATCAGCATCCCAGCGGGTGCTGCAACGCCACATCACCAGCACCACCCGCATCATCATCAGCAGCAGCAGCATCAGACGATGCAGCCACCTCAGCAGACGCCCAGTCGGCGATCGAGCTTCAGCGGAAGCGTCATCGAACCCGGGTCCCCGCAGACAAGCATCACGTCGCTCGCACCGAGCGTTTCGCAGAGTGGCGGTGGTGGCGGTGCAGGTTCTCTCTTTCCTTCAAGGCAGGTGCCGAGTTCGGGCAAATCGGGCGCGGTGAGGGGAGGGGCGGAGAATGCGCACTCTTCCGCATTTGCCTCCGGTCCATCGGCCGTAACCGTGGCGGGGACGCCGGCGGCGACAACAACGCCGACACTCCCCTCCGTGCCGATGTCAGCGATACCGACCGGCAGCATCTCAGCGAGCCCCGCCTCCCACGGACGCTCGCCGTCTCCTTTCCCGCCGTTGCCCGCGATCCGGGCGCCGCCATCGCCGCGCGAGCGGATGCAAGCGACGCTGTATGGCGGCGCGGGTCAGCTCGCCAAGGCGGCCAACCTGCGCTTGTACGGCGATGAGAACTTCAGCGGCTTCTTTCGCCGCCTCGCCTTCTCCCCTGATGGCGCCCTGCTCGTCACACCCAGCGGCCTGTTCGACGCGCCACCGCAGCCGGCCAGCCTCGCCTACTCTCTCGCAGCGGCTGGCAACACCACCGCAGCCGGCATCAACAGCAGCAGCAGCATCAACCCAAATGATTTGGGCACCAGCGGCTCGCTGCCTAGCTCTTCGTCGCGTCCGCCGAACGCAGCTGGTTCATCAACAGCGACAGCCAGTACGTGCGCAGCAGCAGCTGCGGCGAATGCGCCAGCGACCTCTTCCAAGAGCACAGTGTACATGTACGCACGAGGCGCGCTGCATCGCAGCAATGCGCCCATCGCGCATCTGCCCGGCCACAAGGCTGCCACACTCGTTGTGCGCTTCTCGCCTATTCTCTATGAGCTGCGACCGACTACCGTAGCCGCATCGACCGACCGGTGCCGCGGCTCTTTCTCTGGCTCCCGTCCTACTCCTGCCTCGTCGCCTGGCGCTGTCTCGGCACCAGTTGGGATGGGCAGAGCGCCGCATCCGACGATCCCGCTCGAAGCAGGCAAGCAAGAAGTCGTGCAGCTGCAGCAGCTGCAACATGCATCGACAAGCGGAAATGGCGCCATGTGTGCTTCGCAAGCTGCGGAGGATGATGCAGGGCCGCTCGGCAGCAGCATCGGCATGTTCAATCTGCCGTACCGCATGATATTCGCCGTGGCGACGCAGGACAGCGTCTGGATCTACGACACGCAGCAAGGCGGGCCGATCTGCTGTTTCAGCAACATGCACTATGCTTCGTTTACAGATCTCAGCTGGTGAGTCGATTCGGCTGCGCAACTTGGGATTGAACGATTAACGCTGACACTTTCCCCTTGCCGTAACCCCTTCAACTAAATCCGCTTTGCTTGCAGGTCGCCAGATGGCCAAACGCTCATCATGTCATCCACGGACGGCTACTGTTCCGTCGTCGTGTTCGACTATGGCGAATTGGGATCACCATATCAGTATAGCGCGCAGCCATCCATGCAAGCCACGCTCAACCCCACACTGAGCGCGACTGCGACTGCGGCCGTAGCAAGGCCAGCTACCGCCGCCGCTGCGTCTCCGCGCGTGAAGATTTCCCCATCCCTACCTGCTTCCGCTCAAGGTCTCGCGCCGGGCGACTCGGACACCGCACCAGCACCAGCAGCGCTGGGTTTGCAGCTAAGTAGCAGCACGGCGGCTCGCGATGGCGCGGCGCCATCGAGGGTTGAAGAAAGGGCTTCCAAAAAGCCAGCGATAGAGGGCACCCCGGGAGAGGAGCCGAAACCCAAGAAGCGACGAATCGCACCGACACTTATTTCACAATGATCAGTATCTACATAACCCGAAACAACAGCAACTCTAGCTTGCTCTCGACGCATGTCATGCTTTCTCTCTTGCAAAGGATGCATTCGCTCCAGGTGCTAAATGGTACAGGTACAAAGATGACATGGAAGAGAATTGGCAGTTTGCTGGGGTAATACGATGCTATGCTTTGTGGGAAACAAGTTAGAAAGTGCTTGCTGTAGTTATCTTTCAACTCGGGTCTTTTGGTCCAGCCAACTTGACGCAAAAGACAGTGCCATCGCCCTGGAAGACGATGTGGCTGCGCGAGGCGTGCGCGCTCTCCCACATGGGGCTGATCGGGGCAGGTGGCGGGCGTGGAACAGGTGTCGCTTGCGAGAATGCATATGGCATCGGTGGGGCACCTGGAGGAGGGCGGGGGCCGCCGTACATCATCGCTTGCTGCGGTGGCATGCTGTTGAAGCCCGTACCACCCATCATCTGCGGGGGCGGGCGCTGGTATCCAGGCAGCATGTTGAGAGAGTGCGCCCGCTGCAGCGCCATGTTGCTGCTGTTGTTGTACATTGGCATGCGTCCGAACGAATTCATCGCATGCATCGCTGCAGCTTGTGCTGGCGGCGCTGGCGGCGGAACATCGGCGAAAAGGCAGCGCAGCGCGGAGCCCGTGATGACCTGATGAAGAGCTCCAGTCTCGACGTGGCGCACTTCGATGAAGGACGGCTCGAAGGCGAGCACGTAGGGGTAGTGGAGGGCGAATGCTGTCGGATGTCCTTCCCAATGGATAATCCAGTTGCCCTTCGAGCGCCAGCCAATCTTGTTGACGTAGAAGGCGAATTCTGGGAAAAGATTTTGAAATATAGGAAAAGAATCAGTCTCAATCTATCCTGAGAAGTCGTTGAGGGGCGCACAGGCTCACCATCGTAGCAGAGAAGGAACTCTCCATTGATGCGGTATATCGCAATGGGCTTGACGTTCTCTTTGCGCTGCACGAAGTCGAGATTGTTGTCTGCGGGGTCTAGTAGGCCCTGCGTGTCGAGCGTTTCGAGATCGATGATCTCGAAACCCTTGTTGCAACCAACGCAGAGTCTGGTTTTGAGGAAATGGACGGAGCTCGACTCGGTTGGAATGTAGAACTCCTTGAAGACGCGGAGAGACTCCTGGCCTGGTCCCTGCAGCAACTTCTGGAACGTCGGACGCTTCTTTCCGCGCATGCTCTGATCGATGGGCTCGAGGGTCTTGATAGTGGAAGATAGGGAGCTGGACTTGACGACGCAGACAAGCGTTCGCTTGAGGCAGATGCCCGCGCGGAAGAACGAGACTGTCCCGGAGATCCGTCTGCCTCGCTTGAGTGAGCCCATTGGGTCGGATGGATCGAGGGCATCTAGTGTGAACGTATGTAGCGTCTTGTCGGCTAGGACAATGAGCACCTGGTACTCCTCCAGGACATCCATCTGAGTCACACCTGGCAGCGGTAGCACCTTGACGGGCGGTCTCGCTTTCTCGCGAAGCTCCGACAGAAAAACGCCTTCGTCAGTGCCGTAGATGATCCTGCGACCAAAGTCGAAAGGCACCGAGCAATTGACCTTGTTGACGCCTCTGAAGAAGCCATCCGAGAGGGTGATAGCGTCAAAGATGTTGCTACGTTGACGCAGAATCTCTTGACGGGTTTCAATGTGCTGGAACCACTTTTGCCTGCTGACATACGTGCTCGCCCACAGCGTCATTGAGTAGCCTTTCCGGCCGAGATACGTGAAAGTGAGAGCATAGCCAGTCTTTGGATCTTGCTTCGGTGCTCCTGCAGCGATCATGCCACCTAGTCGATTGCCAGTGCTCATCTTTGAGCTTACGGACTTTGGCCGCGCTGTCGAGCCTTTGCCGGTCGGCACGTCATCGTAGACCGTCACAATGAGCAGCTCCAAAGGTATCGGCTATGAACAGTAGGGAATCAGTATACAGCACTGCCAGATATAGAACTGCAAGTGCATGAGACTCACCTTCCGGTACACCTTGTATAGCTCGCTCTTCTGCACAGTCTTCGCTTTGGCCATTAACAAAGCATGATCGAAGAGAAAGACTTGCAATTCTGCACTTTCGCTTTGCGTTCCGCCTCGCCTCTTGAGCGGACCCTTGAAAACGAGCTCTCGCGCCTCGTCTCGCAATCGCAAATCAACAGCTTCGCCCTGCTTGAAAACGATCTGCTGATCCAGCTGGGCAAGGTTGAAACGGTTCTCGCTTTTTCCTGTCTCTGCATTGACCTTTGTGAGGAATTCCTTGATGATCTTGATGACCTTTGGCAGTGCTTGCTTGTCGGAGTTATCGTCGGCTGTGTACTTAGTGACTTGCTCTATTAAAAGCGGGTATCTAGCCAGACGCGTTGTTGGCTTGGTCAAGTAGCCATTCAGTTCTAGCTTCCGTGACTCTGGTAGGCGCTCCGTTTCCTGCGTGGCGAATGAGAGAAATATGAGATGAGATGATTGGCTTCCCTTCCAAAATAAAAAGCGGGCAAAGAACTCACGTCCACGAATTTGGCAAATGCCAAATTTGATGCCTTCTCCTTCTCAAACTCGTACTTGCCGTAGAGCTGGTGCGCACCATACTTGACAAATGGCTGGAACAGCGGAACCATCTCGAGGAAAATGTCTCCGACTTTTTCGACGACATCCTGCTGTTTCTGCCGTTTTAACAGCAGCTCGCATAGCTTCGAATTGACTGCATGGATCTCCAAAACATTCCAGAACACTTGGGTTACGAAATCTTCCCGCCTGTCTTCAGGCACGATGACCTTCGTGCGCAGCGGCTTCATCCATTGATCGCGCAGGTACTCGAGGTCGCGGACGAAGTCGCGCTCGGTTGAGATGACCTCGTTGATCAGTTCTTGGCGTTTGCGCTCATTTTCTGAGACGCTTTCCAGCACTTCCTTCGACACGCTCTCCGCCCAAAGCGCGCCTGGCTCCTTGGTCTCGCCGAGCGACTCTTTCGAGATACTGCGCTTGAGACCAGGCTGCGGCTTCAGGTTGAGCCGTGCCTGCTGCTCGAGGCGACGGGGACACGCGATACTGTAGCATAGTCTGTCGCGCGTACATGTCGGACTGTAGCAGTCGGTCAGCAGCGTAAACACACTCGTTGGGTACTCGTCCTCGTCCTTTTCAGCGTATGAGGCGTGAGCGGCGCTGGTCTTACCGCTGGCCACTGTGTCAAGACGTGATGGGGCTGGAGAGAGCCCGTCCGACATTCCGGGGGAATTAGTCACGGATTTCGACGATGCAGCCGACATGGAAGGCGCACTGCTCCCAGGTATGATTTTGGATCCCGGCACGAGCGCATTGTTATTAGGTGATGCGTCAAAGAATCTCTGTGCATCATGGAAAGGACCCTCGTCTTCGGATCCAAAAGGCGTGGTGAGCCGCACTCGGAATTGGTAGAGTTCGTTGGGTGAATCGCGTAGTCGATGGTCGTACGTGACATCATGGAAGAACTTTTGCGCATCAAGCGCTCGACCGAGCAACAGTGCCAAATTGCGATCGGTCGTCTTGATGATGGACGCTATCCGATCTACGGCCTCTCGCCCGTCGAACGCATCTTTGTACGACAACCCATCTTTCGTCCGCTCCGCCACGGCGACGCGCTCTTTGAATGACCTTGCCACAAGCGACAGCAGGGCCGGGTAGACGAGCGGCCCTTTCCGGGGCCTCAATCCTGCTTGCTGCGTTGTCGTCGAGCCTCCGTTCTGCGGGACAGTCAACTGGCTTGGAACTCCTGATCCTGAGACTGTCCGGAGAGAATCGCCAGGCGCACCGTTCCGCGCGTCCGTCAAACGCATAGACTCCATGCTCTGTCGCCATTCCGAGTTGCTGAATGTCGAACCAGGCGCATACGCACTGGTCGCAGCTTGCGTTGCGCTCGATACTGTCCGATGTCTCGTTTGGCCGGCGTAAGCGCCATTGCTTGCTGTCTGTGGCTGCGCTTGCTGCTGATAGGGGGTGAGAGAGGTGACGCCACTAGCAGCTCCAGGAGCAAAGAAGCCGCTGGATGAGTGCATCCCTGTACCGCTTGCGCCATAGACACTGCGCCCGGAGCCAGAGGCAGCGCCGGAGACGGTGTAGACAGAGTTCGCGATCGACTGCCTATCCGATTCGAATGAGTCTCGCCGTTTCGATATGCCGTCATACACTGATGATGCGCTTGACTTTGGCTCAAAGGACTCGTATCCTGTAGGATCGTAGCGAAGGCGTCAGTGTGCACTGGCACTCCTTCACTCATTCTCTGGAAAGGCCGGTGCATATAGCTCATATCACTTTGAGAGAATACTCACGGAAGTTATTCCCGTCATCCCACCCACTCATCAGCCCCGGATCCTGCTCCCTGTTCATGTAAGCGTATTGAGCCGCGGCAATGGCGGCATCGGACGCATGAATTGTCCCGCTTGACATGTAGGTGCCCTCTCCTTCTTCGCCTTCGGCCTCGCTGTCGATTTCGCGGCGGCTACCCGCGGCGATGCCGGCCCCGGCGCTTTGAGCGTCGCCTTGGCGCTCGTGCTCATGGCTGAGCCATTCGGACTCGAGTACGCTGCCGTCCCCGTTGCCCGCGTTTGGTGAAGCGGTCGTGCCCTTCAGACTGGGCTGGTCGGCGGGACACGCGGACGCCACAGACGTCGCCGCCGTCTGGCTGGTATGCGCACTGGTAGAAGTGACACTGTCCGGTGCGCCAAAGGCCCGCTCGGTGCCCGAGCTCCCTTCTCGAGTGCTTGTAACACTGGCGATAGCTGTGGCAACGGACGAAGCGGTCGCAGCCAGTACAGACTTGGCGAGCCAATCGTCTCCGTGGAAGCTGGAGCCGCTCGTATTTGCACTGCCGGTGTCTGGGAGACCGAAACCAGTCTTGAGATCGATGCTGGGCAAACGCGGTGCAGATCGACGGTGTTCGCGTAGCGACGCGGGATTCTCAGCACCCACGACACTACTTATGCTGTTGGCACGCAGACCTTTGCCGCCTTGAGGTACCATGCCGTTCGCAGCGGTGCTATGGTGGAATGCTGCGTCCGTCGCGGATTGCGCTAGCGGAGGCGGCGAAAAGGCACGTCCGCCGCCAGGTGGACCGGCTGCTGGATGCTGCGGATGCGCAGCGCCGTACACGGCAGCTTGGAAGTCGGCGCGAGACGAAGCGCCGGACGTGCTGCCGAATGAAGCGGATGAAGGGCGGTGCAATAGTGACGGGCCGTTGAATGCCTCTGCGCGTGGTGAAATGTTGTTCATGCCGAGACCTCCTCCACCACCACCACTACCGCCGCCCGCGGAACTGCTGCCATCGCTGTAAACGGATTGAGCCATACCGTGGTTTCCCTGACCACCTGCCGCGACGGAGGATGCAGTACTTGAGCGGCGGTCGTACTCGATCGAAGAAGGGGCGTAAGAGGATTGATGCGACATTGGCGCGGCTCGCATGTAAGGCGGTTGCACGCCCATCGTCGCTCCGGCTGGCGGCGCTGCTTGTGGGTAGGCTCCCTGAGGGTATGCAGCGGCAAGGTGCGGAGCGCCATAGTTGGGATGATGCAAAGAGGCGGCAGATGGTGCTCGATCCGGAAGGTACCCTGCAGGATAGCGTACAGGCCCGTAACCTGGCCCTCCTGCCGGTGCTGGCACTCCACCTGGCCCTGGTGGTACCTGTGCATGCATGCCGTTCGCATGTACACTTGCCACGCTGTTCCACCTCTGTGGCAGCACTGTTGGATGTGCGTATCCCGCTGACGGCGCAGCATACTGTGGATTCATTTGTGGGTGGCCCCCATGCATCGGGTTGCCATACTGGACTACCCCAGGTGGAGGCGGTGGTGCTCCGACATGATGGCCAGGCGGCGCCGACGGCCCTTTTGGCTTGGCAGTCGGGCGCCCAAAGATATTCTCATACGCTGTTGTCCGCTTGTCCGGACCTGCATAGGAGGGTGGCATCCTGAATGTGATGGAGCCCTACGCCTTTGCCCGCTGCCCGTGATGCAACCTCCGAAATTCTTCCTGGCCCAGAGAAGGAAACGCCTGTGAGGACGCGTGCTTATCAGAGCACGCCGACGTCCCCGTCAGGAAGGGTCACTCTGAGACCCTCAGAGTAACTCCGGCCCGCGGATGATTAGAGCATTGAACGACGCAGGTAAACAGCCGCTGGCGCTTGGTGGGAAGAGTGGACGAGGACACAGCGCGATATGCTAAGATCCCAAGCGTCAAGGCGTTGGATCCGGCGGTTGGCCAGTCAAAGCAAGCTCCGCCAACGACGGTGAACGGAAAAGGCTGACGGATGGGCGAGTCGGTCGAGCCAGACTAGGGGATGAGTGGAGCTGGACCTTTGAGCAGCTCGATGTCTGAGCGGGCTCGACTTGGGCAGGAAGCCGAAGATGCCCTTGAAAGTGGCGGTGTGCGTCAAGAAATAGTGGTAGCCACTTGATCAGGACGATAAGCGTGAGGTGCCTGTGGCCACTGCGGAGGCCAAATGGCGCGGCTTTGATGATGGGGGTGAGCAGGAGGAGCAAGTTCGGAGGTAGATGGCCCTTGTGTCGATCCTTGATCCTCGCAATTCGGCTCTACGTAGCACAGCACAATCGTCGATGGCAGGAGGGCGCCGGTGTTGCTGACACCTCAAGCTGTTCAGGTGCGCCTATGGCCTCAGCGCAGTGGCATGCGTGCGCAGATGTATGTGTCAAGGCCACAAGCATCGAAAACGATGCGTTCGATGAGCGATCTCGACTCAATACTTACATCAACAGCCAGCTGCCTGCCTGCCACACACACATTGCATGGGATGGGTGTGAGTACATCGCACAAATGGACTCTCTGCGCTGTTCTGCTGCAGGCGCCAGGCGACAGTCAAGATCCAGAGAAGAGATGATACGGCAGTAATGCGGCCAACGGGCATGCCAAGGGCACCGGGGCAGCCTGTGAGGCGCCTCTCACATAAGTTGACTCCGTGGAGTGTCGTCGCGTCCAACACGTCCCCCTTCGCCCCACAGGTCACAGAGGTCGTCACCATGATGGCACCAAACGACGGTGTACTTGAAACTTTTCCTCTGCTCCAGTGCTCACCCTACCCCTTGTGATGAAAAGCGCACTCAGCCCACCTGTCGTCTCTACCCCCGTCCAGTGCTGGGGGGGGGGGGTCTGGAGCGACGCGACTTACTTAACTGGCAAACAGTACGCACGCATGCACACAGAGCTACCGCGGCTGGCAGTAGGAGAGTCGTCTACGTAGAGTACGTGAGAGAGTGAGTGATCAATCAGGTTCCGCGTAGACGACAGGTATGCAGTGCTAGACTCCACTAGTCTCCGCCCTGCCAAAACCCAAAATAACGGCCTCACTCATCTTGTGCTCCATGAAAGCTCTCTCCGCGTGAACAAAACCTGGCGCCTTGCTTTGTGCCTTGACAGAACATTTCATGAAGGGAAACGCAGTCATAATCAAGATTGGATACGACGCGACTGCTTTCTTTGATCGAGAGGGTTATACAATAAGCAAGCTGGCAACATGCATGACCAACACAAATCACAACAGACTCCTCTGCGTAGTAGGATGATGCTGCAAGTTGTGACTTCGGCATTGGTACATGATGCTTGATGCATTGTTCCATGATTCTTCATGAGAGCGAGCACGCAGCGCTGTGATCTGGAGTGAATTACTAAAAGGACCGCCTTGTCTTCTTTCTGATGACCGTACCGAAGAGACCCGAATCATCCAAAGAAATCGTCTGACCGTCCATAATATGGCGTCGGACCGATTGCGGAGGCGGATCGCCAACCATGACGTTCAGTCGAACGTAACGGAAAGCTTTGTTACGGTGAGAGTGCCTCAACGTGCGAAAGAATATTCAGAGGGATACTGATCGGCCATGTCCATTGATTTCATAATTTCTGCCCTATTCTTGCACACAAATAATGGATATGCACTGTGAAGATCGGAACACCCCTCCCGTCTCTCGGCTCAAATAGCTATGACGCAAACGAGTACAAGCCGATTTGGGAGCAAGAAGTGCGCGACGAGCAAGGCCGTCGGCGCTTTCACGGTGCCTTCACTGGCGGCTTCTCTGCAGGCTACTTCAACACCGTCGGTTCTAAGGAGGGATGGAAGCCAACGACCTTCAGAAGTTCGCGCACCGAAAAGCTCGCCGCGAGTGGCGGCGGCGAGAAAGCGAAACCGATGAGCAAGCCGGAAGATTTTATGGATGAAGAAGACCTGGCCGAGTTGCGTGAAGAGCGGCAGATCCAAAGCTCAAACCGCTACAGCGATTCCGCAGTCGGTACCTCTGCTCCTATTGGGCGTGACCCGCTAAGCGGCGCAGGCGAAGGAGAGCCACTTGCGGCAGCATTTCTTGATTCCCTCGTGCGGCCCAAGCACTCCTCCGTCGGAACCATGATGCTTAAGCGCATGGGCTGGAAAGAAGGTCATGGTCTCGGTCCTCTCATTACCGCCAAGAGACGCCGGGAGCTACTCGCTCTTTCCCGTCCTTCTACGTCCAAAGTGACGTTAGACGACCTCGAAGGGGAGGCAGATGGAGAGGATGCGGATCATCTGCCCATGCTCGCACGGACTGGGAAGAGACAGCTCTATCCTCCGCCAGACACACCTCTCAATACAATGCTGAACAAGGAAAATCGTCATGGACTGGGTTATTCTGCCGGTAGCAAGGGCATGGATGACGTGCTGCGGCGCGTATACAGGGAGCGCAGGGCTCTCAGACATGGTGAAGACCCCATCCCTGGCGGTCCAGGTACAAGGGGCGGCGCGAATCTCAAGCCCACAGGTCTAGGTGGTCTCGGAAACGCATCCGACGAGGAAGATATGGATGCTTTCATGGGCAGTGTGGAGGGCGATATTGAAGACTGGGCGTTCGGTCACAGTCAGTTCCGCGACCATGAACGTGGCCGTGAAAATCGCCTTTTGCTGGGTCAGGTATCACGCAAAGACGCTGGCAGTGTCGCTCACGCTTGCGCGCAAGGGAGCGCGGAGATGGCAGATGATTACGCAACGAGGTGGCGTGACGGACGGCCCTTGCCGCCAGGTTTTAGGAGAGCTGCTCAAGTGCAGATGCCCGACAAACGGTGTGTTTTGGGACTTATTGCATGTTGCCGCATTTGTACTTTGCTGATGTTACCGCGCATCTTCGTCCTGTAGGTTCCAGCCCTTGCCGGTATCTCCTGACTGGCAACCAGACCAGCGGCGCGTCTTAGCGATCATCTCGAATGAGTCGGCCAAGGCAAGCGAGACGGCAGCTGCCGAGACGTACGCCAACATGAAACCTGAAGACCGTGCGCGCATACTCGGCGAAGCGCGAATACCTGGGCCAGCCCCATCTCTGTCTGACTATATTTCTTCCAAGGCACAAGAAGCGCTTCAACGCAGCCGAGAAACCGGCGACAATGCCGCAGTCGCTGCGCCGTTGTTGGTGGCATCTGCACAAAGCGCGGTCCAACCCTTCGCTCCAAAGCTCACCATCCCTCCGCTCGATCCGTCCACCGCGCTCGCTGCGATCCGCGGCTACATGCCATTCGGTGCTGATCTGTCCAAGCAAGCACGATACCGTGCGTACCTCAAGTCGCAAGCATTTCCCACCGACGCATCCGTGCAGCTCGACAGCGCAGCGGTCATTGCTGAGACACAAATGTCCGTCGAGCAGGTCAACCGAGAGCTTGACGAATTCGTCAAGAGTGCTGCTATCTTCCGACCCATGAATGCTGCCATGGCGAACCGCTTCCGCAGCGCAGATAGCGCGAGCAGCGCTAAGGAGTTCGAAAGCCCCAAGCCGGGTCTGTACCAACCGCCACCGGCTGCGTCTTCCGCACCGTCGTCGTCAACTGGCAATGCCGCCGAAGCAGAGGCGAGGAAAGCGATAGAGGAGAGGCTCCGCGAAGAAGAGAGGCAAGCCCGCACGCCGGCGCAGAATGCTGCGCGCGCAGGCGTGTTTGGCAAGATGACGCGCTCCGTGGAAGAGTGGGTTCCCTCTCGTCTACTCTGCAAGCGCTTCAACGTGCCAGATCCGCATCCGGATCGTACGGGTCGCGAAGCTGCTACAGGCGGAGCAGATGCGGGAGCAGGAGCCGGCGATAACGCGGAAGAGGAACAGCGGCCACCGCCTAGGAGACGGAAGGACCCCTTTGCGTTGACGACCGACGCTGACGACTTGCCGCGTGGCTCGGCTACGGTAACATGGGAGGCGAACAAGCGCTCGATCCAGGCGATGGCCAAGGAGCGCGCCTGGCTACAAGGACAACCTTCTCCGTTTTTGGACGCATCTTCCTCCCTAGCCGGCGGCGCTGACACAGGCAGTTCTGGAACGCCAGCGGGAGGAGCCCGTATCACCAGCACTCCACTCGCATCGGATGGCGGTGGCGGCGTTCCACCAAGTTTGGATCAGGTCGGCCTCGGTGACGACCCTACGCAAGGCCGCGACACGCTCACCTACCAGAAACCGAGCATCGACATATTCAAGGCGATCTTTGCTTCTGATGAGGAGGACAGTGATGAAGAAGAAGGACAAAATACTGGCGTCGATGCGAAAGCCGAAGTTGAAGGCGCATCACAAGCCAAAACAGCACCCACGACGGACAAGAGCATCGCAACCCTTTTACAGCGCGACCGGGTTGGCGATATTGCCGACGGAACGCCTCTGCTGATTCGTCCAACTTTTATCGCCAAGTCTCAGCGCGAGGCGGCTGGCAAAGCGCTTGTTGCGGATGTTGAGGTAGGCGCGGAAGCAGCAGGGAGGATTGATGCGAAAAAGCGCAGGAAAGACAAGGACAAGCAGAAGGACAAGACGAAAAAGGGCAAGAGCGGGTGCCATACACTCAGTTTCGGGATGGAAGAGGATGATGGAGGCGAAGAGGAATTCTCCCCTGCGTTTAGAATCACATCAAGACCAAAAGCCTCGGATCTTTTCTAGCGTCCGAACTTTATAATGCATCCTAACAACTGCTGGGGTATTTCGTGCACTGTATTTTTGGGCTTTGAAGCGAGGGGGTCTCGCCGCACGAGAATCGAGATGACGAAGGTGACGCCAATGGAGCCTGCCAGCCTTTTCATTGAAGATAATGATGAGGTGCTGAAGACTCTTGGGTGAAATCGCGAAAGGTTTCACATAGATGGGACACGCTGGCACGCTGGACTCTGAGACCTGCTCGCGTATTGTGCTACGACATACTTGACAGGCTCATCATGCTAGACAAATTTGGTTCATTCCATTTGGGAGGCACCCTGTATGGATTCATCCAGAATGAGTACTGTGCTTTCAGCTTCAAGACTCCTGTAATACAGCTTTGCCTTGCAAGCCCCGTCCGCGTGCAAAGTGGGACGTATCGCGCACAGCGACGCTTGATGGAGAGTGGAAGGTGTTAGGAAGCCAGCGCCTTACACTCTTCATCCCAGACTTTTCTCGCGACTCTCCGGAGTGCAGAGCCCAACGTCCATGCCGCATCGCCATCGTACCCTTTCCCAGTGGCGATCCGTCCAGTCTGATTGGCATCGCCACCACCAACGCCGTCGCTGTTTCCACCGGGCGGTAATAGAAAGAGCTTCTCCAAGTCTTTCCGCCTCTCTTTACTCTCCACAATCGCCCGCTCGCTCTGTAGAGCGTGTACGTCCCCGTCCTCTGTTCGCGCGCGTTTCATGTCGGGCCGTGCTACAACACGCTCAATGATGATGCGCCCGTGCTCTGTTGCGGAGAAGGTTGAACCTGCCTCTGTCACAGAAGAGGCAGAGGAGGTCAAGGAGCCGAGCGTGTCGTACAGCAGATCGGTCCATTGAATCTTGACGTCTAAAGCTTGCGTCTCGCCTACGGGCCGCGCAGGTCTCCGGCGCTTTGCGAGACGCGCTTGTTTTCGTCGCTTCATGTCTGCTGCGCGTGTCTCTTCGCCATCTATGTCGGCGTCCGGACGGGGTGGGTCGTCCAATGCATCTTCCTGCCCGCTTCCGTCCTCCGTGCCCTCGTCGTCCTCTTCCTCGGTGTCCTCCTCATCGTGCCCATCGACATAATGTGGGCGATCCGCTTGAACTTGGTGCATGCGCCAGCGCTCCAACTCGTGCTCGTTAGGCACGGGGATCGACCAGCGAATCGAGATGGTGTCGAACGCCGCCGTCGAATACGCCTGCAGCACTGCATTCGCATCTGCTGTTTGCTGTACCTCCTTAACGGTAACTCCAGCCGCTCGAGGGGATCGCGAGGCTCGCACTTTCGAGCCAGGAAGGCAAAGATTGCGCAGGCTCTCCGCTTGTCCCCGACGTGATACGTAGGCTTGCAGATGCGAATTGAGGGTGGAAAGGAATGTCTGCGGGCCGGGAGGTGTGAAAGAGTTAGTCAGAGAGAAACAGCGTCAGCACCAGTGCTCACGGACAGCGGGATGGTTGGGAAGATACGCACTCCAAATCCATCGAGCAGTTTCAGATCTTCCAAAAGCTCGAATCCGCCTCTTGTCACAACCTCTGCTGGCGTTGTCCGTGATGAAGTCCCTTGCGCTGCTGCTGTACCCCCGGCAGAAATCCTTCCCTCATCTACCTCTGAGCCGGCCGCACGAGCAGCAGCATTCGTCCCTGCTCGTACTTCGGCAGCTCCGCCGGTTGTCACGGAGCCAGCGCGTTGCTGCACCACGCTGAGATATTGCTGTACGAGCTTTTGAACGGGTACGAAATGCGGTAAGGTGTGTTTGAGCAGCTGCAGACTTCCTGCTGAAGTGGAGGACAAAGATGTGATGGGGGAAAGCGTGGATTGTAAGAAGACGGGCGCTGCCGGGCCGTTTTGCACCGTTTGAGATAGAGGAGCAAAGATGAGGTAGAAGGTCTCGTTGAATGTTCCTGTGTGAATTTGGCGTGTGCAAAGAAGAATGAGTTCTTCATGGACGGCAGACTGATTCACGGCCAATTGAATGCAGCGACACACCTTGGCTAAACGTGTCAATCCGCACCCCAAGGCCCAACCCTTCCCGCCCTTTGCCTTTGTCTCCAGCACCAGGAGCAGGAGCAGGGGCAGGGGCAGGAGCGGCTAGCCCAACGTCAGGATCCTGGACTCCTCTCCCACCATCTTCTAGAGCCGGTCGCTCTTGTTGGACTTCGGCATGTTGCAGTTCCCGCACGAGCCGCTCTCTCCTGCCCACATCCAGATCCACTTCAAAGCACGTCCATCCACAGAGTGTACGACAGAGGATGGAGCGGTCTTCAATTTCCTGCAGCTCTGTGCCGAGTGCGCGGAGGATCTGCGTGCGATCGCCCTTGCTCCTGCGTGTGCTGCTTTGCGGATCAGAAATCTGGGCTGGTGAGGAAGTGGAGCGATGCTGCAGCTGCTGTTCATGTCGCTGCAAATCGAGCAACGCATCGAGCTCGGCCTGCAAGGAGGAGCGGAGGGCTTTCGCTTTATTGACTGTATCATTGGACCCCAGCGTTAGGAAGAGACGCGTTCAGAACAGAAGGAAAGGATGTCAGCTTTGTGCGAAGATTACCACGCGCACAAGCACCTCAGGCACCGCGCGAACGCGCACACGCAGGCGAACGCGCCGCGCTCAAGCCTTCCTCCACGCACCTCGTGATCGCAGCCCGTCCATTGTGAGCGCAGCGCCGCTCGTGTGGGTCTCCTTGTCAAAGAGGCTGACTGTAAAATGTGCTTTCAGATACACCTCTCAGACGATGATCCTGGGCTCGACGTCGTGAAAGTGCATGAAGCGTGATTGTGTTTGAGCTCATTCGCAGAGTATGAGCATGCGGTAGGAACGCGACGTGACCACCCTTTACGACGAGAGAGGACAAGAGCGGGAGATTAACCCTGGTCCAGTCGAGGACGAGGCAGCACCATCCCACACTCTCTGCACCCAACAACACACACCACCAAAGAGACAAAGCGCGACGCGTTCAATTTCCGACAAGAGTACAACCCTAACAAGTCCAACCCCCCGATTAGCTCACGTGATGCAAGAATCCACATTTTTCGGCGCAGGAGCTTGGGCATCGATACCACATGACTCGCTTGTTGCGCGCGCAACGGACGACTCTTTCCGTTTGTTTGTCCGTCCCAACGGCCGCCTTCTAATTGTGGGCCTGGCCTGGGCGGGTCGTGGGGTCTGCCTTCATGCAGAGTAAAGCGGTCCAGCCGTTGCATTTTCATATTCAGCGTCCAACATTGCTGGCCTGGCGGTCAGCCCCACGAGCTGGGAGCCAGTCTGGCGGCGGACCAACCAACGTCTATCATCGTCGCTCCACTCTACCAGCTGCGGCCTTGCCGCAATCTGTCAGAAGTGAATATCCGGGCACTGTACGCGTCACAGCCCCCCACCTCCCAAGCACCAACCGCCAGCATTGGACAATTGTGAATATGGCGAGAGAGCAAACGGGCTCTGGCCGGAGGCCGACCCACTGCACTCCGCAGCCTATTGCAACGCATTCGTTCTCCTTGGCTCCTGCTCTCGCATGCTTGATCCCATGCATGCCAATCGCGCCACCAGCACGCAGGCCCCTGTCTGCCTGCTGTACCCGCGCCGTCTGACCGGCCCTGACCGTGCTCTGGCTTTCGTTGATCGCACCACCCTTCAACCGAACCTCTCCAGCGGAGCAGCAGGTGCATCGTGTCCGGCATCTGCGGTCCGTCTGTGCATGCACACTGTACAAGCCTGCACACATGCATAGACTTTCAAGCAGCTGCAAAGCTTGCAGCATGGTATTTCGTTCCTACGCGAGTCCTCGCATGCGAGCTCAAAGCTTGCGACGCGACAGCGGCTGCCCATGGTCGCCAAGAATGAAGTTCTAGGAAAGGTGCTCAAGCTCCGCTCTTCTACTGCGTCCCCCTCTCTAGCTATCCTGAACCCTGGGGCTTTCTATGTGCTTACTTCCCAGGCTTGACGAGCTGGCGACCAACGTCTGCATGTCTTTGCGCCCGTGTCTCCGTTGCCTGACGAAGTCACGCAGGCTGTGTCTGCTGTGCCGCCTTTCGCTCGCTCGCTCCATTCATTGTCTCCTGCCTCGCAGTCATCTCTCGTTGAACTCGTGAGCGGTGCTCGCTCGGCTCGGTTTATGCTCACCGACTTCGCTCTGGTGACCTTTACCGCATTCACCTTGTTCATCAGCTGGCGTCATCCTCGCACTCGAGCCCCTCTTTGCCAACCTCGACCAATGCTCTTTTGACCTTTCCAATCCTTCTGTCTTTCGCTTTCCATCCTGTTCCACCATCTCTTCGATTCATCATAGTCAACATCCTCATCTGTGTCTTTCTTCAACACACGCAGCTGCCTCTACTTCAACATTTGACAACACTCATCTTGATAACGTAGACAACTGCGCTGCCAACGCAGGTCTCCGAAACCTGATCGCCTTGATTCCTACGTTCCGCATGCTTCTCTAATCTACGCCCTGTTTCGCCCCTTCGACAAGCAAGTCCCTCACATCCTTGCGCGCAATCCTTCGAATGCACATCTGCTTTACACCCGCGCCGTCTCAGAACGAACACACATCTAGCCTGATAGTCACTGCAACATGAGCACGGCGGCCAATCGCGCGGCATATGGCTCAGGCCCTGGGCCAGGGGCAGTCGCTGGGAGATCGCCTATGGGTGCAATCCAGCCTCGTGCGGGTATCTCGCTCGCAGCGCAAGCGCAATCACACGCCTCCGCCGTCGCCAATGCCAAAGCGAGCGCAACAGCAACAGCAACAGGAAGCGGTGTCAGCCGGGGCCCCGCTGGCACTGCTCCTGTGACGGTTAATGCCAGCCGCAAAGCGCCGCCCGCACCTTCATCTGCCTCTGGATCTGCATCGTCACGTCGCGCCCCTGCGGTGCACCACACGAATCAGCAACAGGCCCACCCACACTCACAACAGCCTCAGCCAGCAGCACGACCCTCGACGCGGTTGGAAAGGGAGAAAAAGAAAGACTTCGCCGACCCTGAGAACATCGGACCGTGGAAGTTAGGTGCTGTGATCGGAACCGGCGCTTCTGGTGAGTTATGCACCGTGCGCAATCAAGTGGATACTCGATGCAACTCTGGTCGCCTTGGTTTAGTCATCCTGAGCTGAACTCTACGGTGTGTTGTTTCCGCTTTCTCGCAGGCCGCGTCCGCCTTGCGCATCACGTCAAGCATGGCACACGTGTGGCGGTCAAGATCATCCCGCGGCACCAGCTGGAGAACAAGAATGGCGGGGGAGGAGGCGCTGGCCCGGCACCGGGTACCGAAGCACAAAAGCGCTTAGAGAAGATGGAGATCGGCATCGAAAGGGAGATCATCGTCATGAAGCTCATCAAACACGACAATCTCTTAAGTCTCATTGATGTGTATGAGACAAAGAAGGTCCTGTGAGTCGCATCGTCACTTGAACATCATTTCCGCAGACTCAATTGACAGCGTGATCTTGCTCCTCTGGCATCCATATAGCTACCTCATCATGGAGTATGTCGAAGGGGGCGAGCTTTTCGACCACCTCGTCGCATGCGGGCGTCTCGAAGTGGACTCTGCGCGTGCCTACTTCCGTCAAATCATGTTCGGCGTCGACCACTGCCACTCATTCAATATCTGTCACCGTGACTTGAAGCCGGAAAACCTGTTGCTCTCCAAGGACAAGAGCCAAGTCAAGGTCGCAGACTTTGGCATGGCTGCGCTGCAGCACTCCGGGCGAATGCTCGAGACGAGCTGTGGCAGTCCTCACTATGCCTCGCCTGAGATTGTCTCAGGACGCGCCTACGTTGGTACGTCAACTGATATATGGTCCTGCGGTATCATCCTCTTTGCACTGCTTTGCGGCAAGCTCCCCTTCGATGACCCAAACATGAGCACGCTCCTGCAGAAGGTCAAGGACGGGAAATTTGAGATGCCCAAGCACCTGCGCGATGAGGATGCCAAGGACCTCATATGCAAGATGCTTGTCGTAGACCCGCGCAAGCGCTACACAATGAAGGAGATATTCGCGCATGACTGGTTTACCAATCACGGCAAGCTTTCCAGCACCAATCCTGTCCAAGTCGTCGCGGACGATCTGCCTGTCGAGCTGCCCCTCGTGGGGCTGGATGACGACGATATCTTTCGAGGCCTTACATACCTTTTCCAAGGCGTCTCGAGGGACGAGCTACGGGCGCAACTGCTGAGCAAGGCGGACAATTGGCCGAAGAGGTTCTACAAGCTGCTCCTTAGAAATCAGACTGCCGCCGATGAAGAAGAGTGCAGTGACGACGAAGGAGCTAGTGCGCAGCAACAGCAATTACAACAACAACAACAACAACAACAACAGCGCCAACAGAAGCAGCAACAGGCGCAATTGGTAAAGCAGCAGCAGAGATCGTCGAGTTCCGGCTCGCGACCAACAAAAGCTGCGGTCACAACCACAACTTCGTCTTTCAGCGCTGCTGCCAGCACCGCGTCCACCACCGTGACGAATGGTGGCCGAGATGACAGAGCCCGTCCTCGCCGCTCGCTGGACAAAGACCAGACACAAACGCAAACCACGCGCACAAGCAGCGTCAGCAGGACCCCGGGCCAGCATCAGCGCACCCCTGTGCTGAACAGGCGGTCATCCGCAGAACCCTACAGCTCACCAAGCGCGCGTACTGCCGACGGAGATTCTGCAGCAGCGCGCGGTAGTCCACGGGCAACAGCTGCCAACTCGTACGCAAGCACAGGTCCCGGTTCGCGGTCTTCTTTCGATCATCCCCGCGCAAACGCGACTCCTAGTGCGTACGACACTCCCCAGTCGCTTCGTCACCAGCGCTCGAGTGTAGATGGCACGCCAACGCGCGGTGTGCCGCAGATCACATTCCGCGGTGCCACGCCTGGCACGGACGGCTTGGACGCGGGGCTCGCAAGCGCCAAAGACGCTGTTACACCTGCTGCAACACATGGTGCGAACATGGGCACGGGTGCGATTAGCAATGCAAGCAACGCAATATTGGGGGCGGGTACGAGCGCTGGTGCAAGCGGAGCTGCGGCTGGCTACAAGCGTCAAGCTGCGGCAAGCGTTCCTATCAGCCGCGCTGGATCACTACGCCCACCTTCCCGTCCAGCTTCGCCAGACAAGGCTCTGTCCAATCGACCCACGAGCTCGATTCAGCAACCAGTCATCCCAGTCCCGTCCGTTGGTGATGCAGCCGTTCAGCACTTCCTTAAAGAGGTCGCCGATGAACTTGCTTCGATCCGCGCTAGCGGTGCGGATCCTGGCCGTGCAGATCGTTTGCAGGCCAAGATGCATCGAGCCCAGGTGTCGGGCTGGTTGAGCCCTCGCTCCGTGGGAGCAACTTCACCGTCGCCAGCAGCTGATGTTCGTTTCGAAGATGCAGATGACGACCGCAGCGAAGCCGGGAGCTACAGATCAGGGACGGACTCTAGCTCACCTTACACCCCTACTTCGCCTCTACCACCCGTCCTTTATGGTGGACCGGAGACCATCGTGGCTCCCCTCACCATCGCGGACAAGGGCAAGGCGCGCACTGGCGACGTGCCTGTCTCGCCTCGCAAGCGCTCTAGTCAGCTGTCGATTGACAGCCAAGGGAATACCAACGCCCACGCTAACACGATGGTTGCACGCTCCTCAACCCGTAGGTCCGCCACGTCCACGCGAGCGAGCGTCTTCAGCACAGGGACTTCGCACAGCAATGACTCTGAAAGGCTGAGCGTCGTCATGGGTGGCGGCGCACGCGCCTCTGGCATCACTTCACGGGATGAGATTGGTATGCCCTATGAACAGACACGCCCCGGTCCTTCGCCCCTTCGTATTGAGAGCAAGAGCAAGGCTGCCACGGCTGGCCAACCGGCAGGGCTCACTCGTCTCCAGCAGAAGAATCCCGGGCTGGGGCTTGACTTGAAGGCCGCGAGTGGTACCGTCGAGAGCACCGTCTCTTCGCCGGTTGCTAGTACTGTGTCGTCCGAGTTCTCCAGCCCCAGACAGGCAAGCTGGTTTGGCAGCATTTTTAACTGGAAGCCATCGGTAAGTAACAAGGGCTGCAGAACACGCGTTATAGCCCATCGCTGACGGATTGAACACTGTGTTCGCTTCTCAGAGTTTCACGCTCAATTCGATCGAGAATTTGACCGTCACACTGGAGACCGCCAAGAAGCTCCTGCAAAGCTTCGGGGTGGTGACGTCGGTGGAAAACTCTGAGCATGCTCCTGTGCTCAAGTGCTCGGCGCTGGATGTGAAGGACTCGACGGGCCGGCTAACGGCGAACAAGCAAGTCCGTTTCCGCATCGAATTCGTCATCCTTCCCATCGTCTCGGCCGCTGGCGCCCCGTCCAGTCCGAATCGCCTGAGCGTTGCGTCACCTACGCTGTCCACCTACTCGGACTCTTCCAGCGGCAGCGGCGGTGCTGGAGGGGCAAGGAGAGCCAACAGCATCCGGGCGTCGAGCATCTATTCGGCTGCAGGCTCTGCTGCTGGTGGGGCCGCGGGCGTGTATGCCACCAAAGTCAAAATCACACAGGAGAAGGGCAGCAACAACACGCTCAAGACCATCTTTGCTCTTTTGCGCGAGCAGTGGACGCTCGACATGCTCGCGCGCAGCCCCGATGCTCGCTCGAGCATCTACTCTGCGAGTCCCAACATGTAGCCAGTTCACATTCGGCTATTGCTCCATGGTTCCTTTGAGGCAAGGATTCGTCCGCCATCCGCCGTTTTCCCACTCAGTTCAGCATCTGACTTCTCGCAGTTTGTACAGTGGTCAAATCCACACCTTCAACGTCCTTCAGCATCCTTCCCAAAATCAAATCACACTCTTTTTGGACCGCCGACCCTGCACGCTCCCTCTTGTTACCTAACACACTCTTGTATATATCCCAAGCACTGCAAGGTTAAGCGTGAAACGAACCGTTCAGGATGAATGGGGTGGGGGGATGCAGTACATGTGGTAGAGTGTGCCTGGTGAACTGACGTGAAGCGAGCAAACGACGACTCAGATTGATGGCACACGTTGCAACGAAAGTTGGAGGCAGGTATGTAGAACGGGCAAGCCGCAGACGCAGAGACCGGGGGAGGGTGCCGAAGGAGAAAGACGTCTTGTTTTCTCTTGCATGTAAAGGAGAGTGTGTGAGCGTGTGAGCACGGCGGTGCTCGCAGGTCCTGGAGCGAGGAGAATGGTCGGAACCATCAATGGGGATGCAGGGACGCCGAGTTGCTGAGGTTCGGCGTGCCGGGCGTGGAAGGCGGTCGAGACCGCGCGCCGCCAGCGCCACTGCCCGCAGCCTTGCCCGCAGCAGCGGCCGTGGCTGATCGGTTGTTCTTACGCCAATGCACAGCGGCAGAGGAGGAGGCGGGTGCCGGGCCGTGCGAGTAGGCGCTGCTGCTACCGGTCCCTGGCGCGAAAGCAGGCGCGGGGGTGTTGGCGGCAGTCGTAGAGTTGTAGATCGGCATGGGGAGGTCGGCGCTGTATTCTGTCGCACGCTCCGTCTCGGTCAGGTTGCCATCTTCGGACGCCGAGTCGGGCTTGCGTGATTGGTGATGATGGGAGTGGTGGCGATGCGGGTGCTGCTGATACTGGTGCTCGCGTTCGCGCGCCTGCGTGCGGCGTGAGCGCTTGCGGCGCTTAGAGGATCCGCTCGCCATGGAGACGTCCGAGTAGGCGCCCGGCGAGCTGGCGCGTGCCGATGCGCCGCTGCCGCCGCTGTGCTCATACTCGTGAGGACGAGAGTGCACGGCGCCGCCGCGCTCCCAGTCGCCGACGACGCTGACCTCGATGCGGCCGACGGCGGCTTCGTGTTGGCGCTTGCGCTGTAGGCCAAGGTATCGGAGGCGCCCCATCCACAGATCGGCGCGGTCGAGCGACTCGCCAAAGACGACTGTGACACTGCGCAGGATGTCGAGGCTCTCGACGGCGAGCGTCAGTACCTTGTTGGCCGCCATGGCCGTGTGTGCCGCTTGCGGGTTGCGCCCGGCGCTTGGCGCTGACGAGCCGGTGGCACTCCCGTTGGTGCTACTTCGCCCGCTGTCGGCGTCGGCCGTGCTGCCGCTCCTGCCGGCGGTCGCATGTTCCGGGGAGAAGGAGGGCGAAGCGGGGCTGCCACCAAAGCTGCCTGCGGAAGCGCTGCCGGGCGCAAAAGAGTGCGTGCGGTTGACGGTCGCCCAGCGGGCGGGGAGGCTGAGCATGAACTCGCGGACCTTGTTGCGCGCTGCGCCGGGTAGCGCAGCGCCCGCGTATTTGCCAACGACATCTACGACGCCACGGATGGTGTTGACAACGTCGCCCTTAATGTGCCCCAGGTGCTGGCCGGCGTGGACGGTCATGTCGAGCTCGCCGTGGTTGAGCTTGACGATGAGGTCGCGCAGCTGCGTGATTTGGTGCTCCATGTGCGCGGTAGCGTACTGTTGGGAAAAAGGGCGACAGACAGCCACAGTCAGCATCATCCAGCCCACCAGCAGAGTCACCCCCTGGTCGGCTGCGCGACGCTGACTCACCTGGAGCCACTGCAGACAATACTTTAAACTCTTCAAGCTCTCCTCACTCATGGCGGCGCTCAGGCCACCAGCAGTGACACCGGCTTCGGCGAGCATGCCTGACCACCCTGACCGTTGCTGTGGGGCCGCAGTCGCGATGAGAGAGCTGCTGAGATGTGGCGCCTGATTTGGATGTAGCTCGCTGTGTTCATCTGCAAAGGGCGTGGTTCAAAAGTCAGCGCGCAAGCCCACACAAGCGGGAGAAAGAGAGGGTATGCGTCCGCCCGCGCCGCGCACGCACTGAACAACTTCCGCTTCATCTCTGTGGCCGAAACAAGTGAGGAAGAGCAGGAGGGCGATGGCGAAGGCGAAGGCCCGTGCTGATCGGACGTGACGCGCACTATATCCTCCGCCGGCAGGTCCTCCAGCCGCTTGCCCGCCGCGAGGCGCTCGGCGTGTATTTGCTGCAGCGCCTCGGCGCTGCTGCCGGGTCCATCGCGAGCGGTGAGGCCTATCCGTATCGGTACACCTATTCCTGCGCTTGCGCCCGGAGATGCACTGGAACTGATCGCGATGCGGCTCTGCTGCTCGCGGAGCTTCTGCACAACCATCTCGCGCTCCTTCTCCTCGAGCTTGAGGGCCCAGTACGCTTTGCGGCGCTTGGTCTTCTCCTCGTCGTCCATGTGCTGCCATTCGGTGCGCTCGCGCTCCTCAACCTCGGCCAGCATCTCCGCCTTCTCTTCCTTGGTCGGCGAGAAGCGGCCGAGCGCGGCGGTGGAGGGGTTGGAGTGGAGAGCGGGGTAGATGCGTTCCAGCTGCCGGCTCGCGAAGTTGTCCAGCTGCTGCACGCCCTGTTCGCCGAGCGCGCCGCCGACGCGGCTGATGACCGGCCGTGAGATGCTCTTGACGGACGACTCAACGAGGTCGGCACCGTACTGGCAGACGGAGGAGAGGGGACGGAAATGGGACACGAGCACATGCCGCGTCAGTACATGCCGAGAAAATGCACAGGGGCGGCGTGCGCGCTAGAAGGAAAGCAAAGAAAATGGCTCAGCAACCCACCTTGACGACCCTGCTCTTCTGCTTGCCCAGCTCGTACGCGCGCAGCGTCCCGCGGACGATCGGCAACTTTCCGACGCGCTGCAGGAACGCGTCGTCGTCCGCGTCGTCGCCGTCGACGTGCGCAAGGACGTCCGAATCTAGCTCGATGCGCACCGGGTTGCCATCGTCATCGTGCACGATCGCGGATGCGGTGCTGCTGCGCGTCGTCGTCGTCGAGTTCGAGTCGGAGCCCGCCTGGCTGTCGGTCGTGGAGTGCTTGCCGCCAGCGCCGCCGCGCGCATAGCTGTCGATCGTGAAGGCGGTCGTCGGGTGCGCGCTCTCCGAACCCGTGCCGGTCCCCCCTCCGCCACTGTCGTGACCGCTACGAGCGCGGCTGCCGCCTCGTCCACCGCGGACGGAGGACATGGCTTCGAGGGTCGTCCCGCCGGAGGACGAGTCGATAGACGGCGGCGAAGCATGCCGCGAGGAGCGGGGGGCAGTGCGTTCGGAGAGTACCTCGCTGCGCAGCGAAGACGATGGGACAGAGGCAGGCGTATCGGACAGCAGCGCTGCATGCCTGCTGGGACCTGCGACGTTCGAGGGGGCGTCATAATAGACTGGCGCGGAATGGTGGAACTGGGGGCGGTCATGGACTGAGGATGACGAGGACGACGAGTCGGGCAGACCTTCATCCTCGCCAACGGCTCGCTTCTTGTGTGACTGCCTCTGGTTGTCGCTGTGCGAATGCGACTGGCGCATGCTGCCTAGCGCGGCGATGGCGATCTGCACGTCCTTGTCCTCCTCGTTGATGCTCAGCTGGCCCATCTGGCGTCCGATGCCGATGCCAGTGCCAGTTCGATCTCCAGCAGCCTTCAGCGAGTCTGTGCGCTCACAGCTGTCGCCGGTCGAGCTGGCGCGCCTGGACACGCCTGTGGCGGGCAAGTCGTACGACGCTTGCCGCGTCGACCGCTGTTGCGGCGATGCACAATACGGGTCGGCTGCGGTTGCTGTGGCTGCTAAGGATGAGGATGCATCAGCGGGCGTATCTGGGTCTTCCAAAGCGCCGCCAGGCGTGGGTGCATCGAGCAGCGGCGGCTGCTCCCTGGACTGGTGCCAGCGGTCCGCTTGCGAGTGGGGGTGCAACTGCCCATCGTCGGCGGCAGGAGGGGTAGCGCCACTATCTACCGCGGCGTGGGCGAGCCGGCTGCTGGACCGAGGCCCAGGATCACCTTGCGCGGACATGGTAGTGAAGCCAGCGCCGAGGGCGTTGGGTCGCATGCGCTGCTGCGAAAGCGTCAAGGGTGCCAACGGGAACGCGGGCTCTGCTCTCACGGCTGCTGGCTGTCTGACTGTCGCGCATGGCCTGGCCTAGTCTGGTCTGCGACGACGCAGCAGGCGAACGAACGCTGGCGGTGACAATGCACACACAGCGAGCAGTGGGCCCAGCGCCTCTGCTCTCCGCCTTGAACTTGCGATTGCCCCGTGATGCATTACAACCCTACAGAAGGGATGGTCGCGTGGCGGAGAGACGGGAAAGGGCGAGAGAGAAGGGGGAAGCTGCGACGCGGGCGAAGACTGACTGGCGGGCGAAGGATCACCGTTGAGGTCACCGAAGAGACCAAAGTTGAAAGCCTCGTTGAATCGCGTGTCCCACACTACAAACACACTGCCACAGTGCCCTCCCCGAAATTGCTGAGAGCGACAGCAACCCTACCTTGCCTCTCTATCTACATTCAGCGCTCCTCAACACAGACTGACAGACGCTCCCCATGATGAGAGGGTTATTTGTGTAAGAACTGCGATTGACAACACTGTACAGCTACAGGGTGTTGCGAGAGAGACGGGCTACTTGCTACACAGCCAACAAGTCGAAAGAGCTCTGCTTTCGCATCCAACCCCCCCTCCTTCGCGCAAGCCCCACGCTCAAAAAGTCGGCCCATCAGGCGACGGAAGGGGTGTTTTTCAGCTACTCTCAGCGTCTGCGGCGTCCCTGCGAGCCACATAGCTTTCCACGGCGCATCCTCCCATCAGCCCTGTGCGCTGCTACGGCTGCGATACGTTGGTGTCTGTCGCTATGGCCTTAGGGCGGATACATAAAGGGTAGCTAAAGAGGCCCTCTCCTGTTGACTTGTACGTAGAATATGCATGAACCGCCTTCTCCCTGGGTGGATCTCTTCTCATCGTATCTTCGATGTTTGCAAAGCTTCTGACGATTCCATCACGGCAAGGTCCATCTCGCGTCTGCTCTCGAGCGCCTCCGCCATGTCTCGCTAACGGCACATACCGGGGGAGCGCGGCTTCGCTCGTCCGTCGTCCGCCGTTGCCGCCCGCGAGCATCACACGATGGCCGCGCCGCCAGGTGGTGCCTTCCCGCCGCCGCCGCCGCCTGCGTCTGCGTCAGCGGTAAGACGCTACGGCGAACAGCATCGCAACAGTAGCAGCACCAGCAACAGCCGCCCGCCAGGTCCGCCTCCACCCCCGTTTCACCCTCCGGGGGCTGCCACCACCGCCGTACCTCGTGCTGCGCCAGGACCGCCTCCTCTGCCGCCGCGGCCGCCGCCGTCAGCATTTTACTCACGCCCTCCGCAGCAGCAGCAGGCGCACCACCCCCACCCCCGTCACGACCCTCGCCCACATGGTCTCCTTCACGCCGGCATGCCGCATCTTGCACATGGGCCTACCCATGCTCTTGCACCTCGTCCTTTTGAGCAACAGCCAGCAGCATCAGTAGACATGCGTGGCCCGCCAGACGATGCGCGTGGCGAGCAACGGGTGCACCAGTACCAGCACCAACATCAGCACCAGGACCAAGGTCAACGCCAAGCGTCAGACCGCTTGAGTGTGCGCGAAGAGAGCAAGCAGCAGGAAGAGGTGGAGGAGCTGCTGTCGAACGCGCGCGCGCGGCTGTCGCGCAACGAGCCCGAGATGGACGTGCACACGCGCGCATACATTCCCTTCTTCAATGCACGCGAGGTGGCCGCGATGCTCGCCGAGCAGGCCGGCGGCAGCAGCGAGGCGCTCCAGGCGCAGCGGACGCGCACAGCGGCCGCCTGCGGCTTTGTCGCTGCGCTTGGCGCGCGCATGGGCTTTCCGCAGCGCACGACCTGCACGGCACAGCTGCTCTTCCAGCGCTTTCATCTCTTTTTCCCCATGCGCGACTTTGTCCCGCACGAGGTGTCGCTCGCCGCGCTCGCGCTCGCGGCCAAGGTCAACGACACATACAAGCGCGGCCGCGATGTGCTGCTCGCAAGCTACGCGATCCGCTTTCCCCAGCTCGTTAACACCAAGCTCGAAGCGCCGCTCGCTTCCGGCGGAATCCGGCACGTCGCCGAGTCCGACGTTGACGCAAAGGCACTCGAAGCCGAACGTAAGAAGCTGCACGCTCTCGAAAAGCTCTTCCTCGAGAGCATATGCTTCAACTTCCACGCGACCGCCTCTTCCGCGCTGACGCTGGTCGTCAAGCTTGCACGACTGTGGCGCATAGACAAGGAAGCTTCCGCCACGGCATGGTGTGTAGCGAGCGATGCGTGAGTGTACCCTAGGAACGGCCAGCTTCTTTCGCTTCTCACCTGCTGACAAGAACTCCCACCGCTCGGCCCCGCAAGCCATCGCACGTCCGCCGTGCTGTGCTATCCAAGCAACATCATCGCCGCAGCCAGCCTCTATCTCGCGCAGGAAATTCTCCTTGCAGCCTCAGACTATTGCGGCAACCTCAGCAGCTTGGATGCTGCGCGCCTCCAGCCGCAGATGGACGAGCTGCTGTCCCAGATGCGAAGCAACTACCACGCACTCGCAGCGGAGACCGATGCCCCAAGCCATTCCGCCACGCTTCCCAATGGGTCGACGAGTGAGCAGGAAGACAAGGGAAAGGAGCAGCGTCTGCTCCATCTGGACATGCAGTCCATCCACGAAACCGTGCGCAGCATCCTCGATCTGTACCACGACTCTGCAGTCGCGATCAAGACAACGTTCGGCAGCCTGTTCAACATCTCCCCGCGCTCGCCGTTCGACCTGCAGCCCTTCCTGCCCTCCTCGGACGCACTCGACGGCACCGGCGCTCCGTCCCTCGCTGCTCAGTCTGGCGCCAAGAAGGTCGCAGATTCCAAGTGGGGAAGCGCGCCGCCGCCGCTGATGATCTGCTGGCTCGCCGAGCGCTTTGTCCAGGCGGGCAAAGGCTCGGGCGATATTGTCACCATGTTTGAAGACCTGAAGATCAAGGCGCTGCAGCGTGCGCCAGACTTTTTCTCCCCGCGCCAGCCTGGGCAGCAGCCACAGCGGACTGGAACACGAGAAGGAAAAGAAGCGGACGGGAGCAAAGCAGACGAAACGCAAGACAAGAATGATGACGACAACGACAACAATGACAACGAGGAGACACAGCGGCGCGCCAGGCTACGGCGTAGGATGGATGAGGCACGCGAGGCGGTGCGCCCTCTTCCATTCATAGGCAAGCAGCAGCTCAAAGCCGCGCGAGATGCGGCCGCATATGCTACCGCGAGCGCTGCCGCCGCCGCCGCACTCGCCGGTACGCCCGAAGCGAACGAGGCGAACGCACTCGTTAAAGCGCTATCCGCGGACAAGAAGATGAGCCTGAAGCGGTACTGGTTTGAAGTCGAGTAGAATGTATGCGGCCGCTCGCGCTTTGCGGTGCATTGAAACACAAAAGCTGTATCATAGCATGCTGTACCATATCGCTCATATCATTGCAAATCACGTTCAATGTGCAAATGTCGGGAAAATCCCAAAAAAAAGCTTACAAGCAGGCACGAAAAGCGATGTGAACGGCATTATATTGCTACAACAAACACGTCGAGTGGCTCCCTTACTCTCTCCTTGAAATGACTTCGATGGCAGTGAGAAGCAGGTCTTTCTGCTCCTTGGAATCCATGTATGCAGTGAAAGGGTCCATCGGCGGCTTTAAGGTGATGCAGAACGAGTGCGCCATCTGCACCTCCTCGAACGCGTCTTCGATCTTGCTCACAGTGTCCTGCAGCCCGACATTCAACAGGACGTCCTTCATGTCGTCTTCGGATTTGAAGATGAGTAGCTCGGTCGAGAACAGCTGGTAAAAGCGGCGCTTGAAGATCGTCGAGTTGGGCTGCTGCACACTGATACCGCCGCTCATGATGACGGCGCGCTTGTCGAGCGCGCTGAGCTTCTGGAACTCGACCTTGAGCGACTTGCGCTCAGCCAGCTTCGCCTCCTTGCGGGCTGCTGCTTCGGCTTCGCGCTGCTTGCGCTCCTGCGCCGCCAGCCGCATCCTCGCCTCGCGCGCTGCCGAATCGCGCTGCCTTCGCTCGCTCTCCTCGAGCGCTTCCTTCTCCTCCTCGTGTGCTTGCCGCTTCTCGCGCTTAAGCTGGTCCAGCTTCCGAGCCTCTTCGCGTCGTACCTGCTCCAAGCCAGCGCGGCGCAGGCGTTCCTGGGAAAAGAGAAGCGCAGCCGAGGCATCAGGATCTGAATTCAAGGCTCTTCTTGCGAGGTGCATGGGACTTTGGTGGACTCACCGCTGACTCTAGCTTACTGCGCTCAAAGGCATCCAGCCGCTCGCGAATGTACAGCTCGCGATTCCATATTTTGCGCGTCATCTCCTCCCCTTGGGCCCTCTCTATCTCCCTTCTTTCAATCTCACGAATCTGCATGCTGACGCTGGCCTGCTTCGCCCTTGCCTTCTGCAGCTGCATCTGCGTCGCGTGTTCCGCCGTGTCGAAGCGCCGCCGCGCCTCAATTGCCTTGATCGTATCAGGAGAGAAAGCATCGAGGATCGCGTCGCTGTGCACACCTATTTGATCCGCGCGACTGTGGGGTCGCTCCGGCGTACCGACCTGTGGTGGAGTCGAAGGCAGGCTCTTTTGCTGTCCGTACTGCTGCTGCAAGAAGGCTTGCGGTCCATCTTGCGAGGGCGGCGATCCGCGATAGCGCTGCACATAGCCCCTTTCGTCATCCTCCCGCTCAAAGTATTTGCGCGAGTGCTGTGAGATCCAGCTTTCGCCTTCAAGCCCGCTCGCCTCCAGGCGGCGCCGGTACGCACGCTCGCTCGCTGGCGTCCCGCGCTCCAAGATGGACGAAGGCGAAGAGCAATGAGGTGGAGTAGGGAAGCTCGCACTAAAGCTTCGAGAATGCTCTCTTTCCCTTCCATTTTCTTTATCTTGCTCCTTCGTTCGAAGATGGGCCTGGCCTGGCGGCAGCCACTGGGTGCTGCCGAAGCGCGGATCCAGTGAACTGATATTGGCGCTGACACTGCGCCCATGCCCTCGCGCCTTTACTTCATCGCTTGCCGAGGGCGATGTGATCGACTCCAGGATGTTGTTAACATTCGGCGCCGACGCATGATCGGAAGGGGGTTGTGGGAATAGTGCCGCTTGTTTGCTTCCAGCGGATGAGCTCTGGGCATCACACCCTGCGCTGGAGCCAGGCTGGATATATTGGATGATCACAGGCTGTTCGCCGGATGGATTGCACCTGTCTGTGGTCTGAGACTGGGACATTTTCTGCGCAGGCGAGCCCCGCTCCGACCCTGCCGCTGCCGCGGCAGCAGCAGCGGCCAGTGGATTGTAGCCAGATTTTGAAAATGAGCTTGGTGAAGTGCCGCTGCCGTTCACGTCAGCTGCGTGGTCACTTGCCTGATTTTGCGTTCCTTTACGTCCCTGCGCGACCACATTGCTCGGCAAAGGATGCGCTAGCGTCTCAGCCCATTCATCCTGCTTTCTAGTTGACCTTGAGCTACCTCCGCTCCCACTTCTTTTCCTCGCTGCCGGGCTGTCACTTGGCAAGTCGTGGGTTTGGGCTCCGGCTGTCCCGTTTGTGTCGCTCGTGACATGCGCCGGCGCGGGCACGGCTGCATTGGAGCTACTGACCAATTTCGACGACGAGGTCTTGCGTGAAAGGTTGAGCGGCGCGACGGAGGGCAGCACTGGCGCGTCTGCCGGAAGGCGCGGGCCGACGTTCACAGGAAGGTTCTGTAAGGGAAACTGAGTTGACGTCGAAGAATATGCGTATGGTTGATGAGTGCCAGTAGAGCGTTCTGTTCCTGTGTCAGAAGAGGTGCTAGCTCTGTTCCGCGCAGCTGACATGTAAGTGGAAGCACATATGACGCTCCTTGCGTCAGTAGATTCAACAAGCTGTCGCTGTGGTTGCTGCGTGATTCCCAGGCCACTGCCACTAGTTGCAGGAAGTATGCGCAGTTTGGAGCGGACCGTCTGCTCCGTCACCTCTGCTGGACTCGTGAGAAGCATAGATGCATCCTGACAGACAAACAGCTTGGAGACCGCACGTCCGTGGACAAGCGCCCGGGCGCGTTTTACACCACTGCATCAGAAACGTATAGAAAGAGTCGCAGAGTACACGTTTAGTTCGATCGTCTCGCTGTGGATGAAGCGGTTTGGCTCATCGCAATGACTAACCTAATGTTCTCCCCCATGAATTGAATAAATAAAAATTTGCCCTCATATTTGAGCAGGATGAAACGCACCTCGGAGGGATCCAGATACGATCGGATCTCCTCGACGCCACCGGTGCCTTGATTGTGAAGAGAGATGGAATTGGATCCAAAGTAGCCAAGAATGACGTTGCTGCCGGTGCCGGCGGACGCACTTTGCAATTCGTTGTACGCTAACTGAATGCGAGGGTCGGACAGGCTGACGGACATATTGCATCACCTCGTCGGGTGTCGTGTCAGCCTTGTGTGGAGATGTAGTCGTTGGCCGCGGAGGCAGGGGCAGGGGTAGGAATATGGACGATGAGGCGTGAGGGAAACTCACGCCGTCGATGCTGATGGAAGCGACGACCTTGTCGTGTAGCGCAGGCCAGGCAAGCAGATGATTTTGAGGACACGGTGACAGATTGACAGAAAAGTGCAGGAAATCGACACGCGCGTTCGGCGGTCGGGTAAGACAGCTCGATGGAAAAGGGCAACGCGATGGGCCGGCGAAGCAAAAGTGCGGGTGACGATGACCAGAGGATATGACACAAAAGAAATCGGCATGGGCCAACAACAAGGAGGTGCTGCGACATCAAATCGAGTGGACGATGCGTTGCTGCTATCCAAACCCTGTGGGAAGTGGCAGTGTCCGCTCACCATTCGACAGTCACTCGCCATAGTCAGCCCGAAGCCCCGATCCCAGACTCTGCTGGGCCCATGATGGATCGATTTGACTTTGGTTCACAGATTGAGGCGCTGGCGCACAGTCTGTTTCACATCAGCGTCGACTTGCTTCCGCCCCAGGCACACCGGACGTCTCGTCCAACAAGTTCACCAAGTCACCATCTTCACACAAGCCGTTGAAGTCATCACACACGCGCCAAAGAGCATCATGGATTGACGAGGACTCGCCTCAGGACTATGACCAGGTCTATCATCCATTATCTCTCTTCGCGTTTGAGTCCTTCTTGTTGGACTTCGATAAATCCAGCGGTCCACCAACCCCATTTCCGGGGTTGTGTAGGATCACCGCTCCACATTTTGCCTTGTGGAGCAGATTCACATCCCCATTTTGCGGGTAAGAGTCTTGACTGCAGAATCTGTAGGACCAAGGAGTTCCCGGGATTCGTCAAGTCAGGGGATTCGACATAAAACAAGGTGTGATCACAGTTTCCAGCTGCCTGTATGCTTTTGATTGGGTAATGGGCAAACTGAAGCCCCGGAGCCCGGATGACGTGAACAACGCCGCGCCATGGAGATTGCAGAGCCCCGACAGAACTCTTCTCACCACGAATGGGGTGCAAAAGATTTCTTTACCCGCGCGTTCTTGAAGCCTTGCGTCGATCAAGGCAGCCGCCTCAATGAAGATGATCGCTCTACCAGACGATGTCATCAGGCGAGGTTGATCGTATTTCTGACTAGCAGGGCGCTCGCAGCCTGCTGCAGCCCAACCCGAGGCCTGACGCTAACGTTCCTTTATACCTCCGACTGATCGCACACTATGTGTTTGTGATAGCGGGCACTGAAGGGGCGATGGGCAGTTTCCGATGGACAAAGCTTCATTCTCGAATTTCCAGATCTGATATCCATGAACGAGGCAAGCAACATGCATTTATGGAGATGGGTACAAGCAAGCTGCGCTTTGCACATTGTGGTGCTGCCCTTGTGGGCGTAATGGTTCTGTGGGCCGTCCATCTGTACAAGCGATCTGGCTGATATGCCGCTGCTGCTCTTCCGCAGGATGTGGTATCACGTGCAAATATCAAGTATGTGGCAATTGGACCGCTTGTGTAAGGTAGGTCCGCAGGGACCGAATTTCGTACGGAACCTCATTCGCTTTGATGATGTGACCTGGTGGGATGTCGTGCGATCCGGAGAGCGTCGATGGTGGAAGAACTGGGCGAGTGATATCACACATTGGGCGTACGCGGACCGTCAGGCTACTCAACTGGAGTACTATGCGCGGGGCTGGCCCATCTGGCGAGAAGGATGGGAAGAGGAAGACCGAGAGTCAGAGTTTCGTGGGGCAGCGGACATTCCAGACTTTCAGCTGCATGATTCTGGGCCCGACGGTGATGAGTTTGTCGAGAGCCATTCACAATACATGCCACGTTGGGCATGCTGGAGGAGATAGTGCCACAGATGACAGGGATTCCACTGGAAAACAAAGCGACTGGATCTTTCTTCGAGAATCTGCGATTTTCTCGGCACCTGCAGTCAGACGCGAACCATCACGATTTGAAAACAAGGCGAACATGGTCACAGGAGGTAACCAACGTGACGTGCATCGCTGCGCAATATGCGCTGCGCGCTGATCTTCCATTTCGCAAGTGGAACGGTTCACGTCATAACAAGCCCTCGAATACAGCCCTTTAGATACGCCTCTTTGGCGAGTCAACGGCGAGTCAAATGCCGCTAATATTCGCAATCGGAATCGGGCTTCGCATCAGGCAACAGTCTAGAACAGCCTTTCTCCCCACAGACCTGTGAGCGAATAAAAGAAAGAGCAACATGTATCGGTGTTCGATCGACTGAAGGAGGAAATTGGAGTCATTGATGAGATCAGCGCATGATATTTTCCATCGATAGCCGAGAAGTTCGTACAGGCTCCAGCTATGTCGTCCCCTCATCTGTCAATTTGCCGAATGTTGCCCATACCCAGGGTGGACGAGGTCCCGTTTCGGACAAGGAAGCCGTGGCCACGATCAAACCACTGATCGCGGGACGAGACCAGATCCGCCTGCTCGTTGTGGGACACGGATCGCGGCACATCTTGCGCGTACCGGAGATCCGCTTCGTGTGGGTCAAGTTCAGAGTCATCAATGTCCGGGTTGTGCTCGAAAAGGGTACAACTGGGTGCTCTTGGGACGAAGAGCCTTGTTTTAAAGCAGCTCGAGCGCTGAGAGGCGACTGTTCCAAGGCCGCGGCGTCTAAGGAGGGTCAGTGCCAATCTCTTCTTGAGGCCAAATTTGTATTTCAACTTGTCGAGTTCGAGTCGAAGATGTAAGTTGACCAGCCGTTTTTACGAGACGATGGGCTCAAGGCTTCCGCGGTGTCAGCTTGGAATGACCTCGTCCACTGCGGCCGGCACATGGCGACTGATGACTGGAACCCATTCCCCGAGGTCATTCGACCGCCGTTGATGTCCACTTGTCACGTGGCATCGACCGAGGAACGGGACCATGTCTTCTTTCACGAGACTCTATTGAGCGCGGAATGCCACCACACTTGGAATAATTTCTGTAGATGTCACGTTAGGGATCAAATCACGGGGCAGCGTGACGCAGTCGGACGAGCACGTCAATCTATGAGACACCCGAGTGAAGTTGGATATCGGAGTCTCTACTTGTCGCCTTGCTGCATCGATCTCGAAAGCAACCAGCTCGAGCAACCCGATGGCGGGATGCCCATGCCCATGTCTGTATCATGCTTTTACCCATGGTATGAGCCCACATGCAACAAAGAAACCAGGCTTTCAAGCACGAATTGCTGTCGGCTGCCTAAGAATCTGAGTATGGAACCGATGCGGCGAAGGGTTGAAGAAGACAATGCATTCGTTGAGCCGTCTTTGTATGACGAAACAGCGAATCTATATAGGCGGCTGGCGCTACTTGCGGTGGGCGACATAGGGGCGGAAAAGGCTTGCGAGTTATGTAGGCTGCCGATGCTGATGCTCAACTACTTGCTGCAGCAGGCTTGGTCGTTAACGCTGTAGCTGCAGGCCGTTGGCTGGGACGCACTTCTGTAGCGCTGCTAGGCAGGGGTATAGCGGCTGGGGGCATCCTGCCGAAAGCGCTGCCGAGCTTGCTTGCGGGACCAGTGCCGTAGCCGAGTTGACGAGACCGCCGGCCAACCGATTGCACTTTGTATCCCAGTTAAGAGGGACATCCGGTGGACAGAGCGGGAGTAACCTGCTCTGCATCCCAGACAATATTCTTGCCTCTGTCGCTGATGCCAGCACACAGATGAAAGCGCCAAAGAACAGACGCCCGTCGGTCCAGATAATGAAGGCATTGGGATGACCTTTGATGGAGGCAACTGTAGTTGAGCTGCAGCATATCGCCGCCTGCTGCGCCCACGGACGCCCAGCTGTGCCATTTTATCAATAATAAGCGAACCTACGCCACTTTGGGACGGATAGTTCGCCTTTTTGAAAATCTGACCAATGTTTTGGAGCGTGAAGGCGGTCATTGGGAAGCCAATTAAAAGATTTGGCCCGGAAACTGTGTCGCACTCGGCCGGAGACCCCGGATTTCCGCTCTCCTCTGAGCCGCTTCCTTGGCCTTGTACCAAGTCGGGTCCTAGCCGCAAGCCGCAGGCCCAGCTGCTCGGGGGTTTCCAGGAGGAGCTGCCCCGAAGCCGCTTTTTACGACCCAGGACCCCAGATACTCTACAATTTTGGCAGCTTTCCTTTGAAATTGTGAGAAACCCAGATTCGACTCAAACAACCCTTTCATCCCATCACCTAATATTCATAGGCCAGCCCCAGGTTCGTTTAAGAGTCACATTGACGACGATCCGCGCCCGCTGCAAGGCCAGAGTCACGTTTTCCTATGTACTCCTCCCCTACCTATCGCTTTTCACGCAGGTCATCTCAACCGCAGAGCTAGAACGTAGAATGCAAGCGGCTGCTTCTGCCGGTAAATCGGGCCAGCGAGAAGACATACACGGACAAATTTGGATTCGGATATTACAACAGGCAATGAATGCTACACATACATAGTGCAAGGACGTGAGAAAGGTGGCGGAAAGCAGTAAGAAGCGCGTCAATTGTCACTTGACACCTATTGCCCCTGCTGCTGTAGCCTGTAGCCCAAGTGGTTGCGACGAGGATGGACAAAGATGCACGGTCTGTGCTAGGGTGATCAGATTGACCGCGTCGGTATGCGCTGCTTATTGACTGGGTAATCATCAATGCGAAGTTGTATGGGCAAGTCACTTGCAATGCAGCTGATTCGAGGGCGACGCAGGCGGCGGTAAAGTGGGGCGGGGATGGAAGTGTCATGTGGATCTGCTCGCGGTTGCGACTGGAGAAACTCATACTGGGGGTGGGGGCATCTTGCAAGCCGTGGGCATCTGATGGACGGAGGGTCGACTCTAAGCGACATGCTTTTCAGCATCCCTCATCGTGTTGGCTATTGTAGCTACTGCTGAAGCTCTGACTACCAAGGCTGGTCTGTGACGTACCAGCCGTCCCTTGGCTTGCATTGTAGCTGCTCATCGAGCTGCTCCCTCCGTACTGAGACGCATAGGACGGATGTCCAACGCTGCTTCCGCCACCGTAGACTGTATGCCCTGGGAACGCCCTGCTGTTATGCAAAGGATGCGAGAAAGGAACGTTGTCGAGACTCAGGATGCTGCCTGCTGACAACGAAGAGGACGAGCTGGCGCTGACGGGAGAATCCGGTAAGCGAAGCGTGGGCCCGTGGCCGGCGCCGCTGCTACTGCTGCAGCTGCTTGAAGGCTCTAAAACGTCGCCAAGCAGGCGGGGCGTCAGCGTCGTGCCGAGCCAGCCCTGCAGCGGCCTGCCGTCTTTGTTTGCTTTGAGCAGGTCGAGAAGCTCGTCGTCCGTGAGCACAGAGATGTCCAGCTCTGGGTCCGACTCTAGCGCATGGTCATGCAAGAGCGCGAGGGGGTCAATATCCTGAAGTCGTCCAAGCATAAGAGTGCATGGCGGCGGCGGTGAGGAAAGCAAACAGGAATCGGCGTGGTCAGAAAACATTTTTTGTTCAAATCTGCTCTTGCCGTTCGGCGCCAAGCTTGTGATCCGATACTCACCTTCTTGCTGCTTGAGGAAAAGTCATCTGAGTACAGTAATGCACACGTCATCCTTCTGTATCAATATGATGGGGTTGCTGCAGGGATGCAAAGATAGATTGAAAGGGGGCCGGGGTCAGCAACGCCACTCTCCGTCTAGGGACTGTCCATTGCGCGGAGTAGGCTGTAAACCTTCCGTCCAAGCGGCCCAACGCAGCGAGCAAGAGCCCGAGTCGGCAGCCGCTGCGCATTCGCACTCACCTTATAACTATGGAGGATGGACAGATGAGTAGTGTTCAGCGTCCCCCCGAGGAAGGGCGGCGTCTGGAGTTGCGTTTGTGATCGACCCTGGGTTGTAGCTTCTGATCTGCTTTCGTTGAAAACACACTGCAACACAACAGGAGTCCAGCGTTCTCTTCCCTTGCGGTGGAGGGTGTCAGAGATAGTCGCGGCTCCAAGGTCTACTTCAGAAAGGTGTGCTTGCAGAGCCAAATGGAGGGGACTGGAAGCGAAAGGGAGAAATCATGGGAGAGAACCAAAGTTTTCGGAACCGCTTGCGGGCACCGGGCGGGCACCATGTCTCAGTTGCTGCCCTGTTCTGTGCTATGATTGCATGACTGCGACCCACTTGACTGCATTGCAAAAGAAGACTGCCGTGATGGCGCGACTGCGATATGACGTTTGACTCGACTGTGGCCAGAGCACATGCAGACTGTGATTCAATAGGCACTTGCCCACATGAAATCCCCACCAGGGCTGTGAAAGTTCCCAACCGCGATGAGGTGCCCTGCAACCCCGCCGTTAAGGGTGGTCCTGGGGAAACCGGCACCTCCCGACGACCCTGCCTGTGCCACACACGTCCATGACTGCACATTGTCCCTTGAGTCATTCCCTTCAGTTCCTGTCTGTTAATCAAGATCACATACAGGTGTTCCTATTTACACTGAGCCTATGCCTCAGCACAGTCTTGGCTGCTCTTTGATGGAACTTAGTGTTACAAGGGTGCTCTTTCTCCGGAGTTTGGGCAGCGGACGAGGTCAAAAACTGGTGGAGTGCCCTGGATTCGAGTTTCGCTGGTACACGCCCCTTGTTGGCACCATCTTTTTCACATCCGCACACCATGTCTATTTCACCACCTTACCCTAGCCGTGAACACACGTCGAGCTGCTTGCTCTCTGAGTGCAGACACTGAGCGCGCGATGAATAGGAATCTCATCGCGGAGTGCTCGCCGCTTGAGCGGGTGGCAACAGCTTCGCGCCAGATTCACTTCGCGTTGCCACCATATCCACCGCAATGCATCCTCTCTGTGGGTACTCCTTGAGATTCACCGACAGCCGTCTGCCTCTTATTCCCCCCGATGTACAGATGAATAGTCCGCGTTACGCAGAAAATCAATCGCTGCATTCTCATCGTAAGTGATAGGTCCCTCGCGCCAGGCTCAAGCAATGATTGCCACCTGGGCTTGACCCTGGCGCGGGGGGCAATCGTAACCAGTGAAAATAGCGAGCATGCCGCGTTGGGTTGCTTAATCAAAGAAGGCATCTTGGGTGCTCACAGAAAGAGAGAACGTGTCTTGTGGTCGACCTTGGTCAGGGACCTGAGCGAGGATCTGATGGGGCGGAGATGCGATTCCACAACGAACTCTTGCCTCTGCACGGCACATACTGACGTATCGAAAGCCACTCCTACGGACCCATTGCTTATTGCTGCGGTGCCCTCACAATATTCCTCGAATTGTTTACGTATCAGTCGTCGAAGCTGCTCTTTCCTTCGAGCCTTCAACATCCATCTGGCTGTCCTTCAGGTCTTGTCCAAATATTCTCGTCTTAAAGCATTTCAACCGCACAACATTTGCTCCAGCTCTCACTCGCCTGAAAGTCCGTGTTAAAGATGTGTTGAGTTCTTTCGAGACCGAAATTGGAGTACTCAGTCAGAAATGGTGCATGTAAGATAGTTCCTGGTGAGCACAATAGTATAGAAGCAAGCTCAAACGAAGCTGACATGCCCTGGGTATGGGCGTCGCATGGTATGTGAAAATGGGTCCGCGACGCCCTCCTCTGGCCGCCCGAGCGGAACGCGCTGCAACGCTCATGCGCAGTGGCTAATATATCACACACATTGTGTTATACGCGATCGCCAACATACAGTGGTTGGTACCCCGAGGATTACCCATGCAGACCATGGTAAATGAGTTGCTGAGGTGCGGACACCTGCAACTTGCATTGGGAGCGAAATGGCACCAAGGGTGCTCTACTTCTGCCCGTGCACTCTTGCCGCAGACCTGTCATCAGCAGAACCATCGTTGCAAGCAGGACCTTCGGCACCGGCGTCACTGGACGCTTCACCTTCCAAAGCAGCTTCTGAAAGACCGAGCGGACCTGTGCAAGGAAAACGGGCTACGACCGTAGTAGACGCGATACCTCCACTGCCATGCTACGATCGCGCTGCACAGTATTCGCACTTCACCTTGGAGAATCTCTACTTCTGTGAAGAATGCGACCAGATCAAGTGCAAGCGCTGCACCACCGCCGAGGTGTCAAGCTACTACTGCTCGGTCTGCTTGTTCGACGCGCAGGCGGCGAATGTCAAGGCTGATCGGAACCGGTAGGTTGCTGATGGGATGGTAATCAGAACTTTGTACTCAAATTCTGAAAATATGTATTGTGTCATGTCTTTGCAGCTGTTCGCGAAGCTGTTTCCTTTGTCCATCATGCTCGCACTCCTTGCAAGTCGTCGGCATGGTCCCCAACAATAGCGCAGATCAGCCAAAACTCGCGCAAGGAGAGGCCCCTTTCTTCATGAGCTGCAGCTTCTGTCGTTGGGACAGCAAAGAAATCGGCATGACGTTCGAGCGGTCATCTGGACTTTCTCGTGAGGAGATAAATGTGTGACCATGCAGAAAACGGGCTTCATTGACAAGATCTTATCTTTTTAGTTCAATTACAACGAAAGGACGAGCAGTCCTATGATTTTCTGGAGCTGCAGCACTTGATTCAGCACTTTGACACCTTTTATAAAGCCCAAGGCGTTTCCGAGAGCCATCCTTCATCGAATGAACTTTCATCACGTCAACGAGCAGCCCTCTCTGCCGCGGCCAAGTCGTCGAAACTGCTACGCGATGTTCCGATACTGTCTTCTGAGACGCATTCGCGATACATGCTCGGCACAAACCGCTACAAGCAATCTGACCAACCACGCGCTGCGCCCGATGATATTTCCGATTACAGGACCGTCACATCCTACAACAGCGGGCGAGACCCAGCGCAACCGGATAGTCTAGGTGTGATAGGACGCGCCGAAGACTTCAAGGAGCGGTGGCTCTCACAGAATACAAATTTCGCCAATACAACCACGCTTGGCCAGAAGTGGGCGACCAGCTCACAGCAGTCTGTTCGAACAAGGTGAGAAGATCTGGGCCTGGAGCTCTCTTGATCGACGGCCTTACCTCTTGTGAACTGCGCAGAGAATTGCGACCTCTACGTGCTCCGCTCAAAACAAAATTGACCAAGCGCTGCACAGATTGCTCGCACATCCTTATCCGCCCGGACGTCAAGGCGACAACGCCACGCTTCAAGATCAAGCTGGTCGCGGTTAACTTCTTGCCAGCCATACAGGTCCTAGTCGCGCCGATGCAGGCAGCGGCTGCTGGAGATGAGCAGCGCGCTTCAACTAGTGGTCGAGGCAACGATGCGGCCAGCAGGATAGGCAAACGGATGAGCATGATGGGCTTGTATGGAACGCGCCGTCCACAAAACTTTATTACCTCTTCCGGCAGAGGCGACACCAGCTCGATTCTCGGCACGAGATCTACTACAGCCGTCGATCCGGAAAGGCTACAGCCGGGCCGCACTTACAGGTTCGAATGCACGTTCTCCAATCCACTTGAGGATGCGATGAAGGTGCGCATCAGCGTTGTCAAGCCCGCTTATACCATGGGCAACGCCGCAGATGCCAGCTCCACCGAACAATCAGCATGGCAAGTCGCCCCTACCACATCCCAATTCGAACTTGCAGCGTCTAGCATGTTGAACATTGACGATGAAGAGGAGCTGCTCGGAGATTCACGGCGCAGCGGTGCCGACGACGATGACGATGACGACGAGTTTGACGATGATGATGACTTGCTCGATGAAGCAGACGAGGACGACCTGAGTGATGCAGAGGGAGCTGGTCGGAAACAGGGCCGCCTGGGCGGCGAAAAAGGTCGAAAGCGACGCAATCGCAACGGGGGCATTATCCGCAAAGTGGGAAACACGACCACGATCGGTCTCGACGCTGTGCTGGGCAAGGAAGCCGCTGGCGACATCGAAGTGGCTATGCGCGTAACGTTTAGTTACGAGGGTATCGACGACCAAGGGGGTCCTACTACTGGTTCGGCGCCTAACGGCGAGGATTCGCTCAAGAGCTTTACATTCTGGACAGCCATCAGATTGGGATTCTGCGTGGACAGAGCTGCGCTGCGTAAGGCGTTCCCAACTAGCGCGCACGACTCCGTCAGCGCACAACGACACGTGTCGCGAGAGGCTGCAGAGTCATCTGCCGAGGGCCTTCCTACACCGTCAGACACGGTGTCCACCTTAGATACCATCCGTGCAGCTACCTGAATGGTCACTATAGCCGGAATAAATGGAATTTCCAATGTCGGAGAAACATACATAAGTGAACCAATGGAGAAGAGCAAATCGATTCAAAAGAGTGAAAGAGGTAGTCCGAAGTGTGTGAAGAGTGTAGCGGTTGCATTACGGCGGAAGGCGTCGTCTCGTGCCCTTAAAGAAAAGCGTTGCATTTGCCCAGAGCCTGAAGGGTGGGGGGGGGAGAACTGGTCGAAGAGTCAAACTTGAGCATCCTCGAAATGCATCGAGATTAAGATTTGGCGCACATCAAAAGTTGTATTCAACGACCCCAGGCTGGTTGTGCAGTGCTGAAATCATTAAGTCCGAGGAAGAAAGGGTCGATTCCATCTGCAATCCTTGCATCCGGAGGTAGGTTGTTTATCGCGTGCCTGTCACTTCTGAAGTCGAGATCGCTCTTGCCAAAGTACACGGCACGAGGGTCTATCCCGCCGAAGGTTGCATGGGCGGCAGAGCCAAAGGCACTGCACATGTCATCGAGACCGTGAGCTGATGGCTTGCCGGCAGAAAGACTCGTTACGGATGTAAAGGACAAAAACTGATCACCGTCGTCATAATGATTGTGGGTTCCTCCATCGAAATAGTCAACCAGTTCGATAGAGTAGTCGCCGGCATCTGCCTTATCTGAGCCATGGTCTTTGGAGGCGTCGACAGGTGGGCGAGAGCTAACGGCATACCGGGCAGCTTCGGAGACAGTGGACAAGCAGCGCTCGTCGACGTCGTCATCTTCATCGCTATCGGGCTTGTAGACGCCGCGCACTTGTTGGCTCTCGTCAAGTTTGTCCCCAGTTATGGTTATTGAATGGACGCCGTACCGCGCAGAGACGCGCTCACGGCTTGCCGACTCTGGTCCCTCCTCCTTACGCCTCGCGGAATCTTCCATCGATGCGTCGAGTTGGGGGAGCTTCGCACCTCTGCGTGCAAGACGTGCAAGCTTCGCCTTTGGCGTCAATGTCGGTTTGAACTTGTAGTCCGGGTACATTGCCCTGTGCTCATCCGCTTTCCGAGAGCTTTCAGCGAAGAAGTAGGTTCGAATCGGTTCGTCTTCCGACTTCCACATCTGACCGAGCGCCTTGGACAGTGCGGCCTGGTATTTTGGGCTGCCAGGAGGCGGCACGTCGGCTGGGAATGGACGAATCACAAGCGAGCGTGCGGAAAGCACATTCCGAAGAGATGATGAGAGCTGACCGGTGCGATGCTGGTGCAGTCGCTCGGAACGATAGCAGATGTACGCGTTTGGTGGGCGCGGAATCTTGATTCCTGAAGATCGCGTCGCCGACTTTTGCTTGCGCAATGTCGAGTCCGCCCCGCGTTTCTTATTTGCACTTCCTTTTCCTTTGCGCTTGCTGGCGTGACTATCTGCAGGAGCAAGAGAGGTTGGCGGCAAAGGCACAGCGACTGTGGTTGAACGATGCGTCCGCCGTGCGGGAGGGGCGTCACTATCGCTCGTTGCCGAGTGCGACGGCCATCGTCCATCGTATCGTGTCTCAACCATCGCGAACGATGCTCCTAGGACTCAACAAGGAGGACAAGAACCTTTGCTCTTAAGCATAGTCGAAAGAAAGCAGTCACAGATCTTATACTGCAGAGAAATGAGATGCTGTCAGTAACAACTCATACAGTAGATTCCAAGTGGCGTCTGATATTGTTCTGCTGGTTGGGCTTTAGAACGATCCGCAGAGGACCAAGCGTTCAGAAATGAAATGAAGCCCTTGAGATCGCGCGGACTGACCAGTGAGCACGGTCCCTCGGCTTGGTAATGCCAGTCTGAGTTCGTCACTGCAGAGTGAGGAGTCTGTTAGGCACACCGGTGCGCTGATTCGTGGGAAAGGACTAGTCTATCATCGCTCGCTGCTATTTGCTGTTCCAAAGCACTCCCAGTTCGGAGGCAGCGCTTACAGCCCCTGTGCGCTGGCATAGCCTGACAAGAGGCGCGCGTCCGAAGGTGGCGATGTTCTTGATGATCTCTTGACATATTGATCGATCTTTCGCTTGTTCTGACGCGTAAGGACGAACTCATTCATGGATGCAGCCGCAGAACAGAAAGAAGATTCTCTTTCGAGTACGTAGGTCATCATCAGTGGATTTGCAGATAATCGAGCACACTCGCCGCAGTACTTATAATGGCAGCCGGCAACGCAAAGACGCGGCGGCCGACATAGGAGTTGCCTGTCGACGCCAACAACGTCTTGTCATTTCGCTGCGATCTTCAAGTGAAACCTGTGAAGTATCATTCAGAAAAAAAAGCCATCAAAGATGCATCCCCAATGCGAGTTCGGCGTCTGTATAATTGCTTGGAGTATGCGGGAGAGCTGAAGGGAGAGAGCTCAGATGTCGAGCCTCGAGATAGGAATTGGATTCGCACAGGAACCTTGTTAATCCGGAACCTCTGAGGGGTCAACTCGCGGCCTTTGCGGGATGCCAACAGACGCACAACTTGGAATCCCAGCTTGTTATTATCCCAAGATCAGTCTCAAGGCTTGAGTAATCGAAGGTGTGTCTCATGCCCTAACCACAAATCACGTCAAATGTCGCGTACGATGCCACGATCGCCAACAGTTGAAACTTCGATGCCACTACCACGTTGTTTAAGGCGTATATCTATCTATCTACTCACGACGGATTCAATGAACATAGGCCAAGTTGGGCCTCAGGTTCGGCTAGTACGCAAACGGCAACCGGACGCATCAATATCAAGGAGCAATTGCAAAGAATAATAATACAAAGCACGGACACCAGGTTAGGCAAAATGAGTGTTTACTGGACGGTCATTTTGACCACAGCCAGCCAGTCGTACGGAGACGAAAGCGATTCCAAAAATTGCCATGTTGCGTTAAAGCGACAAGGACGAAAATGGTAGTTTGTTTGCGATTAAGCAAATAACTTGGCCTCCGTCGAAACGTCACTGGCTCAAGCGTCTACCCCTGCACAAGAATGGGGAAAGAGATTAAAGGTAAAAAAACAGGAGAAAGGATTGAATTAAATAGGTGGGAGCGCGGCGCTCAATCGCTGCAGGGGCGGAACAGTTGAAGGAGAATTGGGGTGCTGCGGAGAACACCTTGCGCCCACCTGCATACCCTCACACTGGCTGTGACACCGCACTCAACTGCGCATTCATACTAGCCACCACGCCGCGGCGCCATGCCACCACACCGCCGCTTGCTTCCCGCTACTATCGCCTGTGAGCGACAGCCAGCTGCCTTGGAAGCACGAAAGTCACTTTCAATCAAGGTCATCATCAAGTCTAAATCTAATCCTTCAGCTCAGCTCACCACCTTAGCTTGCAGGATAGAAGCAGCATTGCCCATCATGGCTCTCGTACCGCCCGACCCATCTATGCAATTCGCGCACATCTTGCGGTGAGTTGGTGTGCTTAGTCGCAAGGTTTTGCAATGCTACTATTGGCTCTTGTTCTTCCTGCTGACGCCTTTTTGCCCCTCAGTCTGCTCAACACCAATGTTGATGGCAAGGTCAAGATCATGTACGCCCTTACTCAAATCAAGGGTGTCGGTCGCCGCTTTGCCAACGTCGTCTGCAAGAAGGCTGACATTGATCTGAACAAGCGGTGAGTCTAATTTTTCCACTGACGACAAGCCTTTGGCCTTGGCCCACGGAGTCTTGCGAGCAAAGCGGATGATCGCCTACAGAATTTTCGGATGTTGCAACTGGTAATTTGGGAGGGTACTGGGACGCAGTTGAAGTAGAGTGACAGGAAGATTCAAAAGGCTGGGTATATGGATTTGCACGACGAAGGCGAGCCAGCTAGAATCCGCCTTGGTGCATGCGTTCAGATGGTTCCACCACGGCGGACTGCCTCTCAAGAGGGGGAATGGCAGTGGAAGAGCGAATCTCGTAGGACAGCTGTTCGCCATCGATACCCACACAGATCACCCGCGGGCATTTGTTGGGAGCGATACTGTCGATTTGGACCAGGACAATCCTCACTGAGAGAGAACTGATTGTGACGGTCGATTTACAATGATGGAATGGGCTGGGGTTGTATTGGACTGGGTCAGGCGAACAGCATGACACTCGGGTGATTTATTATCCGAGGAAGGCGGAGGGAAGGGGCATCCAGACACGGACTGCCGCATGCGGTTCACCTGCGCCCGCAGGCTTCTCTTTCAAGTGCGCTCTTGCTCGATGAAGCAATTTTGGCACTGACATGGATTTACTTGACCATCCTTGCAGTGCCGGCGAGCTCAACTCGGACGAGCTCGAGCGCATCGTCAACATCCTTCAAAGCCCGCAAGAGTTCAAGATTCCGGAGTGGTTCCTTAACAGGCAACGTGACATCACCACTGGCAAGTCCTCGCAAATCACTTCCAACAACATCGACTCGGCCCTGCGTGACGACATCGAGAAGTTGAAGAAGATTCGGGCGCACAGGGGTATCCGCCACTACCTTCAACTCAGGGTCAGGGGTCAACACACTAAGACTACCGGGTGAGTATTCTGGCGTGCTTGGCGTTGTGTGCATGAGACGCTGACTTCAGTATGCCTTATTTTTGCAGTCGGAGGGGCAAGAGTATTGCCGGCAAGAAGAAGTAAATGGACTTGTAGAGTCGCGCTTCTTCTCTTCATGTATACTTTCTGTTACAATATGACCTCGCATGCATGACACCAGGCCTGATGATTTTTTTTTTGCATAAGGCACTGCAAGCTGCAGTTCCTCCCTGATCTGCTGAGGTAGGCAACGTTCTGGGGCCTTGTTCACCATTGGGCATCAGCAGCTGTAGCAGGCTGCTGTCGTCATTACGTGCGCATCCCGATCCATACCTCACTAGCCTCAGGATGCGTTTGACGCTGCGTTGATTTGACTGGCTGGCTGACGAAGAGGATAAGGCCAGGTTATGGTTCTTTCCACTGCATTTTCTCGCGATCAGGATTCGAGACGAGTGAGCGCGAAAGCGAGAAGGGAGCACGCACCGAATAGCCGACACGCGTTTTTGCTTCCTTTTTTTGTGGTATCAGCATTCTCCACCGCTGCTGCAGTCCCCACTCAGCACTTCTCAGACTTCGGACCTCAGCGTCCAAAGGACTCCCGCTTCTCTTGCCTCTTGGGACAAGTGTATGATAGCCGCTCTTCGACCTCTGGGTGCGAAAGACGTGGCGAGGATTAGGGCCGCAGCTCGAGGATCATCTCTAGACGCTGTGCTTGAAGCTTCCGACTTTGAAGGCATTTGACATTGGCACGCGAGTCACAAAAGCACCACCTTGGTCCCACTTCTATCATGACAGCATCGTCGACCGAAGTAGACGCAGTGGAGGAGATTGACTATGAAGGTCTGGGCGCCTCGACACCCTTGCACATCAACATGATTGCGGGTGCGCTCGCTGGGGTCAGCGAGCATGCGGTCATGTTCCCCGTCGACGTCGTTCGAACGCGAATGCAGGTTCTAGCAGCAGCGCCAGCAGCGACGTACTCTGGCGTAGCGGAGGCGTTCTCCCGTATCAGCACTGCCGAAGGAGCAAGGGCATTATGGAGAGGCGTCACATCGGTCATTCTCGGCGCTGGGCCAGCACATGCGCTGTACTTTGGAACGTATGAGGCGGTCAAGGAGCTTACGGGAGGGAATAACGAAGGGCATCAATTCGCCAGCACGGCTTTCGCTGGTGCATCAGCAACCATTGTCTCGGATGCATTCATGAACCCATTCGATGGTGAGTCCGCGCTACCACGGTGCGCCCAATTTGTGCATTGCTAACCATTTCACCGGATCCGCAGTCATCAAACAGCGCATGCAGATGCATGGAACCGTACATCGATCTGTCTTTCGATGCGCCTCGACTGTCTACCAGCAAGAGGGCCTGCGCGCCTTCTACGTGTCATACCCGACCACGCTCACCATGACGGTCCCTTTTACTGCGGTTCAATTCTCTGTTTACGAATGGGCCAAGAAGGTATTAAATCCGAGCGACAACTACTCGCCTTTGGCGCATGCGATAGCAGGCGGATTCTCGGGAGCCGTGGGCGCTGCGGTCACAAATCCGCTCGATGTTGCCAAGACGCTTCTGCAGACGAGGGGGACAAGCACAGACGCAACGATCAGGAATGCGTCGGGCATGTTCGAGGCTTTCCGAATCATTAAGCAACGAGAAGGGATGAAAGGGTTCGCACGGGGGCTGGCACCAAGGGTGCTGACGTACATGCCATCGAATGCTCTATGCTGGCTGGTGAGTAGCCTTATCATGACCTCGCTCACCCATAGATGTCGTAACTGATTTTTGGCTCCCCTTCTGCAGTCGTATGAGGGCTTCCGCTTCTTCCTAAACGAACGCAACAAGGCGCTGTAATTGCAAGGCATGCCAGCCATTTCAGACATAATGCTGGAAACTATGCAGCGTTTATGCCGCACATCTTTCGCTCTTTCTCTTTTTTTCCCCAAAGGGGATGTCTAGATTGAATGCGTGCAAGGTACAGAGCAGGTGAAGGAATCATGCAGGCAGTTGCAGTTGTCTTAATTCCGACCGACAAACTGCAAGTAGGAGTTCCGGAATATCAGTAAGCGATATTGGGAAGGTACCCTGTGAGCGGGCTCACTTGGTAAATGATGCGACGCACCAGCCCAGACAGCTGTTCTGGGCTTTGAGCGTACGTTCCCTGTAGAGGAAGCGTTGTTAGTGCATCAGAACAGGAATTGCAAGCTTGCTTCCCGAGGGGCCAAGGCCTCAGCGCACTCACCATGACCATGGACATGCCCATGGAAGTGAGGAGAAGGTCCCCACCGGGTACGAAAGGGACCCAGGAGCGCTGCCTGGCGATGGACCAAGCGCTTTCCATGCCTTTCGGCAAGACGTACGCAGCCAGCTCTGCGCGGCGCCTGGCGTCATCAACAAAGAGCGAGAGGCACGTCATGAACCCTGCGAACCAGGGCACGCCTTGGTGCAGCAGCATGCGTTTGACCCACGCGGGCGTGTTGGCGCGGAGAGACGCGTTGGCATCAATCACGTCGTAGAGCTGGTGCGCGCCACAGAAGATGACTTGGAAGATGATGACAAAGACGCCGAGGAAGGAGGAGGAGCGGATGGATCCAAAAAGCGAACGGAGGATGATGCGCATCGGTCTGCAGATCAGATGTGGTAACAGTGAGAGTGCATCGTCAGCGCAAGGAACATTTCTGAGGAGCGAAACATGGGAAGGCCGCTACCCCTCGACTTCGTTCGAAAACTTACGCCTTGAGGAATGACCTCGTACGGAGGAAAATGGCTGGTACAAAATAAAGCGTCATGTACACTGGCAGGATCCATCGGGTGACCTTAATGAAGCGGTCGAAGGGGCTCCAGAAGTGGCTGTTCTCCCAGGGATGCATAAAAGAGCACGGTAAATGAGGAATCGGTTCTCCAAGCTTTTGCATATCGAGTGCCTTGACGAATTCGCGGACATGCTTGCCGGTGACGCCATAAACGTTGGTCGGCGTAGGAGCGACGGGAGGGTAACGAAGAGGGTTGGTAGAGAGAGGTTGGGGGATCTTGCCATCGGGGAAGTATTTGTAAATGTGACTGGGATCAAACGTCCCATTGTGATCGCGGAGATCCCGGTAAACTGGAGTCGATTGTAGACCGGCTTGCGAAGCGCGTGTGATCCAGCTGACGTAGCTCCTCGGCAGCGACTCGGGCGCGTTGATCCAAGCGAACATGATCTGACCGCAGGCCAGGCCGAAGACCAATACCGAACCGTATGGAACGTGGATCAGGCCTTGTCCGTGCGCAAGGTTGTACGAGCCCTCTAAACCTCTAGAAAGAGGGGGAAAGAGCAAGAAACGATCAAAAGGAGTAAGTAAAGGATCACGGTTGTGGCAAGTCTCCACGTCAAATTCGAAGACTCACCTGACGAGCAACTGCTGTGCAAGTGTGACACGCATATCCTTGGTCTCCACCAACACCGCCAGTGCTGACACGGCACCAGCTACGTATGCGTGCCACACCCTACTCCTCGGGTCACGCATGAACGCCTTTCGCTTCTGTCTGCTCTTGATCTTAGCTTTCTCTTCATCCGTCTTGCCTTGCAGCTTTTCGTACCCGCTCCGCGGTGTAGCAACGCCCGAGTCGCCCGAGCCATCGTCATGCTCAGTCGCCGCGCTTTCTGCTGCCCCTGCTCCTGTTGTCGACGATGATGCGCGCCGCTTCCTTGATTTGCTGTGCGCCGGAGGGGGCGTGGTGAGACGCAGTGAGTTATGCACAAGCTTGTATATAGCCGCCCAGAGTCCAAACATGGCCGAAAACCGGCCATTCGCAACCCCGAAGTATGCGAGAACAAAGTCTTGCCCTCTGAATTTTCTACGTGAGCCATCCGAGCCAGAGACGTTTAGCATACCACAGGAGTGCAGGAGGAATCGAAGTGAAGTGGAACTGACCTTGAGCGAAGTAGCTTCAGCAGAGCAAACATGAGCATGACCGTGCCCCTCAGGCCAAAGGAGACGAGGCCAGCGCGTATGCCACCCCGTATGACATGGACGGCGAGGCGCTCCCAATCACCCGGTTCTCGGACCGGGTCGTTCTCCGGCCTCCAAATCTTGTGCTTGATGCCACCATTCTTAGGAGCACTGGCTAACTCGTGTAAGCCGTGAATGGACAGGGACCGGCGGAGCTGCTGGGCCGTCTCTGCGATGTTCGGCGTCGAGGGCTGCGATTTGTAGCGCTCCCAGCGCAGCTCTTCATCTTCTGAACCATCCTCCTCATCATCACGCATGGATGTCAGAGAAGTGAAGGCAGGCAGCTTGAGGGATGGATCTTTGCGGAAACCCGAGCGTTGAGAGGCAGCAGCGAAACCTGGTATAGATGGTTGCTTTTCGGACTCTGTGGTGCGTAGGGCCTGAGTCGATGATGGTCCCGACGAGATGGCGACGGTGGGATTCCTGTCATCATCGTCCGACTGGTCATCTCCGCCGCCGAGCTGGAAAGAGGGCTTGTCTTTGCCTGAGGACACGGTCCTGCGTGAGTTGGCCATAACCGTTTTGCCCCTGATCGCGCGATGTTCACAAAGGGTACATGTACTAGGTGGATGAGCAGCTGAGCTTCTCCGAAGAGTCTCCAGGGATCCAATACCGACTATGCACACACTCAAGCAGGGTAGGAATGACCATGGACGAGTATCCCGATGGTATCCGTCACCATGGTGTTGGTGAAGATTAGAAGCGAGTTACTTGTAGGTGTGTGAATGGTGTGACTGTTTATTTCTCCACTCGAAACAATATTAAACTGGCGTGCAGCGCCTGCAGCCAGTTGCGCGCCTCACCAACCATCGACCAGCGAGGGGATCCTCCGGCAGTTTCCGGGCCACGAGAGGGCCGGATGCTTGCGCAGTGCACATTGCACATTGCCGTGACAGTTCAATGCGCTGTTTGGGGGTTCTATTGCAGCTGATTGCACCTTTTACGACGCTGCTCACTTGGGGGGCTTTGTGGGCAATTATCTCTCCCCTCCCCTCCCTCTCACGATAACTTCGTCATTATGTAAAGGACGCTCGACGACGACCATATGTCTAACTGTTAATGTTTCCCGTCCCCACAAATTTGGCCATTCACGCATCATGCAACGCACAAGGGGGGTCCCACGTTTGGAACTGGACCCCGCTGTATTTTGATCAGCGAAAAAGAGGCGCGGCACTTCCAACAGACAGTAGCACGTCAAAATGCCGATGACCGAGAGCTCCTGCCCGCCCTGTGCGCTGTGCAGCTGGATCCCAGGGTTCTCTCGTTCATCGAGTGTTGCGCACATTGATTACCTAAACAAAGCGGCACATATGCGCCTACAATCTGCATCTTCGTTCGCCTCTGTGCTATCCATCATCTCGGTCGATATTACAGGAGAGTGATGTCTATATGCAAGTCGGCGTGCGACTGACATCTCACACAAACTTCACCGTGCGACACATTGATGGCTGCCAGATTGTGAAGCAGCCTTGAGAGTGTGTTCGCAAGGTGCGGGCTAGCACCGTTGCCGAAACCAGATAGCGCACATTACGGTCCCATACACATACGTGGATACCGGATTGAACCAATTGCGACAGTGAACGCAGGGTATCGGCATGAGACCACAGCAGGCAAAAGTATTATAATATATACAAGCAGCCGTTACACACGGCTTCTTCTCTCTATATTCCGCCTGGAGAATGGAATCGGGAAAGTCGAAAATCAATGGAAAAGCCAACAGGTGTTTTGATGCGTATTGAACTTGTCACGCGACTGGTGGTATCAAATGTAGCGTGCAAGGGACCCTAGCAGGCGAGTGTTGAGAGATTCTGGAAGCCAATGTTCATGATCTAAGGACCGTCCATTGAATCGATAGTTCGTCCGAGGCGAGTGACTTGAGAGTGCCCAAGGAAACTCTACTCGAAAACCATGACGTCCCTCCTGGCAACCTGCATTCGTCTACGAATCTGACCCATGAGCCGCTTGCGTCGACTATCGCTACCGTCTCTCTCAACGGGGAACTCGCGTATCTCGTAGCTCTGCGACCAGAAGTCTGGCGGCAGCCGTCGCAACAGCACCGAAAAGTCCACTGGCGACAGCGCGCGAGCCTCGCCAGACTGGTCGCATCGCTCAGATGGTATGCCTCCATCCGAGTTGCGGCCATTGATCGCACGTCGGACGGCGCGGATGAGGGCGCGCCGCGCCGCAGCGCTTTGCCCGCGCTCGCGCTGGATGTCCTCGACCGTTGCACTCGCAGTGGCGGAGGGGTCGGCGACGTGGGCGCAGCCGCTGATGCTGGTAACAAAGAGCTCGCTAGGTGCGTCGAACATGCGGTCCGGTTCATCTTCCGAGGAAGTCATGTCGCTCGCGCTGGTACCGGTGCTGGTGCCCGTCGCAGTGGTGGTCTGATAGACGGAGGCGCCACCACGCGAGAGCAGTAACCGAGGCGAGCGCATGCGGGCTTCCCTCTCCACCTGCCTTCGCCACGCCTCGGGCGCGTTGTTCCACGCCTTGCGCACTGCATCGGCGATCAGACGGCGCGCGCGATCGGACGTCTCGGCCGGACTGCGGATGGCCAAGAATGGTTCTTTGTGGACATCGTCCATCTCGACGCCCTCGGGTGCGATCGGCGCGGTGAAGGGATTCTGAGTGATCTCGATGTGCGATGACATCGCGCGACTGCTCGGAGCAGTGGACGCTCGAGAGGTGGAAGACTTGTCGCGCTTGCCGATGAATAGTCGCATGGGCCGCACCGTCTTGCTTGCAGCAGCGATGGCTTTGGGGAACGCGCCATTCACTGGGCTCGTCGGGCCCAAGTTGGTCTGCGCACGGGAATCTGCACCGGGCGTTGTAGCAGGCGTGTTGAATGCAGAAGACACGTCTGGGGGTGCGACTCCGTTGAAGAACTGTCCTGCAGCGACGGCGAACGAGGTATCCGAATCCAGCCGCATCATCATTTCCAGCTTGCGCTTGGCCATCCGCCGCTGCATGCTGCGAATTGCCTTGTAGCCCCACCAGAGGTGCATTGGGAATGGTAGCGCGAGGAAGAGGCACGGCCCAATTCCCCCATCAACAAACGGCGCAGATCGCCCTTTGGCGGTCGCAAGCATGCAGATAAGGCCGGCGTGGAAGAAAACGCGCGTAAGGAAAAAGCTAATCGTAAAGCCACGGTTGGACCGAAGCCTCGGAAACATGCTGGCCATGCCCATAATGAACGTCGGCAATTCGAAGATGGCGCCAGCTCCCGCAATGTAGGTCCATCGTTTATGCAAGATGTAGAGGAACAAGCCAGTATACGCGGTGTGGTGCACCCAGCCGCTTGCAATGTTGATAAACTTCCTGTAGTAAATGGAGCCTAGCACGAGATCGCTGAGGCGACAAAGAATGCAAAAGATCAAAATCAGGTATACGGCGAGGATCGTTCGATAGCGCTCACCTGGTCAGGTAAGCCATAAAGAAGCACGCTAGAGGGTCCGCAAGGACTTGAAGGCGGGGCTTGACACGTGTGAAGTCGAATGCGTACGCGCACAGGTCATATAGATAAGGCAAACTGGCCACGCTCATCACGAATCCGGCAATCGTTGTAAGAATCCATGAGCGTGCCTTGTGCTTCTCCTTCTCCTCTCCGGCAAAGATGGTGTTAGAAAGGAAGTGGAACGCGGCATGTAGGATGAAGAGCGACCCGCAAAAGGCGTAGAAGTTACGAGGATCGAGGAGTGGTGAGCTTCCAGGTAGAATGAAGCCATAGAGCGTAAAGTTGTCGCGGGTCGCCATCTTTTTCGGTGGTTTAGCTTGAAGTCGACCCGATCCGGAGCCTCGGCCAAGCTCCTATACTCTATCGGGCTAAATGGTACGCTGACTGTCGCGATTCCCCCACCGACGAGCAGGAGCGGTGTGGCCCGGAAGCTGTCCCGAGTTGGATTCGAGAGCCAGGTGCTTTTTTGCGTGGTCGGTATGACGCACAGGGGAAGGGATGGAGGGAGGATTGGCAGGTCAGCAAACACGCTCGGGTATGGCGTGGTAGCGTGCGCGGGTTGCGTACAAGCAAGAGCTGGTGCCCTTTTGATTCAGGAGAGGCTGTGCATCTTGATGACGGCGAAAGAAAAGAACCTTGCGCAGAAATGGCTACTACTGCCCTGCATTTAATCTTCTTGTCCAAGGACCACTTGGTGACTTTGTGTTTACGACACCTGTATGACGATGCTTTGTAGGATGCACGTGCGCATCACTGACCTTCAAGAGTGGGGAGTTGCCGCAAGGGAGATAGAGAGCAGACCGCAAGGAGACAGGGACAGCGCAGCGTCGCGTCACAGCCGCGAGTCAACGTGGCCAGGCTCATGACGAAACTAATTAGGACGGCCATTGCTATTGGCGTATGGTGAGGGAATAGCAACACCCGCCAAGTGCCGAACGCCTTTTTGGTTCGTTAATGTTCATGGAACTCGGAACAGGTGTGCACTCTCTGTCACCGATGCAACTCGCACACAGCACATGTTCTTAGCGGAGAGGGGCCCCGCAAACATCCCGCAAGTACCTGTTGTCATCGTCGTGAGCTTAGGGTTCGAGGCAGAGATAAATGTGCAGCAGCTCCAGTGCTCGCTTCGTGGAGTGAGAGGACAGGCTGAGCGAGTTTCAGGAGCGAGTCCTCATTACATAGACGACGTTGACAGGGCTGGAGAGAGGTCATTGCGATTTACCGTTTGTCCAACGCGCAACATCATCAAATCCAGCTGGCAGCCCCATCCAGAGCGATCGATCGTTAGCTGCTAGCTCACACGACCCCAGACGGCAGCTCTTCAACATGAGCAAGTCACCCATCACCTGCCACGTGCTGGACAGCACCCTCGGCCGGCCGGGTAAAGGCGTCAAAGTATATCTCGAGAGGCTCTCATCCACGACCGGAGGAGCTGCTGCAGAGAAGCTGGCTGAGGGGTGAGTAGCATTCGCCAGCCGCGAGTTCGTCGCCATCGTCGTCACACATGTACTTTACAAGCGGCTTGCTCATGTCTCGACCACCCCCATGATTTCGGACGTTCTTCTTGTGCAGGGAGACAGACTCTGATGGCAGGTGCACGACACTGTTGGTACCAGAGACGAAGCTCCCACCAGGCGCCTATCGCATGCGCTTCGAGACTGGAGCCTACTTTGCGAAAGACGGCCGACCGACCTTCTATCCCTTCGTTGAGGTCAGTGGTCGTGCCTAGAGTCTGACTAAAACCTGTAACCGGAATCTCGCAATCCCTTGTTGATCGTTGACTTGAACTTTGCTTCCCACACGTTCCAGGTCACATTCACCTTGCCCAATCGGCCTGATCAACACTATCATATCCCGCTGCTCCTCTCGCCCTTTTCATACACCACATATCGAGGTTCATGAGCTACATATCTCTCGAAAACTTACATTTACTTTCTGATTCCATCAGAGAACCGAAAGTCTTTCACATTGTCGGACTGCTTATGTGACGACTTGCAAATCGGGCGTGACTCGTGAAGCTTGAAGCGTGCACGACGCCGAGATGTGTGGAGATATCTACTCTCGTGTACGTATCATGCCTTCAAAAGCTGACACCCTTGGGGAACAAACTTGAGTTTTCGATGGTATATATATAATATCGTGCACAGCAGCGCTTCGTACGTGTGAGCGATATTTGAAGACAAGCCGCCAAATAGCCAAGTCGGGAAGGCAGCAAGAGCATGCTGAAGAGGCGGGCACACGGCAGCTGAGAAACGTCTAGAAATTTTAGGGTTGCGAAGGACTGAAATCCTCCTGTTTGAGAGGTTATGTTAGCAGGCGCAGACACTTGAATAGATTGCAGTATCTGTGGTTGTGAATGTGGAATCGTACGTCGGGGCACAAGGTAAGTTATGCGTATGATGAGATTAGTTTAGTTTGATTTCAAGAATGTTCTAGAAGCTTTTGGAGGGCGATCCAAAAAGAGGAAGGCTTCACCCCCCGAAAGGGGCGAAGCCACTTTAAAAGATTAGGTTGCGCTGCACCCCAGAGGAGCGCAGCGGCTAGGTGAAGCCAGTTCCATCCCCGAAGGGAGCGACGAAAGCGGGTCGGGCGTGCAATGCCAGCTTCTCCCAGTCCCTTGCCCGTATGCTTGATCACGGAAAGGACAACAAGGTAAGTATGAGGAAAAGAGTCAAAGGAGAATGAACGTTCGCGAGGTGTTTATATACCCTTCGTATGAGGGCGGAACGCGTCCTTTCCGCCGTCGAAAACGACAACACCCAAAGTGGAGGCACCCAAAGCTCCTTATCACTGCAGGATATTCGGCTTAGACTTCACTCTCGTTAATGTGTGCAGATCGGTGCAATCCAGAAAGAAGACGACCAGATACATACCGGATTGGGACTTGGGTTCGAACTAAGGCGAGCGCCATCTTGGCCCTTCAATGAGAGAGGAGGGGGAAGGGTTGGATAGCGCTACGGTTCAAACCCAACAGCTACCAAATGATGATCGCTAATGGTGGTGTACAGCAACGAACATTGGGAGTCTCTTCACCGTCGACTCCACCGCCTACATCCTCAGATATTTTTCATGTTGCACTTCCCACCTGGTCCATTCATGCTATTTTACATCTGCGGATCTGCCTTGCGGACTGGAAAGTCGGTTTGCAATGAGCACCTCGTGATTTCGAAGCTCTCGCTCTTGGCAAGGGCAATTCGCCTGCTGCATGCTTCAACGCCAAAGGCGTGCAATTGAAATAGAAAGAAGCGCGCAGGAGCAGACAAGTGGAAATTCTCTGCAAAAAGGATGTCGAACGCACCCTCCGCAACAGTCATCGCGACTCGCCTCTTTGCGTTGACCATAAAGTGAGAATGTGAAGGCGTTAGTGCCCATGATGTGGCTGTATTACCCGGCGCACGTTGAGCGCTACTGCTGCTGCTGCTGCAACTGCTGATCTTTCGGTGTCATCATACTGAGCGCTATCGTGAATGCAGCTGCCACTGTTGCCCGCTTCTGGCGGTGCGCGTGACTAACGACGCGTCGCAATGATCAGGGGCCGTTCTGGCATTAGCGGGCCGCTCGTGGGCTTGTGTATCAGCAACCGTGTACATTGCATTCTGACTCTTGCTACCACTGTTGGTCGGCTAGATGTGCTGCCATTTAGCTTGAATGGTGTCGTTGACTACCGTCGCTTGAGAAAGCGCCTTGTGGCGCGCAGAATTGCGATCGGGTGGCACTGTCCCATCAAATGCAGGAGATGATGGAACGTGTCGTTGCAAATCTTGAAATACTCCTGTAATGGGCCGGAGAAGCGAGCGTCCATCTTCAGTTTGGCGTGTTGGGATGCAGGAGCGAGCCGTCTTCTTCCCGAAGACAAGTCAAGGCGCCACCGATGCCCTCACTCTGTGCGCGCTTGCCCGTCTCACTCTTTGCTTGCTCGCAGCTCCTCGACAGCCTTCCGATCGAGCGGGTGTGCACCAGTGATCTCGACAATCTGCGAGTCCGCCTCAAAGTCCGGAAGGAGAAGATCCATCTCACGTTCCAGCTCATCCGGGATGAAGCGGCCACCGAGAAAGTGTCGGCCGCCGAACGCAGCACTGCCGAGCTTTGGCGCTGATAGCGAAAGCAAGACCTGAGGTGTGAAGCTGCCGTTGACGTTTCCTTTCTCTACGTCCCATGCTGATGGAATGTCCACGCTGACGATCGGAGGCTGGTGTCGCCGGAATTCGAATTCCACGAGCGAATCGTTCTTCCAGAGGCCGATGATATCCTTGAATGGCTGCCGCACTTCCCCTTTGAAGCTAAAGCCAAAGATGCAGTCCAGCATAACATCCGTCTGCTCGTACGCATCTTCAAAGTCATCGGCGCCAACGATGGTGATCTTAAGGTTCTGGAGCTGCCTTTTGAGCCGCTACACAAGTGAATGATTCCGCGTCATCAGTGCTGACGGATGACACATCTGGTACGCCAAACTCACGGCAAACAGGTCTGTCTTTCCTTGCTTTGGGTAGCACACCTTGACATCGTATCCAAAATGGTGCAGATGCCGCGCAGCAACAAGTCCGTCACCGCCTTGATTTCCTGGGCCCGCAGCAACTAACACGCTGGGAAACTGGTCCGGCGGGTAGCACGCATAGACCGTTTGTGCGCATGCCAGACCAGCGAGCTCCATCAGCTGGTCGATGCTGAAGCCTCCCTCTGCAGACATGAGCTTTTCATCGATGGATGCTGCCTCTGCCGCATCGATGAAACGAATGCGAGGCGGCGAAGCACTCGATGGCGAGCTCGGTGGCAACTCTTGCGCCTGCTCGGATGGCTGCAGTGATCCTTCTGCCACCGAGCCCATGATGGGAAGCCTGTGAAACCCAGTTAATCACAACGAACGCCAGCAGATGGAACCGGGAAGAGGAGATAATGCAGCGAGCGCCCTTCTCTTTGCTGTATTCAAATAGAGCGGAGATGGCAGCGAGGGAATCGAGGCGTAAAGACTTTGCTCGGAAGGCTGAATTCGTGCTGGACGCAAAGCAGGTGTTGATTTCCAGCACTCGCGCAACACGGTGGTAGCATGCGCGAGCGCACTGGGTTGTAGGCTTCGCCCACGCGTGCTTTTCTGAGTAGCTGGATGAACGGTGGGACTGGACAATACTGAAAGCGAGCAAGACCTGGTTTGTCCTCGCTCCCGCGATCAACACGAAGACTAGGCGTATGTCGTGAAGAGAGGAAGGTTGATCACCTCCGGATTGAGTATTGAGAGAGGCCCGCGCGCTGATCACTTTTATGGCGGGGGTTCGAGGGTGTGGCGTTAAGAAGCGCCTACTTGCGATAACCTTTGCACTTTGCGGCGCTCTTCACACCTCCACACCAACTTCCAAAGAAGATGTTTTCATCCAGAGCAAGTGACGCACACGCTGGCATCGTGTGCCGAAGATTGGCGGTCGGATAAGCCCAGATTCGACATGGATGCGCCGGTTGATTGCTATGAACCACGAGGTGATGGATCCATCACAGGCGGTGGCACGAGCGACAGGCTCCATCAGGATCCCTTTCCGCAGCCCATCCAGCTTTTGCGCAGGCACGTGAGCGCTTTTGGACGCTGCGTCGCCTGGCGTCCAAGTTTTCCCCAAATGACGAGTGGCTCAACAGTGAAGCGCGCCACTGGCGGACTCTCTGCTGCCCTCGCGCTCGGTGATGCTGGTGAATGGGCTTTGCTATGAACCTGTATGGACTATCCGCCAATGCCTCTGGCCAAGTGCTGTACTGACTGCTGCCGAGGAGCTAAAAAAGAAAGAAATCGACATGTGGATGTGCGAGTCCATACAATACGTAGGTGGTTTGCCTCGAAATTAAATTAGATCCATTGCTGCAACATCAGGACTTCTCTTTTTCATTGAACCTCGGGCTTTCCATTGGTCTCGACCAGGAGGTCGTCCCCTTGACGGAGTAACCTGCGCTTGACCCACTTCAGAGCTGCCGCTTTTGGCATTTCGACTATTGACTGTGATTGGCACAGCAGTCTTCAGCCGTCTCTTCTATCGCGTTTAAGTCTTGAGTCCTCGATGGAAATCAGAATATACATGACCGAGGCGCAAGAGTTTGCAGGCTCGAGAGCGGTTGAGGCAGCTACTCGCGTTGTGGAGCGCTCCCTGGAGCGTCTGAGCGTTGGCACTCAGTCGAAACGCATGAAGGCAAATCCGATGATTTCTTCTTCATTGATGCAGTACTGTACATTACCCGTGCAACGCGCATTGGTTCCACAAAAAAAAACCCCCAGGGCTGAAATGGTTTCAAAAGGCCACGTTGCGGGTCCGTAGTTGCTAAGGCCGCTTCAGTACTACTACAAATGGTATGTTCAAGTCGACCAAAGTTCGTACAGGAGGCGCCAAGTGAGGGCGACCAGGAAGAGCCTCGTTGCGTAGCAGTAGATGGTCTCCAAAAGGCTGTGCATGGGACCAAGACTAACGCTAGCTCAACGCTGCTCGGCGAGCTGGTTCATGGTGGCAATATCTCTGAGATTGTAGTTGGCATTGCTGCTGCGTCCACCGACCCCACTAGCGGTAATTTGAGCACTTGTGGCATCCGTCATCGAAGCGCCACCCATAGAATCCAGGTTCATTGGAACGAATATCGTCTTGGACGCACTGCTCTTTGCCATGGCTTGTAGAGCCTCAAGCTGCCTGATCTGCATGGCTGCAGGGCTTGCGAGAATGTCGGCGGCCTGCCTCATCAGTTTCGCAGCCTCGACTTCAGCCCTGGCACCGATAATCTTGCTCTCTCCGATGCGTCGCTGCGTCGCAGCGCTCGATAGCAATTCTTGCGTCTCGTGAGACAAAATGATGTCCTTGATGAGAATGCTTTCGCAAGTGACACCCCATTGCTCTGAGACGGATTCGACGATCTCTTGAATCTCAGCCGCAACCGCCTCGCGGTCAGAGATTACAGATTGCAGATTACGGGAGCCGACGACGTGGCGTAACGTGGTTTGTGCACGCTCAATCAGCGCTTGACGCACATCTGCAACGCCGAAGATAGCTCTGGCGCCAACGAGGCAACCTTCGTCAGCATATTGGTTCAATTTACCGTGCCAGAAGAAAACGCACTTGTATGGATTGGAGATGTGGTAGTAGACGACTGAGTCTATTTCCACATTGACAGAATCCCGGGTAAGCACCTTTGGGAAATGAACAAGTCAGCGATGTGTACTCCCTCAAGGAATGCTGACTTGCCGCTCACCTGCTGCCTCGGCAAAGTACTGAGCTGGATCTGGACGTTAGCGATCTTGATCGACTCGGAGCAAGGATTGATGTGCGCAAGACCAGGGTCAACACTGCGAATAGCTTGCCCGAAACGAGTGATGAGACCGACCGACCCCTGCGGGACCTCCTTGTATGGGTTTGGGCAGCAGAAGCAGCACGGAATTTGACCCAGGCCGCCCGCAATCGTTCCCAAGCAGTTAATCATGGCGCCGTAAAATCCATAGTTGACGTCAGCAGCTCCAAGCTCTAGCCAGTTCAGGCGACCAAAGAGAGTGATGCAGAGATGAAATGTCAGTGAATTTCACGGGTAACCATATGTTGTATCTGACGTACCCTGCGCAAAGGTTGGCTGCATATCCTGCTTGCGAAGCGGCTGAATCTTGATAATTCCATCCGACGGAGGCTTGGTGATTGGCTTGACCGGCACTTTGGCCGTAGTCGCATTGTCACTGGCATCCGCATTCGCGAATGTCGCGAGGTCTGTCTCGGTGGTCGTCAGAGTGTTGTTGTTGGTCATAGTGCCTGATTGCAGAGGGCTTGCAAGTGTGATGATTGGACTTCTGACAATCCGTTGGCGGTTGGTGCAACAGGTCTGAAAGATACTTGACTTGGTTGAACTGATTGTGGGCTATATAAATACATGTGGAACAGAGACGATGGCAATGGCCATTGTGGGGTAGTGGAATTGATGAGGGAGAGATGATAAGGACCAAGGCCCACTTCGACAGACGCAGCACAGCACAGTCTGCACTCGACATATGGGTCTGTCTCTATGGGTGGATGGGCGCACAAGTCTCGCTTGCTGGACCGATGATGTCCCGCAGGCTACTGCAGGCAGCAGGATCTCGCGACTTCGCTGGAGTCTTGGGTCGCTTGTGAGGTGGTGTGGCTTACGTACTGCCTGGAGCCGGGGCGTAGTCGGGCCCTCTCGACGAAAAAGAGGCTGTGCCACCCGAAACCCTCTCGCGAGTTGCGACCTCTTATCCAGCGCTACACCCGGCCACTCTGCAAGGCCGCGCCAGGGATAGGTGACTACATATGGGGACAAGTAACATGCGGACAGTTGACCTCGATGCAAGCTCAAGCAGTAGCCGGGGCTGGGGACCCATGTATATTCGTTTCAACTGGGGTCTGCTGTCTATTTGAAATCTAGCAGCTAACCGCACGGCACCCATTTTTGATCCACGTTGGCACACGGCACACGAGCATATCAGCAACACCATTGAAGGGACGCAGCTCCTGTTATTTATGGAAAAAGACGTCGGCATTCCGCAGTCTACAATGGTACATATAAATGCGTGTACAGTGTATTGCTCCCTTGCTACACATGCGTAAATTGTGTCTCCTTCACCAGCTCCAGAAGCCAGCAGCGTCCATCCTGCCCAGCTGTGTAATCTGTGGCATCCATTGCATACACTATTGCTGGATGTCGTTTGGTGGCTGGTAATTCCGCCTTCTGAAAATGAGAGCCTAGAAGTGCGTAGCGCATACATATTCATAATTATACACACCTCATCGTCACCACCACACTCGGCACTCGTCTGTGACTTTGGATAGGGAAGGGAGTGTGGCGTCGCGATCTCCCCTGCTATGTTGCACTGGGATGTGCTGCGTGGTAAAGTGGACATGCCAAGTCGCTCGCCCCACCTGGCTGTGCTGAAGCAAACATGTTTTTTTGCTTTGCTCGCATGGACAATGAAGTTTGATGACAAGCGATAGGCGACGACTCTGCAACCTCCGCCATCTGATTCTCCCCCTTTGATTGTTTTTCGATTGTGCCCGCCATCCAAGAAATGATGCGAGTCTCATGCAGTTCATAATTGCAAACTATGCTATACATTGCGGAAAAAGCAACCAACGGTCGCGCGTGGGGCTGGCGGAGCCCCTACCCAATGCAGCAAGCTTTTGTGGGCACGTCCGTTCTCCGTCCCGCGACACCCCAAAGAATCATCGGTAGCATGCACAAGATTTCGCATTCGTGTGCCGTACAGGTTCGCCTGTGTGAATTGGTCGCCCAATTATTACAGAACGGTGAAGATCCTGATGATGTTGTCAGAGTAGCCAGCGAAGAGTGTCTGGCCGTCGGCGCTCCATGCCAAGCTGAGGCACTCTGGGTCCTTGCTGTCCTTGCCAACGCCGGTGAACTCGGGCTTGAGCTCGTCAACGATGCTCTTGCTCTCGAGGTCGAAGATCTTGATGCAGGATGCAGTCGCCGCACACAGCCAGTATCGGTTGGGCGAGAAGACGAGGGCGTTCACAACATCACCAGCCTCGAGCGAGTAGAGGTGCTTGTCCTCCGAAAGCTCCCACAGCATGGTGATGCCGTCCTTTCCACCGGACGCGCAGAGCGAGCCATCCGGTGAGATAGTGACAGTGTTGATGTAGCCAGTGTGGCCGAAGTGGTTTGCCTTTAACTTGCACTTCGACAGTTCCCAGACCTACGTTACCAAGGAAACATGAGCAGTATTTGTCAGTGCTGGGCCAATGCCTATCTGAATTTGCCCACACTGCCATGCCCCCATGAACGTTCCTTCTGGCTAAAATGCGCTCAGCGATCTTGGTGGTTTAAAATGTTCTCACCGAGACCCCAAAGGACCCTCCGTAGTAGCAAATATTAAAACAATCATCACCGCAACCAACAGCCTTCCCTTATTCAAGTTCCACTTGTCCCAAGCAAACTCACCTTGACTACCTTGTCCCAACCAGCGCTGACAATGACTGGGTTGCTCGGGTTCGGGCTGAACCTGACGCAGCTGACCCACTCCGAGTGACCGTCATCAGTAATGTTGAACTTGCATTCTCCAAGAGTGTTCCAGAGCTTGATGGTCCGGTCCCTGCTAGCACTGACAATCTGCCTGTTGTCAGCAGAGAAACTGACGCTGAGCACATCAGAAGTGTGGCCGACGAAGCGGCGGGCGGTCGCACCAGTGTTGAGGTCCCAAAGACGCAAAGTCTTGTCCCAAGATGACGAAAGAGCGAACTGGCCGTCAGAAGAAATCACGATGTCAGAGACAAAGTGGTTGTGGCCGTGAAGGATCTTCTTGGGGAAGCCGTGGTTGTCCTCCCGAGTCAGTTGCCAGACAATGATGGTCTTGTCTGCAAGGGCAACAAAGCATGTCAGTTATCAGATTTCGCACAGCGCGAAGTTCAAGCATTGCAGTTCTGAGAGCCCTTCTCTAGAGCCTAGAGGTATGCATCCCAATTCAAAGGCGACGGTATGGCTCCGCCCATCTTGCACCAGTCTTTGCCATGCACACCAGTGAACAATTAACCGCTGCTCCAACGCGGTGGTCGATGCGGCAGCTAGCTGCAATCCCCGCGACCAGCTCAATCATAACCGGCCTGTTTGATTCCCTCCATACCGCCAATCACGTTGAGAAGACCCGAAATCCTTTCGTGGTCAGGGAGAGGTCCTTCATTGGGCATCCGAGAGGGTGGTCGACTTTTGAGTGAAACTCACCACGCGAGGCGGTCAGAAGCATGTCCGGGTTCTCGCTGCTGGTGGCGATAGCCGTGATCCAGCCCTTGTGCCCGGCAAGCGAGCCCTTGAAGACGAGGGATTCTGAACTCATGATGGCGGCTGTGCGTACTGCGTGTCTCCCAAACAATGCGTGTTGAGGATCAGAGAAGCCTGGATCAAGTAGCTGCAATCAATCTCAAGGTCCCAAGCGTACTTGGGAAGATCCTCAGCCAGCGCGTCGTCTCCACCTGCCAGGCACCAGCGGAAGATTGTGGCGGGCTGAATAAATTCCGCAGCTGCGGCGTGCCCACAACCGCGCGCGCTCTCGCCTCTGAACCTACAGCATTTGGCACTTTACAACATTTGGAAATGATACCGCTTTGGCTGTCACCGTTCATCTAAGGTCAAAGTTGGGTCACACGGAACAAACAGCGACATTGTGAGTGTTCAAGAAGGTAGCAGGTATCACGAAGGTGCGCCAAGCGGTATCATGGGCAGAAGGAAGCGAGCCAGGACTGGTCAAGGAGCCTGAATGCCAACCTGCGTGGAAAGTTGGGCATCCGGATGCCTGGCTGGATCACGTCGAGTGCAGACATCCAGCCTCAACTTGGGAGATGTGAAGTTTTTGGAGGGCCCTATGGGCAGTCTCCTGCTGCAGTTGCGCAAAGCACAAAGCATCATTAGACAGCGCAGGTAGGGATGCGTTATCAGAGTGCTGTCCGGCCTTTGCACCTGCTGGCTCTTAGCCATGGCAATCCCACTCGAGAAGGAGGCTGTATCGCTTTCCGGCGGATGACGCTCTGGCATAAGGAAAACGAGGCAAAAGGAGCAGACCAGCTAGATGAAACCGCTCCCGCATTGGACTGCAATTGTCTTGGCCATCCCAAGCCACGAGCAGTTGCGACAAATGTTTTCCTGCTTCAAATTCAATTGACACGACCACATGGCTGACTGACAGCTGCTGACACTTCTCGCAGAGTCAAAATGGCGGAAGCAAGCAAGGCGATCAACCCGATGAAGGAGCTTAAGGTTGACAAGCTCGTCATCAACATCTCTGTGGGAGAGTCCGGTGACAGGCTGACTCGTGCCTGCAAGGTTCTGGAGCAGCTTACTGGCCAGACTCCGGTCACTTCCAAGGCCCGCTACACTCTACGCGGTTTTGGTATTAGGCGTAACGAGAAGATCGCATGCCACGTCACCATCCGTGGACCCAAGGCTGAGGAGATCCTCGAGCGTGGCCTCAAGGTTAAGGAGTACGAATTGAGGCGAAGGAACTTCAGCGACACTGGTAACTTCGGCTTCGGTGTTACTGAGGTGAGTCAGGGGTCAATGGTCTTTAGCCACCACATATGATGAAAGGAAGCCATATTCCTTACACCGTTTTTCCCTTCCCCTCTAGCACATTGACTTGGGCATCAAGTACGATCCGTCAATTGGTATTTTCGGTATGGACTTCTTCATTTGCATGACCCGTCCGGGCGCTCGCGTCGCCAAGCGCAGGCAGCAGGTTTCACGGGTTGGTGCACCACACAGGGTCAGGAAGGAGGAGACCGCCGCTTGGTTCAAGCAGCGCTTCGACGGTATCATTGCCCACTAAACGGGTGGGTGTTCCGCTACCTGAGAGCTCTCTGTGGGAAGCAGGGTCGGATGGAGGACTGCTTTCCTGTGTCATGTCAAGACAGGCATGTTCTTGCATGTCACTTGTATCACTATGAAAATGCATTCAATCACGCACTACTCGGATCGTTAACGAGGTGGCGTCAAAGGGGTCCTTTTTGACATCCTGCCGAAGCCATACAATTCATCGGGTTGCGCGAGATCCATCAAGTAAAGAGTATTTGCGAAGATCATAGCATATTATTGATGCAACATCAATGTACATGCTTTGCAACAGTTGCTGTCACTGAAGCTTTCTCTGGTCAATTTGTTAGTTGGACTCAGTGTCTGAAGCCAAGGCCGCGGCCGGCGGCCTTGTGGAATCGGCGGTGCCTAGCGACGGCAGAGCTGGAAGGGTAGACGATTGCCTCGGTTGGGTACGGCTTCGTGCCTGGGGGCAGGCTGAATCCCATGTCGTCTCGTTCGGCGATGGCCTTGCTGGAGGCCGTCGGCGTGCTATTGCTGGTGGTGGTGGTGCTGCTGCTGCTGCTGGTATCCTGCTTTGGGTTGGAAGATGAGGGAACGGTGTTCTTGTCGCTGGCACCCCCCGATGCCGCGCCATTGCTAGCATCTTTTGTGCTCACCAATGCTGAGCTTGGGGATGAAGGTAGTTTAGACGCATGCAAGATAGTGGGAGCTGCCAAAGAGGCTGTCCAAGTTGAAGTGGGGTCCATCGCTTTATCGGTGTACTGGGAGACGTACGCGATGAAGGACTGCGCTGGTGTGGGTAATGAAATGGGCGCGACTGACCAGGCAGATGGAGTGGGTATAACATCGCTGACATTGCTGAGAGCCGTTGGCGCTGCAGAGGCAGATGCGGCTAAGAGTGTTGGAACCACCGTGGTCGCACGCAGCATGCTACTCGTACCGTGAGGCATCTCTGCAGCAAGAGGGACGATGGACGGCGGCATCTGAACCGGAGCACTCGCATTGGCAATTGCTGTTCCATTGAACGTACCAAGGGGAGTGGTGTTGGTCGTCGACAAAGGGCGAATCGAGGCGATTGTGTCGTTCACATGCGAGCTGCGGTTGCCTACCTGCTGCTGAAGGTTCAATGGCAAGTGGGTCCCGAGCAGACCTCCAAGAAGGCCTGTACCGATGTTGGGCAAGGCTGCAGTCAAGCCGGATGCTGTGTTGGCAAGGCCACCGATGGGTAGATTGCTTGTCAGGCCTGACAGTGGCAGACCATTGGTCACACTGCTCACGGTGCCGGTTAGACCTGCGAGTGAATTCGATGACTGCGGGCCCGAGACGACACCGGAGAGGGCGCCCGTTAGTTGGCCCGGGAGCAACTGGTTGAGAGGGAGGCCGCCGGTGATCGAACTGAGCTGACCCTGCAGATTGTTGGTCCCAACCTGAGACAGTAGCTGATTCAGAGCAGAACTGCCGGACCCGGCTCCTGAAGTGAGCTGCGAGAGGAGCGTGTTCGGGTTGACGTTCAACATTTTTGCCATCTGATTGATCTGAGTTTGAAGCTGTTCCGTAGACTCAGATGAGGTTGTTGGCACCGAGGCGGGGAAGGCATTGCTGCCGACATCGCTGTTTAGGCCCTTGGCGGCATCAAGGTTGCTCTCCGCCCCCGGCACGCCAATGTGAGCCGGCAAAGAATTGATGTGCGAGCCAACGCTGCCAGTGAGGGTGTTGATTGGCTGTTGTTGCTGCTGCTGAAACTGCAATGGGAGCAAGCTGGTGATGCTGCTGAGGCCAAGCTGCGAGGTTAAGCCATTGAGCGTCGATTGAGTCGTAGAAGGGTTGGAGAGGGCACCAGTGAGGCTGCCGAGCTGCGATTGAGCACCGCCCAGGCCCATGTTCCCAGTGAGACCGCGCAGTTGCGATTCGACTGAAGAAGTAGAGACTGGCAAGTTGCCGAGCAGACCATTGAGCGTGGACTGTGCACCACCCAGCTGGCCTTGAGCTTGCCCAAGCAGACCGCTGAGCTGGCTCGTTGAACCGCCAAGCAGGCCGATGAGCGGGTTCGTTGAACCGCCAAGTTGGCCTTGAGCTTGCCCAAGCAGGCCGCTGAGCGGACTCGTTGAGCCGCCAAGCAAGCTGCTGAGCTGGTTTGTTGAACC